CTGCAAGACGGTCCTGATATGGCACGGCTTCGCGCTCGTCCCTGGCATCAGAGTGAGCTTCTTAGCCCATATCGGTTCTTTGATGTACAAGGCCTTCACCAGAGTGCTGCAAAAGGTCACTCGTTGATCAATATGGCGGAACTTCGGGTAGCCATGCAACTATATGAACGTTTGGTCTCGGATTTCCAGGGCTTTGATTTCTCTGGTAAAATCGGCATCATTACCCCGTATAAAGGCCAACTAAGAGAGTTGAAAACTCATTTTGCCGCGAAGTATGGAAATGCAATCTTTAACAGGATTGATTTCAACACTACAGATGCCTTCCAAGGAAGGGAGAGTGAGGTTATTATATTTTCTTGCGTTAGAGCCTCCAACAAAGGAATTGGTTTCTTGTCCGACATTCGCCGTATGAATGTCGGTTTGACGCGTGCCAAGTCCTCACTTTGGGTTCTAGGAAATTCGCAGTCCCTGGTGCAGGGCGAGTTCTGGAATAGCCTTATAAAAGACGCTCGCCGTCGGAGTGTCTATACTGATGGCGATGTTTTGAAAATCCTTCAGCGGCCACAGTTTACTGGCTACAAGAATGTTGACATGCTGGATGCTGATGCATCGGAGCCAACCAAGCCTTCTGTCGGCACACCAACTGGCCCTGTTTCTCGGTCGTCCTCATCCTCTCGTGACAACCCCCCACCAGATGCATCCCATCCTACGGGTGCATCCGGGATGAATGACCCTCCCGTCTCCCCGCCTGAGGGGCCGTCAGGGGGTGCCAGCGGCTTGGATGACAACCGCATGTGCGGTTATTGTGGCAGTTTCTCTCATATGACTCATAACTGCGACAACATTGATGCGAAGGAAGCAGCTCGAGGCAACTGCTACAGATGTGGGCAGCCTGGACATACGCGCGCTGTTTGTACATCGGAGCGTTGCCTGGAATGCGGCGAACCTGGGCACGTTGCTCGTGAGTGCAAGTCTACAAAAGTTCTACCAAAACAAGTGAAGCAAAAAATTGCGCGAGAGGAACATCATCATACGCAAATGCAAAAGCAGAGAGCGGAACGCCAACGGACCAGGCAGCTTGGAGGGCATGACCCCAAGGTGCCTGTTATCCAGGTTACATCTGGGGCTAACGAGAAAAAGCCAGAGCAACCCAAAACAGATGGCAGCAAAGGCGCAGCTAAGCGCAAACGCACTGGTTCCCCCTCTTCTGACATTGCGAAAGCTCCCAAGCGAAAATCAGATCAAAACGTGCCACCAACAGCTCCTAAGAACCCGCGACGAAAAATTGATGCCAATGTTCCCCCGAACACGGAGGTCAGCCATTCCTTCCGCTTTATACTGAACTCTGCTAATTAGTCTCGCAGGATTTGGTTAAACCGTCTCGAGAAGGGCCGGCTTATGCACCTATCAACCAGAACAAGCCTCCCAGCGGTCCACGGGCGGATCTAGGTCCAGCAAACGTATGTGTTTCATCTCTTCTATGGATGGCTTAGCAACTGCCTGCTGACTTACCCTCTTATATAGCCTCCACAGCGACCTCCACAGCGGCCAGGGAATGGGGCCAGGCCCCCTCCACCGATGCGAAAGAAGAAAGCAGTCGACCCGTTCATCCGACCGAAACGGAGATAGGCTGTGGAATGGATGCAGCAAATAATCCGATGCATTCATATCACTTGACTCCCATGCTTCATGTTACTGTTTTACGGAAGACATGTCACATGTAAAAGACAACACATTGATCTACAGATCTACAAAAGAACACGGTCCTACTTCTCTGACATGCATATGAGCGTCTACATCGTTGCCCCCTTTTGTTCTTAGCATTTTTGCATACATTTCTCTTGAGTCATGCATATGCCATGTGTTGTCGCCCCTTTATTTCCCCATCTTTCTTTTTCAAGGCGCGGCAAAGAGTGGCGCCGAGAATACGTTTTCTCTGTCAGGATTTTAGGCTTGGGGCTCCCTCACATATTCTGAAAAGCATTGCGTGGCGTTGGGTTGGACTTATATTCAATTTTTGCACTGAGACAGGATATGTACTACAAATGCTTGGAGATTCTTCGTCTAGTGAGTATACCCTTAGAAACAGGGAGGGTTGGTTTCAATAATGCATTGTTATCTTGGTTTCATGTGCATGCTCATGTTCATATGTTGGAACTGAGTGCTGTAATTAGAATACATTATCACTGTGCATAACTTCAATACAGGGGGCTCTTTACCTAATGATGTATATAACTCAACCGATAATCTTATCGGTTTCCTTTTGCTACCTGTTAACCGACGCAGACGAAGCTCAGGACGTATCAATGCCAAACCGGACCTCATCGACAGAAAGGTGTCGTGGAAGACAAATCGGATTGATCAAGAGTATGTCACGCACGATCTATCTCATAGCGTGCAGTAGCTCTGCATATACCTGGAAGGAATACGACCTACTGACTCGGACAAACAAATCGTTGATCCATGCTCGGATTAATCAACTTTTTTTTGGCAAGCTCACTGCAGCGGTCTGCTGAGTTCCAGAGTCAAGATACTCAGCGAAGCTCTGCAGTTCTTCTTTCGTACGACCAGAGAATATAGGGTCAGCCGCAAAGTATGAAGGTGGCGCGTTCTAGATGGACATCTTCGCTCCTGCATACTTGAATGACTTTTTACCTGTCCTGATGCTTGCAATGCTCTCGAGACCTGCATGATACTTTCTGATGCAAGGGGGTAACATGGCCGAGTTCGCATAGTCAGTCTTTTTTCCTTTTTCCTTTTTTCTTCAACCTTGAAGAATTACTACAAGAAAAACCCATTTGGTATGACGCCAAGATGTTCAGAGGCCCCTCCTTGGTACATGGTTTATTCTCTCTCTCTCTCTCTCTTCGCCCATCCCTGTCGATGATTGTGCAACACGAGGTGACGCAGTGCGATTCTTGCAGGTTGGCGGAAGAGCGACCGTGCAGATTACCTAGAAGTAGTATTTAGAGGCAAGTTTGCTACAAGGCGCTACGAGTAGCTCTTCAAGACTCTTGTGGGCGGTACGGCACATATCACGGTAATACTTAGGGCTAGGATTAGGCACCCACTCGAGAGAGCTCTCCCTTTCGGACCGGTACTTTTGCTTCTCTTATTGCACAGAATCCAGATCGATAGACATAACGGCAGCCGTCTGGTACTTTACTAGGATCTTTTCCTTATGAGCTCTGAATTGGTTCGTTTCGGGAAGTCAGGAAGGGCCCCGGCCGCGACTATTTCCGTCAGTTCTCCAGAAGTGCGCAAATAGTCGATAGAAATGAGTTTGTGACCTGTCAAGTCAGAAATTCGCCGTTCATCGACCAAGCGAATCCACTCGGTGGTACATCTGTCACATTGGTATAGTCTATTTCTGATCTGCGTCTCTCCCATTTGCCACTACTGACTTTGGTGGCTTCCAAATCCCCGTCTCACTGCTCTACTTCTCGATCCTTACGTACCCCGTTTCGATTTTTGCATTCGTGATTTTTCCCTAATCGGATCATGCCCGTTCTCCCCGAGGGTAATTGACGTCTTTTACATCGTTCTCCAGGCGTATCCTACGTTCTCAAAGGGGCTCGTTGCAGTTATGACCTCAATCCAATCCATCCCTCCAGGAGTTGAGAGGGGCGAATCAATCAGGGCATCCCTTGCTTTCAACGGTTCTCTCTCTCTCTCTCTCTCTCTCTCTACACATACACGCTTTCTCATGGGGTTTTATTGTTTTATTTATTTTTACTTTTATTTTTATTTTTCAGAAAAGGAGACATGCAAAGACGTCACACGGGAAATCGCGCTAATTTATGCTGCTGTGGTACCGTGGTTCCTCACGATATAGACGATATAGACGATATAGTCGCAAACGGAACTCTTTGTTTACGTGCCGACTATCAGCCCTCCATGCCAATCACTTCGAAACTTGACGAGAGGACAAACTATCTCGGATCGACAGTGCTGGCCCATATGTTTGGGTGACGAAAATCCCCAATGATCGCCACGGTGGTAGGATCATCCTGCGAGCAAATAGCTTCCCACTGCTCTTCCAGCTCTATGGGGCATCATCGGTCTGTCATGTCATTTACGCCACCTGGGCCCCGATCGAACTACTAGCACGGACGGATCGTCTATCAACGTTTTTGATTTTTTTTGATTTTATTTTTATTTCCTATTATTTCCTTTCTTTTTCTTCCTCCCCTGCGGTGTCCCTTTCCTTTTCGGTTCGGAATGACTCCACTAGCCTTGCTTGCCGGGTGCCCAACTGGGGCTGTCTTCCCTCGCTCGGCCCTTGGGACCTGTGGAATCCAATCCTGGCATGGTGGAATGGCACTACTTAAGATTCAACTCTATCTCTCAATCTATCGAGAACGAGGTCGGCTCTTTATTCGACAATGTCCGGGTCCTCGCATTCAAGAACTCGACAGGATGCTCCCGGCTATGTAGGGTCGTGACAGGTCCAGATTTCCATAGAACTCTCTTTTTAAAGAAAGGACCTCTCCCTCTGCTGCATCTGCCCTGGATGTAGGTTAATATCTCATTTTCTTTTCTCGTCTGTCTCAATCCTCCATTCATTTCCTGTACATACGGTCATACGCACATACTGATTAGACTTGGACCATCCCAACTTCTTCTCTCTCTTCTGCCTTCCTTCTCTTTGTTTTTGATACCCCAGTGCTATTTCTTTCTTTCTATCTATCTATCTATCTACGTCATTCCTTTCATACCCTCCCTCGCGGTACTGATTTCTCTCGGTCAAGGTGGGCAAGGCAATAGTGCCCTTGAATCACACTGCTTTGGTGCATACAACACGCCACGAATCTTTCCTGGTCGACTCGCGTTGACATTTCATATGCCTCCTAATCGGGTTTGAGGTCATATATGGCTGAGGTCTAGTCGATCGCCTTATGTTACACCAGGCCAATTTACAAGGGAACTCAGTCGCACCGAGTCCAATAGTCCCAACCTGCCGTCCCAATCCTCAGTTGTCCAGACGAGGTCATTCCAGCATGCCTAACATACCAGGAGATGTTCCCCCTCTAGAATTGTCGAATATTCAGAGCAGGAGCGAGCAATTTCCCGATCTTGTACAGTTCTTCCAAGCACAGGATGCCTTGTCGACCACATCCTCGCAATCTACTGGCGCTCGCGATATCTTTAAAGCGGGCCAACGACGCCTGCGGCAGCTGGCTCAGCGTCCCAAAAAGGGAACAGACGCTCAAACCAAAGCTGACGACGCGTCTCGCCAGCTACTAGCGCTTCAGCAGGAGGGTTTTCTACCTGCCTCTCTACCTCCCCGCAAACCCAAGAAATCTGCTCCTAAGCAAAGTATTGACTCCACAGTATCCTCTACCCGATCTGCTTCCAATCTCAGCTTCCAATCGAGCTCCAGAAGAGACGTGGAAAGCATTGGACAGCCATGGCTGGAGGGTTCGCTTGACAGTTTTGATGCATGTGAAATGAAAGGAGGTCGTTTCTCTTCGCTTGATCTACGAGATATCACGTCCCTGCTTGGCGCTTCATTACCTCGTCCTCCTCAATTTGAGGACGTGACCCCTCCGCCATATCAGGCTTCAACCCAATCGAGTGAGCCTGGTTTACAAGAAAACTCTTCCTATCCCTCAACGCGCCATAGTTCAAATTCTAGGACTAGCGAGCCGCTGGATGAGATAGAAGCCTTACCAAAGGTTCCAGATATACCGGATCGAACGAGCAGTCATCACCCCAAGACGGCGACAAGTACTGTAGATAGCAAGCAACAGGTAGGCTGGAATCATTTAGCATATATACTATATATGATACTAACTTCCAAAAGTCGAGTCGTGAGCAGCCAGCGGACGCCAAGCCAGCAGGGCCCAAAGATGCCTCCGAAGCAGCGGACAGCAAATCATCGTCATCTAGTACACCAAACACCCTACAGAATCATTCGAACCCGGTAGCACATTCCCTGAAGCTTTTCCCTGACACTGTGCCTACACGTATGCCGAATAAAGGAGCCTGGCGCATATCGAACGGTTGCCCATCGCCTTCCGTTAGATCATTACCAGCCACATCAACGCAGCAGGACTCTTCGCCTGTTAGCGCTCAACCGAGTGATGGGAACACTAAGCCTTCATCTAGCACCCAAAATTGTGACGCTGGCCCTGAAAACACGAGATGTGTGGGTCAAACGCCTTCAGCACAGCCGACCGATACAAGCAGAACCAGTGTGACAAGCCAAGGACATGAAAAAATGCTGGTGGCGAGAAATGGGCGTCGTCCGGCATCCTTGCCCATAGGCGCAATTGATGCCTTCCCTCTACCAGCCCCTATGAGACCTCTGCCTGCGTTGCCGGAAGCAGTTTCAGGGATTCGTCCCATTTACGGACAAGACGCTACTGCTGGCAGAGGAGGTCTTCGTGTCAACCAACAACAACATGATCCTCAGTTACCACCACGTTCTACAGAAGAAAGACCCATGGGCAGTGCGACGAGGAGAGATAATCATGGGCCAATGACTAGTCGGGCTGCACCAAGTGCTAGCCACCCTAATAGAGCAACGGACCGAGGAAACAAAGCTTCTAGGGCAGGCGCATCGAATTCCAAGCCTGTCACGTTGGTGAGAGCCGGTCCAAGCCGAGCCGATAGGGTTCGTGCGCTGAAGAAGAAAGATATGTCAGCGAGTCGAACTTATTTGCAAGACTCGGACAATCGCCCTCTGGAAGAAGGTCGACGGTCTCGTTCAAGGCTTTCTCATGCGGTCTCCTCCGAAGATTATGATACGACAACTGCTCCACGCTGCATCGATGAAGGAGTTGGGAGTCAATATGAAAGGGAATCTGCAGATACCCAATTGTCTAGTATTTCCTCTCATGTTTCGAGTTTTCCTGGGCAATCCACGGAATCCCATGCTATTAGCACACAGGATGGCAGCCCACATGGCTACGTTAAAGCTACCTCGTCGGACATCCAGGAACCTTCATCATCACCTGCATCAAAAAGAAATTCTCAGATCCGTCCAAGCGGTGGTACACGAAGCACAAGCGTCCTCAGCGAAAGGGTATCTAATGATCTGGATCTTCACGAGCGTTCTGAGACCCCTCTCCCATCTTCGGAAGATGAAGGTATCGATGTTGGCATGCGCAAGCAACAGACACACCACATTTCCAGTAGGCGACGGCGACCGAAGTTGGCACCTATTAATGTTGATGAGTCTGCCACACGCAAAACGCGTCATATGGAAAAGCCATCGCCATATGACTATTCCAGGCCCGTAACCCCCCGAAACCGCAGAAGCCGTGGCCTGGACAAAGCTTCCCCACAATCACCACATTACCATCACGAAACGCGAGGCGGTCGTCATCGGCCTTCTTATGTTCGGGAGCTGGAAAAGCGCATTGCGCACCTCGAGCACCAAAACAGAGCCCTTCAAGCTGCTCTTCTTGGGGCTCTAGGTGTGGGAGGTAAACAGAACGCAGAAGGTCTTCTCGGTGGATCATCCACCTCACTCTCCACTCCCCACACTAGTAGATCTTTCTCATCTATGACGAACTCTTCATCCAGCCCGGATTCCCATGTCATGCGGAATGAGCGGCGTACGCAGAGACGCCAGCCTCCATGCCATCCGGAGACCTGGATTGCTAGCCCAGGCTCCAGCCGACGCAGTAGCTACAGTTCGGAAGCAAGTGCTGATATCCGGGAGATGGAAAATATGATTGAGGACTTCGATTTCGGCTGGGAGTCAGATCAACCGAGCTCCGAAAGAACACCACAGCTCCGAATGAGAGCTTGATGTGCTTTCCTATGAATTACTAGGAGGTATCTTGATCTTTCCTTTAATATTTTCTTTAATTTTGGTGTTTCTGGGTGGTCGCTCTCTCTTTTATACCCCCCTTTATCTTTTCCAGTATGAGCATAAACGACCTTAGGGCTCTGTAGTCGTTCTTTAACCCTTCTCTTCCTATCTGCATGACTCGTTCTGTCTTCGATGATACCATTTTGCTTTGTGTGTTTTGTGTGACTATTTGCTGTTAAATCGGATGCAATCCAAGGCCGTTAAGGCTTCTATCCAGTCCTATAGAAGTTATATCTGTATTTATATTATCCCAAAGTAAGGAAAGAGACTCAGGTATACCTGATTGCCTGAACAAGGGCATGGGAGCGCTTAGTCATCCAGTCCGCGATTCGGTCAGCGTTGGAAGATCGTCAACAAAATGCCAAACAGCTTCAACCTTTCACAATCCACAGGCATTAGCGTGTGCGAGCTAGGAAACGACAGTGGAGCATAAGACTCTAAGCTTCCAAATTCTATTATGAGCAACATTTAATTCTTCAACGCGGTCATATATCTCTACGCCCACCTCTTAGATCCCACCTCGAATTGTCCCGTACTCCATTCCAACATGGCGCATACAACGGCAGTAAGCGCTCCTTTCTTTTTTTTCTCTCTCTGCGTTTCAATAGGAACAACAGTCAGATATTTACTAATGCAACCAGTCTTCGCAGATTCCGCAACATGTCACTTCCCTCCTTTCACACTTAACATCGCGTCCGGGAGTTCAGTCCACCTTCATCCTTTCCCGCAAAGATGGGTCCATCATTCAGAGCACGGGGCTGCTGGCGACGAAACCAGCGGGCAACAGCAGTCCAGATGTCTCTCAGGCCGATCCAGTCGCCGAGGAGCAGTCGGAATCTACTATGACACCTGTAGAATCATCCATCCCTTCAACACCGTCTAGCGCAACTACCCCTAACCGCCAAACCGCCTACCAACCGTCCCAGGCGGAAGCGCTGGCAGCTCGCATCTTTGCTTTTGTTTCCAGCGCTTCGGATCTAAGTGTGTCGCTCTCACGACCCATGAATGAAAACTCCCACGGCTCCAAAATAGATCCGAACGGTTTGCAGGAAGGGTTAGGCAATGGAACATCCCGGGACGATGGAGACGGGGAGGCATCGGAGAAAGAGGATGACGATGAAGTCAAGCTCCTGCGGCTGAGAACTAAAAAGCATGAGATTGTTGTTGTTCCGGATAAGAAGTATCTGCTTTGTGTGGTACATGATGCGGCGCACCCTATGGGGAACCCAAGTGCCGGGTTGCGCTCGAGGTAATGGATGATGATGATGATGATGATAATCTTCGCTTTGGACCTCTTTTCTACTCTATTTTAATGCGCTCTTATTTGGACATATCTTGGTTTGCATGGAATATACCCGGTTGGAAGCAGAGAGCTCGTCTGTCCGCATGTTGTTTGCCGTTTTGTTAAGCACCTGTGTGTAGTTTTGGATAGCAGTGGAGACCATGAATATAGAGTTCTCTATTCAACCATGTGGCTTGCCTTGGTCTAGAAACCGTGGGAATGCGGGGGATCTGGTGCCTTAGGGCGCGCGGTGGAGCGCTTTACCCCTCTCACGCCTTATCTCGTCAGAGCAAACGCAATCTGCTATATTGCTACACCCACCTCCTTGAACAGGGCTTGAAGGTAGACCTGTGTACTTCTTGGGGCCCGATACAACAATTCCTACTGAGTTCAGCACCACATAATCCCCATACCCTTACAGAATGACTTTCGATATCGCGCAGGCCCGGTCTCGCTTTCCTGCACTGAAGCAGGAACAGGTCTTTTTGGATAATGCAGGTGTGTTACGTTGAATCCACGTCTTTGGTACTTCTATCCAGTACCTAGAGCTTTGCTAATCAGCTGCAAAGGGGGTAGTCAAGTCCTGGACACAGTGATTGAGTCGTAAGTCTGCCTTGGATATAAGATCGGACGGTGGCTTACATAGCTCCCATCTAGGATTACAGCTTACCTCACAAATACCAATGTCCAATTGGGGGCAACATACAAGACTTCAAAGCTATCCACCGCTGGATTTACCAACGGATACGAAGCAGCGGCGAAGTTCATCAACGCAAATCCCGAAGAGGTAAATGGATCCTACTCTGGGGAAATGTAGAACCCGCTAACAGTCGCTATAGATCTGCCTTGGCGTTTCAACTACGCAACTATTACACAATCTCTCCACGGCTTTGAAGTTCCAGCCGGGTGATGAGCTCATTCTCTCCAAACTGAACCACGAGGCCAATTCCGCCGCCTGGGTCAGAATTGCACAACGACTAGGTTTAGAGGTGAAGTGGTGGTCCGCTTCCAACCCTCAGAACCCCGTCTGCGATCCGAAGGAGTTGCAACAGTTGATCTCGGAGAAGACGCGACTCGTAGCTTGCCCGCATGCATCGAATATCCTTGGATCTATCGTGGACGTCAAGGAAATTGCGAAGATCGTGCATCGATACCCTCGGGTAAGCTACCTGCTAACCTAGAACTGATGTAGTGCTTATTTTTGTTCTTAAGGCCCTGCTCTGCGTGGACGGCGTTGCACTTGCGCCTCATCGACAAGTCGATGTCAAAGATCTCGATGTTGACTTCTACGTGAGTACATATTGTATAGTATCGAGGCAAAGTCACAGGGACTGATCATCCCAAACAGGCCTTCTCATGGTACAAGGTCTATGGACCCCACATCGCGCAGTTGTACGCCTCATCGCGTGTCCATGACCAGATCGACTCCCTAGGACATTTCTTCAAAGGCACGGACACCCTCGACTTGAAGCTGAACCTGGCATCCGCCAATTACGAGAATGTTCAGAGCATTCCACGAGTAGTCGAGTACTTCGAGCCTGATGTGTCTGCATCGTGGGAAAAGATCGCCGCTCAGGAGGAGAAGCTGCAGCAGATCGTCTTGGATTTCCTCAACGCGAATGATCGGGTCACGGTCTACGGAGAGCGCTCTGCCGGTAGGAACCTCCGTGTCCCCGTTATTAGCTTCACGGTGCGGGGTACGAAAAGCCAAAGGTTAGTAGAGGAGGTTGAGAAGCGATCTGCGTATGGGTTCCGAAGTGGGCATATGTACAGCCATCGATTGATCAAGGACATCATTGGTTTGGACGACGTTGAGGATGGGGTTGTGCGGATCAGTATGTTGCACTATAACACAGGTGAGTACTAGTATTTCTATGGGATGATAGATCTAAGACTAACAGGGGACTGTAGAGGAAGAGATGACCGGTTTGGTCAAGGTTTTGGAGGAAGTTATTGCGAGCTTGTAGACTTTGTACTACCACAGAGATGTTGGTAACTTCCTCTTGGATAGTATAGCTGAACTACAAAGGTACAAAGCATCAATTGGCCGGATGGTGTAGTTGGTTATCACGTATCGTTAACACCGATAAGGTCCTGGGATCGAGCCCCAGTCTGGTCATTGCTTTTTGTTTTTACTTTTCTCTCTTATCTTTCCTTATCTTTGTACGGAGTACGTTGATTGTATTCATTTTTGTTGCTATGATGGATTGCAATCTAGAATTAGATAACGAAGCTCAATGGCACTTATACTGAGTGCATAGTTCCCAATATTTATGCCAGCCGAAACAATACATATAAGTTGCCTTTTCTATGCGGACACTCAAATTGTCATGACGACCGGCGATAACAATATATATGTAATGGATCTGAGACCACAGCCCATGACCAACCAATCAACCTGAAATAAGAGAATGGGATACCGAAACTCATACACTCCAACTCTCAAATCGGCTACCCAGACCAAGTATGAACAGGCAAACCCCCATAAGATATTCAAACTTAGTTCAAGCGGCTATCATTTGTTTTTCTGGGGGCGAGAAATAAAAAGAATAAGTCTTTGCTGTAGTGTATTTAGATTTGTTATGTATATTTCGAGACTATTGTTCATACTCGTTAGCACGAGTAGATATGTAGATAGAGAGATAAATAGAGTTCTCAGCATAACAGCCAGAGCTGTACAGCTTCATTTCACAAGCGCCACAGAGACGCCCATAGCCACGATTCACGTAGGTACCAAAAAAAAAAAAAATAAAAAAACGCCTGTATTTCAAACCCCAATCGCCATCACTCCACGGTGTGAAGAGAAAAAAGAGAAAAACCGAAACCCAAACACCACCCAAACACCGCCCAACAAACCCTCCCCCAAATCCCAGCCCACAGTAAGTTCACAATCACAATCTCTGATCCCTATCCCTCCCCCTTGTAGATTCCCTCCCCTGTTCCCTACCCCCACTCCCAACTCCAACCCCAAGCCCCTCCATAACCCGCTCAACCTCCCCCCTACACCCAGGCACCGCACTCCTCAGCTCCCTAGCCAACACATCCCGAAACTCCGCAAACGCCTCCCTCTTCCCCTTCAGATCCTGATTGCCCCGCTGCACCAGCTCCACAAACTCGCGCGTGTAGATATCCGGGTTGCGCGCCGCGTCCACGTAGTCGATGATCTCGGGGGGCAGTTGCACGGAGCCCAGATTGGGGTCTCGGGGGTTGCCAACGGGGATTTCTGTGTTCGGGTCGGCGGTGTTTTTGTGCAGCGCGGAGAGGGTTTGGGTTAAGGATTTTCTGGGTTTTATTAGTTAGTTGGGTTCTGGTTGGTTTTTTTTTTTTTTTGCCGGGGGGGGGGGGGGGGGGGGATATACATTTTCCGGACGAGTTCTTGTTGCGTTTCTGGGCCTAGGTAGCCGTGTACGGCGGATTGGATTTCGAAGAGGTGTTGGATTGCTTCTTTTAGGTCGGCTTTTTGTTTTTGGGTTCTGTTAGTTTGGGGGTTGTTGATGGGTTGAGTGCTGGTTATGTGGAAGGCTTACTGTCGACTTGGCTGAGGGTTATAGGTGCCATTTTTGTGGACTATCGTGATTGATTGATTGATTGATACAAGAGGAAGTGTCGGAGTTGATGAATCTAGACTGTTTTGAGCCGCAGTGGGGACTCTGGGGTGTACTAACCGCTTTGGGTACTTGATTATGATCGCCGGTTCTCTCAAAGTTCAAACTTAGGCTATTGGTTACACTACAGCTAGTATCTACTCCGTACTGAATCCATGCAATGCAACGCTTGTCTAGTATTGACAATATATATACGTATAGAACAAAATTAGGCCAGTTTCTATAATATACCCTACCCAATTCAATAATAATTACACTTCCTTCGTCCGGAGTGGGATATTGGGTAACTCGATCTCCGTCTCCATCTCAAGTCCCGACAGGCTGGGGAACCGTCGGCTGAAGTTGGCCTCCCAGTCTTCGCTCGGCGTAGTAGGCGTGGCCTGGCTGCGCTCGCTGATCGCCTCCGATCCCCTCACGCGCAGGCTCTTCGGTTTGGGAGGTGCTGCGGGCCGAGATGATCCCGTGCGCTGTGATTGCGCATAGCCACTATTTGTCGTCTCTTGCCGCGGCAGACCCGCCGTCTCCCACCGGTCCTTCACGGGCGATGCTTGTCCCTGCGATCCGTACAGGGGCCCCGCCGCGCGAGTGTTGATCCGCGGCTCCGGAAGAGGTTCATTCTGCTTTGCCGGCAAAGCAGGGTTCATCTCCTCTGTGAACCGGCCATAGCCCGTTGCCGTCTTCGGTGCAGGCGCCGACTTGTTACTCTCCTCCAAGAATGTCTGCACTCGGTTCTGGATTGACGACCGTGTATCGGGTCGGAAGCCCCCCTCCCCTCGTTCCGCCACCTGTCGGCGATACTCGGCAGCAGCGTTGGCGACGCGCTTCTCCTCCTGGGAGAGACGTCGGCGCTCCAGCTCCCGACGCATCTCCGGAGAGATGTCGTCGTTCTCGGCGTCGCTGAGTTCGGCGGGCGCTCGACCAATTCTGACGAAGTGATCATGATCTGCTTCGGCTCTTCGGCGGCGGGAGACTGGGCCTTGGATTCTGGGTTGCTCTGCTCGAACCGCCGGAATGCATCGCCAAATCGACCTGCAAACAATGTCTTGGTCCCCGACAGCGATAACGTAGAAAGACTCGACCGCTTGGTGTGTTTGGAGGTGCCACTGTACCGCTTCTCTTTCTTCCGGTTGCTCTCCTCTTCCCTCGCCCGGAGATAGTCGATGTCGGACGAGATGTTGGCCCGGTCCGCCTCGGTCCGCGCATGTTGCAGCGGCGCGCCCATGTCGTATGAGGGCCTGGGGATATCGAGTGAGGAGCGTGCGCTCTCGGAGCCTCGGCCAAAGTCATACTTGGAAGTTGCCTGGACGGAAAACGGGCGAGATCTGCTGTTGGCCGATTTGGATCGACTGGTAAGCTCTTCCAACTCCAAGGTCGATGGTCGCATGCCTTCCAAGGAAGGCCTCGACGAAGAGGTCGACAGATCGGAGATGCGGTCCGCAGATGTTCTTGGGTCCGCGGAGGGCTTCGTAGGGGACGGAGGGTTGAGGGGCCGGGAAACTTTCTTGTCGCCGTCCGCGGGCCACGGTTGGCTGGAGGGCCGGCGTTGATGGTCTGATGAAGGAAATCGATAGATGGGGCGGCTAGGGGGCTTCAGTTCCGGCACCGACGGCGTGTGGGGTGGCGACGTCATCGTGCCTGTGGAGACCATGGTCGGCTTCTGCGGCACTGGCTGGTACAGTGGCACCGGCGACTGCTGGGGCTCCTCGCGGTAGTTGAAAGACTCGGAGGGTCGACTCTTGACGTGCGACTGCTGGGGCGGCTTCTGTGCCGGGGATTGGGGAGTCTGCTCATTCACCGCGGGAGAAGGACGTTTCGCGAAGGCCTCATCGGCCAAGGCATTTGTGAGCCTCTGCGCAAGACCGTCATCCTCTTGTTTCGTCTCGGCGAACGCTGGCTCGAAGTCGAACGTGCCACCCTTCTCGTGCAGAATATCAAACTGATCCAACGAGGGGAACCGATTCGTAAACTCGTCCGCAGAGTCCCGGGATTTCTGGCTGCCATCCAGGACGGCGAAGGGGTCGGTGGAGCCACCACGGAACGGGGAGGGGCTTGGCTTTGCGGACGTGTGCTGAGAACTGGTCGGTTTTGTCGGCCGGCCGCGCCGCATGGGAGCAATCTCTGGGATGATCTGGGTCTCCTGGACCGGTGGAGAGAACACTGCGCCGACTGGCGGTGTCTCCGTCGGGGACGGCGGGAGTTCCTGATACCGGCGGGCTTCCGACGTAGAGCGATTCGCGTAGATCTAGACCAGGTAAGAAACCGAGCACGAATCCCGCCATTTGGGAAACTCACATCTCGAATGGGAACTTCTTTTCCTTGCATGTGGCAGACTTCTTGCACTACCTCATAAATATTTGGGCGCTTTTGCGGGTGCTCCTTCAACATCCATGCTAAGTCGGAGTTAGTCTCCCCTCACGACCCGACATTCAACTAAACTTACCGATGAGCATCCTGAGGCGATCTGAGAAAACAGGGTAAGACGGGAATTTGTAGGTCGCATTCAGGATGGCCATTTGGCCCACTTCTTCGAACGGCGTTGTATAGTAGCATAGCTTGTATAGAAGTACACCTAGCGCCCAAATATCGCTCTTCTCGTCGATCGGTTGCTTGCGATAGACATCGATCATCTCCGGACTCCGGTACTGCAGCGTCGTGTGCCTCTGCACATCGTCCTCAATCAGGCGGCCCTCCGCAGCCGAAGTCGCCGCGGGACGAGGGGGTGCTGTAGAGCCAAAATCGCACAGCTTATAGACACTTGAGGTCCCGTGTCGAGATATGAGAACGTTCTCCACCTTCAGATCGCGGTGCAGCAAAGGAGGTTTCAGGTAGTGCATGCAGGCGACGCCCTCGGCTACGTCCGAGAAGATCTGGATAATCTCCGGTTCTGTCAACCGATGCTGCAAGCGTGTGTTCATGAAGTCGATCAAGCCTCCGCCCGAGCAGAACTCCATGAGCAGGAACACTTCGTAGCCGCCACCTCGCAGCTGAGATGCATGGGAGTCGATATACTTCACAATGTGCCGGTGTCCCTTCAATTTCTTCATTGTCTCGACCTCGGTCCGCATGTTGGCGAGCGCCGATTTGTCCGGCACGGCGACCCGCTTCAGCACCGCCCTATCTGAACCCTCGACGGGTTGCGGAAGACGCACGACGTAGACATGGGCAAATCCACCTTCGGAGAGGTACTTCTCGACGATCACGCGATGATTGCCGACCTGGACTTTGGTTCCTGGCAAGAAGGTGCCTGCCGGGGCGTTCACCGCGGCCAACGGATTGTACGACGGAATCGGCCTATGAGAGGCGGCATGGCTCTGATAGGATGGGGGGTTCGACTGATAGGACATAGTGACTAGGGAAGCCCTCGAGGGGCGAGATTAAATGGCCGGTCGGAGGAAAAACTATCGTCGCAGCATAGAGGAAACGGCCAGAGACGAGGAAAGGTCCGGAGTCGGAAGTCAGGAAGGGCGACAGACACAGAGGACAGTTGGCGGCGGGGAGGTGGATAGGAGGAGGAGGAGGCGGTGATTTGGGGGCAAAGCGGTACCTGACTGGACCCCGGGGAAAGGAGGGTAGAGGTGAGTTGGCGGGAAAGAGGGAGGGATCGAAGACCGGTGGACTGAGAATGAAGTCTTCTTCAGATTGGAACCAACACAGCGCTCAACAGGAACTGGGAGGAGAAGAAAGAACTGAGAGCTCCGACTGACCAGCAGTTACTACTAGTTAACTGACTTCGTAGTAGTTTGGGACCTTCCTTGGGCTTTGGTTGGTTGGGAGGCAGTCACGGGCGTTTCCCCGACCGCTGACTCAGCCGTGAGGATCTCCAGGTTTTTCCCCATGTTACCCATTCGGCTTCTTGGAATATACGTCTCGTCTGGCTTATAGAAACATCGACATTGGCCTTGCATTGTCCGTGGTCCCCTGTTTTCATTACAACTCGTGGATCTTCTACTACCTACAGGATCATCGTGACTATCAGGAACAGTGCATGACCTCGGGTCACGAGAACCCTGGGAATGCCGACGCTTCGGCCATGGAAACCGTGTCGGCATAATCATCTGCCAGCCAACGGCAACCAACCCCCGATGATCGCTGAAGTTGCCTGTGAGTAGGCATGTAATTCATTCCAATCTTCCCCCCCCCCCGGCCCCCCTGAACAGATCCAAAATGAAGCCAGAAGCAAAACCCAGGCAAGACCACTTCAGACTCGGCGCAATCCATTCGCCACCCGAGGTCCCAAAAGCAATTGCATTCCGTCACATACCTCCATTCGTAGTCATAAATATCATTCCGGGTCATCCGACCATCCAGTCCAAAAAGTCACATCTTCACACGGAACTGCCATCCCGAGGCCAAAACCCTGGCAGCGATCAAGGCAGCCGTCGCAACCAGCAATGACGTGCCTGCCCAGATCTGCGCTGGCAAGTAATTTCCTCCGGCGTCCGCAATCAACGCCCCAGCTACCGATGGCCCTGTGAGAGGCCCGATACTGGTCAGGGTCAACACCATGCCGACTCGAGTACCTATCTTGCTGATGTCCTTGGTCAATGACGGCACGGTGCCGGCAAACAGACCCATGGCCGCGGCGGACGCAAGACCGTAGAACACTGCAAAGACATACAACTCAGCGACGCTGTGTACGGCAGCCCAGCAGTAAATCAAGATCCCGCAGAGGGCAACCCATGGGATGAGGCTGTTTAGTGGGCCGATCCATCGGTCAGCAAGATATCCGCAGGGAGCGCGAATCATCATGCCGGCTGCATTGATGATAATGATAAGGTTGACCCCGGCCGCCTGCGAGAGACCCAGCTCGTCGGTAGCGTAGACTTGGATCTGGAAGAAATCAGTCAAAATCGCCAACCAGTCCCGAAGTACGGAGCTTCTCACATAGAAAAAAGCAAAGTACAGCGTCCAATACAAGAGGAAGACCCCGAACGTGAAGAGCATGTAAGAGGTGTCCTTGAACGCGGTCCATTCGATCAATGGGCCGGACTTGCGGGGTGGAAGCCGAGTGCGCACAAGCAGATTGATCAGGATAACCATAACGAGGACGATCAACCCCATGCAGCGGACAGCCCACGGAAACCCTAAAGGTACAGCGTCAATACAACATGACGACCTTCGGATAAATGGAACCGACCTATCTTCGGGGTCAAATGCTGAATCACTGCAGGGAATATCATTCCACCCGTGCTGGTCCCCGTAGCCGCAGTGGTCACAGCGAATACTCGTTTCTTAGCGAAATATGTGGAAATCACCGTCACACTGGGCAACCACATTAGCCCCTGACCGATCCCGATGCATACGCCCTGTGCGAGAAAGAGTTGCCAGTATGTGGTCGCTAAGCTGGTCATAAACGTGCCCACAAGCATGAAGATCGACCCGGTCAGTATCATTGGCCGGGCAAAGCCAGCATCCGTGGCCCGTCCCGACAGGGTTGAAATGAACAAAAGGCTAAACACTTGAACGCCTCCGATCCAGGAGATATCGGATGCCGACTGAGGGAGTGTAGTTTCATAGTAACTCTGAAAGACACCAAAGCTCGAAACGTAACCCCAGGTAAGGGCTAAAATCAGATGTCCTGATGCCACTTGGGCCCATGCCTCAAAACCACCGTCAGGCGGCGGTGGTGATTGCAGGGGGATCTCGCTCAGTGGCAGCGCAGTATCTGTCGCTCCGTCTTCTTTGACCATCGTTGGGTAAATTCAATACAAGCTGCAGGTCCGTCTAGAGTCTAGACTATGTGGGAAGGATTCAGTCTGACGTTGAGGGGAACACTCCAGTAGGGTTTGATACAGCCTCCTCTGAGCATCCCCATGGTATTTTGAGCCAATGATCTCAATTTCAAAACACCGAGGGCAATCTCGAGGATCGGCCTGATTATCCCAATAGACTTTCGTCATGATCAGTTAATGCAACGACGCAATCGGTGGCCAACCAGCTTCAAGTGAACGGTGACACCTGGGGCACGTGATGGCCTTTGTTAATGGGCTGTCATCATGCTAGAATTCGTGTAGAGGAAGGCAAGGTCAACCAGAAAGAGCTTTGTTAATGTATGAACGTCTGTGCTGCATTATGTACAACTAGAAATAGGTGAATCGCAAGAAATCGTCAACGTCATGAGCAATCAACAACAGGGGGAATCTCTGTACAAATGAAGGTCTAGCCAGAATGACACGATGCAAGGCTGGATCTTGAAACAACATCTCGCTATGAGCGGGGAGGTGAATAATATATACTGTATAGCAACCCACGTTGGGTCGTTGAAAAGCACGTAAGCTAATCAGATGTATCCAAGGTTCCCGAGTATCGAGCGGCCCTCATTGACCGACATATTCGTCACCCCCAGAGATCGTACTAGCGCCCCCTTTCGAAGTCGCTGAAGCCCGATACCCACCTTCCAACCTTCGGTCTCTTCCAGGACGAAAAGGTACTTTCGACCCTCCTGGTCACGAATGCTGGCTCGTAATACATGGAGTCCCTGTATCTCAGACTGGGGCCCTGGCGACGCAAGGCGACATGTATTTTTGCACACCTTCAGTAGATTGACTAGGTATGCATCGGACTCCGCTGATGAAGGTCCTTCGTCCCGTCGACCAAAGAACGAACTCTGCTTGGGAGGGTTATGCTTCTGGGAGGCATACTGTGGGCACCACACCTCGACCAACTTCATCGTCCACGCCTTGACGTCCCATTCTCGCTGACCGACTCCCCGGATATCGTCGTCAATGAACAGTCCTTCGGTAGTGATACGCAGAACCAGTCCGTCCGTCACCATTCCCTGCCCAGAGACCAGCTGAGCCGCTGGATTTTTAATAAATGCATTATTGAACTGAAAGACGCCCTTGATAACAATCTTATCCGGGTCTTTAGTTTCATACCGTCCTCGATTTGACGGTGGAGGTGATGTTCGAGCTGTGGATTGTGAAGGAGCATAGGATGATTCAGAGTATGCTGACGAGCTTGACGTACCCCCATATGGCCGCCGAGGTCTGTCGTAAGGTCGAAAGGAGTATGCATCGTCTTGGTCGGCGGACATCGTGGTTCGTGCTCCGGACGGGGGCTTCTTCGGTGATGGACTTCGGGGAGGGACTGATGCGCTCCCTGATTTCTCCTTGGCAGCCTTCGCAGCGGTTTCTTTCGCTGCTGCTGCTTCCTTGGCCGCTGCCTCTTGGGCATCTTTGGCCTTCTTCTCGGCATACTTTTTTGCTGCCGCCTCCTTGAGTGCTGCAAACTTGGCATCAGCCTCCTTCTTTGCAGCCGCTTTTGCGGCCGCTTCCTTCTCTGCGGCTTCTTTCTCCTCCTTAGCTTTTGCTTCAGCGGCCTCCCTTTCAGCCTTCGCTCGGGCTTCCGCGGCATCGCGTTCGGCCTTTGCCCGAGCTTCAGCTGCTTCCTTCTCGGCGCGCTCTCGTGCCTCCTTGGCTGCTGCTTCTCTGGCAGCGGCCATCTCTTTCTCGAACTGCTCTCTCCGTTCACGCATTTCCTTCTCCATCGCCTCACGCTCCTGCTGTCGTTGTTTTTCTTGCCGCTCGGCTTCTCTCTTCCGCTTGAACTCTTCCATTTTCCGTCGAAGCTCCTCTTTCCGTCTCGCCTCTTCGCGTGCCTTTTCTTCTCGTTCTCTTTCTGCCCGGGCCTTCTCCTCCCGGGCCTTTTCCTCGCGAGCTCTCTCCTCGCGAGCTCTGTCCTCCCGGGCTTTTTCCTCCCGAGCCTTTTTCTCTCGGGCCCTTTCCTCTCGGGCCCTCTCCTCACGAGCCTTCTCTTCCCGAGCCTTCTCTTCCCGAGCCCTCTCTTCCCGAGCCCTCTCTTCCCGAGCTCGCTCCTCGCGAGCTTTCTCTTCGCGGGCCTTTTCTTCCGCTCGGGCCTTCTCTTCGGCCTTGGCCGAGTCGGGTTTATTGGGTCCTGGGCCAGCGTTAGGGGGAGGTGTCTGAGGCGGAGGGCCGGCACCATACTGATTTCCAGAGTACTGGCTCCCTGGCGGAGGTCCATAATTTCCGCCATAGTTCCCTCGCTCTCCACCAGCATTACCCGACCCTCTCGCATAGTCTCCTCCGGCACCGGCCTGGCCAGTACTGGCTCTGGCACTTCCCGGGCCAGCACCATCCCCAGCTCCCTTTCTTCCAAACCCTGAGCTCCCAAATCCAGCTTGATACACACCGAACCCCCATCCCGCAATGCCAACCCCGACCCCTACGAGACCAATACCCATCCCTCCGCCGCCGCCACCGCTACTCGCGGCAGCAGCTATGTACCACGTCTTGAGAATGGGCGATATAAAAGACCACACCAGGACAACGAACAAGGTGCATACCGAGCCCGCGACGAAGCTATTCCGCTGACATTGCAGCGACGGGAGATAGAGGAAGCCCGACCCGGACGAATGCGGCGGAATGATGAAGATATCGTAGTTCCCTTCGGGCAGGTCCGACGCTTTCCGGTATTCGTGGCCGTGGGTGGTGTTCGGTTTCTCGCCGTGAGGGGGAGGAGGGGGTGGGCCGTCCATGGTGAGGTGATTCGGTCAGTTTGGAAAACGGACTGGCTGTCTGGGATTGTCGGTCGTCTGCGGGCTCTCGGGGAATGATTCCCCTGCTGATTTTGCAATGGCCTATAGATGTGATGATAGTGTCTGGCGCGTGGACTGCGATATATACAGCATATTTTCAAGATGACATTAAATAGGCGCTGAGGTACCGGCTCTCAGCGCTGGCCTGGAGGAGATCGGATGTGAGTGATTGGGAGCGAAAGCGAACGAAACGAACGGTCTTCCCTGGAGCCATACCTAATCTCAATAATCCAAAGTATATACCCGCAAAAAGGAAAATACACAATAGGCCTAAGTGAAACCGATCAAATAAAATTAAACTCCCAGGGAAAAGGCCGTGAGGTGGGAAAGCGGGATGGGAAGTGAAAACAAAACAAGCGGCAAAGGGACAGCCGAGAGGGTGTGACGATTGACCCCCGGGTTGCGTTTAAAATGAGCAAAGCGGCCAGTCGCCGTCCGCTGAACCTTGCAGACAAACAGTCCCCAGGAACGGCAAGTGAATGGTCGGTCCGAAGAAGAAGTTATGTTGTGTAACGTCGTGTTCTTCTTCCACTGGATCCTACAGTATCTATGGGGAGGGGGGGGGGGGGGGTTTGAGCATGACAGAGAGGTGTTGTTGCTATTGTGATTGAGTTTGGTTTGTTTATCATAGTGTATCTGTGCTATAGGTGTGGGCACAGACTTGTATGTACTATACATACATCACAGCCTTGCCTTACATACAAAGAACATGGGTTGCGCTTAAGGTGTTCAATTGAATGAGATTGGCTATGAGTCTCATGCTTCATACTTCATGTCACCTCATTTAATTTTCCTTTGGCATTCCCAACATTCCAGCGGAATGCACCTAGATGCGATTCAGTTCCACCCTGAATCTGTTACCCGCCCGGAAATGTTTGGCTGAGACACCACGGTTCTTTTTCCGGGCCACTTTATTGGATATACGTCAAAATAAAGAGGAATGATTTTTGATTGATGATTTGATCACTCTGGTAGGTAGTAGGTACTTCTACTGGACAGCCATGATCGAGGTTGTTTGTCAAGTACTACGGTTGAGAATGAGAGCCAGTGTACATTTCGTTTTCCTCCATCGATACAACTACTAACACAACTCCACATTGTTTGTTTTGGTTTTGCTCCTTGGGTATTAGCGTGGGTGTGGCCCATGCGGGATGGTCATTGGCCAAGTGCGACCGCATTCTGTCGATCTCCTTAGGTAAGATCGTCGGAGGGAAAAATAATTCCCCGGGGTCTCGGTTGGGTTAGTTCCACCCGGAAGTAAAAATAGATGGTGAGGAACCATGTTCTTTTTTGCATTTGCTGTCAGGCTCGAAGCCTCGACCGATGAATAGAGTTTCATTTGCCACATGACTTCAAATGGATGAGGACAATTTCCACCCATAACTAAGTCCTATGAAAATCAAACGGTGCCCATAAAACAGAACCTATGAATTCATTTGCCCTCAATCTGCAGCAACTGTCATGAGTAAAGGCATCGCATTGTGACATATAATGGCGAAACTCATACACTCATTGCCACTATTATTAAGAATCTCTTGAACACATATAGCATAACGGTTGTCCGCAAACCATTTTTATGACCCGTGACGAGGCTGTACTGTTATGTGGACGCTATCTGGCGTAACCTTGAAGCTAGCTACTAGGGGAAGGTTTTGATATATATTCCATTCAATAGTTCAAGTTTACTGCGACACCAGGAAATATATTTCGCGACTGAATAGACCCATTAGGGGTTTCTGATGTAGACAATGTTACAGGAATATAAAATATATAAGAACGTTTGTATTTTCCATACACTTGTAGATGTGCGATACCGAACATACAAGGGTTGATAATAGTACATGTACAGGTTGTTGATGGTGGTGGGTGGTGCAAGAAAGGACATTGGTCGATGAATACTAGACAGCAGGGGGAGAGGATGGGCACCGCTATGAGGGAGAGGCCCAGGCATGTTTCTAATTGATGATACGCATGTGTTGAAACGGCTCGCCAGGAACTAGTGACAGGCTCATCAAGGAGGGGCACGCCTTTGGACACCTACGCGGACAGGGGCATTGTTCAATGTGATGGGTCCAAGAGATCCCATGTGGCAATTCACAGCAAACAGCTTACAGTCTACAGATGATAACAGGTTTAACGAAGAAATCATGATTCAAGTCTGTAGGATCAACTACATAACTTAAGTCTAAATTCATGAGAATTCCATATTTTTGTGCTCATAAAAGGTTCATAATTGCATCCCCGCACATATTAACCAGCTTATTTCTTGCCGGCCTTCTGGGCGGCCTTGGTAACCTTACCAGCGGCGCCAGTAGACTTCTCAACGGACTAATCAAAGGGGTTAGTTTTGTTTATTACGTGACAGGTGGGGGAAAAATTACCTTGATAACACCGACAGCAACAGTCTGGCGCATGTCACGGACAGCGAAACGACCGAGAGGGGGGAAGTCGGTGAAGGACTCAACACACATGGGCTTGGAGGGAATCATCTTGACGATGGCAGCATCACCAGACTTGATGAACTTGGGGGAGTTCTCAACAGATTTACCGGTACGGCGGTCAATCTTCTCAAGGAGCTCAGAGAACTTGCAAGCAATGTGAGCGGTGTGGCAATCGAGGACGGGAGCGTAACCAGCGCCGACCTGACCGGGGTGGTTGAGGACGATGACCTGGGCGTTGAAGGAAGCACAGCCCATGGGGGGGTCGTTCTTGGAGTCACCGGCAACGTTACCACGGCGGACTTCCTTGACGGAGACGTTCTTGACGTTGAAACCAACGTTGTCACCGGGGTTACCGGCCTGGAGCTGCTGGTGGTGCATTTCAACGGACTTGACTTCAGTGGTCACGTTGGCAGGAGCGAAAGTAACGACCATACCGGGCTTGATGACACCAGTCTCGACACGACCGACGGGCACAGTACCGATACCAGAGATCTTGTAGACATCCTGGAGGGGAAGACGGAGGGGCTTGTCGGTGGGACGGACCGGGGGCTCAATGGCATCGATGGCCTCGAGCAGGGTCTTACCGGTGGACTTGCCGGCCTTGGTCTCCTTCTCCCAACCCTTGTACCAGGGGCAGTTGGAGGAAACCTCGATCATGTTGTCACCGTTGAAACCGGAGATGGGGACGAAAGGAACACCCTTGGGGTTGTAGCCGACCTTCTTGATGAAGTTGGAGGTCTCCTTAACGATTTCGTTGTAACGGTCCTGGGACCAGCCGTTGGTGTCCATCTTGTTGAGGGCAACAATGAGCTGACGGACACCGAGGGTGAAAGCAAGCAGAGCGTGCTCACGGGTCTGGCCATCCTTGGAGATACCAGCCTCGAATTCACCAGGGCCGGAGGCAATGATGAGGATGGCGCAATCAGCCTGGGAAGTACCAGTGATCATGTTCTTGATGAAGTCACGGTGACCGGGGGCATCTATTGAGCTTTGTTAGATAGCTGCGGATGGTGGATAGGGGAGGTTATAACTCGATGCTTACCAATGACGGTGACCTCATACTTGGAGGTCTGGAACTTCCAGAGGGCAATATCGATGGTGATACCACGCTCACGCTCAGACTTGAGTTTGTCAAGAACCCAGGCGTACTTGAAGGAACCCTTACCGAGCTCAGCGGCTTCCTTCTCGAACTTCTCGATGGTACGCTGGTCAATACCACCACACTTGTAGATCAGGTGACCAGTGGTGGTGGACTTGCCGGAATCGACGTGGCCGATAACGACGATGTTGATGTGCTGCTTGTCTTCCTTACTGTGGCGAGAGGACACTCGTTAGTCATGCTCTGAGATGCCATTGTACTCGCATGTATCAACGACTTACCCCATTGTGAAGGTGTTTGAACTTTGTAGTTCTTTGTAAGATACTAGAAAGGTTCTTTAAAAAAGCTTGCTCAGATACTACGGCTGATCGCGTAGAGGTACTGAGCAAAACAGATGTCAGTAAGGAAACAGTTGAATGGAAGCAAGAAGGGAAGGAAAGGAGAGAAGGTAGGGGCGAAAGATATACGTACTGATGCGGACGAAGAGAGAAAGAGAGAAAAAGTTGTGGGAGGGGAAGGAGGGGGAATCCTTATATGGAGGGGCAAGCGAGAAGGCGAATTAGTGGGCGGCTTAAGCCCTCGACCGCCGCCCTTATCATTGGATATGGAGGGGTAATGCCCCACCACGCATGTGCGGGACCGACGCAGAATCTGCACGGCGGAGTCTCTTCCAGACTGTCGACTTTTGGGCGTTGACTCTTGTTGCTGCGGCCTTTTGGGTACACCAACCTCGTTGATCTTGCGTTTCCTTGGTTCCCTTTCGCTCGGAGACCCGACCATGACCCCACCACCGGTCACTATCCTGCCTCGCCGATAAAAAATTTTCTCTTGCCTCTGGTTGTTATGTGGATTTTAGACAGACAAACTGGGCATCAACGCAGTGGTGGGCTGCTTTGTTCGCCGCGTGTTGTACATGTTTGCATCTGAACCCCGCGGTCGTCCGATTCCTCAATTGGTCCTCTCCCGGTCAACATACAAGCAGCTGTGGCCCGGCCGAGTGGCGCCTATCTGATCCACAGTGGGCATCTATTTTTTTTTTTTTTTTCCCTCTCTCATCTCACGATGCATATGCTCTTAGGAGGCAAGAGGCAAGATTGACAGACTAATCATACCTGAAAATTTTTTATTCTATTCTATTTCAAAATTTTTTTTTTCCCCTCTTGTTTTTCACATATGATCGCTCCTGTGTGTGCCCCTCATTTAGATTAATCCCTTACTGTCTCGGACTTTTCATTAGTTTCCTTAGGTAAGACCAGTCGTTGCCCCTCCTGAGCGGTGACAATCAACTAGCTGTAGATGAAAAATTTTCATATGGACAAGGAGCTAAGAATAAAAAAAAAACTTAATAATAACCATTAAAAAATTTCTTGTTCGAGAGCAGGTCCCGTGTTTGGTAACAACGCACAAGCTTACCATGGATGAAGACGTTCCTCCAATCCTAAACGGGCGATTACCTGCCGCCGCTAAGAGAAAATTTTGTCTGTTGATCTGCCATAGCTACGTATCCGCATGTAGTAGTAGGTTGATCTCATAGTCATCATAGTAGCCATTGAGGGGTATCGCTAAGCTAGTAAACCACCATACTCCTGGAAATCATTCACAACCGCCATCTAGAGTTGTAACCAAAAACATAACAACACCGCTTTTTAACTTTTCCCACCAGTCTAAATCACTTTTTACCATACGAATATGGAATAGGACATTTCCCGTTCTTGAACGCCGGAAAATGAAGCTTCAGTTTTCTCTCCATCGGGCACCGCAGCTGGTACACTGTTGACCACCGAGTCAGTATGCGCGCTATATGCAAGTCGTCCGCATGAACTAGGGAAGCCACCCACCTTCAAGAATGTAGTCATAGGTTCATCTGCACTTCGAATCTGCAGCTGGAAGAAATATGCACGGTCGCCATTGCAGTTCTCTGCGGGGCACTGGGCTGTAGGGGAAAAAGAGAGAAAGCATATTGTTAGCCTCAACCACGTCACTCTCGAGGACTGACATCACTTACTAGCCATGCTATCGGCATTCGCAAATTCTTCCTTCCCGCCAAAGACATCCTCCACTTCTTTCTGCTTCATCTCTGTTTTCTCGAAATAACTCTGTTCCAGAACATATTGATAGGGGCAGCTCCGGCACTCGAATCGATTGACCCCCAGAGGGTGTCTTGGAGTTGGGTCCGCGCGGGAGATCGTTAGTGCATTACTGCAGTTGGGACAGACTGCAAAGAAAGCACCCCCAGGTTAGCTATGTGCTGTAATAGACATGGCAGTCTGAGGGGGCGGAGGGGTGAACTAACAGGTCAAGGGCATGTTGAACAGCTCTCGCTGGATACTCAAATGTCAATAGTCGGAGGAGAGCTACTTTCAGTCAATCAAGATGTAGCGGTTCTTCTCTATTACGTAGGCTTCAATCGCAGCACTTCGAATAAGCTGTCACTACTGCCACAGTTCCGCAGCAAGGGCTCATGCACATTGTAGACCCTTATCGGACAAAACTTGTCGTTGGCGGAGAGAAATCTCCCTCACCGCCTTTGGACCTCTCGTAGTTTGGTTTGCGGCTCTGTTGCAGGAATTACTAGTACTAGTAGTAGTATACCAAGTAGCCTGAGGTACGCGCCAATTGGGACGCGGGGCAAACCGAGTACGCGGACCGGCACATCGATAATCCGAGCTATCGCAGCGGGAGACATGCAATTACCCCGTAGCGCGGCGGGGGAGTCTGTCAGGAGAATTGATATACGAACAAAGCCAAAGACCTTCTGGTAAGTAGCCCCCGATGGCTCTCTAGTGAGTTTGAACGCTGAGGAGCGATATAGAAGTTCTCCCAATTGCTGTTTCCCCGTATGCTTACTATACCTTTCCAGCTCTTAGTTTCCGGGATCTCCGTGTTCGCATACACCGCTTCCTATTACCTCCGCGGTTGACTTAGCGCACTATTGTCATAACATTCTTAGCTACTGTCTCCATCACATTCACTGTTATTCGAGCCACAAGTTGAACCGGCTACAGATCTGTTTGCTTTACTAGGAATACCTCTCATTTAGGAAACTATGGCGGACGAAGTACGTTTCTTTTGTTGACTATACAGAAATCAGGTCGGCTGCTTATCCATTGATCGAGTAGGGTGCCTCTCCTCGTGAGCTGGTTGTTGAGGCTTGTCGTCGAGACCAGCCTCATTTGATTGAACAAGTCCTAGATGGTATGGAAGGGAAATCGAACGAAGAAGTGGCCGAGTTCTTGAACGGCGTTACAGACTCAATGGGGAACCACGCTCTTCATATCTGTGCTTCATATGGCAGCTGTAAGTCGGACGGATGACGGACGGCCCCCAGCGGCCACGCTTGGGATCTTGAAATAACCAATCAAGGAATTCATTCTAATCGTACCTTACGACAGATGACACGATGGACTCTCTCTTCGATATCCAATACTTTGAATGCGACCCTCTCACCCGTCTCGACAAAGATACCCCCCTCCACACTGCTGTACGCTACGCCAATGAGAAGGGAGAGCCCGAACTCGCTCTGGAGATGATCAAGATGATGTGCGAAGCTGGCTGTGACCCTCGTGTCAGGAACAAGCATGGCCAAAAGCCCGCGGACCTTGTTTACAACAATCCGGAGATTAAGTCTACCCTCCAGCAGACCGAATACGTTCTTGCAGAGGGTCTAAGAGATGACGCGGGCAATGGGTCTGTTCATGACAGCGCAAGCGATAGCGAGTAAGGAATAGAAGGTCACCTATGGGGCGACGTTGCCTTCTTCCCTTCATAGACGCACGACTGTGATGATATGCTACTTTTTACTTTCACCTATGGTTCAATAGACTGGTCAAATAATATATGCCACAGGCTTTGTACAGAGCGGAACCCGACACCCGGATCCTGGTCATATAATGACTTTTCCTGTCCTTCTGTACCCGAGGGGCTGACGTTGCCTTCGAGGATAAACTACTATAGAAGTGAACACATACTGATTAGACTTTCGGGATTAACACATTGGCTGCTACAAGTTTATATTAGCTCACCGAGATCTCAGGCTTTGATAACCATGTACGGTCGGTGATAGTGCTAGTTAGTCTCGAGCTTCCACAAAAAAAATGCGCTCTTTCATGCTAGCGCTTACGAGGCCGATGCGTCAGTTGAGCTGCCTAGATCCCTCGGAAGGTTGAAGCCCCGAAGCCCGAACAACATCAGGCACATCCATGACAACTAACACGCAATGTTTCATTATAAAGCGTGATAGTCACCGCCGGGGGAAGATGTGACTTTTTTGTGCTTCCGGAGTATCTGTGCAGCTGCTGAGCCTTGCCTTGGGATCTGCCTCGCGCAGTCACAATCTTGCCTACTATCATTGACTTGCAGCTTGAGAACGAAAGCCGCAGTAAACATGGTGACAGCAGAGCGTCGGGACATTGTTGTTCTCGGTGGCTCCTACGCAGGCGTGTCTGCGGCCCACTACCTTCTAAAACACGTGGTACCCAAGTTACCAGATCCAGAAGGATATCAGGTCACTTTGATTAGCGCATCCTCGCACGCCTTGTGCAGATCTGCTTGCCCCCGTGCGCTGATCTCGGACCAGTTCTTTGACCAGGAGAAGCTTTTCGTCAATATCTTTAAAGTATTCGAGCAGTATCAAGACGATCGGATTCGCAACTTTCGCTTCATCCATGGCACTGTAACCCAGCTAGATCATACCGGCCGGAATGTTACCGTGAATTTCACCGCGAAAGACACTACAGACACGATTGATTTCCATGCGCTTGTGGTCGCGACTGGCGCATCAACACCTTCTCCCCTTCTTGGTCTGAATCGCGACGTCGGGGACTTACGGGCAAATTGGACCGCGTTCCGTGCAGCCCTGCCAACAGCCAAGAGTATCCTCATCTCTGGCGGCGGTCAGCCGGAGTCGAGACAGCCGGTGAACTTGGCGAGTATTTGAATGGCCGCGCTTGGTGGTTTCGCTCCAAGTTGGTAAACCCTACGGTGCCGATCACTGTCGTCACTTCTGGGCCCCAGATCCTCCCACTCTTGCGTCCTAGCCTCGCCAGCCTGGCAGAGCAGTACCTTGCCCAAGTCGGAGTGACCGTCATTAAGAGCGCGCGAGTCCAAAATGTGGCAACTAGTGCTGACAGCAAGGATCCCTTGACCGCTAAGACGACCGTGACCCTTGAGGATGGACAAACTCTTGGAGCCGACCTGTACATTCCCGCAACTGGCACTCGAGCGAACGCTAGTTTCATTGGCCGACCTCTCCTGACACCTGATGGCCGCATTGACACCAATCCCTCGACTCTACGGGTTGATAAAGCCGGACCCCGCGTCTACGCGATTGGTGATGTTTCGTCATGGGCACGACCAACTGTTCACTTCATCGTTGAAGCTATTCCGGTCCTCTGCGCAAATATGAAGCGCGACTTACTCCTTGCCGCTGGCGAGGATGAGAGCTCGGTGGGTGAGGATCGTTTGTTCAAGGAAGACACCCGCGAGACCCAAGTGGTTCCGATCGGCCAGAGCAAAGGTGTCGGGGCGGCTATGGGGTATCGATTGCCGAGTTTCCTGGTGTGGTTAATGAAGGGACGAGATTACTGGTTGTGGACAACTGAGAAACTGTGGAGTGGGAGGCAGTGGAGTAAAGAGCTGTGATGGCGAAGCCTTTCCTCAGTTCGTAGCGCATAAGTCCATTTAGTACACGTAATCGTATGGTATAATGCTTTAGCTCCACCACTATCATTTGGATACTCCTTAACGCCTATACGATATGAGCACTGGGTTGCGCTATCTCACAGAGCTCCTCAATGGATCTAAGAACATACCTTTCAGAAAACTATCTCAGCGAGCTATGACATCCACGGAAACTCGTCCATTTCGGTCCAACAGCCTTCTCGACCTCCGTTGCAGTTCTCCCCATTAGTCCTTTCCACAACTCGGACGTCCCAGCCGGAACGAGTTCCTCCACCTCCAGCGCGATCAAAGCACTAAAGACCCAATCCTGGCATCTTCTCACGCCATCCTTCGGGGCCGTCTCATCTCTGATCACGCTGATCGCTTGCAGGCGCTGTGAGCCACCCAGCTCTGCAATCTTGGCCAATCCGATCGCATCCACCAGAATGAGGTCCGAGTCCGAGCGATGTTCGAATTCGTACCACAGACGCCCTAAATCAATGGGCCGGACGTGCAGCAGATCACCGACGATGTGTGCCGGCTGGTGGATTGCGAATGCCCAGTGAGATCGATGCTTGGGGTCTTTGCCTTCGCCGCTGATTACCAGGGAGAGGTAGTATGACATGGTTTGTTGCTTGATCTTGCAACGACGACTTGAGGTGGTAGGAGATTGTGGGATGCCGTGTCCTCCCCCCCGCATTTCGCCGGCTTTACTTCGGCAAATACGACCTTCCTGTCAATTAGGGCTCGCTTTCGACCATTGAGCTCGTCTCGATCGAACTGGTGTGTATGCACCCTGCAGATCTCCTCCACATTGGTCCACCCCGCATGCTTGCTTTCCTCAATCTCTTGATGCCGATCAACCTCCCCATACTCGTTCTCGGTTCAACCTCAGCCGAAAGGAAGGATGTGACTTCATTGCTAGCCCGTTGATTTTATCCGACTGAGTCGTACCTCAGCGCTGCCGCATGGGTGGGCCCATATGGAACGAAACGTGTTTAATGCCCAACAGCTTTTGAACGGTTATGAAATGTCCCTAGGATACAGAGCACTGCGGAGAAAAGAGATAATGGTGGTGTTTACAGCCCTACTTTGCATCTCTTGTATGGAATATCCACGGCTCAACGGCCTGTTCTTATAGAATGTTTCCTTTCCCTGACTGTCAGGCATACAAGATCCCGCTATAACCGTGAAGGTGGACTGGAAAGAGAGACTACACGGGAAGTGACTCCGGTAGTTTGAGCCCTAGACGAATGTCACCCCGCAATCCGAGTGTGGAGGAATACCGGATTATCCGACGATGTCATACGTCTAGTTCGAAATTCCCTCGGTGATCTGCACCTATTTAAGCTGTGTGGTGCCGGAGCGCTACATCCGCACTCCACGGTGGAAACGCTCACACGCTTAGCATCATGGCCATATCTAGGAATTGGCTGGTGACGGGATGCATTGCCCTAGATTGGGTCAGCACAGGCTTCGCGAGTCCTCACATCTTTGCCTCTTCCCAACTGACTTACTCTTCATTCACATACACCCAAGTAACCTCAGATGCTTATGCCACGCCGCTATCGACGTCTGTATCTTTTCCAACATCCATCGGGCCACCATTCAGCAAGGCATCTACTCTGCTGCCTAGCGACCTTACCTATACTACGTACACACACGACCCTTCCGCAACGATCACTCCGGACGGCCAGTATGGTCAGAGTGCGTATGCCAATCTGTGGCAGAACTATTCGTTTGTGAGCTCCCCGCCATTTACCACCACAGCGTCTGCCACCCCGGTTGCGAAAGCGGAGCTGGTGCTCCCCCCTGCGTTGTACAATGCGCCTCCGGATACAGACTTGAAACTACCAGCAGATTTCATCTGGGGTGTCTCCAGCAGTTCTTGGCAGATCGAGGGCGGTCTTCAAGTGGAAGGCCGTGGTCCCAGTGTCCTAGACAGTATCGGCAATGTGTTGTCCCCGGCAGCCGCTGATAGGAGCGACGCCAACGTAGCGAACATGCACTACTTCATGTACGAGCAAGACATCGCTAGACTAGCAGCCGCCGGAATACCATACTACTCGTTCTCGCTGTCTTGGCCGCGGATAGTACCCTTCGGTGTGGCTGGTTCGCCCGTCAACACCCAAGGCTTAGACCACTACGACGATCTCATCAACACCTGTCTCAAGTACGGTGTGACGCCGATGGTCACTTTAAACCACGTCGACGCGCCTACCTCCGTCCAGGCCGACCTAGACTCCCTGCCCGAGCATTTCCTCTACTACGCCAAAATCGTCATGACCAGATACGCGGACCGAGTCCCGTACTGGGTGACGTTCAATGAACCCAACATCGGCGTGGGCACATTATTCCAGAAGTACCAAGACTTGACAAAGGCACTCATCGCCCATGCAGACGTGTACGACTGGTACAAGAACACACTGGGCGGCAAAGGCAAGATCACGATGAAATTTGCCAACAACCTGGCCATGCCCCTGGACACACAAAACTCCTCGCACATTGCCGCAGCTTCCCGATACCAAGATATCCTGCTGGGGATAATGTCGAATCCACTGTTCTTAGGAAAACAGTACCCAGACGCAGCCATAAACACAGTGGATATGATGGAACCGCTCACAGACGACCAAATCAAGCACATCCACGGCAAGATCGACTTCTGGTCCTTCGACCCCTACACAGCGCAGTACGCATCCCCCCTGCCACAGGGAACGGAGGCATGCGCTTCCAACTCCTCCGACCCCCTCTGGCCCACCTGCGTCACACTGAGCAACGTCCAAGCCAACGGGTGGCTCATGGGGCAGGCGTCGAACGCCTACGCGTACCTTGCGCCGCAGTATGTCCGCCAGCAACTCGGCTATATCTGGAATACGTTCCGCCCGTCGGGGATTCTGATCGCGGAATACGGGTTCAACCCGTTCCTTGAGTCGAACAGAACTCATGATGCGCAGCGGTATGACCTGGAGCGGACGCTGTACTATCATGATTTCCTTACGGAGACATTGAAGGCTATCCATGAGGATAATGTGAATGTTATAGGAGCGTTGGCGTGGAGTATAGCTGATAACAATGAGTTTGGGAGCTATGGGGAGCAGTATGGGCTGCAGACTGTTAATCGGACGGATGGGAAGTTCACGAGGACGTATAAGCGGAGTCTGTTTGATTATGTCGCTTTCTTCCATCGGCATGTCCAGTCTGCGTGAGTTAGGGCAAGTGTTAGTAACAGTGGGTGATTTGGGACGAGTTCGCTGTTTCAAGATCACCCTATATTCGCATTCTGTTATAGTTCTGCTTCCCATGGCACATTTTCAATTGACACTACCCTATTGTCTATACTAGAACGTTGGTAGGTCCATGCCCCATGAGACGGGCGTGTGTTCATCTTCACATAGCGTTCATGTCCGATCTTGCGGAACAAGCGAATATACTACTAGTAGAATCACAGGCGAGTATAACAGGAAAAGCCAGAGCAAGTAACACAACTAAGTTCATCTGGCCTTGTTATCGTGGCGACGGTACCACGGTTCAATGAGTACAGGAACGGTTTGCTGGATGGTCGTAGATATTCTCTACCAAGATCAAAACCTGGCAGTCTTCTCTTTTGCAGGTCATAAACGTCAAAGATCGGTCCACAGAGGAGAGAATGACAAATTACAAATGAGCGGACAATAATTGACGGCGCCCCTTGCATGACATGAATGCGGACCCCACGACGCCTCGGACACATCAAAACCCAAGTATATAAATGATCTAAATTCCTCTGTCCGCTGGTTTACATGCTTCTTACATGCTATCACCATGTGGGAGTATTACTCTGGGAAGGTTTTGTTCGTCACAGGCGCCTCGGGCTTTCTGGGAACGGCCCTGGCGTACCGCATAATCTCACAAGCGCCTGTGGCTCATCTCTACTTGCTCTGCAGGGGTGGTCTGCCGTACGTATGATTGCAAGTAGAAAAGTACCGGACGCAAGCTGACATAAATTAGGCGTCTGGAGGAAGTATGGCGTCAATACCTACCCCCCAAGTATATCGAGTGCCTCTATGATACCGACCTTGTCACCGTTATCACAGGCGATATCCTCGAACCCAACCTTGGTATCGACGTAGAACATCTGCAGGCATTACAAGAACGCGTCAATATCGTTGTCCATGCGGCGTCCTCAATCAAGCTCATGTGCTCGCTGGAGAAGCTAGCGAAGCCAGTCATCCACGGGAGCGAGAATGTCGCCCAGTTTGCCTTCCAGTGCCAACGACTCGATCGCTTCGTGTATGTTTCAACGGCATATGTCAACGCCTTCCTGTACCAGGAATCGGATGACACCGACCCCTACGTGGAGGAGACCATCTACCCACTCGGTCGCGGACGGGTATCCGATGTCCGGGACGAATGGAAGCAAGTCCAACGAGAAGGCGACTCGCTGGAATACAACGCGCACAATTTCCCATGGCCGTACGCTACGCCAAACATCTCACGGAGCGACTGATTCTCAACCGATTCAGCGCCGCCGGCCGAGCAGACCAGCTTCTCATTCTCCGGCCCTCGGTGATCGCGCCCGCCCAGACCTTCCCCTACCAGGGGTTCAGCGTACTGAAATCCACGCCAACGACCATATTAGCGGCGTGTTTCATTCTGACTCCCACCTTAGTCGCGCGTTTGACAAGCCGCGCAAACGACCCGGAAACAGAGTCAACGATCGACGAGGTTCCCGTCGATGTCGTCGTGGATCGGCTGCTGGTTCACCTCGCGAAGGGAACAACCGGACCTGTTCATGCTGTGGGTGGCGTAAAAGCGCGCTACACATTCCAAGCTTTCTGGGCGCAAGCCATGGCACTGCGGAAGTTTCCTTGGCCGCTTCGGAGGCAGTGGCTGGATGTGGATTGGCGGTCGAGCGTGTTGCACCCGATCGCTCGGGTGTATGTCATCTATGCGGCTTCGTATAGATTCTCCCAAGCGAAGACGGTTGAACTGTGGAAGAGCTTGAGTGAGAAGGAGAGGTCGGAACTGCAAATTTTCACCTCAGCGTCCGGGAACAAAGTGGACCTCGCCGCCAGGGCAGAACAGATCCGGTTCGTTGCGGAGCAGTTCGCTGCTAAGGGGCTTCTTAGTTGGATCTTGTTTTGGTTGTTTTATACCTCGGGATTCTTCTAGGCGTGGTACGCTTATGTTTCGGGAGATGTAGATAGTTGCCTCACATTGGGCATGGTTGGAAGCAGACAACACCAGTCAACTGTGGCACAGAATATATTGATCGAAGCACATGAAAACAGCCTTCCATCAGATACGCCGTATGATAGCAATTAACTGAAGTCGAGACTAATGACTCGTAGAACTCACCTATCATTCTGCCTATAGGTCATATTTCATGAACCAACTCCGCAAACCGCGCATCGGTTTCACAGCAAGATCTAAGCGAAGACCCTTCAAACACCAGTGTCGACGGAGGCTGTGAGAAACAGTTCGATGTAACATTAAGGGAGTTCGCGCGGTGGAGTTCCTAACGGCCCCTGACATCGTAGCCGAGTTGATCGGCACATCTGCCAAATCATAGCGACGCTAATCTGGAACCCGGAGGGATTGCTTGTTTCACCTTGATTACCGGCAGGAACAGGGTTGCAATGGCATTTGGTCGGGATTATCAATCGTAACTTGTTGGGGTAGTGTAGGCGATGGTACAGTATCTTGCATGATCTGGGTGATTGTAACGATAGGGATGGGGATGTTGACGTATAAATAGGGTTTGTTGGACGGGTCTGTCTGTAGTTGAAGAGGAATGTTCGCAGAGCTGATTGACTATTCACACCTCACTTCCTGACGTTTTTTCTGTTTTACTTTTGAACTTTCTCTGATCGCTGGTCGATTATACATTCCTTGTAACTGTGTGTCTCCTGGATGGTGGTGATCGGAAAGCGTGAAGGACAACATACTGACGCATTGCCCTATTTATCGATAGTAACCAACTTAATACCACACCATCAAACACCGCCAGCATGAAGTCCATCTCCGCCCTAGCAGCTATCATCCCTCTTCTCCCCGGGACTGAAGCCCTTGTCGGTCTCGATTGGAGCGCCTCCAACATCCCCTCGACAGGCCTGAAGGACATCACCTTCCCCATGTCCATTGCCAACGCCCCACGCGAAGAAGGCTATTACTTCGCCCAGCAATTCAGCTTCAACGGCGTTTCCGATGTCGGCTACACAGGTCTCCAACCTCGTCCCGACGCCAACGGCGCAAGCATCGTCCACGCCGTCTTCTCAAGCTTCATCCCCGGCAGCACCAGCAACGACGAAAACTGCAGCGATGGCGCTGACGGTGGTGCGGGCGTTAGCTGTGCTGTCGAGATCCCGGCGCCCTACGCTCCCATGTATAACCTTGTTATCAGAAACACTGAGGGAACAACCTGGACCGGAACACTAGTGGACACCGTCAGCAACAGCGAGACGCATATCGGAGAGTACACACTTCCCTCTGGAACGGGAGGCATTAAGGAGTCCCAGGTTGGGTTCGTCGAGTATTATCCTTGGAACGCCGCTCCTGAACATACCTGTGGCTCGTTGCCGTATACGAATGCTACTTTCTTGAACCCTACCTCCACCGAGTCTGGTGTCCAGGCTACTGTGGGGAGGCCGTATGAGTACGGTGACTGTGAGGGACAGGTTCAGTTCGATGTGCAGGAGATTGAGGGTGGGTTTGAGGTCTCCGTTGGGTTTTAGATCTGGATTTGTGTTGGTGGTTTAGGGTGTATTTGTTAGTTGGTGTCTTGCTTGGGTAGGGAATGAGGTGTCTTGCCTTCCATAAGTTAGTCATGATCCTTTTAATCCAGTATCTTTGATGGAAATGCTTTACTACTATAGTTATCGCCTCATTGGGGTATTAGAAACTCACCTGTTTTGATTCAGAGTACAACTCAACCACACCCAACATACCCCAGTAGTGTCCCGCAGCGTAGTGATGTTGATTTGATCCCAATAATATCTATCGTCAGTGATGTATCTGCGAAGGACATATAAACCAGGATACTACTTACAAAGAACAAGAAGATTTAATCGTATATATCCCAGGCCCGTCCCTACCACCCATCCAAGGCCGGGAGTCGTTGTAGTTGATAGCTAGATTAGTAGAAATAACCCAGGCCCTTCCCAACCTCCCATCCGAAGCCTGGGTCTATATGGGACATAGATGTTTTGTTGAAATTGTTATTATTATTGTTGTAGTTGTCGTTGTAGTTGGTAACTTGGTTAGTATATCCCAGGCCCTTCCCATCCTGCCCAGCCGAGGCCCGGGGATATCTGGAAAGTTGATACATACCTATTTTGTCCCTGGCCCATCCCTACCACCCACCGAGCCAGGATTGAAGTCAGTAGCTGAAGTTAGTAGTGATAGCCCAGGCCCTTCCCAACCACCCATCCGAGGCCTGGGTTATATGAGGACATACTTACCTGATTGTTTCCCAAGCCCGTCCCAACCTCCCTTCCATGGGCTGGGTTATGTAGGAGGAGAGACTTACCTGATAGTGTAGAAGAAGCTGTGTTTGACCCTGGCCCATCCCAACCACCCATCCAAGGCCAGGATGATAGTCAGTAAACCAAGTCAGTAGGGATGGGTATACTTACCTGAGCCAGCGAAGATATGTTTACGTGGGTCTACGAATACCTACGTGAATCTACGAATTGTCCAGAGAGCGCAATCAACGACAGCCACCGTTAGCCCAACGTTCTATCTCGCTTGGCAAGAATATACCCCGTCAGATGAATAGAAGGACGCTAGAGACCAGCTCTAGTATATGTTCCTCAGTGACGATCCCGACTGCAGCTGTACCAGTGAGGCGAGGTTCGGGTCATCTCCACTGCATCGGCTATATCGTGGATCCAGATAACGATCTATCACGCTTGGAAGGAGTGTAGTAGCCAAGTGATAACCAGTTATCCTCGAGTGGGCCCAGATAATGACTATCGTCTGAATATCTTGGAGGAGGAGGAGGAGGAGGAGGAGGAGGAGGGGAAAGAGGAGGAGAAAGAGGGTATCCAGACGATAGTCAATTCTCTCTGAATGGGCCCAGATAATGATCGATCACCTAAGAGGAGTGTAGTAGCCAGGTGATCGTCAATTATCCTCGAGTGGACCCAGATAATGATCTACCACCTTGGACAAGGATGGAGGGTATCCAAGGCGATAGTAAATTATCTCGAATCATGTCAGATGATGACTGTTCGGCATAGCCAATGAGGAGATGTCGTAAGGCAAGGCTAAACGTGGAAAGATATCATCCAACACCTCGCTTCTCTGGATCAAGCGCAGTGAGCTGTCGTAGTAGGAACAAATGGTCGAGCCTATCCTTAGGTCCTTCATCCATTGACCTGAGGTATAGACTTGCCTCGCTCGATGAACGTCAGGCGATTGGTGACTGTCAGATGATTAGCGATTCCCTGGACAATACCTACGAACTACAAGTCGAAGTCGAAGTCAAGAGTTGGGTTGTTGTATCTATGTTAGCAGTAATAGCCCAGGCCCATCCCAACCACCCATCCGAGGCCTGGATTGTTTGGGAAGATACTTACCTAATTGTGTCCCAGGCCCATCCCTACCACCCATCCAAGGCCGGGAGTTGTTGTTATAGTTGGGAGCTAGGTTAGTAGTATAGCCCAGGCCCTTCCCAACCTACCCAGCCGAGGCCCAGGTCGTTTGAATTGGGACTTACCTCAATTTGTATCCCAGGCCCGTCCCTACCACCCTCCAAGGCCGGGATTGGTTGGTGTAATTGTATCTATGTTAGTAGTAACAGCCCAGGCCCTTCCCATCCTGCCCAGCCGAGGCCTGGGTTAATAGGGAGATACTTACCTGCTTTTGTGAAGATAGTGTGCTTTTCCCTGGCCCGTCCCTGCCACCCATCCAAGACCAGGTCGATAGCCGCGATGGTCGAGATGATTGACCCAGTCAAATTCCAGGTCCGTCCTATCCACCCGTCTAAGGCCAGGTTGTCATCGATGATGGTGATGTTTGTTGTACGCACTGAGCTGCCTGTTGTGTTGTTGGCTGCCCACCCACCTCTGCCCAAGGTGCTGCCACGGTAAGTGTCGCTTGTTTGGCAACGCCCGTGGTATCCTGAGACCCGCGTTAGTCAACTGTACGAAACGAAGGAGACACTGACCTCAGTAGATTGGTTAAAGTCCCTTGATGCATTGATGGAGACACGTTGTGTGACGCATGTTGAGGAAGAAGAAGAAGCAGGCCGGGAGACTCTGTGTCGAGGGGGGCGAATGGAAGAAGGAAGGAACCTGCCGGAAAGGGAAGGAAGGAGGATGACTTCAGAATGGGAAGTTTAGGCGTGTATTTCGTCAGTATTATCCAATTTTGATGGCTTTCGTCCCCGTGTAGCTTCTCAGCGAGAAGCTACACCCTTTGGTGATGATCTTTTGTGATGCAATGGGGTTTTCGACTCTTAGACGTACTGCGTGCAATACTTAGAAGGACACTGATACAAGGATGGTACTATACAGTAAAGAGTAGGCTTACTGATCAACGACAGCCCAGGGTAGCTACTGGTAAGATATGATATAGTCATGATGATCTAAGTCCCCAGTTACAATAGAATTTTGACTCTTTCATGGGGATCCTACGTGTTACGCTGCCTAGTCCTACAAGGGATCTACACGATAGATAACGATCTACGGTGCGCTGGTATGCATTATATATAGTGTAAGGGATAGTATTATGAACGAATTCTTCACCCTTTGCACAAGTTATTGCTCACATAAATCTATTCAACGAGTCAGTGACGCCTTTGACTAAGAGTTCTTGAGTATATATGACAAGATGAAACTCCTACGCTTTTGTCCGGTGATACCCTGACAGATAGTAGAGGCTACTGGACTATATTCTAAATCTATACTTCTCTTCTACGTTTGAGCCACTAGCTCGGATCCTAGCCCCTGCGGCTTCTTTCCGACTTGCTGGGTCACTAAACCCATTTTCGTCATGAAGCTCATAGGGCTACTAGTAAGTAAGCCCCCGCATTAACTCGTCTTCAAGGAGGGAAGGAGCTCCCAGCATCGTGGTTGCTGGGTTTATGATCAACGCAGCAGCTGCTACGCTTGGTACCTCATAACTAGGACAACTAGTAGTTTTAGTACAAATATGCCGGCCTAATTCTTGCTGGATGGGTCGATCTGTCTAATATCTGGAGAACCATGGTTCCAGTGCCCGACAATTGTGGAGGACGGAGTATGAGTGACTGACAATACTACATGAGAAATTGAATTTCCAGATTGCATACATATCTAGTACATATACCCTCACATGTATCCGACTCCTAAACAATTCTATGGACGTCACTGAGCGTTCGTTGACGGCGACATCGCCATTTGTATCGGAAAGTCCGAAGTCAAGAACCCCGGGCCTCGGCTGGACCGGCGGAATCCGTCGAGATCATTGATTGATATGATTGTAATTAAACTAGGTTAAATGAACACTTCTCCTTAAACGGAAAGGCCACCTAAATGTCTGGCACTTATTGCCCGTTCTCTTCTACCGGAGTGGGGAGGCGCTGTCTTTCTTAGGGCTCAACACCAATAGCTCCAACACTGACCCACCAAATTTCTCGACAGCCAACAAGAAAGGTAAGGTGATAGTAATAGTACCTGGCTAATCAGGATACGTCTCGTCTTGAGTTCCGCTTAGATAATAAGCCTATCGTGGTTTTGGCAAGTCGCTTGCAGGAAATGTGGGAATGCGGGGAATCCGTTAGCCTTCCTCCTTCCGCTTATATATCGATCGTCGCGTTTCGGAGACAATACATGAGGGAGAATCGGACCTATCCGAACTGCAAACGATTACAGCCTACGAAATATGCTGTGTATTTGCGGCTTATCCAGGATCTGACCGGAAGACTGAGTAGAGATTGGGATGGATAGGCAACACTATTGTTTCAAAAGCCAGTAGACAACGACCCACTAGGGAACAACGACGGAGCCACAAGATTTATGCAGACTCCAGAGACGACTTCTAATTCGTTTTGCATACAGGAGGACTTATTCTAGAACACTACCATAGCAGTGGAAACCGTCGGCCTACTTTGTCCCGAACGCCGGCTGGCGAGAAGAGGAGAGCAGGCGGAGTGCTTCAGACTGAGGACATTAATTTACTCGCTACCCCATTGAAGAAATGAATATGACGCAAGTACCGACGGAACACCCGCGAAACGGCCCAAGACACTAGTCTGGGGATCGGCGGTGATCGACATGCGTGGGAGAAATGTTCAGGCTCTTCTGCTGGTGATGAGATGGCATATGAGAATCATCTATAACACAGCTGGATACCATGGCCGTGGAATCGAGTGATATAATAATCCATATACCGGACGGGGAAAAATCTGGGGATTCCAACTGACAGGCAATTTAGGTTATTGAGTTTAATGAAGCAATGGCGCAAACTTCGTCAGGATTCTTGAGAAAGTGGAGATGCCGATCCCCAGACGACTCGGAAAATCCGAAAATGATCGTTGACAGTTATTCTCGCCGTTGTAAGGAGGATAGGGGGATAGGAGGAGGTATACATTGTGATTCAATCTGATAACCGACTATGGACTGCGGAATATCCGAGTATGTCTGCTCCTGTGATGTGACAGTATAAGTAGAATTGTCGATTTCCCTCACGTTTTCAGGAAGACGGACTCGAAGATTATATTGACGTGAAGGCCAAGCCAACGTAAAGACCACCGACCATCATGAATCTCCTTCTCCTAGCGGGCTTGTTACCCCTGGTGGCTTCCCAATCTCTGTCGGACCTCTACCTCGAGAACGCCCCGTCCTCTCCTCGGCCATACATCATTCCCCATTACGCCAACTCCCATGCAGTCACGATTGGCAATCAACTCTACCGATTCACGGTCACCGGGCCATCCTCCGACTATGCGTTTACGCTGATGAGCACCAATGCCCCCTACAGCGGCAGTCTCGGCGTGCTCCCGCATATCCACCGCGAGCATTACGAGAACTTTTTCAACTTCAAGGGTCGCTTCCAGCTGTGGGCGCAGTACGGCGAGGAGGAACAACAGGCACGGTTATTGACTCAGGGCGATTATGGGTCGGTGCCGAGGAATACCACCCACACCTTCCAGATCTTAGATCCGGACACAGAGATGGTTGGGGTGATCTCCCCGGGTGGCTTCGAGTGAGTCTAGAAACCTATCTCGTGAGAGGAAATGAAATGATCAAGACAAGAGGCTGACTAGGATATCCGTAGGGACCTCTTCTACAACCTGGGCACCAACTACACTTCCGCCACCAACACACCCTATGTACCACAGGCGACCAATGATTCTTCGGCTGCCGGACCGGATGCTGGCGGAATATCCGGTCTCGAATCATTCGATGTCTATGCCCAGCTATCTTTCGAGCCGCGTCGAGACTTCGTCAATGGCTCCGCGCCATCCGACGAGGGCTGGCACACGGAGGACGCTTCCCTCGGCGAGCCGGGAAAGCCCTATTTCATCGCCAACAACTATGGCCCGAAGTACCTCAACTCCAAGCACGGAGCGTACCAGATTGTCCAGCCGCTGGTTACCAATAGCCAGGCACAGGATACGAACTTCACCCTGTCGACCATTATTTTGAGCCGGCAGCGGACGTCGAGTTCGGCCCCGACGTGGTCCACCGCCGGAGCCACGGCGTTTGAAGTCCTGGAAGGATCCGTTCAAATTCAGATCGGCGACTATCCGGCTGCTCAGCTAGAGATGGGCGATGTGGCCTTCGTGCCTGCGACGGTGTCGTATCGCTATTGGACGCAAGGGTCATATGCGAAGGTGTTGTCCGTCAATGCTGGTCAGGATGGACTTAACCAGCAATTGATTGACGAGGGGCAGGCATGGGGATATCCGACATTCCCACGGTATTGATCGACCGGAGGGAAGTACAAATTAGCGATCTATGATTGGTGTGAAAACCATGTACTGTAGTAGTGTAGTGTATAGCACTGATATTATTCTTATTCTTATTATTACTATTATTATTATTATTATTATTATTGTTCAGCCGAGGAAAAGCGACCGGTCGCATTGGGGTGGGATGGCGCCGGTTCCGTGTCTCATCGCCCCAGCGATGCGATCCCTACCAGCAGCGCGGGGAAGCTGTTAGTGCTCGTTCCGTCGTGAATCATTCGCAGGGCCGTTGGGATTCACGTCGAACAAGTTACAACTTCACCAGTTGCCAAGGAGCGGGGTGTTGCTTGGCGAAGAGAACAGTGACTGATCTTTGAAATGCCAACGGCCAGGATAAAGTACAAAACTGAGCCGAAATGACAGGCAAAGGATGCCGTCAAGAGACCTTTATGCAAGGCAGAGCACATTGTCCCACATCCCACATTCATCGCTGGGAAAATAGCCGCCGCCTTGGCTGACCATCCGACCAGGATCTCACGCCATGTGCAGGCGTCATAGGCCGTTGAACTCGGCCGGAACGCGGAAGACGCCATCAAGGGACAAAGACCCAGTTAATTTTAGAAGGAAGATTTGAGTTATTATCGTGTGCTTGCATGTTATGCACTGGGGATCGGGACATGAACGGATGGAGAGGCAACACGATGGAGACGGTGTGATAATGCAGCTTCACTGCAGTAGTCCGGGTTATATATAGCATCATGGATGTATTTTAATTACTAACCAAGAGGACGGCATTGGAAGGACGTGGGAGTTTTGAACGATCTATTAGCTACTACCAACGTAGTTGCAGACTCCACCGGGGGGGGGGGGGTCGAGAGACGACTGTTAGGGCTATCCTTGCACGGGACTGACTGCATATGCGAGGGGACGAATTGTCCCCCGTACCCAGGAGAGTACCCATCTCGAAGATTGTCGCATTTGGCAGGACTTTTGATTTCCACGGAGTTTTGCATTTGATAGATTAAATCCAGGAGAAAAGGATCCAACCAATCTTCTCGAAACGTCTCCGGCATCAGATCGGGATGTGGCCTCTCTCTTCGCCGGCCCACGCAAGGGGCGATCAAACTGGGAAAAATCTCCCCTTGTTCTAGGCCAGAATTCTGAATAAGAGGATGGTTGCAAGCGACAAGGCACCGAGAGGCATTGATCATCGAGCGACTTGCCCCGGCGTGATGCTGCCAAGAAACCACTCAACATTCTCATCTTATTAATCAGTGGAGCATCTGAAGCCATCGACTAGTGACATTCTATTACCAAGCATCGCGAGCCGAGACCTTGTCGATATGTCAGGCCATTATGGTTGCAACTTGTCGAGCTTCGCGATCATGACACCAATCCAGTCAGGGGCTGGGAATGGGTGATATCACCCAGGGAAAAAGCTTTCTCTCATACCAATTATTGGGTTTTCAGGATTCTGCTTTCGGTTCGTACCCACCCTACCGTGTCCGATTATGTCGGTTATGCATTTATCTCCCTTATTCGATTCGCCAAGATGGATCTGCCAATCCTCCCGACGAATGGGCGTTTGAGACTGCATCATTGTGGCTGTCTGTGAACAACAGCTCCCTTTCAATCGCCAGACTAGAGAGAAGCCCCAGTAGCCTAAGACAGCTCCACCTGTATCACATCGCTTCTTTCTAGGCCTTCAAATGAGAGCACGCCAGACGTGCGTTTCCCGATTAGGGCTACGACACTGTTTAGGAGTAGATGCCTTACGTACCTTCCTGTCTTGGGGTGTGAATGGATTCCTTGGCTGCTTAATTAAACGATCTGCATGTGCATATAAGTACCTCGCAAGTGTACCTGCAAGCTAGGAAGTGTTGTCCTCGCGTGCTGATCATCCCACTGTGAATTGGTTCGTTGAATGCTATAAGTTCCTTGCTCTTCCCCTCCCATCCCTGCTTTTTTTTTTTTCATTCCTTTCACCTGAAAACCCTCTTTAGCTGTGACTGATTGGTGTTGGCACTTGACAGTTTGCAACACGATGCGCGCCCTCTCCCTTGCAAGCCTCATTGGCCTTGCCAATGCGGCGTGTCCGTACATGACCGGTGAGCTTAAACGTCGCGACACAGGAACCGACGATGCGACCGCTGCGACAGAGGAATTTTTGTCCCAGTACTACATGGCCGACAATGACACGTTCCTGACCTCCGATGTGGGCGGTCCGATTGAGGATCAGAACAGCCTTCAAGTCGGAGACCGCGGCCCGACTTTGCTGGAGGACTTCATTTTCCGACAGAAGATCCAGCGCTTTGATCACGAGCGTGTATGGGAATACCCATTTGGATTGTGAATCCGGTTGGGCTGATTTTCTGGTAATAGGTTCCTGAACGTGCCGTCCACGCTCGCGGCGTTGGTGCCCATGGTGTCTTCACCTCGTACGGTGACTACTCCAACATCACTGCGGCCTCGTTCCTTGGAGCTGAGGGCAAGGAGACCCCGGTCTTCGTCCGATTCTCGACCGTCGCAGGTAGCCGCGGTAGTTCGGATTTGGCTCGCGACGTTCACGGCTTTGCGACGCGCTTCTACACCGATGAGGGTAACTTCGGTATGTCCATCGCAGAACAGTCGATCCTTTACACGGGAAATTTCCTCTGGCTAATTCGATTCGCAGATATTGTGGGCAACAACATTCCCGTCTTCTTCATCCAGGACGCTATTCTTTTCCCCGACCTCATCCACGCGGTCAAGCCTCGTGGTGACAATGAGATCCCTCAGGCTGCCACGGCCCATGACTCCGCTTGGGACTTCTTCAGCCAGCAGCCCAGTTCCCTGCACACCCTGCTCTGGGCCATGTCCGGTCACGGTATCCCACGTTCTCTTCGCCACGTCGATGGCTTTGGTATTCACACTTTCCGCTTCGTCACTGATGAGGGTGACTCCAAGCTCGTCAAGTTCCACTGGAAGTCCCTGCAGGGCAAGGCTAGCATGGTTTGGGAAGAAGCGCAGCAGGTATCTGGCAAGAACCCCGACTTCATGCGCCAGGATCTCTTTGAAGCGATCGAGGCGGGCAGATACCCTGAGTGGGAGGTGAGTGTCATCGGCCCTGGTGTCCATCAGCATGCTAATTCCGTAGCTCGGCGTTCAAATCATGGATGAGGAAGACCAGCTGAAGTTTGGCTTCGACCTGTTGGATCCCACCAAGATCGTCCCCGAGGAATACGTGCCAATCACCAAGCTGGGCAAGATGACTCTGAACCGCAACCCTCGCAACTATTTTGCCGAGACGGAGCAGGTCATGGTATGGAACACTGAATAAGTCTTATTATCGTTCTTTGGCTAGTTTACTCATCCACTTTTGCAGTTCCAACCTGGCCACATCGTCCGTGGTGTTGATTTCACCGAGGACCCTCTTCTCCAGGGTCGTCTCTTCTCGTACCTCGACACCCAGTTGAACCGTCACGGCGGACCCAACTTCGAGCAGCTGCCCATCAACCAGCCTCGCGTGCCTGTGCACAACAACAACCGTGATGGAGCAGGTAAGACCTCTCTTCCACGACCCATTTCGATGTGAATGTTGGGTTAGGATGCTAAGCCCATTTAGGCCAGATGTTCATCCCCTGAACCCCAACGCCTACACCCCGAACACTCTCAACAAGGGCTCGCCCAAGCAGGCCAACCAGACGGTGGGCAAGGGTTTCTTCACGGCCCCCGGACGCGAGTCTACTGGCCGTTTCACCCGCGCTGTCAGCCCGTCCTTCGAGGATGTCTGGTCGCAGCCGCGTTTGTTCTACAACTCGCTGACGCCCGCTGAACAGCAGTTCGTCGTCGATGCTATGCGCTTTGAGAACTCCAATGTCAAGAGCTCCGTTGTACGCAACAATGTCATCATCCAGCTGAACCGCGTGTCCAACGACCTGGCCCGCCGCGTCGCTCGCGCTATTGGCGTTGAGGAGCCGGAGGCTGACCCGACCTACTACCACAATAACAAGACGACTAATGTTGGTACCTTCGGACAGAAGCTGAAGAGACTGGACGGGTTGAAGGTTGGTTTCCTGGCTTCGGTTGAGACCCCTGCCTCCCTCGAGGCAGCCTCGCAGCTCAGCAAGCAGCTTTCCGAGGACGGTGTTGATGTGGTTGTCGTTGCCGAGCGTCTATCCGACGGCGTTGACCAGACCTACTCCGGATCGGATGCTATCCAGTTCGATGCGGTGGTCGTCGCGCCAGGCGCTGAGGGTCTCTTCTCCCCTTTCTCCTTCACTGCGTCTAGCAATGCCACCTCCTCATCCACTCTGTTCCCAGCCGGCCGACCCCTGCAGATCGTCATCGATGGATTCCGTTTCGGAAAGCCTGTTGGTGCTCTTGGCAGCGCCGCTACTGCGCTCAAGAACGCCGGTATCCAGACTTCTCGCGACGGTGTCTACGTCGACAAGTCGGTGACTGGCGGATTCGTTGATGGCATCAAGGAAGGTCTCCGCACATTCAAGTTCCTTGACCGTTTCAAGCTGGATCATTAAGCCGGCGTTGTACCATTAGCCAGCGGAAGAGTTATCTTCCACTCAACATCACCCGATCTGTGATTTGTTCCGTGGCGTGGCCACTATTTCTTCTATGTATATTTGATTAGTAACATATTCAGTAAACATCTCGCAGAATATCATAATCAATCCATGTGTGAGCGACTGGTAGACAACTAGTTAAGTGGTTCTCCACGTCTCTACATCCAAGAAACGTACGAGCAGGTAGCCTCAGTAGGCTCAACACCATGACTTCCGAACTGTGGAATACTCAACTTATTCATCCTTTACATCCTTGCTGCTTAGTAGCTAGTGGTTCTTCTACGTGGACCCTGAATTTTAGCTTACGATCACGTCAAGTAGAATTTTTTAAAATTAATTTAGCAGCTCCACAATTACACTAACAACAATTCCAGAAACATTGACTATAGGATACGTTTCTGTTATATTAATATATTAATTAGTTATGCATAATATCCCTTATATTAATATCTACTTAACAATAGTACGCAGAGTGGGTACTTGTACGGAGTAGTTAATCTTAACCTCTTCCGACCAGCAAAGTTAGTAATATCGCTCGCTGACCGTCGCTGTGCGAACCAAGGCCTTGGTATCTTGAGCCGGATAGATATTGTCTCCGGTATTTTTACTTGGGTATTACTGTTATTTATTGATATTTGCTTGGCGTAGAATTACAATGAAGGTGTGGTGAGGGTTAGTGGGCTTTTATTTTGGGAGTGTTGGTTGGGATACTCATGTGTTGTATTCTGGGTTTTTATATCTCATTTGACACTTCCTTGGTAAAAGAGCGAAGGAGGAGAAAGTCAGGGACGAGAAAGAGAGAAAAAGAAGAGCCCAGAGGTGAAGAAAGCAATACATTCAGACAACCGCGTCCAGCAGACTGCAGTCCTAAGTAGAATAAATATTGTACTCTAAGTCTCTAATACCCTCTAAGCTCTCATTCCCCTACGCGAAAGCATGTACATAGGTCGTGAATAAAGTCTAGCTATATAGAACCACCGTATCAGAGCCCTCACACCCCTACAAGTGAACCTCGGCATGGGAATTACAAAATCATCCACCCGGGATCACGTCCGTTTCATCCGTTCCATACAGCTCCAGATCCAGCCCGTTAGGACGGAAGAGAACAGCCAAAACGAGAGAAATCTTGGCCATGGTCAGACTGTGCTGTCTTTTGCGTTAGTCATTCGTGGGCTTTGCCAAGGCAGGGTGGAGCATACTTCACTCCAAGACTGTTTCTTGATGGGGGACGATGGAGAGAGAAGCACAGTGCCGAGGTTGTAACGTGCCCGCCCTCAGTTTGCAAAGAGTGGGGAATAAGTTTATATATCTATTGGACATACTCTGGGCGTCCAAGTTGGTTGCCCTCATATATACATATGTCAGATCTTGGATCCCTGTTTTACATGATGCTTACAACCCAACAACTCTATCTGATATCCATAGAGAAGTAATCATAGAAGGCTTTGTGTAATAATTCACTACTAACTCAACAATATGAACTCTGTTCTCGTCCGATAAAGGTCAGTCGATTGGCATTTGGCCCCATATAGCGGCGGTTATCATTTGTTGAAAGTCCTCGACGGTTATGACTTGTAGAACTCCAGGTCATCTTCAAAGGCTCCGTTGACCTTTAGTATCATGTCATCATACTGTAGTTAAAAGATCTTTTATTAATAAACAATGCAGATTGGAGATTCAGTAACCGAGAAAAGGTATAATGAGCTCGGTTCAACAGAGGAAATAAGACGCCATTGAGTAATCCATCCTGGCAGCAAGCAGCAAAAAGGTAAAGAGTAGTATGTCTTAGCAGGAATACTGCGCACTGAGGACGTTCTTGTCGTTGTCGAGTCTCCATTGTCGACCCGCCTGCTTTGCTAGGCAGTCTCTAGTTCTAAGTCTTAGCTTTTGCATTACTTCAGGGCTATCTCAACTGGATAGTATGACACGTTTAGGCAGCTCAACCAGGGCAGTGGCATTCAAGGGCCAGGGTTTGTATTAGGTTTAATTTCCATCAGCACCACCTGGTCCTCCCGTCTCGGTGGCTGTTCAATAGTTTCTGGCTCAGAGACCAAGCTAGCTAGTCCATCATTTATTCGGGGCCATGTGTCGCTAAGCCTCTCGAGAGGGTTGTCCTCTTGGCACGGCAACCTTTGAAATCCTATCATTAGGCCAGCTGCCAAGAATGATCGCCGTTTGTATTTACAAAACCCCTGGAATGTATAACACCAAATATATCTAGACCTGTTCATTGGAATCACTTCTATCATTAGGTCATCTGCCAAGAGCGATCTACATTTAGAATTGGGACCAGAAAGCGTAGTGTCGCCAGGGAAATACTACAAATACCAATCAATTATATTCTGTGAACTGCGGGGACACTGCTCTATATTGTTTGTTGTTGCTTATACGGAGAACATTTCCGGACCGCTGAACTTTCTCTACTAGCACCAACATACCCGCATGTCTTCAATTGGCTATATAAACATAGCTTATACTATTTCATTAGCTACATAACATGGTTATGACCGGAAAAAGGACAGTCACGGAGATTTCGAGGCAACGTATAAGCATCCTGGTAGGGCGCCTTATATGTATATACAAAAGGTAGGGTTACATGTACAAGAGGCAGTGCGCCTGGCATGTATACTGTCTGTCGAGAGATTGTATTGAACATAAATAAGTGAGCTTCTCTCCCTCATCCTGCTCAAGCCATTACACATCCTCAAGCACTTTGAAACTCTCTCTCTCTCCAAGTTCAAGCTACTGCAAACGCCACACCAAACAGCCTAAGTATAATCCAAGATGATGCTCAAAACCTCTCTATCACCTCTATTGCAATGCTCTCGCTCCTTCTGCCCGGGGCCATTGCTCATCCCGAGGCCCCTTCTGAGCAGCTCGATTCGTGGGATATTAAGCTGAAGTGGCACGCGACAGGCAGCTGCAATGGCAAGGGCGGCGATGAACGCCGATACAGCAGAGGCCAGTGCTTGGGCCTACATTCCGACACCCATGGGATTGAAATCATTGACCGCCGCAAAAGCAACTGCTATTGTAAGTCCCTCTTTGTACCTGATTCAAACAGTGTGAAAAGGTAGGCGTGCGGTATCAGACTCTTACTGACTATGTACGTGGTAGTGGCTTCTTATAGTGACGGGAACTGCCAAAGCGATGAGAGGATACTCGGTAACAATGGCTGCTGGACTTTGAAGGGTAAATGGTCGGTTGCGTTCAAGTGCTAGATTTCAGGCTTGGTCTCAGATGATCAAACATTCAATTTGGTTGTTGTACCGTGAGAACTCCCAGCATATACAATGAATCACTGCATCTTGTCTAGTTCAACGGGCGATCTTGAGTCTTATCATTTCATTGTTCTTTGTGATTCTTTCTCATAAGTCTCCTTTAATTTCCTAATTTGCATTTTAGGGCATAAGCCCTGATAGTGCAGGTAGTTGGGACCTTCTCTTAAGTAGGGCTATGAATAACTCTTCTGACCAATCTATTGATTGGGAATGACGCCGAATGAATAGGGACAGCTCAGAACCGGTTGCTGTGACGAAATGAAGTTTGAGCGTCAAGGACGACAGCAGAAGACGAATTATGAGGAAACATGCGCCGTTTATGTCCGCAGCTGAGTGAGATCTTGGAGGTAGGGTTTGGTGATCCAAGGTTGTCCTGGGTGCTTAGTTCTACACCATCTCGGGGTTAGTATGTACAGGCCAAGCTTCTTCCCCTCTAATCAAAAGATGTCACTATGGAGAGTCAAGTGTCGCAAGTGGGGTCCTATCAGCCCTGCAGAGGATATCATCCGAAGTATCTTTATTGTATCAAAGTGTTTGTGAAGCATCTCAGTTACCTACAGCCTACCACTGGTTGGTTAATGTCTTATTCGCTAAATCCACACTGTGTCTTCGGGCTATAGGTCCTACAGGAGCTAATCTAGTTCAGTAGGAACAGTTATAACGATTTAAAGTACGTCTCATAGGCTACAGCCAAGGGAAGAGAGGAAGGCTATATTAATATTACTAAAATTTCTAAAAAATGACTGATCGCTAGTCGGGCTGGTCTTATGAAGCTACGATTGAAGAAGCGAAAGTAGGCATCAAAGGAGACGCCAAAACTCTTTGCCATTTTTCTTCATCGGGCCGAAGAGCCCAGCAGAAACAAATCAAGAATGTGCTGGCATCTTGTGACACTGTATCAAGAGATCTGCAAGCTCGCGAAAACGCTCAGGGTAGCAGTAGAGATGGAGGTGGTCAGCAGCAGAGGGGAGCAGGAGAAACATAACCGCATTAATAGTGTATAAGTATCTGGTCCGTGAAAGGCTGTGCAAAAGCTTCGAGTAATAGCCGGTTGTATTCTTTTTTTGTCTTTTACTCTTTGCTGGATGAATTTAGCAGCATTGACTGTCCAGTGTTCCATAGTGATCCGGAAAAATGCTGCATCGTTTATAAGATCTTTTGAGAATCGTTGTTGTATGTGGCCGTAAAAGATTTGAGAAAGTCCAGTCGGACTATCAAGTGCAAGGGCGTACCAGAACGTGCCTTGGTTCCACCCTTCCTGGAGTATATGGAGTGGAGTTGTTCGCCAGAAAAGTAGAACTCTGTGATCGCGAAAGTTGGACAATGTGAGCACATCGCCTTTCTCGCGAACGGCTCCTTTGGCAGCAAAATGAGCGGCATTAGCAGGGGTGCATAACACTTGGTATTCTATCTTAATGAGGTCTTCATACTACGTTGGTTCTTCATCTGATGCACTGAGATGTCAACGTTGGCTGTCTTTGATTGTTGCCATCGCAGTGAGCGAGAGGGCTATGATGTCTGTGATACTATAAACAAACCCTGCAATTGTGGCAAGGCGGAAAATCAGCTGGTCCAGGGTTGCCAGATCCCCGAGGATCAAAATTCGATGTCCTTAAAGAGTATATTGTATAACATATGCCAGCGGTGAAGATAGATATTGTAAGCTTTTGTCGGATGAGCTCGGTTTGCGGCCGGTAGACCTAGCGCTATGCAGATCAGAGTATACATACCGATCATAAGAATCACAGAAGTGAATAATTGATCTACATGCTGCAGCGTCGAAGATTCATTTGTCGACCTTGTATCCTGCACTTCAGGATGAGAAGACCCTATATTTACAAGTTTGGACGTGACTCTGCTGAGACTTGATCCGCAAGAGCCCATTTGTCGTCCCTCTCTCAGCCAAACACAGCCAGGTAAGCGGCCATCTAAGTTACTATTTACAAGATAGCAATATCCTACGGCTGACAATACTTTAGTTAATACAGTGGATCCATATAAATAGTGGAAAAAGGATGTTCCGGGCCGGATAAACTCAGGAGGGCCGACGTCGGCATACTTTGATTCGACCATTCTATATTGATCTTGCATCTTTATATCTCAAGTTCATTGACTTATATCAGGGAGACCCAGAGACTTTCACTAGGTATTTAAAGACGTTGTATACCTAATTTAGCTTCCTGTCTACACCACTCAATTGACCCAGGATATTTTTTTGTTTAATTCTCTTATTTCTTCGTGCTAGAAAAAAGCCATTGCATTTGTTTCCCAGAGAAATTGTCAAAAACCAGTACCGCAAGGTCTTCATATCCAAAATGACACACAGTCAGCCGCCACTTCTACCACCAGATATCATGGAATCACAATTGTCCATGATTGACCTCCTTACAGCCATGTTCCCGTCACCAGGCGAACTTGAGATCCCAGCATCCACAGCCCAATGCGTCGAAAAGCTCCGGGACTGGTGCCAGGACCCAGCCATTGAACCCTCTGGCATACCCTCAAGCTTACTGCTCGCTGTCTGTCTACCCATCGTAGAAGGAGAGAAAACAATCCAAGTCAACATCTCGATTCCCCTGCACGGCGAGGGCCCAGAGAGTGACCAACCACCGCCATTGAGTTATACACTTCGACAACCGGACTGGATGTCCAAAGCTGAGATTGCGGGACTAGCCGCTGCAATGCCCCAAGACGATGTGCTGGAGGCATTTGAATACGTTCGCGAGGAAGCGCTGCGCTTCCTTGAAACAAGACAGACGTCTGCTTCTGAGGCTGTGGCGGGTGATTCGGAACCCATCGTGCGAGTTTGGTTCTACTTCCCGTCTCTGTCGACTCGAGAAAAGAGGGATGATATGGTTAACAACGCACCGGCCTATTCTCTGACTGGTTTTGTGTTGGCCGGTAAGCCAGGCGTGCTGTGTCTGGAGGGTGGGTCGGCGGATATCGATGCGTATATGAGGTTCATCAAGACACACTCGTGGGGTGATATCCCCAGTCACCAGAAAAAGGTCAGCGAGAGATTCCGGGAGACGGAAGGCGTTCAGAGGGTGTTCTCGGGGATGCAGGAAATTACGGATTCTCTCGGGGAACGGAGTGGACAGAGGGCCAATAGAGGTGACATGCAGGCGTTAGAGGCATGGCTGCGGGATAGAGGGTTGCAAGAAGCATTTGAGAAGGTAATATTTTGAAGGCCTTGAGAAATTATGAATGACGATATGATTGAAGCTCCGGAGTCCTGGTAAATTATGTTCCTTTAAGCATAATGTGCTAATGTACAGCGTAGACCATGAGTTTTACCATTCATGTGAGCAGCCTGTTGGTGTAGGGGTACCACATAGTGCATAAGCTGAGGCTTTGCGTGGACTGAAGCCATCTGAGAGTTTAAGGATTCAAACACGAATTTCCATTTGATCATAGATTCCTAGGGCTCGAGCCTTTGCGATTCACGGAATCTCGGGGGGAGAATAAATCCAAATGTCAGATGAGATGCAAGCCGAAAGCATCAATGGTAATGATTACGTCCCCTTCTCTTCTAACCCCGGGACGATTACCAGAATCTACAGAGTGATGTCTATTCTACAATCAAGGGCTCTGTGAGGGCGTTGGGGAGGGGGAGTTCTGGTATCCAACCATTTAGAGCATTTAGTCCCGGCCGGGGGATCTTCGTCTGCTGATCATATTGAAGCCGCGTAGTGAGGATGTCATAGTTAGGAAGTCTATAGCAGGTAAATGGATTGCGGGTACCACACACCATTGGCACAAACCGAGAAGATTTTCAACATAGTGGAGATCGACAAGTGATCGGTAGAAGCATTGAGCGGTGTGAGATTGAAGGTAATAGATGGGGATCGTCAACAAGCTGCAAGATAAAGTTCCTTAAAGTTTCTACAGCAGGAGGGCATAGATTACTAGCTAACTATTGAAGTTTATTATCCATCATGGCACAGTGGGCTAATCTCTAGTGGCAAATGTTCTGATCGGCGGGGCGCATTGTACCGAGGGCAGTGGAAGTAAGACAGCATGGATATGTAACCTGAATCTTTGTATAGTAGTCAAACTATAGGCTGCTGCTATTGCATTCATATTCTCTGGATTGCCATCCTTGCCTGTACACCATATCCAGGAGCGGAGATCAAATGAGCTTTCTGGTCCAAGTTTTGATACCTGAGAGGGCGAGGGACATATCATATTGGAAGCCTTTTGAACTCCATGCATACTCCAAAGCAGTAAGGACTTCTACTCTCAGGTTCTCATCCCCTATCCCAGGAGCAGACAAGGCACGGCCACCTCTAGTGGGCGATCGGAAGATATTAGCTTCGCAGCTTCCAATGAGCTAAGCCCACATAATATGCAGAAAATCTTGCCAATCCACTGTCTCAGACAGAATTATTAATGATGCCCGTAGTTACACTTAACCGAAAAGGCGAACCCACCGAGTAAGAAGCACGATCTGCTGGCTTGTGCCGCATGGTCATAAACCGGTACGAGACAAGCACATGCAGCCCAGCCAGAGTCCAGGGTGCTAATTGAGCCATGCCATTATACCACAAGGACATGTAACCCAGTGGCATACAGACAAAGGCAAATAGGAGTCTAGCGCTACCATCACCAAAAGCCATTGGAAGTGTCCAGCTCCCAGTCTGCTTATCGCCATCCACATCTCGGAAATCCTGGGCGTAGAGGACAAACCCCGCCCAAACCGCCAGAGCCCATACGTGATTAGAGGTATTAGATATAGAAGCACCCATGAGCTTCCGTGGTGAGGAGAACAACGCCCACGTCATGACCGACATGCAGATAGTATTTTTGACAAACCAATGCCGCCCAAGGCCGTTCCTTCCCAGGGTGATTGTGGCGACGACTAGGATCCAAGTTCCTACAATCAAGTCGGGGCGGTAAATTGCAAAACTAAACCAGAGTGCAGCCAGAACCATCCCACGGCGTTTAGCGCCAGCTGAAGTAGTAATGCCGGCTGGGATAGGCCGCTCTGGCTTGTTGATTCGATCTTCATCGACGCTCGTATATTGTGTCCATGTGTTAAAGAAGTATATGTAAATCGTTATATATAGAACGGTTATGGCTGAATTGAAGATGATCTCTCCGAAAGGCAAATATGGCAGGGAACCGAGGGAAAAAATGGTTCCAGGAATAATGGTTGCTAGCCAGTCACGCGAGGTAGAGCGTACAAATACGTCTGCCTCATGGAGCACGGCATCCAGAATGTAACTCAGGGTTGAAGGGCCTATGAAGAAATCTTTAGGAACCATGGTAGGAGTAATGTGAACTTGCGTGGTCAATGTTTCCTTCGAGTACAAGGGTTTGGCTGATGTTGAATGGAGGAGTATATACTTGTATCGGCCTATCGTTTGATTTAAACGCTTTCCTAGTTTTCTCTATTTGTCGTCGCTCGCGGGGCCTCACGAAGCCCATGTTCTAAACTTTGTGGCTGGGTCCATATGCTATGCATACCGCCAGATCCTGTCTGGGGACAAAAGTCTTGTTTCTACTCTAATCGTCTCTCCAATGCACGACAAAACGGTTAATAAATAGAGGGTTATGTGTCGTATGACTTACTAGGAGGTTAGTCACCGTGGGAGACATATTAGTATATGTAGTTTGTAGTCATGTAGCTGACAATTTTGCAATAAGTTGTCGACGGTTGACTGATAAGATTTAGCTTTTTTGAACTACAGGACTCGGCATACGGGTTTAACAGAGCAAACTAGTCCTTCATGGGGCTTCTACGTTACGCACTGGGTTTCTTTGAATAGAAACGCGCAGGCGAAGGTTTGTAAAGGTGGGCGGCCACAACGAGTAGACAATTCATCTACAGACGCATTCTTTTGTAAAAGGGCCCCCAGAGACTGGAGGGTACTGTGCTTTCCATTTCCAATCCAGGATTGTTGTGATGTGGGTCAGGATGAGCAAGGGGGGTTGTGATATATCACCCTCCACAATGCCTTGCAGTACTGGGCTGGTTATCTGGCTTTTGGGCGTGGGAGAAGTGTGACACCAGCACAGTATGCATGGGGGAAGTGAGAATCTTATGTCTCTAGGGTTAGACCTAGTTACCATCTTTTCTGCTGCGCGGCTGGGTACCGCCTTTGGCATGCATTCCCAGGGCCACTTTCTCACTTTCCCGGACCTACGATCGTCTCAATAACGAGTGGTTGGGATATGTTCCAGGATATATCGCGCTGGGAAATGCTCATCTTATGTGCCGACTTCACAAGAGATATTCGTCATCAATCTTCAGAATACGTCCCAACTTCTTGCATCTCAATGATCCCGATCCATTCCCAGAGTAAGCTTGCAAGATACGCTTGTAAAGAAGAACAGTCTGACAAGGGGTATCATTTGAAAGAGTATTCTATTCTCGAAGAAGATATCGCAAAGACCCTGTATTCCATTGTGCATGGTTGGAACATTCTTTGCAGGTTATGTTAAGATGCACAGGCACAGTTACCAACTAGTACCAGAAAACTACTCCGGAATTCTTCATGGGAATGGTAAGGATAGATGCTCAGATAGTACAATCTTTGATAGCATTCTTCGGTCGTTAGCTGAGATTCAGGGGGGCTCAAATTTGACCAAGGCCCAGGCCGAAAGACTCGTTGATGAGGCTTTTCTGCTCATGATTGCAGACTCAGATACAACAGCGCTTGCACTAACCACAACACTAGTGTGTCTGTGCAAGTATCCCGAACAGATGGTTAAATTACGATAGGAAGTGAAATGTCTTGAGAAGGCTAGAGTGCAGGATATACAGCTGGCAACAATCTCACAGATGCTGTATCTTGTGAGTCGTGAATGTGTCCTTACCTAGCTTAAGCTACTGGCATAGGAACTAAAGGATGCTGTGGTCCGCGAAGCAACTAGACTCAGCTCGCTAGTTTCTATGGTCTTGCCTCGTGAAGTTACCGCTACAGAGTGTGTTGTGGGCGGACACTTCCTCCCCGAAGGTGTACGTGTCACGGTCATACTTCATGTTTGTTGACGGATATCTAACATAATTATACTTACGCCTCGTGTGGACTGTAGTTGGCTTTCCCTTGGATAAAATCAACAGAAACCCCAAAGTTTTCTCCGAACCAAATGAGTTTATCCTAGAGCGACGGTCCGGGGAAGAAGGAAAAACCTACCGAGATGGTATGCCCATTTCTCCAGAGGTTCTAGGAGATGCATCGCAATGAACCTCGCTATTGTTGAGATGAAGCTGGTAGTCGCTTCGATCATATCTAGATTTGAAACCTGGCTAGACAATCCGGACATCACGTTGGAAAGCCAGGAAGGGGTTGTTAAAGTCTTCAGGCATGACCTCAGGACCAGGCTCAGAGAGGCAGCAGCCTGAGAAGATGTTTCGTTTTGCGCTCTCTTCCCTTTTCTCTCTACCTCCTCTTGCGTATGACACTATTCACATACGCAAGATGGTAATCTAGCCAAACCATGTAGGTCATGGTGAGCACTACCACAAAGCCCTAAGCCTAGGGAAGGCCCTGTCACGTGTGAAATGTAAGTAAGCCCTTACCAAATGGAGTTGTAGTTCAGTATTCACAAGATCGTTCTATCTGACACAGTCGTTTGAAGCTAAGAGCTTCAGCCTTTGCTCTCATATCTACTTTAGTGATCTACAGGATGCTGGATAACACGGTCTATCCTCTCAACCTGCTACACAGTGCACATGCTCAACAAGGAAAGTCAATTGCCACTTTGTACACGTATTTGAGTGCGATATTTTAGGAACAAAGGCAACAAAGCAATCCATCTACAATCAAAGAGATCCCTATGAATGGCCGTATCCTCAAAACCTGTCTATCCTCGCTTAATACACGTCCTGAATGCAAATGGCACGTTCAACCAAACAGTCGCTTGACTGTCAATAGCCAGGATGTCAACTGAGCAAAAAGCACTTATGCAAGAATGCGCTCCTCTAAACTCTTCCCCTCACCACTGATGTCAAGCAAACGTCTAAAGTGACCATCCTCAATTCCCATCAGCTCTCTCGGCGTTCCAAACTCAATCACGGACCCTTTATCCAGTACGATGATCCGGTCAAAGTTTAGAATGGTGCTCAGTCGGTGCGCAATGACGAGTAAGGTAGAGTTCTTGAATTCCTTCTGAATCAACTGTTGAATAAAAGCGTCGGTTTTCGTATCAACTGACGATGTCGCCTCGTCGAGAACCATGATTTTAGGCCTAGATATAATAGCTCGTGCTAGACAGAGGAGCTGCCGTTGGCCCCCTGAAAGGTTCAACCCTCCTTCAGAAACAGTGGATACGAGAGACAATCGTGGAACCTTGCTACCCTCGACAGACGGGATTACTGAACGGATGCGCTGGAGAGCGTTCTCGAGTTCAGCGTCGCTGAAGTCATTAAAGGGATCTAGGTTTGTTCGTATAGTTCCTGAAAAGAGTACAGGGTCCTGGGGGATGAGCGTGATCCGACGTCTGAGGTCATGGAGCTTGATCGTAGAGATATCCACTCCATCGATATGTATGCTACCTTTGTAAAACTCAAGGAACCGGAAGAGGGATAGAGCTAAAGATGACTTGCCGGAACCTGTGCGTCCGACAATTCCAACCTTTTCGTTCGCTTTGATGTTCAAAGTGAGTCCATTTAGCACCAGCTGCTGGTTAGCTGCGTAACCAACGGTCAAGTCCTGGATTTCAATCCATCCTTCACTGGGCCAGTTCTCAGGCACATCGATACCTGTTTGGTCTTCGCCCTCAACGTTGGTATACTCGACAATACGCTCTATTGCGCTCATGTTCAGTTCCATGTTTACATACTGCCTAAGCAGCAGCGTAATGGTTGAGCTATACTGTAAGGCAAAGCTTAAGGTGAAGCCCGCCAAGGAGGCTGATATAGTTGGCACCTGGATGACGAGAGCAGCCGTGACGGTGGAAAATATGCCCCCGACGAGGCCCATGCGGAACCCAAGCCATCGCTGAAACAGCGCTAGATACCATGAAGCCTGCATATGATGGTCGATGTTTGAGTTCATGCTTTGTGTGTAGTGATTGAACCTTCCGAAGGCGCGAATAGTAGTCAGGCCAGTAAGAGATGACCGAATTTGCTCATAGATTGGACTTCGGGAAATACTTTCAAGGCGTTTTATTTCGCGGGCTCCTGCTAGGTATACGGAAGAAACTCTCCAACAGTAGCCCATGAGAACAATTCCAAAGATTAACAGTAATGGGGAAATGAATAGCCCGGCGGTCATAACAGCCAAGAGTTTTAGGGACTCCCCAATGAGAAACCCTGCGTCTATTCCGATCTTCGAGTCGATGCGGTTAAAGTCCGTGGATAGTCTATTCAGAATTCGGCCTTGGGGAATCCTGTCCAGATACTGCAACGGAGTATGCAGAATAGCCGTCACAAACCTTTTGAATAGCTCCCTGGAGGCTCGGATGGTTGCAAGCATGAGTGCAAATTGTCGGACTATACCAAGGCAGCATACGACTATTGATAGATAGCCATAAATATAGAGGTATTGGATAGTATCGCGATCGTCGCGAGTGATCTCAGCATAACTGGAGACTGGCTGGATTGTGCGTAAATGTTGGTTTTGGGAGGAGTGGCCTGTCCAGATTTTAACCCACCAAGACTAGCTTTGTTACTTTAGAACTTGGGACATGGATAGGATATACACCACTTACTCGTCCTAGAATAAGAGCCTCATAGCTCGCGTAGGATAAGAAGACAAGGGTCCATATACCGAGCCCGCCACCTGCTCTCAGGTAGGTTTGGTAAATAGAACTTTGGAGTGCACCGGTTTCCCGTTTCTCTTCCATGATAAAGCTTCTCGGCTTTCTATCTTCCAGTTCCACCGCTGTTGGCGCGGCCTCGTGAGATCTTTGATCCTCAAGGGCCGGTAGGAATTCTGGGCCACGCGTTTGCAACCCGGTCACCTTCCCGGTATACTCCGCCGTCCCATTGTTCAAGTGCACCACATAATCAGCATCTGGAAGACACAGCTCAACATTGTGTGTAGCAATGATGCGTGTTCGGCCACGTGCCAAATCTCCCGTCAAGGCGTTCTTGTACACATGACGTCCGGTATGAGCATCTAAGGCACTGAAAATGTCGTCCATTACCAAAGTGTTGGCACGGGAGTACAGAGCCCTGGCCAAGGCAAGCCTCCAGCGCTGTCCGCCGCTTAGGTTGACGCCATTTGGGCCGACTTCAGTTAGGTCACCGTCCTCGAGCAACCGTAGGTCTTCGAGGAGAGCGCAGGCAGATAAAACGCTATTATATCGCGCGATATCGAAAGGAAGTTCGAAGATAATATTATTCTTGATCGAGGCATTTTCAATCCAAGGGCTTTCGGTGGTATTTGCTATGGCGGGAATGATCCAGTTTTCATTGTCTGCTAGTTCCTCTGAGCACTGTTCTGGCGAGCTAACAGTGTTGATACGGCCACGGAGAAGCGCACATTCTCCTAAGATGGAAGATATAAGAAGGCTTTTACCAGATCCTGTCTTTCCGACAATTACGCTGAGGCCGTCTTTAGGGAAGGCCAGGTTGAGGTTATGAAGGAGAGCACTCTCAGTACCCGTACCACGTAGGGGACCTTCTGTGGACCAGCTGACCGAGGCGTCGTGGAACGAGATACCATCTGGAGAAGATGTAATAGGGGGTTTATCTTCCAAGTCAAGGTACTTGTTTATGCGTCGAGAGCTTACTTTGGCCTCCTGACCCCGTGTGAAAAACTCCGGGACGATTGCGAGGGAAAGTTGTAGAGACCCTAACATTGATATCACAGTGAAAGCAACCGAAGGTGTTAAGTTGCCGTAACACAGAACATACACTGATAAAGATACCGAGGAAAGCAATAGAGGACTCAGACTCCAGAATATCGAAAACAAAGTGGCATTGTAGATGAATGTCGTACGGAGGGCGCGGAGCTCCTCTTCTCTACAATCGGAAATGCGTTTCTTCCATTCACTCTCCAGCGAGGAGAACTTGATCTGCCGCATACCCCGGAGCATCTCAGTGAAAATAAATAATTTGTTGTCCCTGGTGTTCATGAGGCGGCGTTGAGCTTCTCCATATCTACGGGTCAGATACGAGTTGACAGGCGTCACTAAGGCGGACACAGCAATTCCTGAACATAGACTTCTCCACCCAATCACATAAGCTAAGAATATGTAGGAAAAAGTAACCTTAGCAGTGCTGAAGGCACCAGATACGTATATCCGGCGAAGTCGATGATGCGCTCCGAGTCCACTGCTGCAAGATTAATAGTACTGTGCGGGGAGTCTCCAGATTTCTTTTGATCCGCGTCTTTATCTCTCTTTCCGACACCAAGGTCAGATGGCAGATGTCTGATACTCTTGGTGCGTAAAGCCTTCGCATAAATGGCTGTGAGGATTTCTCCCACCATCGGAATGCATACCTCAGCATTGTTCAGCCACTGTACCCAAGACTGCAGAGCGGTGAGCAGGGTAGTTGAAGCACCCAAGATACCAACCCATTGCCAAGATCGCCATGATGCTGAAGGGTCCAATCCACGAACTTCAAGGCATCGCAAAATCTCATATAATGCAACCTGCGGACCGACGCTCAAAGCTGAAGACACTACCGTGAGGACCACCTGTTGTATGAAGGATCGAATGTGAATGGTGGCAAGTGCTTCCGATAACTTTCTTCGGCTAGCCCTAGCGACTGTGAGGCGCGAGAGCAGATACTCCGCTCTTTTCGAGTGGGCCAGCTGAGGCAGGTTGTCGAATTCGAGGCTCCGATTTATCGAGACATACTTTAGTAGAGGCTCCGCCCAGGCGAAAGAAAGCCGGTTCAGAATGGAAACCGTGAGCTCTGCATCAACAGGCCTTCCGTTCCAATATACGTCAGGGCGCCGCGGTATCAGCATACAGACAACTCCTCTTGTCATGGCTGTTGCAATTTGTCCCAAACGACGTATTGTCGAAACATGCACCAGTGTCCCTTCGCCTTTTGGAAACATCGAAAATTCGACAGTGCGGGCAAAGGCCGATATAAAGCTTGCGCAGCTGGCATACTGGCTGAGCTTGAAACGCTCAGTGGGCACTGGCTCTATATAAACTGCCACAGCTTGGATAGTCATGAGGGCCTGGTATACAGAATTGATTAGTTCATTAGAAATGGTTACATTTCAGTTGGATGAGCGAGTATCTTTTTACCCAGGATCCAATTTCAAGCAAGACCGAGAAACGATGACTAGTCTGGTCCACAGCTGTCTGCCCTACAAGCGCACTCAACAGGCAGCTGAGTCCAAATAGAGACAGTACTGTCAAAAGGATTTTCTGCCATGTATCTGAAAATGACTCGAGCGATTCACCAGTTGCATTGCCATCCTCATCACGGTAAAGGCCATCGTCTGAAGGTGGATTTCGAGACTGCCGTCGAAGACTACGAATTACGGGTATGCATGTCCAATATATGAGAACTGACTCAACAAAGCTTGTTGCTAGTCTTATTGTCGTTGTCATTGATAAAACTGATCGTACAGGATAAAGGGATAAATTGTATTGAGATACAACAACAAAGAGAGGGCGAAGGGGAGAGAAGAAGAGAGGAAAGGAGCCATGTAAAATAAGCAATTTAAGGATAAGCTTAAATACATGCTATAGGCCAGTGGATGACTTAGGATGAGGAATTTCAGGGATTGGAGCACGCATGAACTAGTACTCTCAAGCACAGTGGGTCCAGGGTCCCTGCCACACAGGATCTGGTCTGGCTCTCAATACAAGCCTAGGCATCACGGGTACCCTATAGCGAAATCACTAGGTAGGGTACAAGTATCTGGTCAATTTGGAGCATTGCAACTATATCGGTATAGTAATGAGCGATACACACTATTTGCGGAATCATTGAGCCCTGTATTCACTGAGGTTTACTAGTTACAACATGATATATCTCTGAATTTGCCCGCCTGGCCGTCACTTCTCCAGCCTGGTCAAAGGCTTGTACCATCCTTAGTTGCTACTTTTTTCGGCCACCTCATTCCGGTCCAGGTAGCCGATTGGGATGTCAATCACGTCAGTGTGGCGGGGTCCTAGAACAAGTTGGATTAGCATGGCATTGCAATTTTATTTCAATGGATAGAAAATGACTCACTAGCCGTGTTAAAATTCACTAGGGTCAACTGGCCCTGCATTAATGGCTGTGTTTGAAAGATTACCTAATAGGGATGTATATATTTTTTAGACCGATCACTTTATCAACACATGCTCTCCTAGAATACAATATTGATTTTCCCGATATATATAAGTCTTCTTTATAAGAGTAGTAGAACGGATAGAATTTCTTCTCTTAAATACTCTATAAATAGTGTTAATACATATATTCTCAATAGGTCCAAATGTGGTTATCATGAGAGCCAATTGGTTTGTTAGAATGTGAGATGACAACCGAGAGGGGAGAAAGACTAGAGACGACCCCGCCACCAGCGAATCCACTACGTCGACCCTGAGTTATAAGCACTATTGTGTGTGGCGGACAGTTGAAGTCAGCTTGGGGCACTAATTTAATGTCCGAGCCCATCTTAGGCGTTGCCTATGGGTGGGGCGAACATCACTTCAGGCTTGGTGTCTGCACTAGTTGTCAATAGCTTCACTTTAGCAGAGCAAGGGTCTCAGATCTTTTTTCTGTCTCTACCCAGAGAATTCAAGAACCGGCCTCATCCCAATTTCTGCTTCGACTGGTCACGGTAGTCAATTCATTGCGCTATGTAGTGATTGCCTGCATGTTGTATGGTATAGCGTGCACCCTACACACCGCCAAAGCCTCGTGACCTGTGTTAACCTAGCTCATATACGACATATAACCAAGTGCGAATTCAGACATCTCACTGTTACATTCACCACGACGAATATGGGATACTGTCTCTACCATTGTTGTATACCTATTCGATATCATTGTAATCAGATTGGAGCAGTCAAGTGGTTCACTAATGACCTAGTGCTCTGGGAGTGGGGCAATGAAAAAAAAATCATGAATTGGACAACAAATGAAGCTAGGGCCAAACCTTTGGGGGCGAATAACATCGGCGCATAACAAGGACACACTCGCCATGTACTTATTAAGCTACTAGCCCACTGCGACTCCGAATCTTGACCTGCTTCTTCCTCTTTACAATTTGTTCATTTTCCTCGGTCAATCACCATGTCATCTGTTGGCAGTGTTCTCATACGCCGGGGCGGCCAGTTGATTTCCGCTCGGCTTCCATCCCGCCAGGCGCCTCCAATGCAATTGCTGGGCTTTTTAGTTGTCGTTTTTACGGTCGTTGCATTTAGTATGGCAATCTTCTGGGTGAGTCAGTATGAGGATTAGGTATAGCAACTATCGAGGCTCATCGAAGATCGGGGATAGGTTGACTACACCTGCACCCAGGTTATTGGAACTCTGGCTGCGATCGAAGACTCGAACCCGAATCCCTATATTCGCCTCGATGGCGGAGGTTCTAACGATTCCTGCGACCCTCATGACCCCGAGGCCACGGCGGCATCAACCACTAAGCCCATCACTCGCGGGTTACGCTCGGCTATTAAGCACCTACGCGCCCGTGGTGGCATCTGGTCCTGCTTCCGTGGATTTCGTATGTATCTGGCGTTTACAACCTTCGATATGAGCGTGGGATTTCTCCTTCCCGTTTTTTTACCTGTTTCGATCGATTCTCTTATTAGTTCATTTCTTGGGCTGTTCGTCGTGAGCATGCTCTTGGCCACCTGGCACATGGCTTGGGTTCACCTTGTAATCGCCGATCAATCTCCTAGGAGCTCCTACCGGCGCATGCTTGGCCTCCACCATTGGCCTAGAATTGCTCCTGCGGCTGCTTTGTACAATTTCTTAATGTGCGTGACTTTCTCTCTGCCTACAGTCGCTGCAAGGTTCGCCGGTGGAACCGTCATGGGCGTGGTTGGCCATTGGAAAGATACAGGGCGTCTCGATTTCGTAGCCATTAGTATTCTCTCCGCCATATTTTACCTATTGGCTTCTATTCCCGCCAGGGGAATATTCACTCGTGTGGCTGCCTCTATGCTGCCCGAGGAGGATGTCCCGATCGTGCCTTTCGACCGGCTTTTCGGCGGCAAGCTGAAACCCGAAAATATGGGTGGCAGCGACAAGCTCAGCATTCGAGATGCCTGGACTAGCTTTGCATGGGCGGCTCGCATTCGCTACGTTAAAGTCATCCTGAAGGCTTTTGCCATAGAGGTTGCAGTAGGTGTAGTTGGGATCCTTGTCTTCGGCCTTATTTTTTAGATTTGCGATGGCATCTTCATCACAATGAAGCATTCCCGGTATTCGCACAGTCTACGCCCGTTCGCCAGAGCAGATACACCTTCCACGATGTTATTCTATACTCCTGCTCGCATTAATATCGGACATTGGGGACAGTTGGCCGGACTACGATCATGGCCGTCTCTTCTCATGACAGCGACACTTCTTGCCCCATAACGACCCTTAGGCATTGCCTGAGGTACTCTACCCAGGATTTGGTCTCAAAACCACGGTCAAAACTCTCCGAGTATACCGGAATTTCTATAACGAAGATGAGATCAGAGTATTCCTACTAACAGCTTCTCCGATCCGGCCTTATTCTACACAAGGTATGACATAAAAAGCAAACTTGCACAATTTCCCATTCTGTATCATTGTTCAAATCTATATTGGCTCTTGCAACCACCCGGCACTACTAGCACATTCTCCAGATCCCTGCAATCGACCGACATAGGCACCACTCAATTCTTAGTACCACTCTGCCCGTGCTCCTACAACGCCTTCTCAAAAGCCTTGACATATTCTTCACACTCGTTCCGTTTGCCCTGCCACTTATTTCCGTTATTCTCGCTAATCTTGGTAGCTGGAATGATCCGCTAGCTTTCAATCGTCTTCCCCTCTTCTCCCAAACCGAAAAGACTGCGGACAACCTACCAGCCGTGTTGGCGTGAGAAGCCTTGTCTTCCCACTTTCCGCTGACCTCCTTGAGGTGCAAAAGTTTGACTGTCTTTTCGGAAGGCTGGGGATTCCAGGCTGCATCCTTCACATTGGTTTTGTACCATGCCTTTTGACCACTACCCTGCAGGTTGGCCTCCAAGTGGTAAAGTCTGCCGTCGAAGTCCACCTTGTAGACGTTTGGACTCGTCTCCTTCTTGACAACCTCGCCGACGACAATGCCGGTATGATCAAACCCATATTCCTGTTGGGTTTTCTTCATTTCTCTCTCGATGGGAGATGTGGTCTTAGTCGAAGAGCCAGCTGCACCCTTGGTCCAGGTGATCTGGAAGGAATAGGATTTGCCCAGCTGAAGTTTCTGCTTGCCCAAGCCCTTCTGGGTTTCCTTGAAGCGGTCAGTTTCATCGTGGCCTGCGCGCCTTTCGATATCGGAAGCAGAGTCAAGTGTGTCGCCGCTGATATCCCGAGCGACGTGCTGGATGTCGTTGAAAGGGGTAGTGGGATGGGCGCCGACAGCCACGGAAAGGGTGGCTAGAACGACGGAGAGGACGTTGGAGAACTTCATTTTGGCTGTTGGAGACTGTACCAGCTCACAGATATGTCGTTGGCTTAAGAAGGACGAGGAACAAAATGAGAAGATATGATTGATTGATGTTGCGGCTGATGATGTATTGACTGCGGTGCCATTCTATCTCTACTGATCTGTTCTGGTCCTCCCTATAGCTGTCAGAAAGACATATACAAGTTCCTCGTGCCAAAGGCCAAACCACCAACAGTTGAAGGGGCTGAGCCCGTTCGGCCGAGGGTTATCCTTCGATGCTCACGGTGATATTGCAGGTTGAGGTAGTCGGCTAGCACTTAATGGAGTATATTTATTTTAAGGTTATATTAGACTTGTTTTATATCTTATTCTGTTTCTAGTCGAAAGTACAAAGCAGGACAGCGCGCTGGGAGTTAGTAAGGCACTTGGCCCCCCAAAAACGGATCTACTGGGATGAACCATGATCGCCAGGGTCTTCATCCTTTCATTTTGGGGTCGAACATGGAATATCCACAGTTATACGGCCAGGCGTGTAGCATACGTAGAGGCCAACAATGATAGGAACTAGGATTCCGCTCCTCAAATTCTGTATAATCAGCACAAGAAGTCACTGTAAGCTTACCAGATGCCCCTTCTCATTTAAGTCATCCTCTTATCCTAGACCTATAGAGCGTACTGATATAGGAGAAAGTGGAGATTGGGGGCAGGCCTTTGCCTATGGATTAGGCAGAGACGTTGTTGTGGCTTGAGGTACATACATAAAGGATCACGGACGCTTCTTGCCAGCCTCCTCTTTTTTCCTCACACTCGATCACTACTTATGCCTCATGAGATCTCTCTTTTGTGTCATCCGTTTTCCCACCATTCAATATGGGCGAGCCTATCGACATTGACAATCCGAATCACTATACGAAAATCGACGAGCTGACCGCTCAGGGCCTCCTGGATCGCGATGCTGTATTACACAAGCTAACCCGGAGAATCTGCAGATTTCATGTTATCAAACCAGAAACAGAGCTGCTACACCTGCGCAGGACCTTTGACTCTCTGGCCGTCGAGGAAAATGGTATCAAGGTACTCACTCAGTCTGCATTCCTGTCTTTCCTTGAGTCCACCGGCTTTCTTCCTCCGTCTATGAGAGAGGCAGGTGCTCTTGTTTACCGCAGTCTTCTATACCGATCGCAATACCCATTTCATCAGCCAATCCCCGACTCCCTCACCTATATGGGGCTCCTTCGTGCACTAGCCTGGGCCATCCCCGGGCGGGCAAGGCCGGTCCACGAAGCATGTAGCTGGAGTCGAAGCCGATCGCCGGCAGACTTTAGAAGACAGCTTTTCCAAAGCTTTGCAACAGCCCGAGATGGCAAGTCTATCCCGTTTGACGCGGAATATGCCAAGGCCCAGGCACAGCGGAGAGCTTTTGATTTTACCTGTGCTAGCTATGATTGTGATACGTTTACGCACCCTAAAACCAATTATGACGATCACGGTGATGAGATGTTTCACGATATTCTTGATGTGCTGTACAGTGTTCAGCCGCAAATAATTTGGCTAGTGCCACCCCCTCGAGATTGCTTCCGGGCTACAGCGAGAAACCTGGCCGGAGATGAACACCTTCGTGATCTAAGCATCCCCCAGGACCAGTTTCGAGCAGTGTTGAAGTTACTGGTCACGACGTTCTTTGGGAAACCCAAAGTCCCAGTTGAGCAGCTGGTAGACTTGGACCATGTCGTCGATTGCATGGCCCGCCCTGCGATTCAACGACCCGATCTCGGGATTACCTGGGATATGTATGACCAGGCGGCTCGTAATGGCATGGTAAGTGTACTGGAACTTTTGATTCGATTATGAGTGAGACTGATTCAGTTTAGCCGCTGCTTGCTTATGGTCTAGCGCACCTCTTGACTCCATTCTACCAAGGTCGAGAGGATGAATCCGACACTTCGGATATACCACAGTTAGGAAAAGTAGCAACTTTACCCGTTTGTGCTCAGATGGCCTCACTTGATATTTCTGCCATCTATGGCCCGCATGAGTACAGGTACTACGAATTGAGGACTACGTCACTCACGGCTGCCACTGTAGCAAACGACCTAGATGCTTTCCCCAAAGCTGCGATCGCTCTTCTCCTCTCTGGGAAGGATTCACGGACAGGACAGAAGACCATATTTGGCTATTATGTGCCTCTTCTGGCATTCAAGAAACCACCGTTCCTATTCCAGCTTAGTGATATCTCGGATAGTTTCCGTGGAAATGGTCTTCGACCAGGTCATGAGTTCGATGGAGGCGAGCTTGTGCTCGGTCAAAGAGGAAATGGTGTTGCGTTGGTGCTACGGCAAGACTCGAAGAGGGCGATTGTATCCCACAATGTGTCTGACCAATTCCAGCCGATGTATGCTGCCAATACCTGGCGGGGTGACTGGCAAATTGAGTTTGATGTGGAGGAGATCGAAATTTGGATCCAACCCGAAGTCGATGACGAGGCAAGTGAAGAGGCAGGTGAAGAGGCAGGTGAAGAGGCAGATAAAGAGGACGGAGACGATGATGAAGCGGAGGACGAAGGCTAGTCATAGTGTTATACGGTGTACGGTTGTCTACACTCACAACAGGCCTGTCTCTCTCACCTGGTACTTTCATTGTGGGAAATTGATCCCGGGGTCCATCTTCACCTAGACATCATCCGTGGGTCCTGCAAGACATTGCTACTTATAGAACAGTAGGGTAATTCTATCCCTTGGGCGAGTCGAGCCGGCAGGAAGCCCTTCACTCCATACCCCATGGTCGAATTTGACTACAGCGTCTGGTCTCTTCATCATTGACTTCTTTGTTTCCTGGGAAATATGAATAGTGCCTTAGTGCCACCTACATACTGAATGTATGCTATCTCCAGCGTTCAGAAAAAAACAATATCAACTTTGATTAGCTTAGCTACCTTATGCCTGATGTTCCATTTCAATCCAAGTTCGACACACGAAGCTCCATCCACAAATAGTTATGATTCGTATATACAGAGTGAAGAAAGCAAGAGTGGGAATTAGTAGAGACATACGTGCGTAGGGGCAAACTAAAGACATACAAGGCCCATAGATGGCCTTAGACACCCTGTTGTGGATTACCCAGTGTGAAACCACTTCTCTTGCAGAAGCTGCGCTGCAGGAGGCCTACCCCTAGGATCAAGCTTCATAATTCGCAGAACAAATTCCTTCTGCTCCTTAGCGAGCTCCTTCTTCGAAATTCTGGTAAATGGCTTTTTCTTTTCCAGTGGGATACCTTGCATAACGTGTATCAGGAGAGTTAACCTATCATGATCGCAGAACACTCGTTATGTCAGAGGGCAGGGCCCAAAGAACTGGCACTGTCTTTGTAGTATCTTCATTTCGTACTCCTCATCACCCCTATGGACATCGGGCTTGAAGAGGAAGAAGTCATCCCCATACAATAAGGATATGAGATGGGATCGTTCTAGTAAAAGTCCATTAATAAAGTAATTGTCGTGTTGAAGACACCGTTGCGCCAAATGACCATATATCTGTTCGTTCTGGAGACGGAAGTGGTTGACGCTTTTTATCATTACCGATTGCTCTTGTTCATCCCTTCTTGAACTAAGCTGTTGACCTCGAAGTGCGTGGCCTAGTTGAAGGGAAGAAGCCATCTTTGCGTAAATCAGACACTAACACTGGTTCAACTATAACAATAACACCGCAGAAAGAAGATAGCACCCTATGGAATGTTTTATTGACGCTTAACCGCATTTACCAATCGTCGATCCGATACAGGATCAACGTGTCATCCACGGAGCCAAATACAAGAGGTAAACCCATCAGGTACTAATTGTCTGTGGGAAATTACGAGGGGTGGCTTTTTCTTGCGCTACTCCCAGAGTCGCGTACTGGCGAGGGGAGAGATGGCCTAGGATGCACCAACACGATCCCCAATGCGGATTACCAGCGATAATCGCTCATACTAGGGGGTAAGTCCTCGATCCTTGTCCCCCAGCTGCTCTCCTTGTCGCCCAGTGTCATTTCAAGCGTTCCGCCCTTGGTGAAAAAGTCATGACCAATCCAGTTCCTTGTCCAGGGTTTGCCGTCGCGGGTCACATTCTGTATATAGATGGACTTGTACTTCGGATCGAAATTGATGTTTCGAATTGTTGCAACGTTACCGGTGATCCTGTTTCGGATACTGGCTTCCTTGAAGAAAGGTGCAGAGATGAGATAGACATCCTGTCCGTGTACGGGATATAGACCTAGCATACTAAGCACGGCAAAGGAGCCCATTGCTCCGCTGTCATCATTCCCAGGCAGGCCGCCGATGCTTGTATTGAACAGGCGTGGGATATACGAGTGTGCACGTTCAGTGGACAGCGCGGGTCGTCCGGCGTAATGGAATTGGAAAACGGGTAAGAAAGCCTGCTCGTTTCCCATGTTAAGGAGACCGGAGTCGTGGAAGAATGATAGACGATCCACAAATCTAGACGGGCCACCGAGAACCGTGATTAATTTAGCCATATCCTGGGGCGCGTAGCTAGGACCAGGCGAGGTTAGCCACTGAGTTCTATACACCTGGGGGACGGTACATACAATGTATACAGCCAGGAGCTGCCTTCGTAAGTCTCTTTCGCATTCTCATCCATCAGGCACGAGTCAGGCTGCAGATATGGGCCGCAGAACATCGGGTCTTGATGTGCCCAAGTACCATCCGCATTCCGCGGCTGGAGAAATCCGGTGAAGTTAGAACCACGCCACGAGGATGTCTGGTTTGGCTTGAAAACATTCTCCCAGTTCGTGGCACGTTTCATGTACTTTTTATAATCGTCATCGTGACCCATGTGCTTCGCCATCTGTGCAATGCAGAAATCATTGTATGCGTATTCAACTGTTCGTGATATGCTGCGAGTGCGAAGTCCTTTGGCAGTGGTATTGGAATCATGGATTGGGATATATCCAAGTGTCTTCCAGCTCTGAAGGCTGCCACGACCTTCCACATTGAAATTCTCAGGCTCAACCTCAGCGTCCTTTACCACAGCCTGGTAGGCAGTGTCCCAGTCCACATCGAGAATGCCCTTGAGGTAGGCCTCAGCAATGAGGACATCGGCATTGGATCCACCCTGCGTCAAGCCTTTACATAAAGACATACGGCAGTCAGGTAGATATCCTTCGTAGCGATAGATATCGACAAGGCTTCGAACCATCCGAGACTGCGAAAGGGGATCCACCAATGTGATGAGTTGATGGATACCGCGGAACGAATCCCAGATACTATGCGGGGCTGTAAGTTTATCCTAGCGAAAGGGGTGGGGAAAGGCCTCACTCACCAGTAAAAACTATCATAGTATGGCTCGTCACTTTTCCATAGTGGATTTTCCCCGGTATAATCTTGCGGGCTGATCATCGTACGATATATCCCACTCCAAAACACCGTTTGAAGCTCAGTAGAAACACCAGAAGCGTCAAGACGGATGACATCCATCTTCTCCTTCCACACGGCTTTGGCTACCGCCACCGTATCTTCGAAGTTGAAGTTAGGGTGTTCCTTTTCCGCATTGGAACAGGCTTGCTGAGCACTCATGAAACTGATTCCGACCCGCACATCAATCGTGCCGTTCACTCTGGGCGGTTTAAACCTAGTGAACACTCCTCCTAAACCACTAGAGTTCAGCGAAACTGTACGTTTACCCGGCGTGGCCCCATCATCCATCCAGATTCCAGTATCTCGAATTTTAGGGCCACTGAAATCAGCACAAAAGTGAATTCTGTATGTCCCAATTCCGTAACTAGGCTCGAAGGTCGCACTCCCAGTAAATCGACCAGTCTCTGGGTCTACCGACGTCGTGCCGTTATGACGTGAAGCTTGAAGGTCAGCCATATCCACCAGCACAACCGGATTGAGCGACTCAGGAGCAGCCTCCGGGAAGCTGAATTTATAAAGAGCAGAATGATTCGTCACAGTCATTTCCGCATGGACTCCGTTGTCCAACGCAATGCCAAAGAACCCGGGCTGGGCCTTAGTGGATCTTCGATCCCACCCAACAGCTCTATCTGATTTCTGCCAACCGCATCTCGTAAGATTATCATCGGGACAGCCGGGATGGACAAAAATGGGGAAATTCCCCATCGACCCGGGCTAACCAGCTATACTTAGCGAACAGTGGTCAATGAATAGAACACAGATGATGGCTAGACTTACACCCCCCGTTCCGGAATCGTGTGTATGTGAGAACCCAGTGACGAACGATGCGTCAGACGCGAAACCCCCTTGGTTCGCACCGTCCATGTCTGCTACGGCTTTGGCCATGCCTGGACCTTCGTTAGACGATAATTGGTAGTATCTTACGGGCTAGAAAGCACACCAAATGGCAATGTTGCACCAGGGAACGAGTGTCCTGGAATCCATTTAATTCTTAGTATGTTCACTTCCAGAATAGGCTTGTAGTTTGCTACCTCCATCTGATGTACCAATAAACGGATTGATGTAGTCGAACACGTCAAATTTTGTTTTTCTATCATCCCCTTGTCCATAGACGAAAGCAGGGCTGAGACAGAGGAGCGCGGCGGCTTTTGAGAGCCGCCTCGACAAAAGATGAGGTTTCATATTTAACAGATGAACTCAAGGTGTGGAAAAGTTGGACAAGGCGAGGCAGGTCAGACAATAAGCTCAAGACAAGAATAGGAACGAATCCCAATTTATAGCCGGCCTTGTCTGATACAAATAGTCTTTAGATACAAAATACTTAAGTAAATTCTTTTTTTTGACTATCTATGCAAATTAACAGGGCAGAATCCCAAGTACGCTGGAAGAGGAGGGGCTTGTTTATCATGAGCCAAGTTAGCGCCGTGAGTGGATATGGCTTGAGCTATTTATCTTGACGTTGTCTCATTTGTGGCAGCGGCGCAGTGCAGGTGCAGGAATCCAATTTCCGCACTTGTAGATCCCTGCTAGGTTGCATAGGGCTTATCCCTTCGGAGGAATGCCATTATGAGGCAGAAATTAGAAAGTAGGAGCAATATAGGGACAGTGACCGGCGTTATATCTCAACCAGTGGTTTGCTATTCCTGGTGAAGGGATTTACATGAACCGCCTCCGCTCAAGTCGGCCCTACACCCATATCAAATATGAGGTGGCCATAATAGTGATCTCAATTGCTGGATGAAGGACGGCTAAGGGGTAACAAGTGGGACAATTCATGTCGGTTGCCGGGTTGTATAAAATTAGTCTCGGTCATGAGCGCAGGGAAGCATGGCGAATGTGACATTACATGGATAATTGGTATAACAGCTCACCAAGCACACAAGGCAGACTGGGCATGTTTTGGTGTCGGTGTTTCGAACCCTTGTATTTTATGCATAAGCGCCTGTCCCTGCAGGGCTCGAAGCCCTAAAGTGGAATTGGCGCCAACGGCGATTCCCAGCCTTTTAGTCCGAGACAGCCCTCAATCATAAGTGTAAGCGCCCACCTAATTATATCACCCCAGAATACCCCTCCCCGTATTTTCCCAAGTTAACAGAATGCTGCTCAATCTCCATACTTCGCAGAAAGCCCTGCTGTGGCTCTTCATCCAGGCGGCCGTTCTACCGCACACAATTGCTCGACAATGCTACTGGCGAAACGGCGCAAGTACACTGAATGAGCAACAGCCCTGTTTTCCCGATAGAACAGATAGTCCCTGCTGCGCAACTAATAAACAAAATGGTGACCCAAACGATGTTTGCACGACAACCGGGCTTTGCGTCGCGCAGGTCGAGCCCTATACCGGCCTCGTTCTGCAGAATGGTTGCACGGATTCGAGCTGGAAAAGCTCTGACTGTCTCAATATTTGTCCTGGCTGTAAGGGATTCACTTCAGCGATCTTTTGAAATACACCGAGTCTACGGCTAACAATACTTCTCACACCGACAGCAATGAAACCAGACTACGGCATCCACATTCTTCCCTGTCCAGATAAGAGTCTAAAGCACTGGTGTTGCAGCCTGAATGGCTCCGATTGTTGCGATAGTGCATTTGAACTAGAGATGGGCACATTGATACTTTCTTCGAACTCAACAAGCCCAAGCAGCTCAGCTTCTGCATCCGCGACCGTGACAGCGACAACTACTGCGACAGTCACAGCCGGCACAGGCAACGAATCATCCACCTGCAGCGGTGACTGCCATGCAGAGTCCACTACAATTGCCGTGGGCGCTGGCGTGGGCGCCGGGCTAGGCGCATGTCTTGTGGCGACTGTGTGCTTACTTGCTTTCCAGAGACGCGCGTATCAGAAGAAGCTACAAGAGATGAAGACATTGCAATCAGACGGGTATCCATACGTTCACCAGTATGGGCCTTTTGTGCCTAAGAATCCCGTGGAGCTGCCTCTGAATCAACGTCCTACGGTCTTTGAAATTGATAGTGAGCGTCCGACGCGGCCGGAATGAGTTTAGCTATTTTTCTGCTGTACATAGGGCTGTAAACAAGTTTATTTAATGTCTTACGATATTTGAAGCAGAGAAATTGGACCCTCGGCATGTACCGGAACATTCACAGCGCCTAGTGAAATGAGCTCATAACTGGTAAATTTGCTAGCTCCCAGGCTAATGCACTTCCCCTCTTTAATAAACCAGGGTCTTTTCGCTAACAAGACAATTATTTCCAAACCTGGTCTCGACAATGCTGCGCCGCCGGGGCTATTTCAGCCTTCTTGGCTGTAGCGCCTCCACAACAAGGGCCGAAGTCTCCACCCAAGTGGGCGATCATCCGAAGTACGCGCCCACTCAGGACCAGAGTATAACCGCCAGGGACTCTGTGGTTTATGAAGTTGTAGAATGAGGAGCTACACACAGCATGGCATCTTACATCCCCAGCTTACTTCAGCGATAAATGCCATATAAGACACCCTCAAGCTATGAAGCCTCTTAAAAATACAATGAATCATAGATACAGCGGTGGGGGAATATAAATATCGACTACATAGGCTATGTACGGAAGGAAATCTAGGATATGGGCTATAGGAGTGAAAACGACCATACGACATAATAAAGGAATGCTATATAGCAGAAAGAGGGTTTTTCGGATCATTATGTCTAGGGATATATGGATACTACATCGACTGTTAGCAACCTTGAGTGTGCCGACGTTGTTGAGAACCCCTTCGAGCATTATTCTCCCAAGGACGAGATAAGATACATCCCATGACTATTTCTTTTTTATCATTTCTTTCCTTGCTCCTCTACTCTTTCGTTGTTTTTCTTCTGTTTGTTTATTTTGCTCCTCTTATACCTTCGCTTCCGTGGCCAGGGCATAGATAACTGTTCAGGATATCGCCGAGCCGTGCATGTGCTCCTGCGCTACAACATCACTGTCGACTAGCTCCAGGCATACTCTAACTGGTAGAGTGTTCGACATTATTTGTGTCCTATTCAAAGCCACAGGCCTAGCACCGTCACCGTCTTATCCTGCTGGCAGGCGGCCGAGAGGGTAGAGGTTGGAGTTATAGTCATCTCGAAGTACCCTTTGGCATTTTCGGTCGCTCCTCATAGCTAACAAGTGATGTGCCTTAACCAGATAGTCAGCTTTCAGCGCTGTTGCTTGACTGTGTTGAGGGGTTATGGCCGTGGTGGATGTGGGGATAATGTTACTATCTTATCTGAGTGCGAAATACTAAATCTTTACAATTCTCCAGAGCTTCCACAGATCATGAAGAAGATATCTAATTCTCTACATCATCTTCACCACCGAATTGAGCCTCTGCTATTGCATCGTGAAATAAAGCTTTTCGAACTTGGGGAAATACGGTTCAGTCCGGTTCAATGGAATTCACGCATCATGGCAGGACGCTTACCACGAGGGAACGTGCCCACAAGGTATGTCACAGTGCCTTCTCCATCGGACAGTTATTCCCAACGCGTCTTCTGCTCCATTGCCAAGTCCTTCAACACGAGAATATGTAGACAATCGGTGCCTACAATCAACGGATGGCCCGAACGGAATATTTCCCTGCACACGACTCTACGCCCTGCATGTTGATCATGCTCCTTAATAGGGACTAGCTTTCTTTGATCCTTACGCAGTGCCCGTATATGGATGGATCAGCCTTATGTCGCCTCTGATTCAACATACTATTGATGACGTGGTGAGTCTTGGTCGGGATGGGCCCAGTGGACGAAGGCCACCGCAAGGGGCTAATTGGAGCGAATAGTGGAAGGTGTGAGGAGCCTCTTCGAGATAGCAGAAAGTACTTGTACTTTAGACCCTCCAATTATATTCACTATCCCCAGAATACCAGGATGGTCTCTCCGTTCCTTGAAACATATATGCAGATACGAAGAGCGCGAAAATCACACCGAACACGAATATGAAATGCAAGGGGAAAAAAGTGAATACGAGCAGACAAATTCATATATATGTCCAGCATTTATTGGGGAGCAAGGTAGCAGCCAAGACATGGGCTGAACTGTCGATCACCACAAATACGAAAGATCATGCAACTCCCATTCGGGGATTGATATGACCCTGGGGAAGAGAGGTAGTTCTGATGGGGCTCCTCGGGGACGTGCCTGGCACGATCCACATTGGCAAAATGCCCAATATGTTGAGTGGATATATTTATAGACATGCAGAAAGCATGCCGATCATAGCTTATCCCCGCGACTCGATGAGTAAAATGTAACCCACTCGCAAATTGATCCTGAATCTTTCTTAGTGAAGTGGGTCAGTTCGTGTGATACCCTCCGCCAATAATATTGTTTACACTGGACTCTATACATTCCTGTAGGACTTGCTGTTCGTGTAGTTCATGGAGGTACTCTACTAACAGCGAAGATATGCCAAAGCCTTGTCACTCTCAGAGGTATAAATAGTGCTCAATACTCCCGGCTGTTGACAAGATCTCATCAACCACAAACTCATATAATCCTTCCATTGTCGGAATTCGTCTACATTGCCTTTACTGCGCCAACTCTGGTTATTTCAAGGTCAACACCATCACACGTTGTATGCACATCCCTACCCCATAGCCCGGAGAGAACTTTTCAAAAGCTGACAACTTGCGTCTCTCGCAATTAATAACTACAGTTACAACAGCAACATGCAGATCAAGTCCATCTTCGTCGTCCTCACCGGCCTGATGGCCTTTGCCGCAGCCGCTCCAGCGGAACCGGAAGCCAGAGACACCGCGGGCGTCAAGCCAGAAAGTCCTGGACCGCGAAAGGTGGCTGCAAGACAGACTGGGCCGGTCGTTGCAACGCACAGTGCATCGGTGAAGGTGTGAGATCTCATGGATGCAAGAAGGGCGATATCAGCTCCGGCATTGAATCGTCCCACTGTATGATCGGCTGGAATATCTGCAAGTGTTCTTGCTAGATAGCCTGTTGTGTCGTTTCTACAGGAAATGAATTGGGGGCGAAGGATTCACCTTGTGTGCTTGTTCTCGTTTGCTTTGAACTTCTAGGACTATTTTGTTGGAGGGGCTAGGAGATTGTGCTTGAGTATCTGATGGTGTTGGGAGGATGGAAAGAGGGAGTCAGATATGTATATAGACACTTAGGGCATTCTCCCAATCGGTATACATCTCTTCCCTAGCCTTAGTTTTCATAAAGCCTCTCATATTGGTATTCCTATCCGTAACATACTAGTATCTCGATATAGTTAACAGTTAGTAAGAAAGAGCATAATCAACAATCTCAATCATAAAGGCCTATTTTAGGAGTCTACTCATTTCAGTATATTCATGCTTAGGTTTACTAGAACAGAGCTGACATGATTTCCCATATCACGACTCAGCAAGCAGGATTATGTGTAACTTCGGAGGTTGTGTGTCTAGGCTATAATGCTTTAGAATTACAAATGGACAATGATGATTTTGTGGATTTCATAATCGACCTGAAAGGCCGGCTGCTAGGAAGTATTCTTTAGTACTCAGTAGATTGTGGCAGTCTTGCCAAACACACGGCAAATTATAACAATCAGCCCAGATAAGAACCATATTTAATGCAATCTCTTACTCTCCTCTACCGGCAAATACTCTGCTCGTCCAAGCTGACGATGTGCCCATTGGAATATAACTGTCAGCTACTGTCAGAAATGTCGTTGTGTATCTCTCTAGTCTACACCTCACATCGGTTTGCCTTCTGGTCTTGAGCGAGGTCACTATCATTGTTGCTGTCTCCTCGTCGTATGCCGCCCTGGCGACTGTACAGTCGTTCTGCGAATGGTCTTGTGTTCAATTTATTTAGCATCAATCGTCTCCTGTGCTGTCTGTGTAGGTGGTGATCTTGCTATCGATATTGGGCACACTATTATGTATTATCTAAACTATCCACGATACACGTTTTCACTGTCTTACTAAATATACCATTCATAAAAATAAATAATTTGATGATATATCCGGAATTTCCGACTAACTGAATTACATATAACCAGAATTTGACAGATGCTAAAGACAGATGCCCAGCATTCTTATTGTGTGAATCCTGTGAAGCACAGCAGCCAGAAGTATATTGTCCATCTTAGGTAGATGAACTATATATCGCACTGGGTGTTACAATCGCAAAAGCAGGGTCAGGTGTAGTGAGCAACGACGCCAACGTCTCCCAACATTTCACGTCTCCAGTCGTAGTGAGGCCATCCAGGCTCTTTCGGTCTCTAGCAACCAAAGCAACCAGATCCCTATGTGTCAACCAAACCACCAAAGTTGCATCTGCCGCGTCCTTCGGCTCCCGGTACACGATTTCATGGCCAGTGATGGCACCATTGCTCAAATTCAAATGCCACCCCCGGCGCATGCCCGCGATCATGAAGTCAATCGCGAACGACCGACCCCATGCCTTCGGTCCATCCACCCGCATAGCAATAGTATCAAACAATTGCTCCAAATCAAGCGCCATCAATAGCTCCACCGACATGGATAACTGGGAACCCTGCGGTTTGTTCTGAGGGTTCAGCTCGCGCGCCCCCGTCAGATAGAAGTTACGCCAGGCGCCGTTTTCTGCGCCGTAGCCCAGTTTGCGATAGACGGATGCGAGCTCGTTTCGGGCCCGCTCATTGTTTTGGTCTGCATACACGGCATGGTTCAGGAGTGTTGTGGCGAAGCGAAGGTCGCCCTCGTCCGCGAACTCTTTGGCCAGGTCGATCACTTTCTCTATCCCGCCCATGCATTTCACGTAGCGCGTTGCGGATGCCACCGGCGGGTGCTCCCATAGGTGAGCCGGGTTTCCGTCGAACCAGCCCATGTAGCGGTTATAGATCGCCTTGACGTTGTGGCTGATTGAACCGTAGTAGCCGCGCGCACTCCAGGCGTTGTTCAAGGATGGCGGGAGCTGGAATTGTTCCGCAATTTCTATGCCGGTTTGGCCCGTGTTGAGAAGACGGAGAGTTTCGTTATGCAGATAGGCGTAGAGGTCGCGCTGCTTGGTCAGGAAGTCATTGACGTTCTCGTTGTCCCATGTCGGCCAGTGATGGCTGGAGAATACGACATCGGCGTCCTTCCCATAGCGCACGATCGCTTCATCCAGGTATTTAGCCCAGACACGGGCGTCGCGGACCAAGGCCCCCCTCAGGGTTTGGATGTTGTGCAGAGTGTGAGTGGCGTTTTCGGCCATGCACAGAGCGTTATACTGCGGGAAATACATGTTCATCTCGGCCGGCGCCTCCGTGCCTGGGGTTAACTGACATTCGATTTCCAGATCGTCGTCTACGATGATCTTCTCCCCCGACTGGTGGATGTTAGTCGTGGGCGGAATCAGTCCCGATACACCTATTGAAACGGTGAGACCCAGCCCGCAGCCGATCTGGCCGTCCCGCTGCCGGGGGAGAGACTCGCCGTACATGTAGACCGCACGACGGCCCATGGCGTTCCCAGAGTAGACGTTCTCGCTCACGGCATGTTCAAGGAATCCATTAGGCGCGTACACCTTCAGACCCTCGGCAGCGGCATCTGCAATGGCTTTGGCTCCGCCGAAGTGGTCTACATGAGAATGGGTGTAGATGAGGGCTTTGATAACCCGATCCGGAAACTGGCCTTGGTATAGGCCCAGCGCCTTCTTGGCGGTTTCGACACAGGTCAGTGGGTCAATAACGGCCACGCCTTTTGTATTCGGACACTCGACGAAAGTGATGTTGGAGAGGTCCAGTCCGCGGACCTGGTAAATCCCATCCTGAACTTTGAAGAGACCTTGCTTGTGGCAAAGCTGAGACTGTCTCCACAGCGACGGGTTGGCGAAATGGGAAGGGTACTCTTCTGCTAAGAAGTCAAAAGAGTCGTTATCCCAGATGGCTCGGCCAGGGTCGGTGTCGGAGTAGACCACACAGGGCTCGAGACTGGTGATCAGTCCTTGAGAGGCATTGGTCTTGTCGGTAGGGTCCTCAGGTGGGTAGGACGTTGAAGACATGATTACAGGCAGATATCACTGGAACTAAAGCGCAGAAGGATTGAAGGTCGAATAAGATCCTTTGCCAATATTGGATGATATGAAGTGACTGGCAATATATGTCACATACTCCTGGCTTGTCCTTGTAGGCTAGATCCCCTCTTTTACTTATTCTCCTTGGAATTGGGATCCCTTTTAGAGCGCACTCTTCGGTGAAATGGCAAAGGTAGTTCTAGGATACCCGACAATCAGCAAATACGCCTCCAAATCCTGCAAGAAAATAAAAAAGGCTCCCTCTAGACCCCACATACCCCGCGCTGTAACGCTCAGAGATTATTTCTTCTAGCCCAACCATTCTGTTCGTGAACCAGAGAATGCATCGAGTGGTTTAGTCAGGAGTGACGTAGCGTTGCATTCCGCGCCGGCCCGACAGAACCAACGATGCTCGTAAACACAAACCAGTTGGTTATATTTGGTAGTGAGAAACAGGCACCGCTTCTGAATTTATTCCTACCGTTCATAGAATGTATGCGTTGTGCTTGTATCGTGTGCGTTTTAGGTTGTGCTAGTGGAGGGAATGTTCACACAGATTCGCACCTCGACCCTACTCGGTCTCTAAAGGATCCTACAGCAAAGCCGGAAGTATCTTTCGGCATATATTCTAGGTCAGAGATTGAGACAATACTGCTGTAAGGCGCCGCTATGTAATATGGCCATGGTAGATAGTAAAGTATTCCCTACGGAGTCCCTCAGTTCTACTGCGTTCCTAGATGGCGGTATATTCACCCGCACTATCAGACTTGGCTCGTTGCCATAAAATGATTCATTACTGACTAGCCCCCGATGTGGCACTAAGTGACTCGCACATATCATTCTTAAGTTCACACTCAAGGGGTGCCTGCATATATCCTACTGAGCAAGCATCCAGTCCTCATAGATAATCATCTTCCTCCTCACCCTCTTCCTCAACATCTGGCAAATCCACGCTCATACCAGTCAAATACTCAGCAATATCTCGCCTCTCAGCACATTCCTCAAGCACAGATGCATCAAGACTCCGAACATCAGCACCATACTCGACAAGTAGCTTTACCGTCTCCAGACCCCCCTCGACAACAGCAATCGACAGCGGCGTCTCTGTACCGATATCAACTGCCGACACGTTTGCCCCATGCTCAAGAAGGGTCCTCGCCGTTTCGGACTCATCTTCAACACCTGCAGCAATATGCAACGCCGTCTGCCCGTTCTTTGATTTTGCCTCTATGTCCTCGCCCTGTTGGAGTAGCGCCTTGATAAAGACCCGTCCACCCACAATATGCGCAGCAACATGGAGCGGTCCATAGCCACGCGGGAAATACGTCCATCGCCGCTCAGACCTCTCAAGCTCATCATAGCTGTCATCATCCTGATACGGCCAGGCCCCTGCTGCCTGAAGGTAGGAGTCAATGGAGCCGCGGTGAGATGCGAATCGGAGGAAGGCGTCAAGCGCTTCCTCTCGGTCAGGTACTCTGGAGGTATAGACTGATAGTATTCGTGCCGCGAAGGGCAGGAAAGGATGGGCTTGAAATCGCTGCTTTAGACTCGTAGATGAACTGCAAGCTCCGCTTTGGAAGTCTTCCTGCACTAGGTAGGACATGGCGGCACGAAGCATCTTCCCTTTGGTGTTGTTTTTGGAAGCTTCTTCACGTAGATGAGTCTGCAGAATAGAGGACTGGATTCGCATCGCTTTGATGCAAATACTGAAGGTGGTCAAGCCAGCACACATACTTGCGATGTCGTCGGAGGTGTAATAACTATCCTCTGTTTTATGTATGCCGAGAAACGGTAGGAAGTCCACAACCTGGGATATTGTCGGTGTGTAGCCTAGTTCTTCCAGTGCGGACACTAGGTAGAGCACCTGAAAGGTATTTTGTCCGTGTTCTGCCTTTGCTACATGAGCCAATGCTAGCTGGCTAAGCGCCTTGTGCTTTGTTGAAGGGGACTGGTTAGATAGAACCTGAACTAGTTCATCCAATGTCTCTGAGATATCTCTGTGCTGAGGTAGCGGTGGAAATCTTCCTTGGTGTTAGCACCGTGGAGTGGAGACAGGGACGAGAACACATACGCGCCGTCCAACATTTCTATGACATTGACCATAGTTCCACTGATATCTTTGGGTATTGAGGATGGGGTTTTCTCGGCTGATACATCTCCAATTTCGTGCACCATGTAAGCCATGAGATCATCCTCGTGTGCCCTCATTACTATGGTTGGCAGCTCGTAGGTTCGGAGAAGTGAACGGGGTGGCGGGTAACGACTGATTATGAGAATGCGCACACCAGAATTCTGACAATTATTTACTCCAAAATGGACGAGCATCTTCTTCAGTGCGGCTTCGGAGGCATTAACACCATCAAAGACCACGAAGATCGAGTCAAAAAGCGAGGGAATCAGGTTCCAGAATCCAGGAGATTCACCATCCAGAGAGAGGGAGGTAGAACGCCCTCCTTCTGCTTGGTCAATGGCATCAGCAGGCGAGTCAGTCACCTGGGCAGTGAGCTGTCTGGATAGCGAAGGATATGCGACGCCAAAGTCCGCCCCGTTATATTGCGGATGGCTGTCATCAAAATAGTATACCACGACCCCCACCCGGCCGTCCTTTGAGCAGATATGATCGACAACAAGGGAGCTGATATATGTCTTTCCCGTTGCAGCTGGCTGGCTGTTAGCATTGTCATGCCCAGCCGGGTTGCATGCATCTTACCCGGTCCGTAAGCCCAGAGAAGCTGTGGACCAGAGCCGCTGATCCATTCTTGTGTAAGCCTGTCTGCTAGAAACCAGGTTCCCAGGGTCCCTACTCGTTCGCAGCTCAAGCTCTTCTGCCTCTCTGCTGTCGCATCCCCAGGGCAGACCCCACGAAACTGGCTGTTATCATAGAGCGACATTGTTGTTGCATGATGATGCGAAGCTTTGTATCTGGCGTATTCAAATAGCAGACGCCGTTTCCCCACTGTCTTGGCATGATAGGCACCAGTGTCGCTGCCTGCGGCATTCCCATGGAAAACATGCAGAGAAGAGTCTAAACAGCTCTAATTGGAGCGCAAATGCAATGATTGACAACCAAGCAACGCCAAGAAAATAATTGATAACCAATTAGAACGCGGCTTGGCATGGATATAGCATGTCAAAGCAGCGTCACTTCATCCGCGGATCCGAAGGGGCAGGCATCCCAGGGAATCAATCCACAGAATGGCGGCCCAGGCTAAGGTATTCTCGACATTCGAGCTTCTCGAGCTGATCCTACTCCAGCTAGACACGCAAACACTTCTCACAGCTCAGCGAACATGCCGGACTTGGCACGGCGTAATTCAAGAATCAGTCGCGATTCAAAAAGCGCTCTTTTTCGTCCCAATACAGCCTTCGTCGGCGGGTACAAAAGTTCAAAATCCATTACTGGCAAAGATGTTTCCGGGTTTCTTCACCTGGGACACATCCTTCTTAGCCAGCATGGACATGCTCCAGCGCCCTGAGAAGCTGGAGGCGTATATTCGACGTGAAGCAAGTTGGCGGCGGATGCTTGTCCAGCAGCCTCCTATACCCAGGGTTGGGTTCCTTGTTTCCTGTTTTGCCTTTGCGGAGAGTTATACATACCATGAGATACCGGTATGTATATTCCCCCAGTTCGCATATCACAGTCTCCTGATGTTACCCCGCCCGCGCAGACAAGAGGGGACGGTCTGCGGATGGAAGAGTATTTCGAAATGTTTATGTTCGGGCACCATGTAATTTCGATTGAGTACTATGTCCCGGAAATCATCTGGTGGGGCGATACCTATTCTTCTGGGTGGATGAAGATGAAAGAATCCAGGGGCATGACGGTGGAGACCGACATTGTGATTTCGATCTTCGGTGGCGCGACATGTACGGATTTTGAAGGCGATGGGATCACCGAAGATGCCGTACTATGCAGTCAGATTCAGGATGCATACCGGAGGTTGAATCTACAGCCTTGCACCCCGTCAGACCAGACGAAGCTGAACGAGTGGAATTACTCGCACTGGTATGATTGACTTTTTTCCAGGCTGAGGTTGTCTTTCTCGGAATGGAAGTAATATATTGTATATTGCAGAATTCGGGTAGCGATTCTGAATATCTTATATCTCTGTATTTATACTTAAAAAATTACTATAAATATATATGTTGTATACTGTATATATCTCTCTATAATATAAAGCTTTTAGAATTGAAGATTATCGAAAGTTGGCTCTAAAATCTACAGTGTGAATTCAGTACCAGGGGCTGGGATCCGGGGATTCCGAGATATATGCAGTACACATATATTACACGTATATTTTCTATTAAGTATTTCTACTTGGATATGATGAGAATCTGTACTTCTCCTTGTAATTTACATATGTATTATCTATATTCTAGATGCTTTCATATAATATCCAGTATTCAAGGAGAGTATAATACTAGGCGGTAAATAGGCTGTTGTTGCCGAGTGGCCGCGGTGAGCCTCCGTACCCGTAAAACGTGGGGGTTGACCACAACAAGTTAGTCGGTGCTTTGCACTACTGCAGGTGAGAAATTAGGGCAAGAAGATTTGACTAATAGTGTTGCATGGATAGAATCACTGAGTATCCACCATGATTCTATCACTGTGGGCAGTTCAGGTGCGCGATCTTGTGCATACAAGTAGTTCTTACATACGCCAGCTCTTTACAAGAAATACCAGTGGTTTGATATGCAGAAACCTTCCTTTCCCGCAAGGTCTATGACCTCTTAAGATACATACATACAGCTTGTGCACGGTCATGTACATGTGTCTAGTAGATTAAGATACCCCAGTACCTCTATGCTCTATGGATGTACATCATTCTATACCTCGTCGGTCGCAGCCGTCTATTTCGTAATCTCGACACCTCCAACCTAGTTCAATGGTCAGTAAAACTTTCTGCATGATTCACTGGGGATGACTTACAGCGCCCATGGCCTTCTTGAGGTCACCTGCCAGAAACATGCGTTAGCCGTCATCGATCAATACTCGCCAAGCCATACAACCGTTCGATACTTACCGTAGATGGCGAACTGTCCAGCAGTCAGAGCACCAACCATGACCAGACGAGCGCCAATACCGCTGAAAGAGCCACGGAGACCAAGCTCCTTCGCGATCTTGATCAGTCGGCTGGTCGTGCCCTCGCCGGGGAGACCCTTGGTCTTGTTGATCTTGGAGAGCATGGTATCGGCGGGCTGCGAGACAATAGCGGCGGCGAAACCGGCGATCAGACCAGATCCAAGGTTGATGGCGGTCTGCATGCCGTCGCTGGTCTTCTCCTTCTCGAAGAAGTTGGCGTAGGCGAACTCGGCGACTTTCTCGTAGACGACGAACTTGGACATGGTGTATGGGACCCTGCCACATGTGAGTCATGAGAGAGACATTGAGCTTGGTTGGACGCACTGCTTGAACAGGATGGGGCCAAAGCCGGAGTAGAAACCGGCGAGACCCTCCTGGCGGGCGATCTTGCCGAAGCCAGAGACAAGGCCACTGGCAAAGGTAGGCTCCGAGACCAAGCGGATACGGGTGGCCTCGAGCGGGCAAAGGGCAATATCGGCGAAGAACTCAGCAAAAGCGGACGAAACACAGTAGACGGCGATCCGGTTGTTGCTGGCATTCTCGTAGCCGATCGTGTTGATCGACTGCTGCTTGAAAAACTCGTAACCACCGAACTTCAGCGCACCCTGCAGGAAGTAACCCGCGAACGTGGGGCCAGCGCCGGTCAAAAGCGCGCCCGCGCCTTCGTTCTGGATGACCTGGCGGAAGCCACCGATCAGGCCGCGGTTGTAGGTGACAGGGTCGAGCTGGATCCGGGTCTTGACGCTGTGCAACGGTATTTGTCAGTCACCTTGTTGCGACCTTTCCGTTGCTTGTCGAGCTGGCGTCATCTCGGTTCTTTGCAAGAATTGGCGCTACTTACACATCGACGGGGGTGAGGCCACCGTGGGTGACGGAACAGCAGACGGCGCCGGCGAAAGCGAAACGCGAGTAGAGGTTCAAGCCGGTCAGCTTCTGAGGCTCAGACTTGGCCTCGGCGGGAGCGGCTGTTGTAGCGCTCATCTTGCCGGTATGATATAGAAGGGAAGTTGAGGGATGGAGTGGAGAATGATACACCAGGATGAAGCAGAACCTTGTCGAAGAAGGTGCAGGAAGTTGCGAAATGGCTTTTCACCCAGGAACTCCCGGGCAAGACCGTCCCGAAAATAATCCGGAGGCTGCTGACGCCAAGTCAGCATTCATTTGGGGTCGGATCGATGATGTGATGTGACCGTGATCAGCTTTGGAGGATTTAATTTAGCATGCTCCATCACCCTAACCCCATTGGGCAGAATTGGGGCTATTCGGGCCGTCGGCATCTCCCGGGTGGATCCTCCGTAGCCATACTATGTACTATAGACTATAGTGGTATAGAAAAATCTATCGGTACTTATGGTGATATGAATGTTACGAATGGAGCGCTGTAGGGCTAGGAGCAAAATCGTTGCTCATAACTTTTATTGCAGGCGGTCAAGATCACGTGATGCGGAAGGGGTGCGCATTTATGTTGGAATATGCACGTCGCTGTCAAGAATTGAAGAAGATAGCCACATAGCACTACTACTGTACCGAGGATGGTCGTCAGTGCAGTGACATTAGGCCGTCAGTTGACGGGCAAAAAAGGACTCTACACGATAACGAAGCAGTTGCAAGAGAGTGTTTGGCTAGCTGTGTAATGCCTAATGATCCCTACTTTCTCACCAACTTCTAACGCTTAGAGCCTTACAGGACCCCAAATAAGGAGACTGTCGTGGTCAAGAGTGTGCAACATTTTCGCCTAGGAAATGAAAGAGACGTTCTTCTCCGTTTCCAAACCCGATCCCCCTACCTCCGCACGCTTCTTGATGAAATCGAGGATCCTCCAGGGCCGCCGGCTCTCATTCTCAAGTATCTGGATGATGATCTTTGGAATGCATCCAACTGCAAAACACTTACGCGACTCGAAGTAAAATATGTTGCGAAAAGAGTATTGGAGGCTTTAGCTGTTTTGCATGGGGAAGGTTACGTGCACACTGGTACGTTCCTTGATGTGGATTCAATTTCGGCTGAAGATAACTGATTAAATTACCGTAGACATAAAGTCTAGTAATGTACTGGTCAATTATCAGGAAAGTGATATCCGCTTTAGTGATGTCCAGCTTGCCGATTTTGGAAGCACCGTTCATATGAACTCTCCTTACGCTCAAGACGGAGATGCTATTGGGACGCCGATCCTCAGAAGCCCTGAAGCGCAGTTACAGATGAGATGGGGTACTGCAACAGACATTTGGTCTTTCGGTGTAATGGCAAGTTCCACATTACTATATATAACCCCGCCTGTTACTGAAGGCTAATGCTTGATACTGGATCCCAGCTCATAAGTTTGATATACGGGGAAGGCTTTCATATTTTCAAACCCGATGTATCTGCAGACGACGACGAATATGAACTCAAGATTCTCATGAAACATCATCGGTGCTTTGGACCATTTCCTGCATCATATGAGGAGATCGCCGACGGTGACAGAATCGCAGTCCTGATATGGATCATGCAAAATAGTCCCCCGGAAACACTCAGGCCTTTCCGTCTCACGTCTGCGCGAGAGATTTGCCACGGCGATAAGGAATTTGTGCTCAAGATAATGAAACTTGACCCAAGAGATCGGCCAACTGCAAGGGCACTTTTAGAAGATGACTGGTTTTGTCAATTATAAAGTAATACTCAACTATCGGGGTTCATGCTAAAGGGGGAGAACAACAGTGCCATAATGATTCACTTACAAAGATGTTGGCGCTTCTAGCTTCGTAAGACATTCAACACAGAGTATCTTGTGTACAGTAATACCCGACGGGGCAATGTGGACAAAAAAAGGGCAACCACAGATATATCTTTATTAGACTCTGTAGAGGTCTCTACTATATCTAGTAGGATAGGAGGCTGGGGACATACTTCTGACGCCAACCTCTCCTTTAAGAGTAATATTGAAAATCCTTTCATAGCAAGATCTCTTATAGGAGAGGAAAGTCCATTCCCTATTAATAGTAATACAACCAATCACACACTGCAAGCAAACAAAACTACCTTCTAAGTCTCTCCAACAAAGCCCTATCTCTAACATTCATACCCCTCCTCTGCGCAGTAGCAGCCGACTGAGACTGTCCACCTTCCTGGCTCAAAATCACCCACTCCGCTACCGTCGCGCCTGCATCCTCCTGCTCACCACCCAGGGCCTGGTTCCCAGCAATCAGCAAAGTGGCATACCTCGACGGCCTCACAGTCTGCTGAAGCTGCGCAGTAGTCGTATTCCCAACGGGAATGCGAACCTGGTTCGCCTCCTCAGCCGTGTAAATTGTCGAGGGCTCAATACCCGTCAAGGTCAGAACAACTCTGAACTTCTCATCCTCCTCATCTTGACCCTGGTTCTGGATGCCAAACGCAAACACCGAAGCAGGATTCTCAATAGCCTCCTCATGGAAGATCACCGACGCATTAACCGGCGGCGCAGAGGCCCAATCGAAATGGAACCCGGACACGGCATTGGCCAACTGCGTATCTGACAGCGTAACAGTGATGGAAGAGAGCTTCGAGGAAGCAGGCTGCCATTTCGTAGACGTTGCGCCGTCGTTAGCGGAGATGGGGAACTGGCCTGCCTTGTACTCGTCCGGGGACGTGATGGGCTGGCATTGGATTTGGTTTCCCTGCATTGTGGGGATTGTGCCGATTTGGCGGTTCGCGACGACCAAGGGACGTCCTGTGGGTTGGAGGGTGTGGGTTTCTTTTTCTCCGTCACTGCCAACGTGGACGGGGATTGTGGCGTTTCGGAAGCGTTCGTCGGCTGTGGAGAGGGGCGCGGTTTTGGTGTCGCGGCGGATCGTGGTGTGGGTGTAGTTGGACTCGGCGGCGATGGGCCAGCCGCGCCAGTAGAAGGTTCGGTATTTTACGTAGGGGATTTGCGGGGGCAGGTTGGGCGTGATGTGGATTGCCTCGTCGGGGAGGAGACGCAGGCCCAGGTATCCGAATAGCACGACTTGGTTGGCGCCGCCGTGGCCGGTTAGGAATGGGTAGGCTGGGTGGGTGCCGCCGTTGATGCTGGCATTGTCGAGCATTTGCTCGGAGAGCTGGAAGAAGGGGCCTCGTGTGTAGGGGTCGTAGGAGTATTGGTGGTAGGTCCAGGCTGAGCAGCCGGACGGGGAGACGTCGCTAGCTACGATGGAGAAGATGGCCCAGGTCATAGCGGGGCCGTCGGCTGATTGTTTGTTTGCGTACTTTTTGGTAGTTAGTATTCGTATGCGATAGAGAGGTAGTTGATTTGGACGAGAGAGGGACTTACATAGTCGAGGTCTGAGAGACTCATCTCAGCGGTGTAGTCGCTCTCGTAGGCCAGTGGGTAGGTAACGAGGACGACATCCGCCTGTTTGACCACGGCGGTACCATTCATCGAGGTGTACTCGAGGGTCACATTGTTCTGGCGCAGAAGCAAAACGTTCTCTGAGATCTCGGTCCACGTGTCATTGGGCTCCAGGTTGAACTGTTCGCGGAACGTGTTGGCATTTTCCAGAGTCTGAGCGATGAGGGGCATCGTAAAGCCACCGGCATCGACGTGGTTTGCGTACTCATCCTAAAACCTGTTAGCAGTGCGACGGGATGATTGGGGATGACAGAGGCTACCGGATCGGTCATGTTCGTCAAGGTCCAGCTAGACCCATTTCGCTCAACAAGGTTGGAATACAGTGTAGCCACTGAGTCGTAGATCGGGAAATGCTTCTCCTGGAAGTACTCCGTATCGCCGCTGGCGACCCACTGGTAGATCATAGAGAGTCCAATGTCACCGTTCAGGTGATACTGGTAGTCAAAGCAGGCACCAGTCGCCGTGCAGTTTCCGGCGCGGCCGCTGGTCCAAGGATAGATCGCAGCCGAGGGGTCAAACCGAGTTTGGTTCTTAGAGCTGGCAAACGCCGTCTTGACATTGTCCTTGGCCTGCTGGTATTTGGCGACTCGGTAGTTGGTCACACCCTGTGCAGCTTCGGGATGGGACGCCACCAGACCTGGTTGCATCCAGACGTCAGCGTCCCAGAAGACTTGACCAGCATAGGAATCGGATGTGAGTCCACCGACGGAGAAGCTAGTCTCGTTGACAGTGGCGTTGGAGACCGCTGCGATGGCGTTCTGGCTCACGGTATTCTGCAGCAGGTAGTAAATGTTGGTGACGGCGATGACGGCCGAGTCAATGACATGTTGGTCTTCAGGGAGCTTGCCGGTAGCTGGGTTGGTGAAGCGGTCGACCGAGTTCTCGTGCATAATATTCGCCCACTCGGAGGCGTGCGACTGCAGAGAGTTGGTGTAGCCCGCTGCCAGTGCTGCTGCTGCAGCTTCCTTGGCTGTCTGTTTGGGGTTGGCGAAAGCATCAGTAGAGGCTCCGCCGACCAACTTGGTGATGCGGACGGGTTCGTTCGCGGTGAATTTAACCTGCACAGTCTGCACGACGGAGGACTCGTTGGTATTCACGTAGGGCTTCCCGGTCACGAGAGTGCGGGATGAAAGGTCGACGTTGGCGGATCCGGTCAGGTTAGCATAGATATACGCAGTGACGTTGGAGATGCCCCAGGGCCGCACAGCCGAAAAGAGCGCGCCGTCGTCTTGACCAGATTCGACAAAGTCAGTTCGTACCGCTGAGTAGCCGTCGATCACATTTGCCACGGTCGCATCGGCGTCGACTGATGGAATGATCTCCATATCCACCACGGCTTGCGTGATGTTCAGCTTGTTGGCGAACAGGCGATAGGTGATCTCGAAGGAGCCTTTATCCGCAGGAGACCAAGTGTACGACCACGATAGGACACCAGCCTTGAAATCGTAGGTTGATTGGAAATCGGTAATGGTGCTGTCATCCACCGTGGAGTCCAAATAAACATCATCGCCCAAGTCAAGGATCAGACCACTCCAGTGGGGAACACCACTGATCGCTGTGTCCCATCCATACTGGGACAACCAAGGAAAGTTGGTACCGTTCGTGGTTGGCTGGGAGTCGTAGAAACCAGCGATGGTTGCGAATGACTGTCGTCGTGAAAAGAGCGGCCAGCCGTTGATGACATCGCCGTCTTCTTCTTCGTCAAGCTCAAAGAAGGGGCCAACACTGGCAACATTAATACCAAGGTACCCATTTGCCACGGAACCGCGCGACTGATAATGGCCCTGGTCCAAGGTAGTTGTCTTGAGGAGCCAATTCTCCTCATCCCAAGTGACGCCGTCGAATTTAGTCTCATACACATGGTCTGAGTCGGCGGCCTTCTGGCTGGAGCCTTCGTGCCGCTTCAAGATCTTAGCGACGCGGGGGGTATGTTTGCTTTGAGTCCCCTGGCTTGGAAGACCATGGACTGCTGTTAAGAGCAGCGCCCATGGCGCGAGGTTCTAGGACCTAGTCAGCTTTTCTGGTCTCTTATTTGGAACCTTAATGAGAGTGGAGGTGGTAGGCCGCTGCTTACCCTGAGTTTCATTGTCAGTGCCTCTCAGGAAGCACTAGAAAATTAGATTGAATGGTGTCTTGCGAGCAAAGTGCAGGACTACCAAGGCACTTAAATAGAGGCAGAAGCTTAAGCCTGGAGGGGTCTATCCCCGTCGCAGATTAAATCCCCACATTCGTATCCCGGACGGGGAGCATAGGCGCCGATCCTGGAGGACCGGTGCGGAGTTTACCAGCCGTACCAGCCGTTCGATTTGGAAAGCCACTACTCAAAACAGGTACTTAAACGGCACTCGGGTCCCCGTTGAGGTATTTTTCTCTGCCCAAGGATTGTTCGCACAGACCTGTCACCGTGAACCAAGGGTTGTATTGGCCAAGAAGCAAGTGAATGAATGAATGAATGGAAGCAATTTGCGGGGTTGAATCAGCCACATCCGCCTATACCGAGTCTCTCACTGCAAAGATCGGGATTGGCCGAGTGGAAGAGGGAGCCGACAAGGCCTCCGTACTCATGCCGAGTCGATCATTGCCTTTTGCAACTGGGTTTAGTGTGGCCGGTAATTGTCCGTTAAGGTTACATGGGGAAGCGAGAGTTGACATCATCTTTTTCTTGGTCTGGTCTTGGCCATCTTATCATCCAGGGTACCAGGCGAAGGATGGCACCATTTCCACCTTAACACTGACTAACATTTAATAGTATTAAGGTTGGAAGGATTTGAGGCTTTTAGAAACATTGTGGCTTAGCATTTCTACTTTTTATGTCTCTGCGCTTCTTTTCTTCTTCTTTTTGCGCCAAAGTCGTTAGTTGGTATTCCTCCTAGGGCCCTTGCCCTAACTGAAAGTATGCAGGAAGACTCAGCAGGCCAAGTCGAAATGCCATAATTCATTGAACCAGCGATGCATAAGATATATAGATCTTATCAAAATTATGTGCGAGATAAGAAGGAAAGGCCAAAACCTCACAGGAGCGATCGACGATCTAAAGTCTATCGCCGGTGGTAGTAACTAGCAAGGGTAGCAGCATGATCTAATCCCTCGCACCTAATCTATCACCTATGGGAATGTCGCCTGAGGAGCTTAATATAACTTTAAAAATAGCATAAATTTAACTTGTCCTATTGAGGACATATCTACGATTGTCAGTCTATTGTTCAGGCAGCAGAATGCAGGCCTGGAAGGGTACATTCCGCTGCCTGGTAGGCAACATTCACCACGGTTTCACAAACAGATTCAATGATTAACTAGTGATATGTCTTGACCTCAATGTGCTCTCTACATGGCCTTGTGCCTCTGTTTTGTCCAGTGTGATACCCCTCTATCAGTTATACTTTCACAGTTGGTATTGCAACCAGCCTGAAACACTCCACACTCACATCACTCATACTCGTCTCCTCCTCACGGAACAAAGACAATGCCCGCCCTCTACGTCGCAATCTACTACCCCCGCTATGGGAACTACCAACACTGGGCTCTCCACCTCCACACCGCAACCGAAGACCTCATCTTCGAAGTCGACGGCGAACACCCTTCCTTTCGAAAGGTGACGTCCCGCGGCAAGCCCTCCGACTCCGACCTCCTAATAATGTCACTGCTGGTCGGCGAAATTGGGGATCCTGATGTGCCCACCGTCCAAGCGGCGGTAGAGGCCGCCCGCGTCGACAATGAGACACTCGCATGGGATTGTCAGGAATATGTGCTTGAGATTCTCGAAGCGTGCGAGCAGGAGGCACTATTGGATAGAGACGATGACCACTACATTGAGGTGATGAAGTTCTTGAAATCGAAGCGGGGGCCAACACTTTGATGGTTGATATTGTTGTTGTCGTTGTTTTGGCGGATATGAATTCCGAGTTCGGCTTTCGGCTCCGGTGTCAGTTCAGAATAGGGCTTCAATCTACCAGTAACGAGGTCGCATCCAAGGCTATTAGGAATCTGGGTACTTAAAATTCAGCGTTGTTAAAATGGGTCATAGCTTGCGGATACCTGGTTAGGAGTAACCCCGTAAAAATAAGAGTATGTTACCGAACATCTGTGTCATGAAGTTATCCAAGGTTCTTTGACAGCAAGCACCGCTCGCTTCGCCTGTGCTGAAATGCAGCCCGACTATTGCTAAACCTGGTAGGTTTATATGTTATGCAGAGCGATAAATCGGCGTTGTCTATCTCCGCAAATAAGGCTGAAGTAGCCACGTCAGTGCTCAGCCTTGTAGGGTGTATCTATCTCAAAGAACCTCAATGAACAAGACTCTGATGGTAATGAATTGATCCTTGAAGAGCGTGATAAAAACGTTTAACACTATTGGTACAACCCTAGGTAAGATGACCAGCAGCTCTTGAGGTAGCAAATCTAAAATTTCAAGGCTGCAAAGCTCTCCTCAATACTCAGCAACCCTTCCACGCCCAAATCATCCTTTGTCAAGATGTCCTTACTTCCCGCCCAAGGATTCCGGTCCATATACCGGTGGAAATCCATCATCTTGGCAATCACGTCAACGCCCGCGTTAGTCCACAAGGTACTAAATGTCTTAATATTGACCTCAACATAAAGAGCTTTCTTTCCGTTAACCTTTGCCCAGCTTTGCAGCAGCTTCTCGGGGGTTGTCTGCTCTGTGAATGCAGAGACAGTCTTGCCCAAGGTGGTCTTCTCGGGGTGTTCCAGGATAGCCTTGACAAACAACCCGACATTTGTCCGAGCATGGCCCAGTCCGAGGATAGGAGTATCACCGGGGGTGCAGAGGAGCTGGACATACTGACCAGCACCGGGGATCTCCACAGGAGCGAAGGTGGGGTACGCGAAGTCCTCAGAGTAAAATCCGAGGACCAAGAATGTCGTCTTTGCCAGGAGCGCACTGTCCAACTGAATAAATTTATCAACCTTGTTCTTTCCTTCGAACTGGGGGACCATGATCTTCCCGCCAGTGACATCCATGCTATTCGGGAGGGTTGACCAGATGTAGTGGTCTAAGGTAGCGATCGCCGCCGCAGCCTTAGCCAAGTTGATTCCCTGCTCTGCCTCAATGGCGATGGCCCTTTCCACACTACCAGTACTGAAGTACGGTTCTGCAAAATTGGTCATTGCAAAGATCGCAGAGGAACCGTCAAATGCAGCAATCAGAGATGGGACGTCTGAGGCATCGGCGCATACAACCTGCACGCCTTTTTGCGCCAGTTTCTGCGCGGCCTCGCTGGCGGGGTTTCGGGTCAGGGCACGGATCTGATACACGTTTTCTTTCAGGAGGGCATCGATGACTGAGCCGCCCTGGACGCCAGTGGCGCCAACAACCGAGATAATCTTCTTTGCCATGGTGTTGTGATTGACTCTGGATTCTTCGTGGGGCTAGCCTTCCTATAAAATAGGGCTGAGGGACTAATCGCTGGTCAAGAGCGTCAGATTGTAGCTTGAAATGGACTGCTGCACAGCTAAAGCCTTGATGAGGCCGGACGTTGAGAGAGCTTTATATATTTCAATCATCCGACGGGGTGACAACGCGGACTCCAGCACTGCGTTGTCAATGGCCATCTGCATGTGAAATCCCTATTCATGGTTTGTAATCCGAGACATCCAGTTTGAGGTATATACCTAGTAGAATGGACAGGAAAGGGTTCGAAAAGACCATTATTAATGGGCCATGTCCCCGGTAGGGGTGGTTATGCGCAACAAAATTGCATAATGACTACGGGGGCATTTAATTCAGAGCTTTCTGCCACATAGCACTAAAGTTTAACGCGAATTAGGTTTCTTTATTAAACCTAGTGGAGTGGAGCTTGGGAGCTCGTGGCGACGGCCTGCCACTCAATCTCTGTTGAAGTACTTGCAGCACCCCCAGGATTCGGGACCCCTGGCACAACTTTTTTTATATTGTTAATTGAGTGGGCTGGATAGCTTAGATTTACTCGTTTATTCTGCTTGGGTGTTTGGTACACACTGTAATTGAAGCATTCCAATCCAGAACCGGCCATATAATTAGAATATACGATTGTACTTTACTATACGGACTACGAATATGTAGGCATAGTAGTCAATTTGGATAAAATACACCAAATACTCTGATTATAGACGACAATCTCACCCTCTGTATCCATTATCAGGGCGATCTACATGATGCTTAACCCAGGCTACGGCCTGGTAACATGTCTCTATCACAGAACACTGACAAAGACTTTGCAACTTATGCTGGCCTTTTTCCCTCTTTGGGTAAAATGGTCAGCTGTCCATTGATCGGGTCGCAAAGTGCCCGGCTTCCGGGACGGCTGAATTTGGTCCGATCCGAGACAGCAAATCTATAGAGTCTAGACTATAGAGTAGCCCTAATGGAGCTTTTTATTAAAAGGCTTTACTAATCACTATATATATGCTCTCTATATTGCTAGAACCATATACGATCAAAGTCATTTAATGAAAAGATCGTGGTATATCCGTGGTGGGATACCTAAGGGGCATCGTCTTTAACAGGATATATCATAGATCAAATCAATAGCGACGTACTAAGAACTACTACGAACTCCACATGCATAACAGATTATCGACTAGCCACTAGGTCGCATGCATAGCGATCAGGATTTTATGCTCATATCTCATATTTTTATTCATAATTATTCTCTGTAAATCCATGCACGCCTGCTGGGTAAATGTTATTGAGACTTTCTGATTAGCCGGCCTAATCAGTATTGGCATGTCGACCGTTACAGCATGATCCTTACAACTGAAATAGACTTAAAGGGTACGTCAGGGTAAAAGAAGCCATTGTGCCCATACCTAGAGGGCATTCACCATCTTAATCCTATCCGTCGCCACGCTTCCTTCCTCATTGCTGCTGCCGTGTCCTGTGTTCTCACCACGGCCCCCTGATTCTCAACCGCCCGACGCAACAAGAAATGAAGACACTCCTCGGTAGTTCCCCATGCCAGGCACTTGAAAACCTTCGGAAACACAGATGCCTCCACGGGGCTTTTCCCGCTCGACGGATCGTCGGACTCCGGTCGATACTCGGCCAATAATCCGCAGCTCACCTCGTCCGCCATACCCTGCAATTGGCCCATCTCTAAGGGTATCGTGGGTAAGCCGTTGAGAATCCGGTGTCTCGAAGTCGAATATGCCCTCCGCACACTTTCCGCATTATGCGTTGCGACGAAAAGCCTAGCATCTGGGAACTTCGTGTCCTGTAATTCTTGGAACGGAGATTGCCGCGAGAGCAGACTCTCCACAATGTGGTTGTAACTCCGGTCGGTGTCAGCTTTGGTATCATGGATCCTGTCCCGGATATCGTGTTGGATGTACGCGCCCCGGACTAGTTTGATCCCCAGCGCCCAACCTTCCTTTCCAGCGAGCGTGAGATGGCGATGGACATTTTCGGCGGACGATTTCAAATACGCCTGGACGGTGTTAAGCACGACGACCCTGCCGTCGCGGTTGAACTGTCTCATGAGATCGATCGTCCAGGCATCAATGGCTGGTTGGAAGATCTGTTGCTCGGCGTCGATCCAGAACCGGGAACCCTGGGCGGCAGTGGCTTCGCAGATTTCTATAATAGCTTGCTTGATGCGTGGTGGCGGGACGAGATCGCCGCGAGCGAGAGCTTCGACGGCTGCAGGGCCGGCGCCGGTGAATCTAATCGTGTTAGCATATGTCGTATACTATGTTTCACGTGGGTCGTGCCATACTTGATATTCATGTAATCCCCCCTGCCGACCATTCGGAGTGTCCGTAAATTACCCTCTTTCCATTCGTCTACTGCACGGTCTTCGATGGCCTGTGCATTCTTCCATTCTTCCACGTGGGAACCGGCACCATCGATCTTTGCGACGGACTCGCGGGCATATCCGAGGATGACGCCCTTGAAGCCGAGAGTCTTCATGTCTTGGACTGTTTTGCGAACTTCCGTCTCATTGACACCCGCACAGAAGTGGTTGTAGATGGTTGCGCGGAGGATGTAGTTCATGATGGGGTTCTTAGACGGGCTAAGCAGCGGTGACTTGGAATCGACCACATATTTCAGCACCGCGATGGAGGGTTTCAGGAGCGGCGACGCCATTGCTGACGTCAGGAACAAAGAGCGAAGCAGCGTCTTTGTCGGTAAGTCCGCGAGAGGCGCCCTCTTTTGCGCAGGCGATGCATGGAGGCTCGCATTGTGGACGGGCGATGATGATGACGCCGCAGCATCGGCCAGCGGCTTGGACGCAGAGTAGAACGTTTCTGGCTTTCTGGGCCAGAATACCTTCGGCTTCATTTTGGTCAACTTGTGTCTGACAGCATTTGATATGATCTCGTGCTGCACTATTTATCTTACGATCTCGTCGCTCGTGGGAGGGGTATGCCTGCCATTTGCGCTTTTGCTCCGGGGAAATCGATAGGCGGCTTGAAGACCGATTGGTCTTCGGGCGATGATCGTCGTTGATCTGGGGTGATAAGGCGATGTGAGATGTCATCGTGGACCGAATAAGCTCTGAACAGATGGCTGTCGGAGGGGAAATCCGCATCTCTGCTCGGTTAGGGTTTCCGCGCGGAGGTGGGATGCGCTTTTCTCCTTGCGTCGTCGTCCACGTATACGGATTTTCCAGACACACACCGACACGAGTATTACTCAGGACTGAAAAAGTCTATAACTATTCATGTCTAAATCGATCATGTAATACCCCTCATTCACATACATACATACATACATACATACAAAGCCTGACTTGGCCAATCTACGTCTCCCCCCTCAGGTGCTTGATACCTCTCACCAACGCCTCAGCATACGCCCCGCGCACCCCATTCTTCTCTAAGGCATACAATCCCTGGATGGTACACCCCTTCGGCGAGGAAATACTCTCCCTCAAAACCGCCGGATGAACCCCTTCCCTCAACAACCCCGCCAACCCCTCCAACACCTGCGCCGACACCTCCATCGCATCCGGGCGTCGAAAGCCCTCCATGACAGCACCATCCATAATGCCATCAACAGCCAGACTCATGAGCGCCATGGCCGCCCCAGAAACCATCGACCCGGCATTCACCAAATCCGGTGCCACAAACTTCACCGTGCCAATCTGCTCAAAGACCACGTCAGAACCTCCGCCCGGGCTGGCGAGAGCGCCGCATTCTCCTCAACAATCGTCATGGACTGACGCAGTCGCGCGGCCACATTCGGCATGGCCGTGACAATCACCGGCCTGTTCTCCGTCGTCTGGGCTGAGCCGCCATCCCCATAAATGAACTCCATGATCTCGGCCGGCGTCTTGCCCGCCATGACGCTGATCACGAACTTCCCCACCAGCGCCGCCGACACGCCCGGCTCGGCCAGAATGCTCTGCGCCAGGAAGGGCTTGCACGCCAGCATGACGATGTCTGCGTCTTGCATGGCGCGCACATTGGCCCCGTGCGCGACTGTCACCCGGGACGAGTCTGCGGCGTATTCGGCGCGCAGCTTGGCCGCTGAGGTCGCGCTTTTCGTGCTCACGGTGAAGTGCGTGATTTTGGCGGTTGCGGGTTCCGAGCGGGTGGCGTCTAGCAGCCCGCTTAGGATTGCGGAGCCCATGTTGCCTGCGTGGCTTTTGTTAGCGGGTTCTTCTGTCATGCTGGAGGTTGGGGGGAAGACGTACCGCAGCCGATGAATGCGAGGGTTGTTGGCATTGTGATTGCGTTGTTTTGTTTTGGGGTTCAGGTGGCTGGTGTTGTTGGTTGGTAGAGGCGTCGTTTTGTGGTCTGGGATATGGTGGTGTTGGTGTTCAAGCTGTCGGGCGGAGATTCCGAGCTTGACTCATTGATATGGCTATCTTCGGACGTCGTCGCCGCGGTCGTTGATCTGGTGGTGGATAAAACGGGTGAATTTTTGGTGGGCCGCGAAGTTATCGTCCATTGAGCTTTTGCTTGGGTATTAGGCAACCTGGCATGGTTTCTACCTATCTAGTCTAACGATATACCTGACGAGTGAAGGTCAACAATTATGTAGTCACCATGCTCTCATAGGCTGGAATGGATGATGCAAAAAAGAGAGGGCCCACCGCGGATCGAACGTGGTACCTCTCGCAGATTTCATACCACTAGGCCACCTACGCGGTGGAAAGATTGGCGGCAGCCTATTATAATATAGAAGAACAAAATCTTAATTTCAGCATATTAAATATCTAGGGTTCTAAACCTTGGTCAACTGTGGTGTTTGTTCCACAATATCATATATTTTGTAGTGTTTCGGGTGTATATGAGGAAGTTGAATCAGTACGAGAGATCTACAGCGATTTTCACAGCGATTATATGGGTTTTACGTAATTTTTCTTGCGGGTGACTTTTGCCATTGGTAAAGCTAGTGGTTATATATAATAGTTACTACCGTATTCTAGGGCTAAGAAGTCGGGAGGTCAACCTAGAGTAGTCTCGATCCCAATGGATCCCTTTTTTTATCTATAAAGAGGTAGAAATTATATACCAGATACCAGAAAGTAGATATCGAGCATCTCAGCCAGGAAAACTGTACCTAAAGCCCCAACTCACCCACATCAGCCCTCGGCCGCACCCCCTCCACCATATCCGCCACGACCCTCCCAGTCCCCAGCGACAGCGAGATCCCCCAAGGACCATGACCAGAAGCCACAAACACACCACCGTGGCCATCAGTCCTCACGCCGCCTCCCAGTAAATCATCGTCTACCCGGCATACTACAGGCGTTCCCCGATCGGAGACAGGACGGAAGCAGAGTCCCTCACGAAGAACCTCCAGATCATCTGTGTCGCGTACCCCAGCATCCTCACGCATGAGCTTACCCATCAATTGGGCTGACACAGCCTCTAGCCTCTTCATCTCATTCTGATCGATCAAACTGCGAGACTCCTCTGCCCGACCCGGCAGTGGCATGTCCGGATCGTTCAGCCCAGCAATGTAGATCTCGCCGCCCTGTCGCGAGAAGATCTCGGGGCTGAAGCCGCAGGAGAAGGGGTTTGAGGTGAAGACAGCGTGGCATCGTCCTCCGTATGTTTGTCGCTCGTGTTCCAGGGTGTGTCTAGGAGAACGGAGGACGAGAGAGTATCCAGCCAACTGCGAGACGGAGATGGAGACCGGAGCGGAAGGGAAGAGCTCCTCGAAGACACGCGACGTCCAAGCTCCCGCACAGATAACCAGATGGGTACACGGGATCGTGGAAGCTTCCTGTGAGACGAGATCGACAATTCGGACGCCAGTAATACGCCCGTCTGCGTCGGTCACGAGCGAAGTAGCCTTAGCCGGATGGTGGAGCTCTACACCGCGAGATATAGCCGTATCCATCAGAAACCGACATAGTTTCAGCGGATCACTGGATAATCATTAGCCTACTACCCAACACTCAACTCAAGGGCAATACCAACACCTGGGCAGTATCGACATCACTGATCCTCTCCACCTCCACGCCCGGCTGAACCGTCAACCAAGCCGGAGCCCCCATCGCAGTCCCCAGAGTCGACCCAGAAGCAGTCTCCGCTCGACTAGCCCCCCTATCCATCCAGCCGTCACCACGAGTGCCATTTCCTCTTATAATCCTCGCATCATAGCTCAATGCCGTTCCTTTCATATACCCCCACCTCTCCACCCCACCATGCTCAACAGACAGACTCTCATGCAGCCCAAACGAAAGCTCACCCAAAGAAGCAACAGCTGGTGCAAACCAATCCCTGGCCAGAAACCCAGCCGCATACCCCGACGCAGAATTAAATAGTTGCGACGAGGATTCCACGACGTGAATATCTCCTGCTGGACGGGTCTCGGATAGGTAGTAGGCGGTTGCCGAGCCGATGATTCCTCCGCCGAGGATTACGGTTGGCATTTTGGGGGTTTGCTTCGGGGGTTCTGTGTTTTTGGTTTGTTTTTGGATTTTGTTCCTGATTCTGGGGAAAGTAGATTGGGACTTGATATGTAATCATCGGGGAGGGTTGCATTGCTTATCCTGTGGGGTATTGGCGAATTGCGGAGATGTGGCCGTCGGGTTTGATACTATCTCGGAGGCTAGTGATAGTGGTTTCTTCACGATTACTGGACAACGAGGTCGAGTGCAAGGATAGGTGATTGATTACTACCTATTAAGTGTGTATGATATGGATCATTTGGACCTCTTCCTCAGGCACCAGATGATGTCATGGCGTGAATGTCCCGACCGGTGATGCCTTGATTTTCAGGTCCGAGAAATCTTTGGGGAAAATGGCATTGGTTCGGACGAGAGTCAATTCAAATCAAGGAACTCATCCTACTTAGATTCTATGATTGGCCGACTGCCAGCGATGTGTAATACAAGGGGAATGATAAATAGCGACATGTTCTCCCCAGGTGATTCAGATAGTCGTCGCAGTGACCTGCGACAAGGTGTCAAGGTATACATACACTCGTCACTTGATAACACAAGATGGTCACAACCAGGCCCCAAACATTAGTCGGCAAAGTCGCTATTGTGACAGGCGCAACGAGAGGAATCGGCGCCGGACTGGCTGAAGAATTGGCCTGCCGAGGAGCTAAAGTGAGCAGAGTATACCCTGAACCCCATTCGCCGTCCCTTATCTAACAGCTGAATTAGGTTTTGATAACATATTCATCATCCAGCAGCGGACCCATCGCGGACCAATTAATCGAGCACATCAAAGGCTTCACCAACGGTGCAAGTGCAGCCAAAGTCCGCGCCGACCTCCGCGAACAACCCGCCGGACAGACGATTGTCGAAGCGTCGACCCAAGCGTTCGGTCCCCACATCGATATCTTGGTTAACAACGCCGGTGTGGAACTAGTGAAGTCCATTTCGGATCTCACGGTGGAAGATTACAACCTCGTCTACGACCTGAACGTCCGCGGCGCCATCTTTTTAACACAGGCTGCTCTCCCGCATCTGCGTGCGCCCGGCCGGATCATCAATATGAGTTCGATCGGTGCACGGGCGGGATTCGCCAATCTGTCGATATATTGCTCGTCCAAGGCCGCCTTGGAGGGCTTGACGCGGTGTTGGGCTGCGGAGTTGGGCGATGCCGGGCATACGGTGAATGCTGTTAATCCGGGGCCGGTGCAGACGGCTATGCTGGAGAATATTCCGAAGGAGTTGGTGGAAATGCAGAAGTCTGTAACGCCGGTGGAGCGTCGGGTTGGGACGATTGACGATGTTGCGCAGGTTGTGGCGTGGCTTGCTTCCGAGGAGAGTCGATGGGTTTCGGGGCAGGCGATTGCCGCTTCTGGGGGGTACGCGATGTATTGATTCTTGGGTACGTTGGGTGTTGGAGGTCGCAGATAGAAGTCAAATAGTCTATGGGATACCGATGGTTGGAGTCTGTAAGAAGTGTAAAAGAGAGACTATGTTGAAGATTTCATTTGAGAATAACAATTGCCAATGAGAGACAAAATACTGCATGAATACTGTATCCACGCGTTGTGTGCAAAACAAACTATGCCTGGTTCTGATATGTATACGGCTACTTATATGTGTGGCGCCTCTGTATCCCTTATAAGCATTAAATACTTGCCATGTCCGCAGCTTCGGGATCGGTCACCATGTGAACAGCGTCAAAAGGCTGGTGTGTAATGGTGCTGCAGTTTCCTGTAGTCTTCCAACTAGCGAAGCGCCCATCAATAAAGGCCAACCACTCAGGGGAACTCGCAGTCAGCACATCAGAGTGATCCATTCCAGGATACAACCTGAGGTGGGCCTCGTTCCCGTAACGACAGGCGTCTTTGAACGAGCTAATGGTAATCTGGGGCAAGACGGCTGTGTCATTCAAGCCCTGGATGATCATCATAGGCTCCCCGGCCCTGTCACCATTGGCGGGAGCGACCATATCCTGCCACTTCTGGAAGTCCGGATTGTTTTTGATTGCTGAAGTAAAGAGATCTGAAGGTTTTAGTCCATAAGCGAGCGACATGATACCGTAATTACATGCTTGTGCCATATCGGCAATCTTTGTTCGATTCTGGAGTGTTTCGGCAAACGGCGCGCGGCTCATGTTTGGGAAGACACGCTCAATGGCAAACGGTAGCCAGATGGTCTCATAGAGGATGTCGTACGACGCATAATCGGAGGTCTGAGATAGTGACTCGACACCAAGTAGAGTCATGTCGTAAATCTTGGAGGCAGGTGCTAATGCAACAGTGCCCAGGTACTTTCCGGCGGTCCCAGTTTGAAGCAACTTGCTCTCCGAAAGCTTCCAGACGGAGCCACCTCCCTGAGAATGCCCAACACCCATCCATCCATCTGTGAAGAGCCCAGGGAAGGCTTTCCGAGCGGCAACCATACTATAGTAGAGATCATTGGCATGCGCAGGGAAACTAAGGTATTTATGTTCCGTGTAATTGTTTCCGAGACCAGCATAGTCAGGCGCGATGATGGCGTAGCCCTTCTCAATGAGGATACTCCAGCTGGTATAGTCGTAGAGAGTTGGAGTAGTGGATGGCGGGCATCCAGCAAACACGCCGATGGTGCCGTGGGCGTAGGCAATGGCCGGGTACTTTTTGTCCTTTCGGAACGATGTATAAGGTATTCCGATGAATCCCGTAGCCGGGACGAGGGACCCGTCTAGGTCTTGAGAAGTATATTGGAAGCGGTAGGCAGACATGCCACTGATAACATCGAGGTCATTTGGGTCAATGGCTTCAAACTTCAACAGATCACCGGGTTGGGATCGGGAGAAATTGGATGCCGTGGCATAAAAGCCGAATTCAAAATCAGTCCCGAACAGCGTCCGGTCCTCAGCTTGCGCATAGTCAAAAACCGCCTGGCAAGTAGTATCGCACCCGTAGGTCTCAAGGGTTGCAGTTGATAGGTTAAAGTTTGCAGCAGCTGGAGCAACAGTCAAAGATGGGACGGCTAAGCCGAGAAGTATAACCAATGCTAGCATGGTTGGCCGTACAGAACTATGAGTATTAGACACGAGTTATAGAGAACGAGACATAAGAAAAAAAGCCATCGAGAAGATCGGGCAGCTCTCATGTCTTATAGATATGAATTCGTCAGCTCTCATGTCGAGATAGGGCTTCGTTTCCGACCCCAGATGCCACTATTCTGCTTTGGGCAACAATGTCGCGAAAGTGGGGAAACCCTAGAACAAGAACCTCGGGCAGTTAACTCCTGGACCAACTTCGCATCTGCCTTTGCCTCGTACTTTCGAATGACTCGTCAGAAAAACGTAAACCCTTCACTGATGGCAGTTGGTCGTTTTCGATTTCGGTAGAATGCCCTGTGGTGCCCATGATAGCCGCCGTCTCGGTCACCGGTGCGAACGCTGCCGGAGAGATCATAGCAAAGTATGCAGGAGTATCCATACCCCCTGAACTTTTCAGTCATACTGATCCACTTAGTGTGACGGATCTCGGCCATGCCTTGCATGTAAGCGAAAAGGAGTGGAGTGTGCCTCCCCCTGCGCATCGGGATCTACTTTGTCCATCGTCCAAAGTTATCCTCTCCTTGGCTCACGGCCGTGCAAGCCACTATCCACGGACAGACCTGGGCACTATACTAATGCGTTCTTTTTTGCCCTTGGGCTGTCGCCTACACTCCTTACAGCATTTTCTATCAATGCAATGGCGTCCATGATCCAGGAGAATAAGATACTTCAAGATACAGTCTCGTTGGTTGGGGGCTTCTACGCCTCTCGTAGCTCGAACTTGCTGACATTCTCGAAGAACGAGAAAAGAGACCTAGTGATTCAATGGCACCAGCTGCAGAAGTCTGTTGCACTCGGCATTCAAGAGGTGTCCAGTGATGGCAAATCAGATGTCCTTTTAGCCTGTGCTCTTCTGCTCAGTTTTGTTCAGGTAATGATATTGGGCTGCGCATGAGCAGTTTACGATCCTTGGCTTACAACCACTAGATCCTGGATGACATTTCAGGGAGATCATGGTGTGCATGGGTTTACCAGTTGCATGTCTTTGTCTGGCGAGATGGGAAATTTGTCGCACCATCTACACCTCTCCTGCGGTCGATGCGCAGGTTAGCCCGTATCATGAATGCGTTGAGGGCTCTTTGTCTAGAGCAAGACCTCGACCTTGCGCTACCCTTTCGTTCGCACGATTTGGGTTCAAGGGTGGACCACCTGCCTCCGCATGGGCAGGATGCATCCGCATTGTCCGATGACCAACTCCTGGACTACTTCTGCGAGGACCTTGAGATGTGGGCTAAGTTGCAGTGGCTGTGAGCAGAATATCGCTTTTCGGGCATGCAAAAGATTGAAACTAACAAATTGCAGGACCGCAGATTGGAAAACCAAAAGTAAGGAGTTGGGTTTGCAGCTGGATCCCACAAATCGCATATTCCCTGGAAGGAGATTATCTGAACTCGAATACGGGGGGGTAGAGTTGACCTGTACTGCGTCTCAATTCCAGCGGGATATAATTGCCTCCTTGCTTTGGTACAATAGTGAAAAAGGTAGGAGCCTTACAAACACCATGTTAGCGTTTTACCACTGCGTTAACGTCGACATCTCGCTGATGTTCTGTGATTCGGTCTGGCTCTCTCTGAATTGTGAACTACCAGTAATGACACACCAGATGAGTTATGAACAAGCGACGAATGCGCTGCAACATGCAGAAAACGGCCTTCAAAGTTCATATCTTGAGGCTATTTTCTACGCCCCAACTTTGTATACAGTCAGCATGACGAGGAGATACAAGTCCGAACGGAGTCGCATAGTGGATTTTATTAGCCAGCTGAAGCAGAAGGGCTTTTTTGTTGCCGATCAGTTTTTATCCGTGATTGAAGAAGCATGGGCCGCTAGATGACAGCGATTTTGTATGATACCCAAGTTAGAGCAGCAGCGATAGAGTTACTTATTGATGCAGCACGCGACCCCACATGATCATTCATGCCTCAGGTATCTGCCCCTCATTTCGTGCAGAAATTACATCACCGCCAATGGGAGCTCGTTTCTGTTCCACATCGTCGACCGAGGTACCCTCGAAGTCAATCCAAACCAAACAACTTCTCCCTTCACTCACCTCAAATCCTGTTCTCATAAACTCGATCTTGGATAATGTCTGCCAAAACAATTATTGTCACCGGTGCCTCGAGAGGTCAGCAACACTACACCAGAACCGTCAACACGAGATTTATTAACAAAGATCTCCTGCAGGTATCGGTCTCGCAATCGCCAAGTACCTCCTCACCTCCCCTCAATCGCACAACGTCGTCGTGATCGCTCGTAGTGTCGAGCCCCTTCAGAAGCTGAAGGAGCAATACACCAAGCAGGTGGAGGTGCTCAATGGCGATCTCGCCGATCTGTCCATCGGCCAGAAGGCCGTCGATCTAGCCCTCAAATCCTTCGGCCGTCTGGACGGAATGGTTCTGAACCACGGTGTGCTGGGACAAGTGGGCAAGATTGCTGAAGCCGATCCAGAGCAGTGGAAGCAGGGATTCGACGTAAACTTCATCAGCTTTGTTGCCTTTGTAAGTTTATGACTTCCCTGGCAGGGTGCCAGATCGGATGGACATTAATTGGTTGGGCAGATCAAAGCTGGTCTTCCGGCGCTTCGTGAGACGAAGGGCAAGCTTGTCTTCACCTCTTCCGGTGCTGCCGTGTCAGCGTACAGAGGCTGGGGTCTGTATGGCGCAACCAAGGCAGCGATGAACCATCTTGCGCTTACCCTGGGCGAGGAAGAGCCCGACGTACGACAATCTCGATTCGGCCCGGAATGGTTGATACCGAGATGCAGCGCGAGCTGCGAGAAGACCATGCTACTACGCTGGAACCCCAGGTCCACTCCAAGTTTACTACGGTCCACAAGGATGGAAAACTCCTCAAGCCGGAACAGCCTGGTCATGTCATGGCCAAGTTAGTGCTTGATGGCCCCAAGGAATTGTCGGGTAAATTTCTATCGTAAGTTTCTACGACTCTGAATCCTACGGCAAAGCTGACCCAAACAGGTGGAATGACAAGGCTCTCGATGCCTTTCAGGCGTAAATTACAACCTATCAGCTTAATAGACAGTTAGCATAAACCGCCTTATGAGAAGATGATACATATAGAGCAGCAAATTGGGGTAGTAATCAGCCGAAAGATGAAAAGCAGGTACATTTTCATAAGCATTAGATGCAGAGCACCTTCATACTTAGCATGGAATGTGTATTTGTTCATCATACAAAGTTGTAGATATAAGAAAAAAGCTCGAAGCTTACCTTGTTATAACAGGTTCGTCGCATTGTGATCCGATTCTTAAGCCATGAAAAATTCCTAGTTTACTTCAGGATTGTTAGTGAAGGCCACAAACATTCTTCACGACAAAATAGACAAGTGTAAATAATTTTCAGTAGTCCGTTTGGCTTGGACAGTGTACGTCACCATGAAAGGTCTGATAGGGGCGACAACATTGTTCATCATTGTAGTAGAGGGAATGTAGGAAGGTAAATAAACATACCATTTGTGTTAGTACTGCACACGGCTGCAGTTTGAAGAGTTTTGAATTCCTCAGCATCATAAGGACATTCTCGCTTCCCATTGTTGTGGGAGAAAGCGTGTGTGGAAAAGAACAGGGGAAAAAAAAGCTGCAGAGCCAAGAAATAGTCCTCAAAGCGGTAGGATTCTGCCACCAGTACCCACTGGTTGTTCCGTGCCGACGCAGTCCGCGTCTGGCATTCGATCGACGCTACTATTTATTGTAAGTATAGTCCCCGCGCATTGGGAAAAAAAGTGATCCTTTACCTTGACAACAGCTTTTCTGTGCGTGTGAGCGTGTTTCTCTTCCAACCATCTCACTTCAATAAGGGACATCATGTCAGATCGCGAATTTAGTTGTAAGTATTGTGTACCTGGGTCTTGGCGCATGCTGTTGGAAGAGTGCTGGCGCTGATCTACTACAGCAAACGATGACCTGTCGCTTCCTAAAGGTATGCATCCGAGTCACTCGGTTTTGATTGTTCCAAGCTCCTCGCCCAAGTATCATTACGCTAAATGTCTCGACTACGCGTACCTTGTCGCTTGAAGATGGCGACATAACATCTCTACGTACCTACTGCCAGCGCACCCCATCCTAACTGATCGCGATTATCTAGCGACGGTCCAAAAAATCATCACCGAGATTCTGCCCCCTTCTTCCGGCCAGACCTTCTCCAAAGACGCTCGCGATCTCCTGATGGAATGTTGCGTCGAATTCATCACCCTGATCTCCTCCGAAGCCAATGACATCAGCGAGAAAGAGGCGAAGAAAACAATCGCCTGTGAGCATGTAGAGCGGGCTCTGCGTGATCTTGGGTTTGGCGATTATATCCCCGACGTGCTTGCTGTGGCAGAGGAGCACAAGGAGCAGCTGAAGGTGGGTGGAATCACTACGTGCTGTGTCTAGAGGGACGCACTTGCTAACGCGTATCTTGCTCTATAGTCGCGAGAAAAGAAGCAAAGCAAGATGGAGCAGAGTGGACTGTCGGAAGAGGAGCTGCTACGACAGCAGCAGGAGCTGTTCCGCTCTGCTACGGAGAAGTACCACGCTGCCCCGGAGTAAATGTCTGGGTTGGATAAATGAATATGAAATGCGTTTGACTCTTGCTGGTCATAGAGGGAACGGGTTCGGAGTTTTGCCTTTCGGATGAAGAATCTCGGAGTTTAGGTTGTCTGGAATTGAAACCATGGTTTCTGAACGGGTTGGTTGGCTTTTTATTTCTTCTTTTCCTTAAGTATAGTTGCATTGATATCTCGACTATTGCCATTCAGTACACGCAATACTTGGACGTATGTAATACCAATGGTGTATAGATTGTAATCTTACAATATCAACATACCTTTCCTACTTGCACGGGATTGAGCAATCCATGAATATTGAAGCATGAAGCTTTGGATGCTTAGACATGCAGTCAGCGTATCAATAAGCAGATTGTATGCAGTGCCGTCCTTTGTGTGGTAAAGATGGTAGATTGAGTGATGTACCTCTAAATGGAAGCACAGACGTGACGGGCGCGCTTAGCCCGAACGGGTAGCCGCCCAACCTCCCGCGCGCGCAAAGTGTCGCCCGCTGCAAACACCGCGGAGCATCCTGAGGCCGCGAGAGTATTGCGACGATTCCCCAAGCCTCATCGTCCACCATGCCGCCTTTCAAAGATGAGCACATTTTGGTACGTCACCCTCCATTCACTGGTGCCCCCAAACCCGGAATACTCCCGTACTAATCCCGTCCCTCTAGATAATTGCGCCAGGCTCGCAGGTGACCCTGGCGCAACTGGGTCTTCCCGAATCATTCACACCCGCTCGCTATCGCTTCCCCACGCGGATGTTCCCTGCCGCAAAGAAGGGCGAATTTGAACCATATAAGATCCGTGAGAGGCGGCAGGAAGGGAAACCTAGCAATGGGACGGACGCGCCCAAGGAGGATGTGGAGATGAAAGATGCGGAACCCTCCGCTCCAGAAGGCACAGGCAACAACGAGGCCACCCCCAAGCCCGAGAATGGAGAGCAAGAGGGCAAGAAAGAGCCAACAGAGGGCCAGGAAACCAACGGAGAGACGAAAAAGGAAGCCCAGGAGATCTTCTATGAGGAGGATGTTACATCGGATGAGGGAGCTATCTACCCTCTCGAGAATGGGCACATTGTCGACTGGCCGTGTTTCTTTGCCCTCCTGACACATGTTCACAATACTCTCAGCCCTCCATTTCACACGCCGATCATGCTTATCTCCCAACCGGCTTGGTCAGCGCGCGACCGAGAGGCAATCACGCAGTTTGTGTTTGAGAAGTTCAAGACGCCGGCCTTCTGCATGATGGATTCTGCTCTCGCCATCTGCTATGGATACGGCACCTCGACAGCGGCGGTTGTCGATGTTGGCAAAGGGAAGGTGGACGTCACTGCCGTCACTGATTTCCTGGTTAATGAACATGGACGAGGGATTGCCCTGCACGGTTGCGGTGGAGATTACATGACGGACAGACTTCAAGAACTGCTAGGGTCAAAGGGCTTCTCAAGAGAAATGTGCGAGCAGTTGAAGAGGAGTAACATTACCGAGATTCTACCCGCTGGAACGCCCTTGCCCGGCACCGCAGCCACCGCACGACAGAACCCCAACCCTGCCGCGTCAGCTTCTACGGGAGGACAAGAGGGAGGCCCCAGTGATGCCGTTCCCCGCGGCCCTGGTGAAGGCACTCAAACTGGCCCGGAAGGCACCAACGGAGAAGATGAGGATGAGGGCGTGCTGGATGTTGCAGCTATTGTTAGCGGCAACACCAGCGAGTTCCTAGCAAACCGAGAGAAAGAGAAGGCGGAGAAATCCAGTTCGAAAAAGGGCTCGATTGACCAAGGTGGGAAGCCTATTCGTCTTCCCAACTCCAAGAAAGAGAAGGCGTCGTTCCAATACGAGGAGTACGCCCGTTTGGAGCCGGAAAAAGATGCACCCAACGCTCCTCCACGATACATCCGCCAGACAAGAGAGATCGAAGTTGGTGTTGAGCGTTTCTTGTCTGCGACTCCGAAGCAAAAAGCCGGGGAGCGTTTGACCAGCAATATTCTTGAAGATATTGCAACGCAAATCCACCATACTATCCTTGCTGTGCCCGATGCCAGCAAGCGCAGCGAACTTTGGGATTCGTTGGTCGTTGTTGGTAACGGTAGTAAGATTAAAGGTATGAACCTTTGTTTTTGACCTAGTATCGCCAGAGTCGTTAATCAACGTATGTAGGATTCACCCAAGCTCTGCTTAACACGATCACACAAAAGTTCGTTCTCTCGCCATCTGCCACCATTTTCACTTCTGAGCTCCCTTCCAATTTCTCCACCCCTATGCCGACCGGAGGAACCAACACTCCTGCACCTGGTCAAACTGGACCGTACAATACTCCTGGCCACAGCGTGAACCCCTTGCTTGTTGCTGCAACACATTCGAACAACCCGGCGGCTGGAAACATGGCCCCAGGGACCCCATCAATGGATCCTTCTATGGCTTCCCACTATCGCTCTACCGGCCATTCTCAGACCCCAACCTCTGTCAAGACCCTGAAAGCCCCAGAGTACTTCCCCGAGTGAAGGAGCACAGCAACTCCAATGCTCCTGGTACCAGCGGGTCTGCAGGAATGAACAACGGTCCCAACGCTGGGCCCGGTGGCCCAGGTGCGCCCAGTGGCGGTCATGGCATGGAGGAAGCAGTATTTCTAGGAGCCCAAGTCGCTTCTAAGGTTGTTTTCGTTATTGATCAAGGGCTCAGTAAGGGATTCATGACCCGTGTCGAGTATAATGAGAATGGGCCCTCTGCAATCCATGAATATTCCATGTGATTGTCATTAATAGAATTAGTATATGGAATTCAACACTTTGTCTTCTGTCAACCAGGGTTGAATTCAACAAGAAAATGGTTTCTTTCGTCTGGGCTTGTCTAATGCGTTGGAGCTTCGTTGAACATGACACACTTGGTCTTCTCACATATGGTTATTGTATTCTACGTGTTGGCGTCCTTGATTAGAAAAGCAACCCTTTGTCAGGATGCGGTAGGATAGGTGGAGTCTGGTTGGAATTCCTAGGTATAGTACTAAATACGACTATTTTTTGTTCCTAAAAGTACTGTAATCGAATCGATCCACCACTAGCAGGTCCATACAATCCTAATAGTACGTGTGGCTTTTGTCTGCCTGAGGTGCAGATTAACCAGATCTGCACTAACCCGATCGGGATGGCGACCTTTCTAGAACACCACGTGACCAGGATAAGGATGCTTATCTTATTTCCGCCTCAGCCTGTCTCCGCCGTCGCGACTTTCTCCCGATATCAGATTTATATGACCAAGAAAGACTGAAAGAACAGTTGATACCTACGCCGTTCACCTGAGCCGAAGAGCTCCCATTATACTTCCAATAAGCCTCACAGCTCACATCCAGGCTTACGCCACCCAACATCTCCCAAAATGCCGCGCGCAGAAGCAGGAAGCACGAAAGCCATCAGCAACAAGATCAAATCTGTACGTCCCATCTAACCCACCGCAAGCATTCAAGAATGAAAATGTGCTAACCAAACACAGAAAGGCCTTCAGCGACTCCGATGGTACTGCCAGATGTGCGAGAAGCAATGCCGAGATGAGAACGGATTCAAATGGTAAGTGAAACATTGCCTCTTCTCGCATGGCCCTCTGCTAATCATCAATTCCTCAAACGCAGTCATACCCAGAGCGAAAGCCACGTGAGAAACGCTCTTTTGGTTGGCGAGGATCCGAGAAAGTATATCGAGGAGTACAGCAAGGAATTTTTGAATAACTTCCTTACTCAGTTGAGGACGTCTCACCAGGAAAAAGCTATACACGCCAACATATTTTACCAGACTATAGTCGCGGATAAGACGGTGAGTTATCTTTCTCTTTCTTTTCTAATCTGTGGTTCGCGTTGGATGGGGGCTAATGAATGCGTATAGCACATACATCTAAACGCTACAAAATGGAAGAGCCTTACACAATTTGTGGCTCATCTTGGACGGGAAGGGCTTTGTCGCGTTGAGGAGACGGAGAAGGGTCTTTTTATTGCGTATATCGATCGGAGTCCGGAGGCGATGAGGCGGAGAGAGGCTCTCTCGAGGAAGGAGCGTCAGGATCGCGGTGATGAGGAGAGAGAGCAACGACAGATTCAGGAGCAGGTCGAGCGCGCGAGACAAAACGCAGACAAGCAGGAGGAGATAGATCCCGAAGCGAGGAATCTGCAGCGGAAGGAGGGCGAGAAAGTCAAGCTTAATATTGGCTTTGGTTCGAAGGCGAACAGCGAATCCAAGACCGAATCCCCGAAACCACAATCTCCCGAGGAAAAGGATAACGCCGCTTCGGCAACGCCGGAGCCTGCCGCTGCTTCTGCATCTCCAGATTCGGCCCCGGTCCCGACCCCCGATTCTGCTCCTGCTCCTGCTCCTGCTCAGGATGCGCCAAAGCCGGCAGTCAAGCTGTCGATGTCGTTGGGTGACAAGAAACCGAAGAATGTGTTTGCTGCTGCTGCAAAGAAGAATCCCCTTGCCGGAAAGAAGGGCCCTGTGATGGAAGCTCCCAAGAAGATGAGTGAGCAGGAGAGGATCATGAAGCAGGAAATGGAGGCAATGGAAAAGAAGCGCATGCGTGGTGGATTTGGAATGCCGAACCCTAAGCGTCCAAAATTGTCTTGAAGTTGACATATCACTGACAATTCCCTTTACATACGTCCAATAGCAATTTGGATACTTGACGACTGTCATCTCACATGTCACGCCGATCCCATATATCCCCCGGGTAGGCCGATTATGGTAGTTGGATGTCGCCAGACTTGTCCAAACCGCGCGGTTGCGGTTACGGAGAGTGATCACTTCCTTATCCGATATATGGTGTGACACTGCTCGGTATGCAGAGACATCATTCTGAGCCCAAAAGTTCTCCCAAGTCTACTGTATCACAAACCAATGAATGATGATACCCAACAAGAAATATATGTTAATTGAGTCTGTTCATGGAGCAAGGATATAGTTTGTAGTGACCCCATGAAGGATTACTTCCGACCTAGGCACATCTTTAGCTATTGAAAGAAACTATAAATTCCATGCTCAGCATGTTCGATGATGACCATGCTCTCCGAATAGACCTTACTCTTGATATTTCCATTTCGCAAAAGCAATAGGTACCTATAACAAATAGACCCAAATAGTCAGCTCTCCCTAGAAGTTCACATACGCTGATATCACATGTTACTCCCAACAGTGGCACGTTAGTGGGCTTTACCCTAGCAACCAATGTCAAGACATCATGCTGTTTTAAGCGCGTTCCCCGAATTCATGTTCTGAATTTAATACTACTTGAATTCTGTCAGCATTCGCTCATATCGCTGACTCAACCGGATCACGCACCCAGGCCTGACCATCGTTCTTACCAAAACGAACCTCACTTCCTTTCTCCTCTTGCAACAAGCTAGTGTGACAACAACCCCCAGGGTAGTTTACGGTACTACAAACGCCATCCTACATAATTTGAGTTGTTTGGATAACAGCCGCTAATATTCTCTCAGCGCCTCCACCATCCTCTACAAGAACCGCTTCAACAAGAAGCCTCGGGACTTTCCACCGGTGCATCATGGAAATACCTGTAAGTCATAATTAACATCATCGCCTTGGAAAACAGAGCCTGATTGGTGTCTAGGCTGAGGAAATGCCAGAAGGATGGACCAACGACCCTGCAATGCTCGAGTTATATTCTCATCCTCGTGGCTCGATAGCCAGTATCGCCCAATGGTTTGGACTCGGAGATATCGAACTGCTCATGATGGGAACCCCAGAATCTGGGAATATGCAGTTTATGATCAAGTCAGGACATGGTTACTACTGGGGGAACCTGATGATAGATGATATCTTTGAGATCAGAAAGCCGAAGACCTTCCCGGAGATTCTGCATGCTCTTGCCACAGAGGGGCATTGTGGATTGAAGTATAAGAAAGTGGATGAAATACCAGAAGGATGGACCAACGACCCTATTATGCTTGAGGATCATTCTCACCCTAGTTCCTCAATAACCAGTATCGCCCAATGGTATGGACTGGGGAATATAAAAGTTGTATTGATGGGAACACCAGAATCCGGGGATATGAAATTTATACTCATGTCAGGAGGTCGTTACTACAGGGGGAATCTGATGACCGACGATATCTTTGAGATTACTAAGCCTAAGACCTTCCCGGCAATTCTGCATACTCTTGCCAGAAAGGGGAATTGTGGACTGCAGTGTAGGAAAGTGGACAAAATACCAGAAGGCTGGACCAACGACCCTGCAATTCTTAGGAGATATTCTCGCCCTGGTTCCTCAATAATCAGTATCGCCCAAAGGCATGGGCTGGGGAATGTCGAAGTTGTATTGATGGGAACACCAGAATCCGGAGATATACAGTATATAATCAAGTCAGGACATGGCCACTACTGGGGGAATCTGATGATCGACGATATCTTTGAGATCACAAAGCCGAAGACCTTCTCGGCAATTCTGCATACTCTTTACAGAAGGGGGGATTGGGCTTTGACGTATAAGAAAGTCAAGCAGGTGGAGGATATCTGAATGGTGCTCCGGTAGCAGGGGGTAGCTGATGATGAAGTCCTAAGTCTGTTTGTTCCTTCCAATCCAGATGTTCCTTCCGAATAGGACAAGTGAGAGCATGACAATCGTCTACTGCATTTGCTGTCTATTGTAGCCCTGTAGAATCAATTAGAGAGTATCGTTGAAGGTACTTCACTATGACTGAGCATCTTATTCCCTGGCTGAATGGCCGACTGGATCTTCGCCAGGCATACACGTTCGACCGTAACAATATCATTGCGATGTTGCAAAACATCGTACTTTCCCCTGTTGTATACGGCGTTATCCCGCAGAATGTAACCAGACTGATATCGATACACCAGGACATCACTCGTCTTCGGTAAGCTATTACTAGGGAGGCAAATGTATCTTAATATAACTAACCTAGATAAAAGATGCCCGGATGGCCAAGATTACCTCGCCCCGGCACCACCGCAGAGTATCGACCGCCAACTTCATCCCCGTTGGCCTAGAGGGATCGCAAGGTTCCAACTTAGAAGGTCGACCTATGATGGAGTCGAATACTGGGCACTCCCAGACCTCCTTGGGCTCTTTTTGAGCTCTTTGGGTCCAGCTCCAATGGGGGCGACTAAGCGGAACTTTTACCTCCCGGTCACGGCTGTCTATGGACAGTGGTGTACCAAGCTTCTTACGGGGGGGGATGCCAAGGGTATACCAGTGTTCTTGGACAGATGGGAGGGAGTTCTCTCTTGGTGCTCCAGAGGAGGCTTTGCTGTCCAGGAAGGGATAGGGTCCTGGCCGGCCGTCTTAGATCGTGCTAGGTACGGCATTATAAGGTCTCCAGAGCTACAGATCACTTGGTCGCAGACGTGGACTCCTACTCTCCAGAGATTAGGGGGACACGGGTGGCCTTTTGGTCGTTGCGCTGAGACCTACCCATTTTGCAAACTTCTCATGTACGTGCCACTTTGTACTAGACCCAGAGACTCTTATTAACGAATCAAAGGGATAAAACCAGAGAAGAGGCAGGGCGGGTGTATGGGTTGGCTTTGTGCGACAAATACATAGGGACCGCACCTGTTTACGTTGATCGGCTGTCTGGAAGGATCTGGTGCCACGTAGCCATGAAAGAGGATAGGGGAAGGTAGGTGCGGCAGTCAGAGGTTGTCGGGAAAGGGCCAGAGCATATACAGGAGACTACTGATCTGGTTGCTCATGAAGTTAGTTGCGTTTATACAAGCTACCTTCCTATGCTTTGTCGTGGCAATGAACAGAAATATATCTCTCGTTTGATGGTCTGCACCGACAGTAGCCTTTGATATATCCACGATTAACCTAAGCAAAGGTAGATCCCATGGGACTTTTGAAATACCTGGACTCTTTTTACATCCGGGAAACACTCTAGAGATGTCTGTTTTGCAATGTGAACACAGATTGAAGCTCACTGAACTGACAGGAGAAGTGGGACCAGGTTCATGCCAGTGATTCGCGCTAACTTGGATCGAGCCCTGAGTCTATCAATAGGACCCACTTGTTCAGCCAGATCTTGAACTCGCTGCATAACTGTGGTCTGCTATGTATGAGATCATGTAGAAAACATTATTAGATTTTTATTTTTTATTTTTATTTTTTATTTTTATTTTTATTTTTTCAAAGCTACCACATGTGTCGATTCAGTCTCGATTGCCTTGTTCGAAGGGAATATTAGGAGAGAATGTGCTATAATGTCGCTGAGCGGCTGACAGAAGCCCTAGTTGAACCCCCCCAGAAGCGAAGATATACCTTTTAGCTATTTGAGAAACTGAGATTACTCGTGCTAACTATACTAAATATCATCCTTGGATTAACAATCATGAACGGATCTGAGAGGCATGATTGCCACCTGAGGCGGAAACGTTAGTCAGCCGGAGATACCCACGTGATCGAGCTATCCAGAATCTTCAAGGAACAGCTCTCTCCAGACATCTCCGCACGGTACGCGCCTCACCTGTCCGGCCATAATCTAGTTAGGTCTTCTATTGCTTTTGCTTCAATTCCTGTCCGGAAGCCTTTCTCTCATTTCGACATTCTTAAATACCCAATTCATAAAATCCACCCCCGCGCATTACCTCGTAACCATGGCCAACTATCTCGCCTCCATCTTCGGTACGGAACAGGACAAGGTCAACTGTTCGTTCTACTATAAGATTGGCGCATGCAGACACGGCGACAGGTGTTCTCGGAAGCATGTCAAGCCTTCGTATTCGCAGACGATCCTGATGCCAAACATGTACCAGAACCCGGCATACGACCCCAAGAACAAGATGAACCCCAGCCAGCTCCAGAACCACTTCGATGCTTTCTACGAAGATGTATGGTGTGAAATGTGCAAGTACGGCGAGCTGGAGGAATTGGTAGTGTGTGACAATAACAATGATCGTAAGTTGGAGCTGTTTCCCGCCCAAGACTCGACTCATGGAGTTGCTACTAACGTCTCTTGACCCTAAGATCTTATCGGCAACGTCTACGCCCGGTTCAAGTACGAAGAAGATGCGCAAAAGGCCTGCGACGCTTTGAATTCCCGCTGGTATGCAGCGCGACCGATATATTGCGAACTATCGCCAGTGACAGATTTCCGAGAAGCATGCTGTCGATTAAATAGTGGCGAAGGCTGTGTGCGTGGCGGATTCTGCAATTTCATTCACCGGAAGGACCCTGGCAATGAGCTCGACCGTGAACTGCGCCTGAGCACGAAGAAATGGTTGAAGGAGCGCGGCAGGGACGCCCGCAGCGTCAGTCGCAGTCCTAGCCCGGAGCCGACGAGGCGGAGATATTAGGTGTGGATTTGCTTTTTGTGTTCTGCATGTGGCGTTGGGGAATTGACCTCTGTCGACTGTAATTTTTTCTATACTGTTATGATATCAAGCCCTGGTTGCGAGATTTATGGCATTTAAATTGTCTCCGGTTGAAGCTTTTCCCTGTAGAGTACCTTTAACTATAATGGCAGTCAACCTTGAGCTACTCGGCATTACCCTATCGGGAAGTAAATGTTGGTCTTGGCAGCCGACGCGGGAGGCGCGTTGACCGCGTTGCAGCATCTCTTCTACACTGCGTCCCCCCCGCAAAACCCCTCGTTGTTGATCTCGCTGCCATAACGATATCCTCTTCATTCGGTAGACTGTCCATAGCCAACATGGCGAGCCGTAGTGATGGGGGTGGCTATGACGATAGCAACCGCGCATTTCTGCAAGCGTTTATGGCCCGATCCACCATGACCTTTGTGGAGGCACGGCCTGTTCTAGCCGCTATTTTCTCTGTGCACGGTATATTATTGATCTCCTCTAGCGATTCATTGTGAGACGTTGAACTGATGTCATACGCCGAGCAGAAGACGAACCTGTCTCTGCGGAAGACGTCACCGAGGACGATCTTGCATCGTACATTGCCGCCGCGAATACCGCCATCTCGCCATTCGATTTGGAAATCAGAAGCACACTCCGCCAGTCGCAGGTAGATCCGGAGGAGTCAGGGACTCAGACACCGGAACGGGTGTATGCTCTTGTCAATACCACCAGTGACGCCTTGACACAGCTGGCGACCACTTACAGCGCGGACGAGATTGCCTTCGTCAAGCGCATCCTCGATGCCATGTTCGATACGAATAATACGAGACGGTCCGAGGCAATGGTTGTTAGCAGCATGCAGGCTATACAGTTGGCCAAGGTCTCGTCCGGAGATGCAAGTCGTCGGGAGTCGAATAACGCGACGCAGAGCCAAGGCGGCGCCGTACAATCGCTAAGCATGTCGCAAGCGGAAACGGTGATGAAGCAGCTCGTGGAGGAGGGATGGCTTGAAAAGAGTAGGAAGGGCTTTTACAACCTAAGCCCGCGAGGGTTGATGGAGCTACGGGGGTGGTTGGTGGCGACGTACAATGATGAGAACGAGGATGGCCGGAGGATGGACAAAATCAAGTTCTGCGCTGCCTGCAGGGATATTATCACAATGGTAGGCTATGAATTCGTCAGGTATTTGTTGCAGAAAGCTGCTGACTGCCCAGGGCCAACGTTGTGGCAACCGTGACTGTGCGGGCCGACTCCATGACCATTGTATCCGCAACTTTTTCCGTATGCAACAGGCGGAGCAGTGCCCCGTGTGCCAGGCTCCATGGCCTGGTGATAAGTTCGTTGGGGAGCGCGCCATCACGGTGACAGAACGCTCTATGCAGGGTAAAAGACGAAGCTCGAATACGCAGCGTCAAAGCGAGGTCGGATCGAGTTCACAAATTCCTAGCGAGGACGGAGCGGCTGATAGTGATTGAGGCCAAGAACCGACTTGATATTCCTGTTGCCCTATAACGGCCAATGAGAGACCAAGCTCTGTGGGGTTCACGACGTCGCGAGATATCCCACCGTTGAGCAGCCATGAGCCGTTCCTAAGGATATCGTGGTAGGCTGCGCAGTCGAGTCGCCACTAGCTCCCTGTTGCTCGCGCACGATGGTGCTCACCCGTTGCCCACATGGGCCTTTGAACACCTGGCTCAGATCAGCCCTTTTATCGACAGGGCGAGTTCCTGTACAAAATATCCCTCATCGACCGACCTAGACTAGTTCAACTAGCAGAGGATCAGCGTCGCCTTAAATGCCCAGTGCTCTATACACCAAATCAGAACTGTCCTCATTCAAACCCACACAAAGACACCATCGAATGAAGGGAAGGCTGTCTCATGAACAGAACAATAATACAATATAATATGTACAACACATCAAGAAACTCAAAGCATGCTCTCATAAATCAATACTGAATCATCATCATCATCAGACCAATCGCAACAACCCACACCTTCACCATCCCACTTCTCACCCTCAGAGTATTCCCACTGTTCCCTCTCACACATGTCCCATCCTTGCAATGAGCCCCACTAAAACAACATTTGCTCCCACAACATTGCGTATCCTTGGGACAGTGATAGCCACTTTCCCCGCAGCAGATATCATATTCCGTATTGTAGCAAGCAGAACGTCCGCATTTAGCATTTCCGGTGCGGCAACAGGTGCCATCAGACGAATCGACGCATTTGCTCAAGCTGGGACAACAGTGGTTTCCACACTAGTGGCAAGGTTAAAAGACGGGCCTTCAAAGTACAGAGATCATAATAAGATCAGGCATACACAGGTAGTGAGGGTGGAACAACACCCTCGTCCACAGGATTCTACTTATGTTAGGACGGCTCTGCTAGTTGTAGGTGTAAACTGAGGACATACTTTCTCCAATATCACAGCGTCCTGCTCTCGAGACGAGACTGTTCTCAACCGAGAAGCCGAATTGCACATTGTCCGCGAACAGCAGGGAGTCGATGCTCGCATTAACATACGCCTCAGGTGCTTGGAGGGACTGCATGGCTGCCTACGATTGTTTATCTGACCTTTACGAAGTAGATCAATATGAAGTACTGAGAGAGTTCATGTGGAGCGAGCGGATACCTCCCCCGCCTATATATACACCAAACGCCCTAGCACCGCTTGGCTTCGCCTCCCCAAGAACGTTCCACTTGATTAAAGAACCGCATGAACATATAGCAGCACATCGAACCTCGGACATTTTGTCATCGTATCTGCGCCAAGAAACGCCCCGTGCCCGAGGACCCTTCCGCCGTGGTGGAGATCCCTCGTATTTTGTCCATGTGGCAGGGCGTTAGTGCGTTCAGCCTTGTGCTGGAGGAATATAACTAATATGGTTATTTGACTCATTGGCGTCTTGTCGGGTGTCGATCGCCCAGGGTTGGACTTAAGTCAGTATGTGAAATATATGTAGCCGTTCTGGCAGGCAGGCAAGAGTATATGGACACTTTATAACCACATGATTGAAATGATGTTCGGAACCGGACTTGATTAGGGCTTCGATCTCTCGCAACTTGTGTGTGCCACGACCCCCGTGAAATTTATATCGAGACATTAAACTCAAAGTATTTCCAATGGTGATATGGAAGATGCTGAGGTTGTAGATGTGGTAAAAGAGAAACCCCTGGATGGGTGGTGCGGTACTCCGCAACTCAGAGGGTTGGCTACGCTGGAGATGACCGCTTCTCCATGGCTTGTGCCATCTGTGAGTTAAACAAGGACCAAACCTACAAAGAACCTCGAGCTCAATGCTTGATTAAAGCCAGGCATTCCTTATTCATGTATAAAGAGATTCTGTTAGAAACACCATGGAACATGGATCCTTTTGTTTGCAGTTTCATTCTCAATTCAACATATATTGCTAATCGAAGAAGATAGTCATTCGTACAAAGACAAGTAGTGTATGGGCCAGTTAATGCCATAAAGACATTGTGCTGGCTCATTCGGCCCAACATAAAGCATCAGAAGTCATTGAACGTCACTGGTATAGTGCATCTGGTCCCCCAGAAGAGAACTAATGGAACATTCAGCATACGATTCTTTCATGGCGGCATAAGGCAGTCAGGTACAGCGCAGGCTTGACCGATTTGATTCTAGAGACCGCTCCTCAACTTTTGCGTGAGCGGACAGTTGACGGCGAGACGGCTCTCCATGTCGCCGTTGACCATGGGTGTGTGTAGCGGCTGTCAGATACTTGATTGCACGAAATGAGATCACGAATGCCGTAGACTGGAACGGAGAGACGGCACTCCCTATCGCGGTTAAGAGGGATCTGACGAGGGTACAGCTTTTGACTAGATGTCCGAATGTCGAGCTCAATCGGTTGACAGCGTCCAACGAAACACCGCTGACTATTGCCATAAGCTCCCCTTTAATAAGTCGCTGTTACTTCGACATAGTTGGCCACCTGTTGAGAAATCCTAGGATTCATATCGATCCAATGTCGGTGCTGGCTATGAAGCATCGTTTTCGACGTATTGAATGGTCGTCATTCTTGTTCTCTGGAGACGTTCTATTGCGCCTTAGGTTTGAATGGGTTTATGCGAAGCAGGGGGGATCCTTTTCTCGTCTCCAGAGCTGTCAGGCACTGGTCCTTACTCTTTTTGCCATCCCTCATTTGGTTTGCTTACTTTCTTTCCTATCATTTTTTGGGCTTCTAGTATCGGGTCTAGTTGTGTGTTGGTTTGATTAGGGCTGGGTACGGCCTCTACATAGGCTCTTTCTCCTTATGGGGAGTGCCTATAAATTACATCTTCACACAGATGGCCCAGAATCTTGTTAGTTCCGCTTATTCAACCACGTCGTATACATTATTCAAAGCGTGTCAAAGCTGGATTAATCGATATTGAAAACTCCATCACGTTCGAGTCTTTCTGGCTTGATACCTAATAGTGTACTAATGTCCTATGTAGCCGATGTTTATTTCGATTTGTTTGACTGACTAGTATGTAAGTCCCAGTGATCATGGACCGGAAGTGAATATGATCTATGTATTCACTATATCTCTCCACGACCCACCTACCAAAACCTGACTGATAACACTTTTCCTTCATGGGAAATTGAATACCAGAGGTGCAAGGCTGACGCGCCGAATGAACATTCACTCTTATCGCTGTACAACTTGGGCGCAACTAGCACCTATCAAGAGGCGCATTTCAACAGGCAGAAGTCCACACTAACAAAAGATTGGCCTGCTGCGGCAAGACACAGAGCCATGGATTACTAGGGTTCTATTATTAATAATTTCCTGTTGGCAGTTATGATGTGGCTACCCAGCCTTCCAGCCTTGTGACGTGACAACATCCTCCACAACCCCGCAGACACCCAAACGTCAGTTCAAAAGCTGTCTTTCAGGATTCGAGTGAACAGGACAAGTATCGGACGAGAGGCCATGGCTGCCAGCAGCAAGGTTCTTACGTTGACTTTCAACCACGTCGTGTTGCCTCCCAGGCTTCCTGGGAAACGGGAAACAGACGCTCAGGTCCTTGAGGTCCAGAATGATCTGCTGTCCCGGGTACTCGATGCGGTCAGGCAGTTGAAGGAGGTCTGTGAGGCAAGAACTGTAGTCGCCTGGGAGCCTGATGCGACACTCATCGCTCTTTGGGAGTCTCTCGAGAAGACACTGAGAACTATAGTGGAGGTGAGCACGGAGGCATGGGTGAACGAGGCATCACTTCTGGGGGCACTCCAAGTGCTGCAGCCTGGAAATGCTATCATCTTACACGTCGCTCTACAGAACGCTTGCATCCTTATCAGATATCCCTCGTGAGCATCATCCTTCCTGAATATCCATGTGCTTAATGTCATGTCAACTGACAAAAGTGATTACGCGTAGTGACCAAGAAAACATCATATTTGAAACGTTCGAGACATCGCCCACAGCTGAATCAGCTCTCGCAGCAAGAGGGGCGCTGGAGTGGGACTTTCCGGGTTCGGCAGTTTCCCTACCCTTGTGCGAATTTGAAAATCCAGTTTTCCAAAAGAGTCTGGCTGGATTCCTCGAGCGGGCCAGCTGCGAAGTGTTGGATGAGTTCTGCCCTAAGACGCGCAAAGCCGGCGTGAAGGTCTCCGAAACTCGCGATACGGTTGACCCTGCGATCATATCCCAGTTTCTTATGACACTTCTTGAGACGAATGGCAGTCGCACGTACCCACCAATACTTCGCAAGCGAGTTAAGGATGAAGTATGCTGGGATAATGCAGAGCTGCCTTGGAGACGGAGCCCATTCTGGCTGGTCCTGCGCGTATGCATACAGCGCTTGCTATACTTACACCTTGGCGCAGAGCTTGGACGGATGCATTACAAATTCTTGATGTGTACGCTGATGGCGCGTTTGTTGGAAGATTCAGTTCACAAGGTCGACCACGAGCAATGCAATTTTCTCAAGACAAAGCTTTGTCGTCGTCTGGCAAAGTTGGAGACTGAAAGAGCGAACGCCTCGCCAGTGGTGCGTGACGCTTATACATGGCTCTTTTCAGTTATTGGACCGATGTGTCAAAAAGCCATGGATATTGTAACGAGAGTCTTCGACACTAGATGGGAATATTTTAAGAAGTCGACCAGGAGGAAAATAAACCCTCTCCCGCAGGTTGCTGAAGAGAAGGACCTGCGTCTAAGCCTGCCAAATAGCTGGCCTTACCTGAAATCAGTCCTCAGTCGTCCCCGACAATCCCAAGGAGCCTGCAAGTCCATTGATCCTACTGTTCTTGACAAAAACAGTAAGAAAGACACAACAGAGCAATTCTCCGCGTTGACAGCCCGGTATACGTCACTCGCAGATATGGAGATGGCGATGGAATCTGCAGCCCGTGATATTCCTAATGAGAAAGTGAAATGTGAAGCGCTATGCATGGATCTCTCCCGCCAGATTGAAGACTACATGAGCGCTGTTGGGAATGCGTATGAGAATGACCCCGAACAAATGGGTGTGTTCATACTCAGTGTATTTGAGCTCTGGGTTCGCATGGACAAATGCGCAATAGTAGTATACCCATTACTCGCTGATTACCATCCCCGGCTCACCCCTGAATTGTTGGATGTGCTGCTTCTTTCTCGACGGTATCATATGGAACGGCTCCAAAAGGTTCAAGAATATATCCACGATCGTTGCACCAAGGCAAAAATGCGGGATATGACCATCTTCTCCAACCCGTCTCCAGGAGGATTCACCGACTGCTATTTCAACACCAAGGAAGCAAATCATTTGCGGGAACTTCAACAGAAGATACAAACAGCATCAAATCTCGCTCGGGCTTGTAAAGAGGTAGAACTAGTGCAAGTCAATGCACTGCATAAAGACTTGACGGAGAAACTGTCAGCAACCTCTTGCGATCAGCGAAGACTCCCTGATGGGAAGCACGATATTCGATATTGCAATCATTGCTTCTACGGTCGGCGTCGCTGGCGTCTTGAGATAAAGGTCCATGAAGACTTTCTTCCATCAGAGGCCAATACTGCTCATAAACAAGCTGTGATATTCGAGTTAGACGTGCCGAAATGTTTCGCATCCTATAGGGATACTACCTGGAGGATTGTCTATTCTCTTTGTCAGCAAAAATTCAGTTCACCCTCAGAGAAGCCAGAGATGCTATTGAGAGACTATTCTCAGCTTAGATTGTATAATGAGAGCCAGGCAAGCCAACATATTTCACTGGCCTCTCACACCAAATCCTACCTGGGAACACATTATAAATCAAAGAGGTTACCTGCAAAAGCGAAGGATGTTTTACTCCCACTGGGACTACATTTTTCATACTATGACAGAGAACGAAACGTGTGGCTGGTGGAGTTTCCTAAACAGTTGACATGCGCACATCACTTTGCGCTGCGCCTTCCAAAAAGCCTGCCATTTGCAGCCTTGTACTCAACCTCTGCCTTTGCAGCCGACGCATCAGGCCCCACATCATATAAGGCTGTTGCAAGTATCACCGACTGCCCATCAAGACTAAGTGTACATGAATATGTGGCACACCAGAATGTTAGGGGCGGGAGGCATCGACGATGGCTTTCAATCTTGACCGAGCTTGGATCCTCGAACGTCAACTTCAGTCTCCAGGATACAGCTGTTCTTTTCCGTTTGCTAGTGCTACAAGCCGGTCCCCAGCTGAAGGATGACAGCCTACGTACTGTTCACTGTGTTTTTAGAGACGTGAACTTCTGCCGTAGGCTAATCGAGCAAATCGAACAGCACGTGGAAATCATATCACCCAATTGGCGCGAGTACTACTACATGGAGACTCTGCTTACACTAACTATCCAACTGTGCGAGCTCTCTTGCTCAGAATTACAAAAGCAAGTGCATGCCCTCCTATTGAAAGTGCGAGGTATTACTCTTGCCTGGACCATGGCTCTCAGGAGCGAAATGCGCCGTGCCCAGGAAGCAGATACCGCAGAGAGTGCAGCTAAATACTGCTTCTTTTCTGCCCTCCTGTGTCGCAGGACGTTTACACTCCAAGCCTATGACGGTCAAGAACTTGATGCAGAGAGCTTCAGGGACTTTATTGAAGCAACATTTACACTGCAAGAAAGCTTGTTGATCGACGTATCGGAATTTATGATTTTTACACGGAATGTACTTGTCCGCGATATTAAAATGGCCGCTGCACTACGACCTACACTCCGACAAGCCGTTACTGTGCATCAGGCTAGCTTGATGTCAGCTATTGATACTTGTTGGCCAGGTGCAGAACTCACTGCGAGACAGCGCACGCAATGGCGGTTCCTATCTCACCCGTATGAATGGTGGCTCATGTCAACAATTCACGGTACAGAGACTACTATACCACAGGTGCTCCATTACCATTTGCTGGAGGGCCACTTGCTAGTAGACGGACAAACGATGGGAAAGCTTCCGGCTGATATCAGAGATTCAGAAGTATTGAAAGAACTATTTGGAAACCAACGGCTTGTTGCTTATCCTTCAAACATGTTGGGGATGAATTATGTGCTCGCAAATGATCGGGAAGGTCATCAGATACACCTGGGATACCGAGGAAAGGAGCTGGTGATACGCTCCAAGAAGTTTGGCAGAATCTTGGAATTTGTTCCGCGTCGGGTCTTTGGTCAGGGTGCCGAAATGGATTTGCCAAGTCAGCTAGTCGACAATTGCTTTCACTGGCTTGACCTAACTTCTGGAGACATTGAGATTCGACGGCAGCAACGGCTGTGGAAAGAGAGCAACTGGACTATAAGTACCCGGTTTCGCCGAGCACAGCGCCGAACTGCCTCTCTCCTTGACCCACACAGTGTTCTGTTCGGATTAGTGGCTAAAACCTTCCACAACTTCGAACAGCCGCATATGCTAACCGTGGTCCAGCCGCTCAAAGGAAGCCTCACTGTGGAGTTGAAGCGGATGGACCTGACGTTTTATGTCAACAAGAAAGGTCTTTTGCAATGTAAGCAACTGGCGGCTGAAATTGACCCAAATCAAGATGCGGGTACGCTATATGGGCTTCTAAGTATGCTTGTTCTCCGAAGGATTCACAATCGTTCCCAGCGCATTGTCATCATACCAGTGGGCAAGCCATTGTATCGGCGCCACGGAATGCATGTCCATATCGAGACAGCAAATGGTGGCGACTATGCGACATACAGCATAGACGGCATCCTTGGACAGCTTCATAGCCCACCGGAGCCACGACTGCTCTATAACAAAGCACTATTGCACGCACTCACATCTTACTTCATACCTGATCCCCTCACAGGCCGTACAGGGACAGAAGAAGCATTATCATGGTTGCAATCTGGATCCTGCCAGCCCTGGGCTCCTCTCACCAAGGTTTCCCTGGATATATTAGGCATAATATCAGCTTTGACACCAAAGCGAGTATACTATCCAAAGGAGAGGAAAAGCCAACAGACTGTCCATTGGGAACCTCAGTTGACAATAACAATCCAACATGATGCTTATATGCCAATCATTGACCGCATTGTGAAGAAGTCCGAGCGGCTTGAGGCATTCGAACTTAATGTTCCGAACACCACCATAGAGACGCCACTTGCTGTACCGCACCTTAGAGACCGAGCCTACTGGAGACGATCACTCTATGAACGGCCAGGATTAATTTCACCACCCGTAACTCCGCCGCTAGACTTACTATACATTGCGCGAGATCGTTGGAGATCTTCTAAGCGTTCATCCAATGTCCGGGAGATAGTTCATTTGCTCAAACAGAAGCCTTCATATGTACATACGACATCCAAGTTAGTGAACATACTCGAGGGATGGCCGCTTATCGGTGGGTATACCACTGAGTTCATGCCCTACTCTATAGAGGAGTGTCTGAGTGGGAAACATGCCCATGAATGGGGTGGCTGGGTTAGTCTCTGTAAGAAGTGCGAACCAGAAGATGCCTACCGCCTCATGTTTCAGCTGGGTGTGGTGGCATTTCGAAATGGTGTCGAGATGACTGTTCTTCGTGTGATCGTTGCTTTCTTCCTACTTGAAGATTTAAAAAACATGAGTCTCCCTCCCTACTCGTCTTTTACTGAGTTTAAAGTCGGTCAAAAGCCCACATCTGATACACTGTTCGGCATAGTGAGGCCATTTTGCGAGGCATACGGCGGCTCTACCGGAGAGCGGAAGAAGAACAAGCGAGCAAAAACCATCGAAGAAATCCGCCAGACTGAGGCTGCTAAAGAAGATCATGAGTTGAAATGTGCAAATGAGTGTCGCCGGTTTGTTACTTTTCTGCTCGATCAATGGCCATGCATTGAGCCCATGGTTGAAGGTTTCAATCAGACTTACCTAGATGTGCCGCTGGCCATGAAGGAGGTGATACCTGAGTGGCTTAGACTGTATAAGAATTTGCGACTGTGTCATCATATTGACGAAGTCCAAGCAGTATTGAATATACATTCCGCTGTCACTAATACAGTTAATACGACTTTTGAATGCCCGAAGACTATCTTATTTCAGCAATCAGGGGTTCGCTATTCCATTCCACGCCTTGGTGAGCTTTTGCAAAAGCCTGGACCGAAGCTCAACACAAACCATGACGTACGCACTGTCAAATTATGGGCCAAGCCCCAGATGCCTGCGATGCCGCCAGCTTTAAACCCTGGCCGAAGGCTGCACATCCCTCCAGAAGTTACGGAGATAGAGAATCTAGTTAGCGATGCTATGGATTCACGTTGCCCTGTCAAACTGAGGTATGGGCAAGATTTGAAGGAGAGTATTGACGCGTTGAAGCTGGCTGAGCGTACGGATGAACGACAGATAAGCCTGCATGTTAACTGGGGTTTTGCGACTGACATATTTAACTACGAGATTCAGGAGGCTCGCATGGTAGTGAATCAATACTTCTCTCAAATAAGCGAGTCGCTATCATTGAAAGAATCGAGGTTCAAGTGGCTACAGCAAAGCAACCTTTGGCCATTTGTGACGCCTCTGTCAATTCTTCAGCAGCTTGGATCGACCTCCAGCAATATCTTTGGGCCGGGCATGAAAGACGCAATTATTCTGTATGGACTAGCAATTGTCAAGCTTCAACGACTGAACCGGATGAAAGGAGCTTTCGGAAAGGGCGACGAAGGAACGCTGCGTCAAGAGTATAAGAATAACGGTCATACCAATTGGCAGCCTGCTGACTATCCTGACTGGTTATTGTTAGAGATTGATGCAAATATTCAAATTCGCGAAGATCAAATTATAGTCGCCCAGGAAATGATTTCACCTACCTCAGGCTTTAACTCGGTGCTCCAAATGAATATGGGTCAGGGAAAAACTTCAGTCATCATGGCTATGGTCGCTTCTTTACTCGCGAATGGGAAGATGCTCACAAGACTGTTAGTACCCAAAGCCCTTCTGTCACAAACCGCACAGATTGTTCAATCTCGCCTCGGGGGTCTCTTGGATAGGGAAATTACCTATATCCCATTTTCCAGACGAACACCAACTACTCCGCATCTCATTGGAGAATATCGTAAGCTCCATGAAGATATGTTGCAAAGATCAGGCATTATCCTGGGAGTTCCTGAGCATGTATTGTCCTTCAAGCTTAGTGGTCTTCAGAGACTCTGTGACGGCAAGGTTGCCGAAGCCACAGACATGGTCGAGGTCCAGCGCTGGTTGGACAAAGTCTGTCGGGATGTCCTGGATGAGTGTGACTTTACGTTAGCTGTCAAGACGCAGCTGATTTACCCCAGCGGCTCACAGTTAATGGTTGATGGACATCCTAGTCGCTGGGAAGTGACTATGCGGATTTTGAATCTCGTGGCACAGCATCTACCAGATCTTGGCCGAGAATTCCCTCAGAGTATTGATGTCATAGAACGGACATCTACCGGATTCCCCGTCGCATACTTTTTGAGAAAGGATGTTGAAGAGGCTCTTGTGAGGAGGATAATAGAGGACATCACTTACGGTCAAATGTCGATTCTCCCCATTTGGGAAAGTACAGACGGAGAGCGAGATGCAGTCCGACGCTTTATTTCCCAAGAAACGGTCGATAGCTCGGTCTCCAACCGTGTAGCTACGCTCTTTCCAGATACACCTCAGGCGCATAAGAATCTCTACTTGTTACGAGGGCTGCTTGCACACGGTATATTGCTACTCTGTCTTAAAAAGAGGTGGAATGTACAGTACGGTCTACACCCCGATAGGGCCCCAATGGCTGTCCCATTCCATGCCAAAGGCGTCCCTTCGGACCATGCCGAGTGGGGCCATCCAGATGTTGCTATTCTGTTTACTTGTCTCTCGTTTTACCATCAAGGGCTTACCGAAGATCAACTCCAACGGAGCCTACAGGAGGTTTTGAGATCCGATGATCCCGCTATTGAATACGATCGGTGGACACAGACATCGCACACTTTACCAGAAACGTTGCGCCACTGGAATACGATCAATGTCGACGACAGGGGCCAAGTCGCTGAGATATGGCAACATCTGCGCTTGAAGACTGTTGTTATTAATCATTTTCTGAGAAAATTTGTCTTTCCTGTACACGCCAAGCAGTTCAGTACCAAGTTGCAGGCATCAGGCTGGGACCTTCCCCTCTACGCTAACTCTCTAGGTCAAGGTGCAGCTACTGAGCTCATGCGTCCGGGAATCACAACTGGATTTAGTGGGACTAACGACAATCGTCGACTGCTTCCTCTTTTGATAAAGCAGCACGATCTTCCTGGGCTGTCACATACGAACGCAGAAGTTCTCACCTATCTTTTGCAGCAGAGAAACCGAGCGTATAAGGTAGCGGCAAATCAAGACGGTACACGGTACTCGGAGCGTGACCTTCTAAAATATCTCAAACTACGTAAGATGCGCATTCTGATTGATGCTGGGGCGCTCATACTGGAAATGAGTAACCAGGCGCTCGCACGAGCTTGGTTGCAAGAGGACGACCAAGCTCAAGCTGCAGTTTACTTTAAACAGGATAATCAGCCCTGGGTGCATTACCGAACTGGAAGAGCTGTCCCCCTTCTTTCCACCCCCTTTGCGGAAAATATGGAGAATTGTGTGGTCTATATAGATGAGGCACACACCCGGGGCACTGACCTCAAGCTGCCGCGTCATGCTCAAGGAGCATTAACTCTTGGCTTGAACCAAACGAAGGACCACACCGTTCAAGGTATGGAGTTCATTACATCTTTTCGGCCTCTTGCTGCTTTCACCTTTCATTCTGCAAGTGCTAACAGTCGTTGCTAGCTGCTATGAGATTGCGACAGTTGGGAACGACGCAATCCATCATTTTTATCTCACCACCAGAGGTGCATCAGAGCATACTGGATGTCTGTCATAAGAGCGTGCATGATAGTGTTGATTCATCAGATGTGCTCTCCTGGCTTATCAATCAGACATGCGATAATAATAGAGATTTGCAACCGTTGTACCTCTCCCAAGGGGTCGACTTCTGCCACCGCATGCAAGCTTCCATCGACCATAAGAGTTTCTTGACCAACCCAGACCATAGGAATGCGTACACTGAGCACTTGAAGCGACCTGAACAACAGACATTGGAACAGCTCTACCAGCCCCCGTCACACGAGCATGGCGATGTGATGTCTCCATCAACCGCCACTACCACGTCCTTTACAGGAAACCTCGCTTCTTTCATAGACAAACTACAACAAAGCTATGCACAGTCCCATGTCAAGGGATCATTGAAGAATGCCGCATTAGAGGAGGTTGAGCAGGAACGAGAGGTTGCCTTTGAGATCGAACAGGAAAGGGAGATACAACGGCCTTTGACAATGAAAGCACACCGGTACCCTGGGCTGCATACCTCCATTAGAAATTTTGCGATAATCGGTTGCCTGAAGGGAAACGAAGGTTACATGAAGGCGGCCACTGTCATAGAGTCAACAGATCTGGGGCGCAAACATGGCATTGATGCTTCGACGTTACTACGCTCCTTGTATGTTTCGACCGAGTTTATGAGGACGGTGGTCACAAAAAAACGGGCAAAGAGTATCGATAACTTTCTGGTAATATCTCCCGATCTCCTCGCGCATGGGCTATGGAGCTTGACTAACATACTATTCATTGCATAGCGTCCCGTGAATTGGCTGCTTTGGAATTCGCAGACAAATGTTGGGCTAGTGATCATTCCAGAGGAGGCCGAGGAGCTAATTCCTATTATACGTACAATACAAAAATCGGCAGTGCATTTAATTACGTATGCGGCACCATTCACAAAGCGAATGCTCCAGTTTGATAGTCTCACTTACTACGCTCTCCCGAGCCTCCCCAAAGGGTGGTCTCCGCCACCATGGCTTCCGTTCGAGTTGGGAATTCTGGCAGGGCGTCTGTATTTCCAATTCTCAGACTACACGTTTCTGTTGGAGCAGCTGCGACTCGACCTGGAGAACCCCATAAGTCCCGCTGTAGCAAGTAGTGCTGCAGCATGTGACAATTCATTTGTTAGAGGTCAGTTCAACTTTCTTCAGGACTGGTTGACTCTCCGTCGCCAGGGACAGGACATATCACACACTCCAATGGGATATGTTTGCCAGGGCTCCAGGCTCCGCCGTGATCACCCATTCTTCTTGGCCAGAAAAGAAGTGGATGAGATAGAAAGCGCCGGCCGCCGTCTATTCTACACCTCGAACTACAGGGAAAGTGATGAACCTGAGGAGTATTATGATAGTGACGATGTTGAGAATGATGTCGAGGGTGTTGAGAATGATGTCGAGGATGTTGGTATGATGCAAGGAGGAGAAGATGATGTATCGGATGTTCATGTAGATATGCGTGAGGGGGATTAACATTGGAGTTTCTATCCTTGATATGTAACTTGCACCGGCTATCTTGCGCAGATCCTGTGATACAGATTGTTGGAAATATGCACACGCTAGGGCTGATAGTGATAATATTATCCAAAGACATCCGAGAGGTCTTTCTATTTCCATGTCGAGAAGTTGACTGTGCTCCATGAAGTAAAGTCCTATCGATTTTATATACAACCAGCACGAAACCATCTTAACATTTCGAATAGTAAAAATTACCAATAAGAAAAAGGAGTGTACATGTGAGTAGGCACTCCGTTAGACCCAACGAATTCTTCATGGCAAAAGCTGTAGATATCCCCCACAACCACCGAGCCGAGAGAAACAGCTACAAACGAGTCAACGACATGAGAAGGCGAAGAAAAAAACCCATTGCTACAACTTAGACCAGGCGTGGCGGATTCCCCAAGAACAGGGACGATGGCTTCGAAGGAACCATTAGGAATCTCCCACTCCTGCTTCACAACATTTCAAAAGCTTTATATCCATGCGAGTGATTTAGAACTTGACAATTTGGCCACGACCAGCCTTCATATGGACGTTTTCGTAGCCTCGAAGCACCTCAACCGGGGTTTCAGCTGGGGTGGTGCTTTGCGGGAAGGCTACGCAGAGTGGAGGAACGGTTGCACCCGCCAGCTTGCCCGTGTTGGTTACCTTGAACTGCACGGTAGCGAGAACTTCGTAGAGGTCCGGATGTCCGCCTGGTTGGATAGCCTTCCTCTTGTCCGGTAGGGGAGCAACGCTCTTCTTGTTTGACTTCAATGGCATTCCCTCAATGGAAAATGTTGGGTAAGATAGCCCGTACCAGAATTCGTGTCTCGGATTGACTCCCAGATCGCCCTCAATATAATAGTAAGACCCTTTTTGACAATTAATAGTATATCTTGCATATCGTACCTGACTCTTATCAGAATACTAATGATCAAAATCCTCCAATGGGGACGCGACAAAGTCACATCCTGGGACGCCTTAAAGGGGCTCAACGGACCTAGTGAATAAGCTGAGTGGTTGCGTCAAAGCCCGACGGTGAGTCTCACAGTGATGATCCGCATTCAACTGGAGCTGAACCTCATCTCATGTAACGTCCTACCACCAAGAGGTGGTAAATTCAGTCCCTGGACGTGACAAAGCCCAGTCTTCGACCGTCCTCATCACAACACGCACCAGCCGCTCTGTGACCAGGATGAACTCTAATGAAGCTACGCGATGGATTTCGCAAATCCATTGTCCACGGGTACAAGCACTCGTGGCACCTATATCAGCTAGCGCTTGTGGGCATCCAGACTCCTCAATCTCTATGACCTTGGCGACTATCTTGACTCCTAACATTCCCTCACAGATTCCCTCCCGGCGAGGATACTGCTGCAACAGATCTACGCCCGGCGCCGGATAATAGGCTCACGACATTTGACCCCGACCCAGAACAAGGGCTCGACGATTCCAGTCTCCAAACTGAAGTTTACGGATGTCGCCTGCTCGGCATGTTCGTATCGTCGCAGCGCTCGTTGCTTTGAATCCTCAAGAATCCGGGTGATGGATTCAATCATGTTTATACAATCGTCAAGGCAAGCGTCCGGGGCCAGCTCGCTTTGAGTTGAGTCTGCGCATAGCAGAAGCTTGGTAAATCTGCGCCGGACTGAAAGGAGATCCAAAGCTCGGCCCTCGTCGGATTGGGGGGCAGTACTTAACAGGCTGGCTAGACTTATGTCCCAATCATGCAGGAGTCGTAGATACATCTCCTTTTCCACGGTTTTGGACTGTACACACGGGTCCTGGGTGTCCTGTCCGAGGAAGAATCGCATGATGCGATTGAACAAGGCCTCCAATGATACATACGCCTCGAGTAAACTGGTGAATGGGGCGGTAGTGGGTGATGGAGCTATTTGGTTATTGTTCCAACCAAGAGAGGCGGTTTGGCCCAGTAAATATGGACGCACCTGTGAGTCGAGCCGGATGAAAGCCAGTAAAAGCATATCAGCTCCCTTCCATGCTTCTGGCTGACTGCGAAGTTTCTGACCCACTGCCCACTGATGAAAAAGCTTTAACCCGTTGTTGATATGCATAAAGGCCTGGTACTGACGGCCCTGCAGGCTACATATACAGGTGTAAAGAATGCAGGTGGCTAGCACGACCATTTGATCCTCGTTATTTAGCACTGGCTCCGATAGCAGTCTCAAAAGAGATTGAATGGATTTATTCGTCTGCCTCAAAGCAAACTCCATATTTCGGCTCTCACCAATGCGTGACTGAGTGGACGGGGTGCTATCGGTCGCATACTCGCGATGGATGCATGCCAGTGCGGCCATGCCATGCCGGAGAGCCGGATAATGATGAGAGGCCTGTAGTAGCCGGTGAGACCAAAAGCCGGTGTCGAAGAATCCAGCCAAAGTGAACGTAGTGAAAGAACGGAAAAAGAAGAAATTCTCGTTCTCGCCTACATCTTGAGAAAGAAAGTCCCAGGTAGATGGCACCTGTGACAGAGCGTAGGCAGCCAGCTCGTCGTGTAAATTCTCTATATCCTCATAGCCATCGCAAAGGCGCCCTGTTGACAGGCACTTTTGGCAACTACTCATCGTGGTCAGTCAGGCACCGACACAAGAACGATTTCACTCTCCGCAGCCAGCCGGCCGTCCTGTCACTCACCTCGGTCTGCCCTCGTCACACTTTGTCTTCCGAATCCTTGTCATCGTCAACGCTGCATCACAAACCATGATATAGATCCATACTTGCAAGTTATGCAGCCTGTTCTCACACGGGGGGCCCATCGCCTCTGCCGCGGCCGTTGCTTTTGGAGGGTGCGCCGTTCCGTTGTCGATGACGGCATGACGGACGGTTAAATGCAATGAAACTTGGCCAACTGATCGTTCTATTTCAACAGCGTATGGAGGTACAGCAAGCAGTATACAAAGGTATGCAAGCACGATACTAATGCCCAGAGTTCCGCGAGGCTTACAGTAAGCTGGCGTCAGCCCTGTCTCGATCTCCTCCTCCACGCATGCTGATTGGCCCGTTCGCGTGTGCTTACTCCCATTCCCCGAACAGGGAAAGTCTGGCCCGTGACATCGGGAACTAGACCTATTCTAGAATAGATGCACTAAACCCGTGACGTGACAGGTGATCATTTCCATTGAAGTGGAACTTGGAGCAAAACATAGTCCGTCAACCAACACTACTATCTCCTCATACGATAGTTAAGGACGCAAAAATAACCCAAGTTGCCTGGATCCGGCGCGGCTGGATGGAAAGAATTCTGCAACATCTGACCTGCATAATTAATCTGACAGCCCTCGAGCCAAAGATTCCTCCAGCGATGTCCACCCTGGCCTGCCGTAGAAGGCTTGGATGAGTTTCTCGGCTCGCTTCGAAGCTGCAATCTCAAAGGGGCGAATATTCTCTTCCTCCTGAACATCAGGTATGGCTGAACAATCTGGTCGGAGCTCCCGCATAACTTTCACGACCTGGGTCCAAGTATATGGATCAGCGCAGGCGAACAGACGCTCCGACTGAACATCGGGATCTAAAAGTCCAATGACATGAAGTCGTGCGGTGTCTTCAACATCCACGTACCATTCTAACCGGAACTGTTAGATCCTATGATTTTTCACGATTGTGGGAATTTAGGGTTCTTCATCTTACGGGCGGGCATGATCTTTGTGGCCACATCGTTCCCATCGAGCAGTAAGCGTGTCGCTGCCATTGAAGTGCCTTGCTTGCCGGGGAACAGGATCTTGCCGAACTAAAGTGCCACAAAATCAGACGTTGGCAAAAAATTAAAAGAATACTTTTTTCTTACGTTCACGTTGGGGAGCACGGTGTTCAGAACGAAATGCGGGTTGTGCTCCGCCATCCATGTCCAAGCCCCGCGCTCGGCTTCGACTTTTGCTGCCGTATACACCACGCCTGGCTTGATGTGGTCCGGAGTCGTTGGATCCCAGGCAGCGGCAACGGCCGCGTCATTCCATTTGTCTATGACCATGTTAGAATGCGCCATGGATGTTTCAAGCAGAGGGGCAGCTACTGACTCTCATCCACAATATAGTCCGTGATCTCCCCTGTGCCGGGACATCGAGAACGAGCCGTAACCACAGAAGATGTCAGAACCACCCGCTGGACGGATCTCACTCGCGCAGCAGCAGAGAGAACATTCAAGGTTGCTGTGACCACCTCGGGAATGAGACTGTGGGGATCGGCAGTCCACGACATATTGCATGCCTAAAGATAGCTGTCAGATGTCTTCCTTTGTAGTCACTTTGTCAATGGATGCAATCACGCACCACATGCACCACCCCGCCCACATCCGTCAAGCACCCATCTAGCGCGCCGTCTTCCTCCAGCTTTGGCAGGATTACCGTCTCGAAGTTGGCTGGGCCATATTTACTCTTGAAATATTCGTCCACCCATGGCTTCTCGGATCGCACCGTGCCTCGGACTTTGTAGCCTTGGGCCAAGAAGGCCTCGATGACATGGGTAGCGATGAAGCCGTTGGCACCGGTCACTAGGACCCATGAGTCGGATGGAATGCTATAGTTTGTAGTAGACATGCTGAATACTGTCAAGACTAATGCTCGTGGTGAATATGGAAGACACCGTTTTGAATTGAGTAGGATGGATAGATTCATGGGAGGTCCTTAGACTGGATATAAATACTTGAGATGCAGCGCCAGAGGATATCTAGCGGCTACTTGGAATTGTCAAAATAGTGGGTACCGAAGTAAGCCTATGCGAACGAACCAATCAAGAGACCAAAGGCATCTCACATATCAGGGACACTAGGATAGGTAGTCATGAAGATCGTTGCTGCTCCGGTGATTGTCATAGTCTATAACGTCCCCCCTTAGGTATCAATGAATCATGATAGGTTGATGCCAACGAATACTATGACTGCATTACCAATAACCTTCAACCTTGTCGGTCAAAGCGTTGACGCCTTTTATAGAAGGTCTCATACTGGGCACATTGCTATTCCTGTCTCATAATAAGTTCGGGCATATACGAGGGTTGATCACCTATTGTCCACGTATTGCACATGTTCTCGTCTCTATTGGATATTTCTCGAGAGTCAGAGAAAAGAGACTGACTCTCTAAGCGTTTCACCTCGTGGGTCATGTCTTCTTGGCCAAGGGGAAGAGTTCGAGATGAACAGAACTAGTCTTGTACCAAAATGAACAAAAGACCGAACAAACTTGGAACTACCTGTGGTTTTGAGTCCATAGCGGTAGTCAAAGAACATAATTCACCTTCGAGTAGATCGTCCATCAATCATTTAACACTGTTCGTCCAGCCTGATTCGGTACAGTAGTAGAGCCCTAAGTCAATATATTTTTGCAACGCACTTACTAGAGTAAGTCTGAATATCCGCTGGCTGGGAGTGTTGACAGCAAATGGAAGGCGAATTTGAAAATTATATCAGATTCGTTACCCCAGATATCCTTAAGTACACGTTGCTGGTATCCTTGGTATTTTGGAGGATTCATGAGGCTATATTTGTTCAAACCATCACAAGTCCAGGGAGATGACTAATATGCCTGATGGAACGATAATAAAATTACCCCTCCTTCGCGTGTATGGCTCGAAGCACATTCCTTGGCTTTTGTATTCAATCGCTAATGTATTAAAGTGGACTTCACATCATTCGTCCGTGATATGCACCACTGAGTGTGTAGAAAAGAAACTCAGATTGGATCTCAAAATGGACTCCCAAGTGAAACCTCCAACATCAACTCCAACCACTCACCCAAGACTCGGATGGATCGGTATTTGCAGCCTTTCCGAACTGATACCAGCCCCACACTAACGCCACAGGCCTCGGGTCGATGGGGTTGGCCATGGCATTGAACCTCCACAGCCATCTATCGCATATCAATGCCCCTCCACTTTGCTTCTATAACCGTACCGAAGCTCGGGGCCATTCGATCCTTGATAAAGGAGGAGTCCAGAGTGCCAGTGTCCAAAACTTGATTGCCCAGGTCGACATTTGCTTCATTGCTGTCAGCGACGGCACAGTCGTCACCTCAATCATCAATTCAATAATAGAAGCCTCAACCACGCAGCAGCTTCATGGCAAGATCATTGTCGACACGTCGACCATCCATCCGGATGTATCCTCGTGGGCGCAGCGAACACTTGCGGAAAAGGGTGCTAGTTTTGTCGCAGCCCCCGTGTTCGGGGCAAGTCCTGTTGCAAGGGAAGGCCGGCTGTTGATGGTAACAGCAGGCGCCGACGAGGCTGTCAGGGCGATTGAGCCATTCTTGGTTGGTGTATTGGCGAGAAAGACGTTGCACATGGGAACGGACGCGGCGCAAGCTAGTTTGATGAAGACGGCAGGGTAGGTTTTGCGGCTTTTATTCCAGAGTACTTGGCTGATGGAGCGGATGGTAGAAACTTCTTGACGGCTGGGATGATGGAGCTTGTGGCCGAAGCACAGGTCTTTGCTGAGAAGACTGGCATTGGAAGTGAGGCACTGGAGTCCTTGATCGAAGAGCAGTACGGCGCACTGCCGCTCGCGATGTCGAGGCGGATGACTGAGGGGTTTTACCTTCCGAAACAGGGGGAACGGCCTTGGTCGGACCTTCAACTGGCGGTGAAAGATGTCGGATTAGGGGTTTCGTGTGCGGAGAACGCTGGAACGAGCTTGCCCGTTGCAGATGTCATTCTCAAGCACTATGACGAGGCTTGCCAGTATGGAGAGAGGAATGAAAGGGCATTGGACTCCTCGTCTATGTATGGAGTACTCCGGACGCATGCCGGGCTTGATTTTGAATCGGACCGTGTGAAGGAGAGGTGATGATGAACCTGATGTGGACACATCGCTGCCATGGCTATATGTGAGCTCAATTAAATCACCTTGTAGGCATGGACTATCAATGAATATTGTGTTACCGAAAGCATTCACTATTGGTTCCACTATGTTGAATATCTCTATGCAGTCAAGAAGAGCTGATATGACACTGGATACTTACTAGCATGCTCTCCCTTTAATGCGGTTCATTGTGATTGACCGACTCTTCACATATTGGTAATCGAAACTCTGCTGATCACAGCTGCCACAATACTTGATCCAAGAAGGGTGGTTATTGTTTGACGACTAAATCGTCCCCCTAGCGGCTTAATGCCACCAGCCGAGATTGACCATGAACTTGCTGAGAAGAAATAAAGGCTAAAGTTTACTAAACCACTTCATGCAACGGCTTCTGCCCAACAACTCTCATCAGCTTCACTGGCGGTGACTCTCCCTGAGCACAAAGTTGCCGGAACCGCTCAATCAGTTCTTCCCCCTTCTTTGACGCTGCCTCTTCATCCGGCACTTGGGCCGATCGCAGTAGAAGACTTGTATACAATGTTCCTATAATGGCAACAAACCTTTGTTCGGTGCTGGGACGGAGACCAGCATCCCAGTGTGAACTATACTCGACCCGCACCACATCTCGGAACCCGGCTGACTGGCTTTCATGGTAAACCTTCGCAGATGCCTGAAAATATTTGCCTTCCGCCTTCAAACCGAGATTGAAACACCGCCGGATCTCTTGGAATGCTACATTGTCGGCGATGTACGTTTCTTCGTCGATCTCTTCCCACTGCATGTAACCTCCCGGCTCTGAAGATACTTATTATTGCATGTCGACAAGAACATGTTTCAGCTAATAGGAGAGCACATACTGAGAAGCTGGTAAATATTTGCGACGGCGGCTCTGTAGTCAGGTTCGGCGAGAGCGGCAACCAGTAGCCGCACATGGACGAGGTCATAGCGGTTCCAATGCTCCTCAGGGAAGGGGACCGTTATGTCATGGACAGAGAATTTGATACTATCATCCGCGGGCGGAAATTGCGCGGACGAGATGTCAAACCCATGGTAGTACCGCTGGACTCCAGGTACTTCCGACAGTGATCGCGAGAGGTCCCTCAGCCAGATTCTGTCCACATTTAACCCCTTAGCGACGCGATCGTGAACCACAGGACAAAGAAGCCTACCCAGTACCAGTGGCTATATCCGCAATAGAAACCACCTTTCCTGTGGGGATTGACGGATGGATGAGGGTGTTTCTAGAAACCTTCACCAGCAGGTCATGCTGGACATCGAGCCTGAGAACCATCCATTAACTGAAACCCCACCTTGCGGCTGGTTTCGAGGCCATACCTCTTCGATTCCTGTTCATCTCGCCCAAAAATATATTTGTCCGTGGTGTTTAGCATCTTTGCGATACTCTAGGCTAGGATTGCCCTTAAGATTGGAGATATCTCTTCCGCTTTTATGCCCACATGCCCCTCATTTAGCCCGAGAAGCTCTAGGCTCTCAGCTGAAGCCACATTCTCGCGCTTGGAACTAGCTTGTGACCGGAGCGTGGTAGAGTACTTCACACGGAAGAATGCCGAGGAGCCCCATCGGCTATTCCTTCCTCCTGTTGTTCCGCTTTTCATCGACAGTAGTTCTTTGATACCGACCTCTCGAACCTGTGGTTGCTCAGCTGACGATACCCGCGACTGTATAAACGGCTCAGCCAATATCTTGAGGGAATTGGGCTCATTTAAGATGGATGACAAGGCCGTAACAAGATCCAACTATGGTTCAGACATGGTTTGATAGACGTGTTGATTCATATTCTGGTCAGAGGGAGTTTCGGAGCTCGGATGGTCGCAATCAACCAGGTCTGCTCGATGCTTCATTGCGCACAGATATCCATTGGAAGCGGGGGCTGCCTTAGTGCGTAGTTTGGAGGGGCCCCTGACACAAACCATTCCAAGTTCAGATGATGTGTACAGGCTAAACTTGTGTGAGCCTGACAGAAGAATGGATGGACAATCAAGATGAGCGGCGCGCTAAACTGTCTTTGCACGGCCGCCACGACGGCTGTCACGTTTGTCCGCCTGGGGTCTGCAGGGCGTCGTCGGCAAAAGTTGGAGGAAGCTGGTTTGCCGTCGCTTAGACTTGACTCTTGACATTTCGGGGTCTCACTTCCCACCTGACCCAAGACTGTCACGGGGTACAACGAACGACCGGCCCACCGACCAACCTCAATCTTGGGCCGTGTTCCATTCCAATGGATTTCCCTTTCGACTATTTCTGAATCCGGTATTTGAGATAATCGATTGACCCTGAACAGGGGTAGGGATTGGGAAGGCTTGGCATGTCTCTCCTTTGAGTTCTTTAGCGCCAGACAAGGAAGAGTACATGGGATTCGTGAATAGGTAAGCAACATGAGATCGCTATCAAATCAACGTGGAGATATTTGGCCAAGTGCCGACACTAGGCATTTTGCAGCCTTGCCTAAATTACGTGCATTCTCCCATGGGATCCATGTTGATTCACCCCGAGGCACCTGATGCTGCGACGCAAGCTCGATCATGCCGGCCTTTACTATTGTTCCTCATGCTACGGTGATATCGCTCTTTATATCCATGAATCCTTACGAGAAACTCACCTAAGTCACGACTACCTATACCCACGCCGATATGACCAATCCTACAAAATCTATCGATCAAGGAAATCCGAAGATATAGAACTAGATTGCACAATTCCGATGAGCAAAATAAACTGGTTGGGGTTGTGGATTCGGCAGAGGTCAGAGGTGTATCCAAAACTTCAATTAATTGACATAGGGATAGTTACGCTTCACCTGTTTTCTTTTCTTTTTTTTATAACGAGGTATAGATATTGAGTGCCATTTGGAAAAGCCTTGTGAACAACCTAGATCACTCTGCGACGGGACGAAGAGTCACCGAGTCACCAAGATCACGGCTACTGAAGCCAGCACGGAAGACGAAATCACCCGTGGGTATGAGCCACTGTTGTTGAGTGACGTTCCAATAACTGAGGTCTCGGCGCATGAGCGGGAATGTCGCTGTATGGCTCTCTCCGGGAGCAAGCTCAGTCTTCTCAAACCCACGGAGTTGGAGTGGGGGCTCCGAAACGTCGGCAGGAAACGAAACGTAGAGCTGGGCCACAGTGGCACCAAGGGTCGACCCCGTATTCTGGAGAGTCACTTGCGCCTCGAACAAAACGTCCCAAAGAGCTGGATTGCCTCCGGGGCGTGTTTCAAGTGCCTCTGGGTGAGAGGCAATGTGAGCGTCTGGGTTTGTCGGTTTCACTCTCAGCCTTTCCATACTGAAGTTTGTGTATGAGAGACCAAATCCGAACTCGTATTGGACAGGGATGTTGTGACTATTGTAATAGCGGTAGTCGATCTCAAGGCCTTCGGAATACCACGATTGCCAGTCGTCGACATTGGCTGTAGTAATATTGGTGGTTGGGGCGGTATTCACGCTACTGGAGTTCAATGGAACCGTGTAGGGAAGCTTGCCAGAAGGGGACCTCGCACCATAGAGAATGTCAACGATTGAATGGCCAGACTCTTGACCTGGGTAATGAGCGACCAGAATCGCTGTGACATTCGGATGGTCTGCCCATGGCATAATGTTCATACCCCCGGAATGGGTCACAACAATCGTGTTGGAGCATTTGTCAGCGACACTCTGCACGACAACATCACCGTGTTGGTCCACAGACAGATGCCCGCGGTCCATGCGCTCTGTGGCCCGGGTCTTCAGAAAAACAAGACAGGCTTCCGGAGCCGACGCGCCCCACAGGGTCTCTACGTCTGCATCCTTGATCATGGTATTATTCAGCCAAAATTGGACCAGAGTGTTATCCTGAGCAGCTCGTTCCTCGATGGCCTCCAGAGGTGAGACCAAGTAAGTAAATCGTCCATTGCCTGATCCTCCACCGACAGCCAGGGTGCCGATTTCCGAAGGTCCACGGATGAAAGGCCCAGCAGTATTGGGTGCCGCGTCGCTTCCGAAGATTGCTATACTGGCCGGGGCTTTCAAAGGAAGCGTATTATTGGTATTTTTCAGCATCACAGTCGATTCAGCCGCGTGTCGTCGGATCCGGCTGCCATGGTCCTGTCGAACATCGCGACTCTTGTTTCCAAACACGAACGAATCCATGGAGTAATTACTCCTTGAGAACTGGGTATTATAGTACGCCATGGCCGGGTCTGTGGCCGGAAAGTCTTGGTCTTGGTGGAGGAAATAGTACGGTGTCATGATCCTTTTAATCATGTCGTTGAGGCGAGTCTCCGGAAGTGTGCCGTTTTGGACCGCTAACGTTATATTCCAGCCAAAGTATGAAGAGAGACCTGTCTGATTGAGAAGAGGGGTCACGGGTTCAATGTAGCCTGGTTGATCCATGTCCGTTCCTGCTAGGGCGGAGGCCACTCCGGAATGAAGACCGCCCCAATCAGTCATTACATATCCCTGGAATCCGAGTTCCTCTTTCAGGAGCCCGTTGAGAAGCTTGGAATTCTGGCACGCATATGAACCGTTGACACGATTATACGAACACATCGCAGCCGAAGCCTGGGCGTGGATTGCGTTGGCAAAGGGCCACATGTAGAGTTCATCTGGGGTTGCGGTCAGCCACACGCCAGGTAAGCAGAAAGAAAGGTCGACTTACGTATGGTCCTGTCGTCAGCATTTGATGAGTACACGGCGAACTCGAGCGTGCCATTAGGATAAGTGGTCTGGTAGCGTTGACTCTCTTGTTCGTAGAGAAGCCAATGCTTGATCGTTGCTTGGACTCCGGCATCCTGCAGGCCCCTCACGCTCGATTCCATAGCAACTCCAGTGAGGTATGGATCTGGGGAGAAGCCCTCCCAGTTGCGGCCACCATATGGCGTTCGGCCCAGTGGGCCTCCAACAGGTCTAATGTCATATGTCAGCGGGCTGGGGCCAGAATGAAGTGAGTTCGGAGCAGCGACCTACGCCAGAGCAACTTGGGCACCCTTGCCCCTGTACTCGAGTCCCAGGTCGTGGAATCGCTCATAGATGAGATCTCGATCCCAGGACGAGGCAATCGTTATTCCCGCGGGAAACACGCTCACATAGTCGGATGGCCGTACGGCATTTGGGCCATCCTGGAGACAGAGGCCAGTGAAATTCAGACGCAACACGGGCCCAATGTTCCCGATGCAAGGACCGGGAACACCAGTCACTAGCCACGCTTTTTCATCTAGCGTCAGCTGTGAAACAAAATGCTCTGCCTTGTGCAAAGCCGTCTCCCATCCGTTTGCTCCAGTGATGTTGGCTAAGAAATATCAACACCCAAGTCAGCATCAGCATAGGTGTGCAAAAGGGCAGACTTACGAGAGGGGTAGACCGGTGGCGAATGGCCGTACTCGCCCAAGATGGTGGTGTTCGCGGGTTGAATCCATTGAAAAGCGTCGGCTGATCTCGTCCCGGCATCGCCAGCGTTGGCCTGGGAATAGGCCAACGAGGGTAGAAGCGCCGTTGCGATAAGCGTTTTTGAGAGGAACAAGTTGTTGTACATGGCAATGGAACTTGAGGAATTCAATCTATCCAGGAGCAAAGGGGTTCATTTATAGGGCCTTTGCGAGGGTGAGTAAGAAGCCTTAATTGCGATGAGCTTGTTCCAAGCGGGCCCTTGTGGATGTTTTCCCCACTACTTCGAGCCATATGGCTCGATTTCCTATGGGGATATAATAGTGGAAAGTCTAATATAGACTGAAGCTAATTTCACCGTCTAAATGCTTCCACAAGCTCCACTCTCTAGACCATACCATTGTTGTTCTCCCCTCCCTTGGCAGATATTGGCTATAACCAGGAACCGGGCGTAGGTCATCTTGTATTCAGAAACAGTTCCTACATTCTTGAATTCATGCTCCTCACTCGATGTGGATTGCCAACATAAGACATCGAGGAACGTGGGTCTTAAGACTCTTAGTCCCGAGGGATACCCGTCGGTTACAGATGAGCCAATCCCTAAAGCCGCCAAGAGCGATCAACCCTTGGGTTCTCACCCGATTAGAGTTATGGCACATACCACTAGGATGACCGTTGGGGTTTCCTCGTGTTTTCTTCCGTGGTGAATTTGAGAGTAGCAGAACTCTTGAGTAAAGCCTGGCTTTATTCTGACCATACATAGCCTTCTATAGGAGGCCAAGTGACATATACACTATCGAGAACCTTGTTATCTTATGGATTGACGCATATCCCCTTGCAGGCTGCGTGGACAAAAGCGAAGAGGAAAGGTATTTCCTAGGTATGCTCAACAGAACTTTTCGAAATTTCAGACCCAGTGTAGATGTTGGGTCTAAGGGATCAGACTCGTGGCACGGGGTCCCCACAATGGCTAAAGTTACCCAAACCAGTCGGTGGTTGTCAAGAGGGATGCCGGCCCCGACAAAGACTACAAAGAGGGATGCCGGGTCGAAGCCGAACCTAGCGGGATGCCGACAGGTTGATTACCCAAGCAAATCCGTAATTTTGTTGCCTTCTGCTAAAAGTAGGCCAATCCAGAATACGTCTTGGACCCATCTTTCATGGCACAGTTTCGTATGAGGACCCAAATGCGGTTATGGTATCGGCGCAGAGGAGAGCGAGGTGACGCCCTTCCACCGAACCAGCGCGCAATCCTTGGAAGCTTCACGACTAGGGCGATCCTTCTTGATCACGAGGACTAAGACAACATCCGCCTGGAAGGCCGAACGCTACTTGAGGGGCGCCGTGTATTCGACACTGTGTATGGGCACTCCAAGCAATCGAGGGAACCACCCCGCGCACCTCTGCCAAGTGGCCGGTATGTATCTCTACTTAAGCCTCAGTGTGCAATCTTTTTGTAATAATTGAATGTCAATGGTAAAAAACTATTTAACGTAACGGGTCAGGACAGAAAGAATGGAAGTTGAGAGTATAGACGTAATATTAAGCCAGATAACGCGTGGAGCTGTTAATGAATATGTATTCAAGGCTCAAACTGACAGACCGTCCTGCTGAAGAGGAAGAAATGTCATCAATTGCTTGATGAAACACTGGTCGTTATAATAACCAAAGAACTATGGCTGATGTAGTTGAGAAGTATGCATATACCTCCTTAGAATAGATGCATGACCTTTTGAAAATGGGATGACTTAGTCCAACCTAAGGTTAGACAGAAAACTATCCTTATAGATATGCTCAGATTGTTTAAAATTACTTTCGTTGTAAGCTAGAGGCTTCCAAGGGTTTGTCCAGAGATGTAGCTCTAGCGGCTTTAAACAGGACTGGGCACTATTTCGAGCGAGAAATTCTGACCAGGTATAATTCAGAAACTAGAATTGTCACTTGGTAGCTAGTACACAAGTCCATAGATGGGAAGGCGCTCATTGTATTGAACTGTTATCTTATCTATGCGAAAGTACAATACGAACGAACTATACACCAATTTTAGGATAATCTACATAAACACCAAGGATAGTTCGTTTAGGAATGATTAGGTTGTATACATTGTCAGTGGTCTCCTGAACGCCAAGATACGCCTCTATAGAGCACTACACGTCCCTCAACGCATGCAGAACTCACACAAACTATTCCCCAAGCACGGTATTCTCTAAAGAACCCGATTCCCGGCTCCAGAGCCCGGTCCCGAGGTCATCAATAGTCAAATTCAATGTAAGGCCAGCATCTGCACACGCACGGCATAACTCGTCCTGCAAGTCCTCCCAACCATCCATATAATTCTGGTCCCAAAGCCGCCACGTAATCGTCTGCAACTCCGGGGTATACTCACGCCAGTTGCGGAGAAACGGACGAATCAGATCCTTCACCTGATCCTGTTCCCATTCGAAGTCGCCTAGGCCTCTCAAGTCCTCGCGCAAGCAGAGATGGCGCAGGGTCTTCGGCAGAAGAGGCCCCAGCTCAGTTTCGTGCCGCCAGTACCAACCCAAGAGGACGGGTAATGGCAGCTCGGCTGACTGGAGATTGGGAAAATGGTGTAGAATGTTGTGGAATGACTCCTTGATGTGATCGCCACTCATGCCCCAGTAGCGCTCGCCCAGGTTGGAGGGATAATACTCGACTCCTAGGGAAAGATGTCGCAGGGTCTGTTTTACAGACTTGAGGGCTTCGGCTAGTGAAGGAGGATCATCTATCACATCTTCGGCGCCCCAGGCGTAGGCCATTCCAAGGTGCAGGGTTTTTAAATTGGGTGCTCGGGAAAGCAAGCAATGCACATCTGGGTCTGAGATCGTGGTCCGTGCAAGGATAAGTGTCTCCAGTTTATTGAGATTCAGATTGGGCACTGTTTCCTCTAGGCCTTCAAGATCTCGTAACCATATGTTTAGGTAGCGCAAAGATGGCAGGCAAAACCAGGCCATGAACTGATCCGGGTTGTATGCGGGGTAACTGTCAGGATCCTCATCTTCGTCCTCGGCGATGGGGACATTGCCGCCATAGTCAACGGTCTCAAGGTATTGGAAGGTTGAAAGCACTCCATTGGGAGATAGTAGGGCCTGCTTCAGCATGAGGCCCGGGAAGCCATCCCACCAGACCAACGAATAATCTAGATCCAACTTTTTGAGATTATGAAGTTGAGAGATGAGGATAGCTGCATAACAGTAGATGTTTCCACCACGAAGGGGAAGACTCCATATGTCAATGTCCAGTCCCGCGCGCTGGACTATGTCCATCGATCGGTCAATCACATCACGGAAGTTCTCTGACTCCACTTCCCAATCGATGTCCGGTTGGGTGTCTTGCCAGTGCTCTGATTCAGAGGCAGACACGAGGCTCATGTGCTGGATGTAAGTTGCCAATTCGGGGTTGTGGAATATCAACCGCAGTAGCTTCAAGAGGCGGCAGAGTGGCCGTGTGGACCAGTCCAGGGACACGTCACGGTAGGCAAACGGCGTAGCCGATATGTGTAAATCTTTGCATGTCGTGGCCACTGCCAAGGAAGTCTGTGAAGGTAGCTGGTCCAGGATTGAGACTAAGCAATCCGTGGGAAGCTGGGAGAATGACCTGCATGGGTTAATGTCGTGTTTGTTTGGTGGGAGGTTATATTTTACATACATTTTGTGGCGAAATGCGGGGCAGGTCCTGCAGGAGAAGCGGTTGTGGCGCGTTAGGGTGGAAACCCTTATTGTAACCGCGCCGGCTATTTTGCGTCGACAATACAGGGCGACGACAAGAGTTGGGGGGAAGAAGTGTAAGGGGACGTTGAGTAATTGAATTGTCATATGCGAAAGGGTCTTTTAGCGAGAGGTTTAGTGATGCCGATCATCATCTTCTTTATTTGCTGTGTATAAATTTTATTCAATCCCCTCGGCTCGTACCGAAGCATGCATCGGGAACTACCCGACCCCGTCGGCAAGGTCGAACGTCCATGCTCTCTTCTGGCACTATATCCTAACACGAATGCACCTCACTGCTATTTTCTCGCTTAGATCCGTAGTTTTAGTTGTACGTAACAAAGCATGTTCTCAGTGGGCAGCTAGATCAATAGCTTTTCCGTCGATCCACCATCGTACGTTTGGCCATTTGACGAAAACACGCGTTTAGATAATATCAAAGGCTGATCCCTAACTTGCAGGAGAAGATGATATTCAGCAATATGTCCACCCTCCCTATATGATGATGGGGTTTGAGATGCACTGGACCCTAGATGGCGAGAATTGTCTGTGCAGGTCGCTTTGATATCCTGCCAAAGGCCTCAGGGCCATACCAAGAGCACTAGCAACTCGTAGCTCCACACTCGGAGGCGCGTTTGATTCCGTTGGGGGCGAGAGATTCATATGCCTAGAGACAAGGGAAGACTCTGCTCAGGGGAAGCAGAGCTGTCAACATCTGGACCCAGGGATCAACGTCTTGGTATCCAGAAGGGTTTCATCAAAAGGGATCAGAATGGATGGTAACAGCATTGTAAAAGGCATAAATACGCATGCGTTGCACCTCTCCTCTGTTCATCGTCACAGCAGTCATTCTTTTATTTATCAAACATTCATTTAGTTTCTCTTGTATTTTCTCTCCTTTATTCATTCATTCAGACTTTCTCTTATTGAATCCTCGAGCTCTGCATCTGCTCAGGAGGCCTACTCCACAATGCTGCTGCCGAAGCTCTGCTATCTCTTTCTCTTGTTTCTGGGCCTCGTCGCGACTTCGCCCGTGGCTCTAGAAGAAAGAAGCCTACTTGATCCCCGCCCTCCCAATCTTGCCGATATTGTCAAGGAACAAACGCCCAAAAACGTCAATTTTGGCAATTCAAAACTGGAAAAGAATAAAAAGTTTCTTCTGTATCGTTCGGTCGTCACCTTTAAAGATGGTAACAAAGTCGAAGATAAACACATCGTTGGTCTTGCCAAAGCGGGCTGGGACAGGATGAATGAGTTGTACAACGCAGAGACGAACCCCAACAGAGCCAACAGGCCGACCGTCATGACCGCTATGAAGGTAGACAATAAGGTCTATCTTGCGTCAAGTGTCACGGGCGGAAGCGGCAATTATATCTACCAAGGTTTTGAGGATAATGGATACGAGGGCGAATTCACTAGCGTATTGAACGCCGCACCGGATGTCAAAGCTGCCTTGGAGGCAGTCAGCGCCGAGAGTAAAGAGAAAGATAAAAAGACTACGGATAAGGGCAAAAAGACTGCTGCCAAGGTGGATAAAAGGACAAACGGGCAACAATCTGCCGCGGGCTCGTCGAGTGGCCAAGGGGCAACAAACACGAAGAAGAAGCAACCAGCAACTCCCAAGATCGCTCAACATACTATGAATGCCGGGTGTGGCGAGGTGATGGCATCCCTAGAGTATCAGATCGATCAAAAAGGCGCTGCACTAAGAAACAAATCTCCTAAGCCAACGATCGTTGCATGGGAAGGGGAGAAAGGTGGCAAACCTATCAAAAACAAGTACAACGGTCAGATCACGGATGGAATGACAGGGCAGATGAAGCCGCCATGTGGTAATAAGTCCAAAGATGGATGCGGAAAGGGCTGGGGCTGCAAGGCTTTTACCGGGGAAAAAGGCATGAATTTCAAGGTGATTGAACACGTCAAGGACCTAACGGACCAAACAATCATGCTTCCTGGCACAGAAGGCTTTCCTCAGATTGTGGCCATAACTCATCCCTCGTTTCCCCCGCCTGACAAGTATAAGCCAAAGGAGACTGGCAACAACGGCAATAACAATAATAACAGCAATAACCGGAATAATAATAACAGCAACAATCGCAATAACAACAACAACAGCAACAATCGCAACAGTGGCAACAGGAGTCAAGGCCACCAGACCCCGGGCAGGACTCATTGAGCCTAACTACCAAGCATGCTTCATAGTATGGAGCATTTCTTGGCAGCATATCTAAAACTCTCCTGTTAGATAGTGGTCTTCTGGGCAGACTCTTTCAGATAGAAACGATTAGCCACCAAGCTCCTTCTGATCGATCTGTCATATCTCTCACGATGTCGTTATTGCATGCCAAGTGCCCTCCTGATCTGCAATGTCTGGGTATTCTAGTCTAGGTCACGGGGATTAGTTAGTTAATAGGCAATGTATATAACTAATAGGGTGATACCAAGCATTTATCAGCTTCATCAGTGCTCACTTGTCCTCCCTGTCCTTTCAATGATCAAACTTAGAGCATCAATATGTTTTAGAGTCATTCTCTCTTTACGACCTCAACAAATGGAGATTTACTCGCTCCTCCTGATAGAAAGAAAACAGGACGTCTCACTGCAATAGAGCCAACACTCTAGGGCCAGTAATATTAAGAATCGGAGGCTGGTCACACAACTGTGTTCTTAAATTGCCTACTTCTCGAGTATTAGCCTGCTACAGGTATATCAGAAGTGAAGTTTAGGATGTCAAACAATTCATTACCACTTGTATATTCACTTAAAGCTAGATTGATGTACTTTACATTGGTAGCTTGCTGTAACAGGGGTAAGCTATATAGGTGCGATCTAGGGCTTTCTGAATTACAGATTTAGAGTAATGTGACCTTTTTTTCTTTTTTTACGTATCGCTGAGAAGGACGGCTTGGACGGGAAGTTCTAGCTGAAGGTATATATCGACGTGAGAACTGTTATACGATACTAGAACATAGAGCACCAGAATAGGTGATGCTGTTATGTCTAGTAGGTGCGTGACATGGCTGGCTCGTTCATCACCAAGCTAATCCAAGAATCGTGTCGGCAACAATAGACATGTATCTAAAAGATCTACTCATCTGGTCTCAGCAGACACTCTATAGATATTCCCTGGGTTATACGTATGTATGTACATACTACGTCAAGCGCCCTGGATGCGGTCGCCTCCTTGGCACTTGCTTAGGCCCCCAAATCCGCGTCAAATAGCCATTGGGGCTCTTCTCTTCAGCTGCATAGATGAAACAAACTTGGCTAATTGGGTCATGCAGGGATCTGGCCCTTCTAGACATGCGAGCTGAGCTAGTATGGGCCCATACGTGGCTATCAACTCCAACAGAATATTGGGCATCGTCGCTATAGTTATTTTGACGCCTGGGGGGAACCATGTCTCGTCGGTGTTTCAGTATCAACTGTGGTCAATCAGTGGACAAGGTACCCCTATACGCCTCCAGGATTGTGATATAGTAGAAAGGAGTGGCATACACCCAGCAAGGCAGGTAATTCTTAAGTACTGAGGTATAACAGACTATTGTGGCCCAGCTAAAGTTGGGTCAATCTTCTACATACCCCACACACTCACTAAATCTTTGTCTACGTTGCCTCGCTTCGGACAATCAACGACTCGACTTCTTTCTGCCTTTCAACCTGGAGTACCTCTCACCATCTTTGCTCCACCCCTTCGTAGTGGGGAAACCCTACTAACTCCGCACAGGATCCCCATCAATGTACCCCACTACCAAGAAACCGCTCATTGCCTTCCTCCTTCTCGCAACCTCGCTCCCAGCCACCCTGGCTGACTGCAACAACGGCAACCGCGAGCGCTGCGGCGCCCCGGGCTACGGCGAATGCGTGGCAAAGATCACCGGCACATGTCCAACGGAGTGTGAGGGGACAGCCTATTTCCCAAGCAAGGACTGCATCCTGAGCGCGCACTCGCTGTGTACGTTTACGTGCTGCAGGTTCACTGATCATCCTGGCTGCGAAGCTTGCGCGGAGGCGGCGGGGATGGCTGCGAGTGCCATGTGTGGTACCATTGATTGTCAGTATAAGTTGGAGGATTTGGGGGATGTCCTTGAGAAGATTGGGTATGTGTGGCCGGTTATTTCGCATGATAAGCAGTTATTAGCTGGGGTAGGGGAGAAGGTTACTTTAGTAGTTGGGAGTTTACTACTATTTTGTTTGGGGGTTGTGTTGTACTGACGGTATTGTTCGTGGGAACTCTATGAAGGGTGCTAGGGTCTTGGGAAGGATTAGATAGTAGTAGTAGTAGTATTAGTAGTAGTAGTAGTAGTAGTATTAGTAGTATTAGTAGTAGTAGTAGCATTGATTCTATATATATTGTTCATTCATTCCTCGGCGCTTTTCCAAAGGCTCTATTGATATAATATTATTTACTAAGGAGGTCCAGCTGGTAATAGAGCAGCGCCTGAAGTATCAGGCAATCGCCAAGATTATTATTAATTAAACTTCATTTAAATTTCTATTGCCCCGGGATCTGGATCTCAAGGACTTAACTTGGTTTTGTAAATACTGTCCTAATTATAGAAGGGGTTGTAGTTCTGTTCTCAACAGTCGGTGATTGGTTGGTGGCCCGTATTTAAGACGTGCTTAGGCTACGAGGTTGATGATCGCCAACTGGCATCTCATGGGAATTCCTGACCACCACCAACAAACGTTTAGCAACACGGCAACCAAAGAATATACCGTGTAGTGGCATGGATATGTCTTCCTCTGGCCCCCAGCATTTACCTCCCCCACCGCCGCCGCCCCCATTGATCGGCAAAACGGCCCCCAAGCGACCAACAGTAGCATCAGCGGGACCCACCGGGGCTTACCTGGTCGAGTTACTCATTTTTAACGGCTGGCCTTTTAAAGACCACTGGGCATACTGGGTTCGGTCACCGTCTGATCCTGATATCGGTGTGCAGCTCCATGCGACCGGGGATGTAAGGAACGGCTTCGAGTTTCAAATCAAGCGCCACTATGACTTCCACGATGACAACAGTGAACGGCCCTCTACCCGAATTCCCTTACAGTGGATCGATGGGAAATACTTTGAGGAAGGGTTGATGATGAATAACGGGGTGTTGAAACTTGACAATGTGCCTGTCTGTGGTTTTGAGGCAAGTGTACACAAGGTCAAGGTTCCGGGGAAGTCTTTAAATACGGTCACCGAGACTGTAAGTACAGCCAATACTTTAGAATATATCGGTCGGATCTGTTTACTAGAGTATGCTACTAAAATACATTCCCAGGCCATGTTGGAAGGCAGGAAAGCGCAAAAGGTGAACCAACGGAACTGTCAGACATGGATTGTGGAGTCTGCCGATCAACTTGTCCGGGATGGGATGTTTAGCCAGGAAGTTGCGACATATCTTCGTGCTATTGAGCAGTGAGACACGCGGTTTACATAGAAACACGGTCATCTATCGAGTTCCTAGGAACTGCAGGTATAGGATTTTGTTGTTACCTGCGGAGAAGAAATCGAACGCGATCGTATGAGTTGCGTCTTCTGGAGGCGAAGCAGCCCCCTCAGCCTTGCCGATCAGGACCTGAAACTGCCAACCACTGCTCGCAATGCGGGCAGCGGGCTTGTCCGGAATCTGAGTGGGTATCGTGCCGTGGGATCCACTAGAGGAACGGAGGCTAAGATGGCACTAAAGGGGCGCGTCCAGAGCATTGACGTCTCCCGCCCGTTTCCTGGGCGCTACTTCGTATTTGTATTCGAAGACTTCGAGAGATGTCAAGTACCGCATTCATTCAATCTGGATAGACGATCGCAGTGGAGCAATACAGGTCAAACCGTAGACCCGCAAAAGTGTCTGCCTATCAATGCTTAATGGCCATGATAAGAGATCTTAGTAGGGGCCCCACCCGGGCGCTCAGACAACGCAAGTGGATGCATTGGGTAAGCTTACGAACAATGCGAGCGGGGGGAAATTATCGCAGGGTAATACGTTCATCTCCTCCGAGGTCAAGAAGCAGGGATCGACGAGAGTCAAGAGAGTAAGGCTGAGTTGGAATATACCTCGTAAGCCCTAGGCTGGATAGGGTATAGAGCCACCCCGTGATCATCCCACGCCTTTTGAGTCCAGCATTCTTTGTTTTCGTGAGACTGTCCACATCCCTCCAGGTTGTAATCCCTTTCACGCGTGGCCATCATGCTCACGATCCAGCTGGAAAACCAATTGGCCTGCTATTCAGGACATGAACACCTTCGCGGTTGCGTCGTCTATCATTGCCCGAACCCGATCGACATCCAAGAAGTTCGGGTGAGCTTCTACGGCCGCGCCAAGGCAAAAGTACAGAAGGTCAAGGGCGCCACCGCGACCTATCGAAGCAAGAGCATTCTCTTCCAGGAGGAAAAGACTATAGCCACCCCTAACGGCGGCCAACTGGCCCGGAATACGTATGAATGGCCATTCGAGTTTACCTTCCCGTCGCAGGTGGAATCACCCGCAAAATGGCCCGAAAAGGCCCCTTTCCGTAGCGATGAACACCATCCACTGCCTCCATCCTTTGCGGTGGATGTAGGGGATGCCCAGCGGAAGCTACACTGCGTCATTGAATATCGCATCGAGGTTCAAATGTTCAAACCGCAGAAGACCTTTCTGTCGAAGAAAGCACCATTGTATACAGAGGCACTGCGGGTCAACTTTTTGCCATTGGCAGCACAGTGGGAACCGACGGATCATGGGGATAAACTAAGTCGAAAGCACAAAGACGACGTGTTCACCGTGCGCAGCCTCCTCCTGCTGCCGGAAAATCGGGGACGAAGTCTCAAGGTCGGAGAGAAGTTCCAGTCCTGGCTGTCAAAGAAGCAACTCCCTCAATTTGACTTCAAGGCATCTTTCGTATATTCCACCCGGGTCCTGCAGGGCTCGCCAGTTGCATGTATGTTGGACGTCATCCCGTGTACGGACGGCTCATCCATGCCATTTCCGGGCATCACGTTGCAATCGGTGTCGATTGCAGTAATGAGCCGAACCTCCGCACGTGCTTCTCAGTCGCTAAGGGGCTCAATAACGGGAGAGGTGGATGATCGATTGGAAATCTTATCAAAAACGTCACTAGGCATGCCTGTATTGGGGCAGCTCGATTTGAACGAGACATTCGGACCGCTCATATTCAGACATTCAGACGTATCCTTCAGCACATTCACCATCAGCCGGTCCTACCGGCTATGCGCGTCCTTCACCTTTGAGTGCGTAGGAAAGACTTTCGAGTTCAATGCGAATGACCTCGAGTTCTTTATCGTCTCAGATGTCATTAGTCCCACGGTACAAATGACTCCCATGGAGCAAGGCACTGCTATTACTGGGGTTTTCGAGCTTGCGGACACCACTTCCCGGCGTTCATCATCGGATGAGTATGATGACTCTCCTCCCTCGTACTCGATGACGGCTCCGGATCCAGAGAAACCGCCGACAAAGAACTAATAGAGCATGCATGCTGCTCTCGGTACACTATTCAATGGAGTGTTAGGGTAATAGTTATGGATCCGCTGGTTCTGTTGAAGTAACTGTTAGTTTTTTGGGAGGTCGTTAGACATGTTGCATCGATACACTGCATAGCACAATAATACAGGAAGTAACAAGCTCTCTCATCTCACTGTTCCTTCTTCCACGGCACATCAGTGTACTGCAGTGATCTTCGTTTGCACAGGGTAAGCTCTGTGTACTAGCTTGCTCCAAGGAGGAGCAGAACGGTGCTTAGGCTAAACAACACACGAAATCTTTGCCAAGCTTCCCATTTGCCGAAGAACTACCGAGGTCCCTGGCGAAGATCCTTAATTTCCCTGAATGCTCAGTTGTGTGGGCCGAATTAAGGTTGCAGCCGAGTCTGGATTCTTCAGACCCTGAGGGATTACCCGGATGAAGCTTACTAGTCATGCCTGTGATGAGCCGATTTAGCCTATGGTAGGACTATGAAACGCTCCATGAGGCGGTTATTGGCGAGTAGGGAGGTCTTAGCGTGGTGGAACACTCTTGGCAACGATACTCGACGAGTACCCTCAGCTGAAGGAAGCATACTGTTCGTGGACTGCTCGTATATAGTGGTTTGCATACATCGTAATTCAGCCGGCCTAGCTTCGGCTATCACCGTCAACCTGCAAGGCTCTCGGCACATTCACCGGATGTTCGTCAAGCCAGCAACGGAGAGGATCACCGACATGCCTAAACTGAAATCATCCTCCCGGTAGTTCTCCACACTTGGCATCCATGGTTGAGACAGGGGCACAGGTGGAGTATGTCCAGCCCTGCTGGGAAAGCTATATAAATACCGGTCACCTCGACGAGGACTCGACATTGTAATCTCATCGCAGAACAACACAACCGAAGCAACCCAATCCAGTCCCATAACATGGTGTCCTTCTCATCCATCCTACTGGCGTGCTCCGCCGCACTCGGAGCACTAGCGACTCCCATCGACTCACTGCCCGAGGAGTCCTTCAACGAAACTGCGGCCCACGACCTTGTCACCCGCTCCACGCCCAGCAGCACCGGCTACCACAATGGCTACTACTACTCCTTCTGGACGGACGGCGGCGGCGACGTGAACTACGTCAACGGCAACGGCGGCTCCTACAGCGTGCAATGGTCCAACGTCGGCAACTTCGTCGGCGGCAAGGGCTGGAACCCCGGAAGCTCCAGGTATGCACATCCAGTCTATGATCATACACATACCCATACGCAAACCCAAACTAACCACCGACCCAGGGCCATCAACTACGGCGGCAGCTTCAACCCCAGCGGAAACGGCTACCTCGCCGTCTACGGCTGGACCACCGACCCCCTGATCGAATACTACATTGTCGAGTCCTACGGCACCTACAACCCCGGCAGCGGCGGCACCTACAGGGGCCAGGTCACCTCCGACGGCGCCACATATGACATCTACACTTCTGTCCGGACCAACGCTCCGTCCATCATCGGCACGGCTACCTTTACGCAGTTCTGGTCTGTCAGGAAGTCGAAGCGTTCGGGTGGCACCGTGACTACGGGCAACCATTTCAACGCCTGGGCGCAGTATGGCTTGAAGTTGGGCACACATAACTACCAGATTGTCGCCACGGAGGGGTATCAGAGCAGCGGGTCTTCTTCTATCACTGTGTACTGAGGGTTCGGTGCTGAGTAAATGAGGTGTGTGGTTGGACCGTCGAACTCTTTGTTGCACTTGGTTGGCAAGGCCTGGAGTGGGTAGTTAGGTTATGGTTGGATGGTTAGTTGCGGCTTTCCTCGATGTTGTTCTTCAGCTATGTTCCGTCTGTCATTCCTCATTCAAGTAGGCCATTGACGCTTTGCAATCACTGTATATCTCCAGTCACTCCTTGTATCCAGAATAAACTGAGATGGATTGGAGGCGCACCTCAGACCACAAACGATTTATCCATCAAACCAGCAGACTGCACCTTAATACCATAAAACCAACATATATCCCACAATCCCAGCCCGAACGTCTAGCTCTTCGCATAAGTACTCACCCCCCTCAATCTCTCGCCATAATACCACAGCAACAACGGCGCCGGAATGCCAACCACAACCGCCACGCACGCGAGCAGCGTATTTCCCCACGCAAAACCAAGGCTACCATATCTGCAAGAGACCATTAGTCTAGCCGTGGCAGAGAACCCGAATCAACAGGAACAAAAGGAATGGTAATATAAGGGAACTCCGAGAAAGAAAGAAAGAAGAAGAAGAACCTACAAGCTAGGCGCCACCAGCGGCAACCCAAACCCCAATAAATTCCGCAGAACCATTACACTCGCCATTGCGCTGGCCGCGTATACCTGGTACGTATCGATCAGGTAGCCCTGGACGCAGACGAGTTGTACGACGGTGGCGCCGGAGTAGATTGCTGCGCCGATGTTTCTATGTAATCATTTCAGTTCAGTATGCTGTGTTTGACGGCTTATATATCTTCGAGAACAGGGATACATACGGCATAATCCAGTGTATACTCGTTCTCGCGCTCCACCCGTACCAGAATAGCCCGATGGGGACGACGACTGCGATGGCACAAAGCATCGGCAGACGGAACTCTGGTTTCGGCTCTCCGTTATTCTTTGCTCGGAGGCGTTGATAGAGTCTATCCGAGAAGCGGACGCCGAATTGCGTGGCGATGGCGAGTCCAACGGTCATCGAGAGATAATTCAGGGAGCCGATGGATACGGACTCGTGGTAGATACCTGTCCAGACGTCGGGGAAGGTGGCGACCATGAGGTAGAGGATTCCATTGAGATATGCGAGATAGAGGCTGAGGACTTGGATGATGGGCTGGGTGGTTAGTAGACGGAACGGGCGGATGAGGTTGCCCTTGAGGTCGTGTGTAGAGGCGCCATCGTGCTCGGTGTGAAGGTCGGGGTTTTGTGTGGACTTGCGCAAGCTTGCTGCTTTGCGTTTCAGCAGGACGGGCCCGTAGGTCTCGCGCAGGAGGATGAGTCCGACTATTTGCACGGCGGCGATGGCGATGGAGATTACGTAGAAGCACCACCGCCACGAGACGTACTGACCAACAAAGCCGCCTGTGATGGGGCCGATGGCTGTTCCGATTAGAGGTGCCAGGGTGAAGACTACGATGGCTTTGCCTCGTTCGTGGGCGCCGAAGAGGTCGCTGTTCATTCCGCTGCCAATCTGGATGTCGGGTAAGCAGTGGAGATAGATTGGAGTAACTATGGGAATACCCACTCCATAAGGGCCAGCCGCGCCTAAACCAGCTAGAAAGCGAAAGATAATTAACTGGGTTGGCGATTTGGCAGCACCACACGCCGTGTTAAACACGATATAAATTACATTCATCGTTAGTAGAACTGGCACTCTTCCGATCATCTCTGAGATTGGGGCCGTGAAGAGCGGCACGATCGCACTTCCGAGAAAGAAGACCGATAGACTGAGGATTAGCAGCGTGGTAGAGGAAAAGCTGAGGTCTTCGTGAATGGCGCTCAATGCTGGGGCAACCGTGGCAGAGGACATGGAGCTCAACATATTATACAGTGATATTGGGACAAACACGATCCACTTCCTTCTTGCGGGCCAATTCTTAGGGTTTTGAGGGTCAGCCGGGCCGTCCCAAGTCACCAGATTCGGACCAGTGGGAGGGATCAAAGGGACGAGATTCGCCAGTCCACTAGATTCTGGGTGCTTTTGTGAAGATGATACATTATTCGACATGGTGCCAGATGTTAGGCAGTGGGTGAGCGCCCCAGGAGGTAGAAAGACTTGGATATCGGAGGTAAGCATTGGATGACGGGGGGAGCAGGTGTGATATATCAACCATGGCCTCCTTAGTATTGCGAGATATAGCAAGCTTGGCCTGCAATTGGCCGTACAGCGTTATTAATAAATAGCGTGTTCTGGGTCCCCACACGACGCCGTCCATCCGTAGTGCTTATTTCCGATATGCATAGCTTCGGCTAATTATGTTGGAAGCTTGGTTCACTGGTGTTCAATCCAAATGATCTTTGATTAATCTGCGCAAGTGTCTATTTATGCGTTGAACATATATAAGGCAATAGAAGATCAGGAGTAGCCCTCATCGATAGGTCAACCGACCGAACTGTTCACCCAACAGACCAGCGCCATGATTCGCCGCTGTACCTTCTGTAGAAGACGATCTACTACACTCGCCTGTCTCCCAGCGCACATCATCCTCGATGGTCTGTACCATAGCACTCTCTCTAAGATCTCGCATGCTCTCACTCGGTGCTATCATCCTTCCGTGGCCTCCATGACGTAGGTCTTTCAAGTGCCCTGAGTCAAGTCCGGAATGCCCGGTCGCATTCGCGCTCTGTTTTCCTGATTTTGACGTAGAACCATCCGTCGTGCCATGTGTCCCAGAGACTGAAAGTTCGAAAAACTCCGAAACAGTGCCAGCCATCATTCCGGTTTGTAGCTCAGCGAGAGCCCGCTTGAGGCTCAGGATACATGTGCATACGATAGATGCACATTGTATCAATTGCAGCCATAGCGTCGGCATGAGGATATGCCACGGTTGGTCCAGCGGTGTCAAGTGGAAGACACGGCGAAGTGACACGATATATGGTATAGTCAGGACAGGAACCCTGATATGAGCATGCGAGTTAGCCCAGGGCCAACAACAACAGAACAAGCAGGCAAAAACTACTCACAGGACGCGCAGTCCAAAGAGAGCGCAGATTTGGAAGCACTTCCACTGCGACATCTGGACTTTCCACATCAGGATCATAGGTAATACGACGAGACCTATGTCAAGCAGTATGTGACACATAGCTAGGCCCGTGTAAAGTGCCTCCTGGTCTATGCATCTGGCGAGATTGACGTCCCACACCTTGGGTTGTGCACATTCAACCGCTAGAGCGATTGTAAAAGCCATGGTCCAGGCTCCAATCAACCCTAGAAGGATTTTACACGCGAGCAGGACTGAATTAAATGGCTTTATGGAGATTAAGAGGAATGCAACCGCCGCCTTGGAGCACGCTAACACGACAACGGCGAGGATCTGGCTCGTGTAGAGAAACTATAGCATGTCAGTTTGTTAATAATGACTTGTGGATAGATCAGGACCTGACGTTGCTATAAGACTGGAACACCACGTCACTTAAAGTATTTCTGTGCTTACCGATACCGCTCGAACTGGCAATATTCACACAGGTGGTTTGAGGAATGAAGAGAACCTTGCAGGTAATGTCAATATATTCCAGCTAAAAACATAGAGGATGGAAAGTTACCGTTGCCACGGCGAGGAATGTATCACTCCAAGCCAGTGAGCGAAGAATTCGCACCCGCGAGATAAGCGTCACAGTAGTCGCCAAAGCCGCAACAATCAACAAGATGGTGCTAGCGGTGATCGCCCACGCTCCATGGTCCTCAGGTGAGACGGGGAGAAGCGGTGGTAGGATCTCTGTAGAGTTTGCTGGCATCGCATTGTACAATGCTCTTCAAAACTGGGCACCAGTGCAGATGCCAATGGCAAAGGATGTGTAACAAAATACCAGCCATTTTTCTACCCCTAAACTGACACAGTGGACGACGCAGAAGTACTGACTGGGGTACTTGTTGGCCAATATAACATCCTTGTAGGGTTGCAGCGCTAATGAGCTGCTAAATGGTGCTGTTACTGTAGACTACGCAAGGATGTTCGTGATTAGCGTGTTGAACTGCATACAGGGAGCTAGGGTTTAGCCCGCCTGTCAATTAATCCTTTCCTTCTCCCGTTGCGTCTTTTCCCCTCAATTTCCTTTGGCTAAATTCTCTGTTTCTCTGTTTCAACCTTTGCGTCCTTGAGTCTCTTACCGTGACATCCAACACGTCAATATTCTTCCACATCCAATCCCATCAGATGTTGATTCGCTTCCAATATGGAACAGCATGAGATGAAGACAGTTGCAGAAACAAATATCGACACGCCGGCAGACAAGCGCACAGGTTCAGCCGTTTCAGATGACAATCACCATCATGAGACGGCGGGTCAGGCGCAGATAAAGGTGCGGTGCTCCAGGCTTTCGCACCAGTTGAGCAAGGAGGGATGACACGAGATATTACCAGCGCCTTTTCAGCTTCACGCAGATGTTCTTCTTCTCGCTCACCTTTATGTCGAGCTGGGAGACTCAAGCTTTGTACGTATTTGTGTCTCCTCCATTCCTTAGCGGTACTGATGTGTAGTCACTAGGAATTTAACTGCGGTACTAACAAACGGCGGACCCGAAGCTCTGGCTTGGGGAATTGTGATTGTCGTCTTTGGAGCTTTGGCGCAGTGTGCTTCGTTGGCTGAGATGGCATCAATGCAGCCCATTGCGGGAGCGCAATATCATTGGACATACTATCTGGCACCTGCGAGTCAAAAGAGGTTTATCACCTGGATGCAAGGTACTTCACAGCATTGCTTCCGTCCATCAGTAAGTCAGTGTGCTAACATTTAATTCGATATAGGCTGGATTACTTGGTTCGCCTGGGTCTCACTTCTTGCAGGTGTAGCGAATACCACGGCGACTACCATCCAGGGCTTAGCGATCACAAACTATCCGGATTACGTACCGGAACGATGGCATTTGACTCTCATAATCTTTGCAATACTAATTGTCGAGGCTCTGATGAATATGTATACCTTCCAGCTAATCCCATGGATTGAGCTTTTGGCTGGGGTTCTTCATATCGTCCTCTTCATCATTTTCCTTGTGGTCTTCGTTGCGTTGGCTCCACGCCATACCCCGGAATATGTATTCTTAACAACGCAATCCCAGTCCGGCTGGAGCAACACATTCGTCTCATGGAACATAGGGCTTTTAACACCAACATGGGCGTTCGTCGGTGAGTCGCGGTAGCCACAGCCTGGTGTTCGAATCCCAACTGATTGTTGTAGGCTTCGATGGTGCAGTGCATATGAGTGAAGAGGTCCGTCGTGCGCGAGAGGCAGTACCCCGATCCATGGTCTGGTCCGTCGCCACTAATGCCGTCCTTGCGTATGCCATTGATATATGCATGCTGTTCACGATGGGTTCGGTCCAGGACGCACTGAACGCCAGCTTTCCCATCATCGAAATATGCCAACATGCCACGGGATCCACGCGGGCAGCCACTGCCATGGTTTGTGGGCTTCTAGTCCTTGGACTCTCCGTAACCCTAGCTAGCATAGCATCTGCATCCCGCCTCACATGGGCCTGGGCCCGGGACGGCGCGTTACCCAAATGGTTCTCCTACGTACGTACGCCTAATCGAGCATCTACATTGCAATTGACAAGAGGCACCCCAACTAACCTCTGAAACAAGATTGACCGAAGACACAACGTCCCTATCCGCGCCGTATGGCTGCCCGTGTTCATTGTTATGATCCTAGCCTGCCTCAACATCGCAAGCACCGCCGCCTTTGGAGCCTTCATAGCTCTCTCATCCATAGGCCTGTTCGTGTCCTACTTCATCGCGATCAGCTGCATGGTGCACAACCGCTTCCGGAGAGACCCAGTGCCAATGGGAAACTGGAATATGGGTAGATGGGGCCTTCCAGTCAATATCTTTGCCCTGGTTTACACGGCCTATGTCACTGTCTGGTTAACATTCCCTTCGTATCGGCCTGTGACGGGCGCGAACATGAACTATGCGTTGCCGATTTTCGCTGCGTCAACTTTATTCGCTTTTGTGTATTGGTTCCTTCAAGGTAGAAAGAACTGGCCTGGGTTGAATAAGGAGGTCCTGCGGCTTGTGATTGAAAGGGGTGAGTTGCACCTGTTGTGACCTTTTGCGTGTGCAATGAACGGAGTTTGTTCTATATCTTGGTTGCTTTCTTCAGTCAGCGGAGGACCAAAAAGGATCCACGGCAATGACCCCCAAAACGAGTAATAGGTAGGGCGTTTTGTGATGTGAGATAGTTTAATAATACCGTGACTAGACTATAGGCGGATATACACACTTTGCCAGGTCTCTTGGTTATTCAAAGAGCCCGTAATATCTGTGATTGACATTCTAAACCGGTCAGCCACAGCCAATGCTTGGTCTCCTGTTAGTAGATCAGATTTGTAGGTAAGCCCTAGCCCAACATCGGTTGGTCCAATCGTAATGGTAGCGATAATGCCATACTATTCACAGCGGTCAGATAGGACTTCATATAGTACGCCGTAGGGACGGCTAGTATCATACCTCTGTCGGCTCTAGAGTTTCTAAGTCCTTGAAACAAAGACTCGCATCGGAGCTGTCCATAGACAGTGGCTGCTCAACCGAGATGCACGTATTGAACAACGGCTGGCCGAAGTATCCTGAGAAACGTAGTATCTCAATGAGCGAGCAATGCTGGTTCACCAATCGGTTCCCGGTTTCTATTTGATTCCTCCGTAATATATCCAATAGCGAGTCCTCCCTGCCAAAGTGAAGCTGACAAACTAAAACATTGAAGAAGGGCCCTATTATACTATCGACATCAGGAATTCGGGAATCTCTTCCAGATATGAGGGTCCCGAAGCACACGTCATTGGATTCAGTATACCGCCGCAATATTAAGCCCCAGGCTACTTGTAGAACATTACTCACAGTGAGTCCATGCGTAGTGCAGAAATGAATCAATGTGGCGGTGCTAGCGAGTTGCTTTGTAACGACCAGGGTCTTGCTAGGTGAGTCTTGACATCTGAGCCTTGGAAAAATACAAGGACTAGCACCTTCTAACTGCCTTCTCCAGTAGTCGATGCGATTATGGCGATTTGGTAGACCCTGCAGCCAGGCCACTGCTGAGCTATATAATGGCCCAGGGAAAGAGGATAGCTGTCCATCGTATGCTTGTGCTAGCTCGCGTAAGATGATCAAAACGGAAGCAGCATCAAGAAAGGCATGCCCGCCCTCGAGCTTGCAGAATACACGGCCGGAAACTGTTTGACAAATACTGAAGGCATGTGGATAAGATATGTTTGTTCCGCTTGGAAGAAAGGGCTTCCGCAACTCTGCAATAACATCTTTATCTTCGCAAGATAGTATGAGGACATCTGTTATATACTCTTTATGCACGACATGTGCCTTCGAGTTGCTACCGTCACACAGTGGACTATCAATTAGATGTGTCCGCAACGCAGGGTGACGACGGGCAAGGGTAAACCAGGCGTTGCGCAGTCTAACCGGGCATACCGGAGAGAGCTTGCTGCTAGTGGTAACTTCCCATATAGTGTAGGACTGGTAATGAAATGGACGCAAGGTTTGCGTTTGCAGCAGTCCCTGATGAGATTCACTGCAGGGATATACATCCTCAATGGAGTCCATGCTTTTAATATCATATGTCGCCATAAGTACGGATTCAAGTCTTTCCAGACCGCGATCGGAAGTCAGAGAAAGAAGGGAAAACCGCGTGTCTAAACTGCGGTCACTGCCAGGCGTCGATGGAGGCGTATACGAAGTGAGAGGCCGCAAACTTGACGCTATCTGTTCGATAGTTCTCCCATCAAATATATCTAGTGCTGTCAACGATAGCTGGTGTTTTCGACAGAGGGACACGACCTGCATGGCAGATATGGAATCCCCACCGAGAGTGAAAAAGTCATCCTTGGGACTTATATTCTGCGGATCCATGCCCAGGGCCTGGGCAACAATCCCCCGAAGACGTACCTCTTCCGGCAGTATATGATGGTCGATGCACTTGACAGGATCCATCAAAGAGTTTAAGAAGTCAAGAGTCATCGATGAGGCTGCTTCGCATAAATAAAGTCGATCTGGTTGGCCGAGTGGATTAAATGGTATAAAACTGACCGGAAGGCATAGCGATGGAACCATGGAACAAGGGAGAAATCGTCCTAGACTCCAAATCAACCGCTGAAATTGCCATCTGACCTTTTCAGTAGGTCGTATAAATAAACGTGATATTTTTGTCGGCTCACGCATTCGCTTCGTTTCGCAAAGGAAAATAGCGGTACTCCGTTTGGAACCTCCGTTCGGTGCTATAGCGTCAACAATAACAGTTACATCGCCACCGAGAAAATCATAAGCCTTCTTCTCGATATATGAACTCCATGACTGGCTTTGCCGAAGTGGATAAGAATATGGGTCTGAGGGAGATGTAATGATGCTCCGGATTTCCAAGGTTGGAGATTTGATTGTCATGTCAATAAGATACTCGAATTGATCCAACAATCTCTCCATATCTTTAGCAATGACAACAGCATTGTCAAACATGGCCTTTACCGACAGCGTGTGAGTCCCAAGTTCACACACTAGAGTTAACGGACAAGTGCTAAACTTCGACTGCTCATGCTCATTGCTCTCAAATTCCACGAAGATTTCGGATGATCGCCGATATGTGGCAGGCTGTATGATCAACAGACTTTGGAATTGGCAGGCTCTCGCCGTCTCGGTACCATATGACTTTATGCGCCGTAGCCCTGTCTGCTCGAAAGGGATGAGCATTGCTATGTGATTTTGCATGAGCGCAAGGGCATCAGCTATATTCAACGTTCCAGAAAGCATTGTCCGAAGAGGGAATGTAGCAATAGTCGGACCGGTAGTTCTATGTACTCCGGCTACTGGAGCATTGCGCCCGGTAACAGTCAGGCCGAACAAGACATCCATGGACCCAGTGCGCCAGGCAATAAGCAGGGCGAACGCAAGTTGAATAATTGTTGATGGCGTGCAACTGCCACCTAGCCACTCGGATACGTGGATCTGGCGATGCATCGTGATGATAGAGTTGGCCATGTGCCCGAAGCTGAAGGGCGGAACAGGGAATGGCACTGCTTGCATATCTTTAAATTCAGAGACCCAAAAATGCTGAGCACTTTCGTAATCGCAATTCAATATGTGCTCAATGAACGGGGCGAAAGGTCGCTGGACTGCATTCAGATGTTTATACGCATCTTCAACGGCCCCAAGAATCAGAGCGTACGACCATCCATCGAATATAGCATGGTGCATCGTCAGACAAAACGTCGGGGACTTCCCTCCCACGTTATCAGTGATTGCTAGAGTAACGAGTGGTACACCATAAGACATCAAACGCCCTGGTGATTTATTTACGCCGTGGACTAAATCCCACCGTGATGGTTCTCCCTGGCGAAGGACGACTTGAAGAGCCCCATTATGAGAATGAACAATGCGAGTTCGCAAAATTGGATTTGCAGCAATCACTATTCTCCATGCTTCCTTCAGACGAGGTATATCCAGTTGCTGCGGGAGTTGAAAGTGAAATTGGGCCTGGAACGCCCCCGGTCGTTTTGAGGTGTACGCCATTAAAGCTTCCTGCAAAGGTGTGCACGGGTAGATATCCTCAATCTGTTCTGGGAAAACGGAGCATTGCTCAGCTGCTTGAACGATATACGTGGGTTTGCTCCGTGGATCAAGCAATGAAAAGGCTGGGATAGGTAATTCGATGCCGCTGGATGTCTGACGAGTGCAGTCCTGTAATTTAGAAATAGTCTGTTGTTTAAACACTGATTCCACCGTCATCTGCAGGCCCTGGTCTCGGGCGCTTCCGACAAGTCTGATAGCACTGACTGAGTCGCCGCCCAGCTGGAAGAAACTGTCACTGGGCCTAATCTTCTCCTCGGGAATGCCAAGTACGGCAGAAAAGAGGCGTCGCAGTTGATCTAGGATGGGAGTACTCGGTGAGTGAATCGTATCATTGTGCATTATTGGATAGTAAGCTCTGAAATCGTTCTCCGAGATACGTTCAATGGCTTCCCGTAGAACCTTCCGATCGACCTTCCCTGTCCGTGAGATGGGGATAGCTGATAACTCGATGTACGCTGCAGGTATCATATGCCTTGGAAGCACATCTCGTAAGAGAGTATTTGTTTCCCGGGCCTTTTCCTGAAACACAACACTTGGCGGGCGTAGGAGCATTGCGCAATCAATATGAGCGGAGCATTCTAGTTTTGGAGCAATAAAGAGAATCAAGATAGGTTTACGTCCTGCAGGAGCAGCGACCTCAGCGGTAATCACAACATTACGGAAGTAGTGCAGTGCCTGATGTTCAACTTCGCCGAGCTCCACCCTCTGTCCGTTCAACTTGATTTGGGTATCCTTCCGTCCAATATACGCGATTGTTCCATTGGAATTATATCTGACTAGGTCACCGGTCTTGTAGAACCGGCAGCTGTCATTAAGGTGGAACAATGACGCCCACTCTGGGTTTGTGATGAAAGCATTTGCTGTCAGACATGGCTGTTTCAAGTACCCTCGTCCGACGATTGGGCCGCCTATAATTAGCTCTCCAACACAACCAACTGGCAGGAGTTGGTGGTGGTTGTCTTTTGATGTAATCCAGCAGGTGCCACATGGCGAGAGCCCAATGTTCCCCGGGTCTTGAACGCATGACTGCACAGTGGACACGATAGTGCACTCTGCTGGTCCATACGCGCACACGAGTAGAAGCTTGTCCTTCCATAGAGAGATATCATTAGGTAGCATAGGCTCTCCTCCCATCACAAGAGTTTTGACCGTTGGAATATCGTCCGGCTGCCAGAGTCTAGCCACCGATGGCGTTAGCTCCACCCAGTTAACCCTTAGGCTTCTGACGGCCTCCTTCAAGCTATTGACACGTTGGGATTCGGACGGAATACAAACACATCCACCTAGCAGTAATGGTGTCAATGATTCGTGGATACTGACATCAAACGCATATGACGCGAACAGCAAAACTCGAGATGATTGATCAAGATTCTGCGCCTGACTACTCGCAATAGCGTTGGTACAGAATGAACCATGCTCTATGATGATGCCTTTCGGCGCACCTGTAGACCCTGATGTATACACCACGTATGCTGCATCATGTGAAGCTGTCTTAACTGGTTGTATCGCAGGATGTGCCGCCTTTTCGAGATTATGATCACCGATTAAAAGTGTGCTACCCGAAACGCCTATTGACAGCTCTTGTGAACAAATTATCACCTTTGCATCACTATTTTCACATATATCCACCAGCCGTTTGGTCGGATAGGATTGGTCCAACATGGAAAAAGCAGCGCCTGCTTTGAGTACCCCGAGCATGGCAACGACAGCCCATTTGGACTTCTTGAAGAGAATCGGAACGACCGAATCAGTAGTAAGGTTGTAAGGCTGTAGTAGCCATTGTACAGTTGAAGACAACCTATCAAGTTCGCGGTATGTTAGAGTTCCATCCCAAGCGCAAATTGCCTGCGCGTCTGGTTGCAACATGCATTGTAGGCGAAAAAGGGTGTGAATGCAACTGTCCAATGGACCAGCTGGCGCACCGCCATTCCATCTGGCTATTTGATTCTGGTTGTGCTTGCTTAGCAGACATGAGTCGGCGAGTGGTCGACCTGGACTGTGTGTCAGGCAATGTGTTATGTGCTCCAGTGTAGTAGTAATATTATCAGCGTGAGCGCTGTTGAGAGCAGAAGAGGCATATCGAAGCGAAAGCTTTAGCGCAGGTGAGAGGGGGTCGACAAGGAGTATAATATCACTGAGCTGAATGACTCTTGATTGATTAGCTTATATGATAACGACTGACCATGATAGGCGTCACCTTTTCGATCTTTCGCAGTGACTTAAACTGGAAGGCTTCTTGCGAGTCATTGGGGCTAAACACAATACAGGTGTTGAATAACTCAAGACAGGCACAATCCTCCAGTAGCCATCGTCGGGTTTGCCTCAGAGTCACGGCATCCGACATTGGCAACTGCGGATCTATCGCCGCTTCCCACTGCTGTACGCTAGAGAGGTTGCTGGCTTCACATGGGAAGACCCCAAAGCAAACGTTATTAGAGTCTGTATACTCCGCGAGTAAGATAGACCAGGCAACCAGTAAGGTGTGATAGAGAGAGGTTGTATCCTGTTCAACTTCGACCTTGGGACATATTTCACTTTGTTCAAAGGCGCCACAGTCGTTGATTTTGTTCACAGTTCCGGAGGTAGCCAATCGTGGGAATATACATTGACATGAAGCATTTCTATTACTTTCACCTGTGTTCAGCATTTTCATCATGGTATGATATATTATCAGGCCTGTATGTAAGCAAATACAGCAGCGAGAAAACGAGTGTGACCTCTACATTGAATGGGCCAAATGGATGGATATTTTTGGTCTCATCAAAGCAGGGGAGGAAGCATGCCTGGATAGGATCAATATTGATATCGGAGGGTCAGTAAGGAGGTATAATGGCGAATATACTACCCTGCGTCTATAGGACATGGGCATTGTACATATCATTTAATTTCTTCACTCAGCTTCCCCTGTGCCCAATTAGCATGCATTAGTGCGAAGGTATGTTGATGCTATGAGATTGAACACACTGACCTTGTACAAAGACGGGTGGTAATAGCACATTCGCAGTTACACATAATCCAGTCGGTACCTGGTCTAGGTAAATACCTCTTGACCTAATCCTTAAATCACTCAGTCCAAGATCCTAACACGCACTAGGCTACCCAGCAGCCTGTTTCCATTGTTAATTATAGCCCACCACCAGTGGACGACTACAGGCAGTCAAGCACCATAACATGTATCCTTAGCGGGGGGTACTATTGACTTTTGGAATGCTTGAAGAACGACAGTCCTCACTGAGACGGCACCACCAGGCATGATTGCCTTTCGTTTTAACATGTTGGGGAGCGTTGAGTAAGTCACTAATCCACTAGAGCTGGCCTTATTCTAGTTGCTAGCCAAGCGTGTCCCTAGCAGGGAACAACGAGTATGGTGTGTTACCAGATTATAGCCTCTAGGCCTGATGTAGGGTGTTATTCTTATATTATTTCAGTATAGATTTGCATGATATTGTCAGCATGCAGCAGCCCGTCGCCAATAAGCGATACCATTGCCTGCCAATATTCGTAGGTACCAGCGACTATCTCACAGCCAGGGGTGTCTAATCCGCGGCATGATACACTCTACTTGACTCTAAAGTAATAATTGGTGACGGTGTCTGACTAGGGTGATAGATTCGTAAAGACGTACACCATCGACTATGTGGGAACCCCAGGCTTCTGCTTTCCCGCTTCTCGTGTAATAGCTAGTCGTACTACTTGTGTCTTTGTGATCTGCAGATTATATTTCCGTGGCTCCGTAGTAAGTCTCGGGATGAAAGAATCGGAGTATTGTTTGAAACGTCGCACTGTGCGATGAAAGAATTATGGCTATGTGCATCAATTTACTGTGTTGAATGCCCAACACACAGTCACCTATATTTCGAGTAGCCGGAATCATCAATGATACCCACCATACCTGAGTCTGCCTTACACTCTCAGACCCCCCATGTAAGCCTTTGTAACGGTGTGGATTCAATATATGCTATGTCTTCTAATTATACATGACAGGAAACCAAATATGGCACAAGGTTGCACCAGGTGTACGTCATGAATGATGGGAGCATGACAAATACGCTCACCTGCGGTACATCATAGGAAGGAGTTCTAGTGTCAATATATTGTGCAAATATTAAAGGGCGTTTGGGAGGGCGTGCTCCACAATTACGTGTCCATTTTAGGACACATCTCCTCTAGTACTTGCTAGATGTTGGTTGATAGTGACCTCGTGGTCCTACGCTGCACAGCCTCTGGGTTAAATGACCTTCAATGAGGGCTTAACTACTTCCTTTTCCCCAGCCAGGAACCCAGTCACTTTTGCACAACTCGTTCAGCTTCCCCTGCTGCATTGATCGAGGTCGCCCACCCATGTAATGCCAGCCTGACTCTACTTCTAGCATGTCTCACATTAATTTCACACCCAACCTCCATAATTCCCATATTCTACACTGGCTATGACTACCTATACGCTTTTGAAACTTGCTGATGCGCCACAAGCATCGAGTGATAACAATGAACCAGAACTATGTTACCTTCTAAGCAAATATCTCAGATTCCCAAACTTTGACCAGCATCAGTGGTGGCATAACACGGCACCAATGCTAGGGAAGCTCCTGTCACAATGCAAATACAGCGTGCACCAGCAGTATCAATACTTGTGCCTCTACGGCTTACACATCCTACCGTTTATGGGGCCATGGCCTGATATCGAGCGTCGTAGGCTCTACAAAAGTGTCTTCAGCGGCCTGGGGCCGCTGGAGTTTAGCCAGAACTTTACAAGGTTTGGCAAGACCGTTCGAATCGGCTTTGAGCCGACATCCTTCTCCGCTAGTACCGGTCACGATGTATGCAACAGGCATGCGCTCGGCGAGGCCTTGAACCGCTTCGAGCAGCTGGGTATGAAACTAGACTTGCAATTATATCACCAGCTAGTGAGTCAGGTGTCCGTGACGGACGAAGAAGAATATATACTTCAAGACCGAGGAATACTGGATGATGAGCCGGCCAAATCACAAAGCCTTCTGGCACTAGACTTCAACGGCAATGACGTGAAGATCAAGCTATATTTCTATCCACAACTCAAATCTTTAGCCACCGGTATCTCTCGCGCGCAGTTGATGTTCAGTGCAGTGCGCAATGTGGATAAAGCGGGTGCTTTCAGGGGGTCTATGGACATGATCGAGGAATACTTCGCCTCAGCCCCCGCTACTACAGCTCCATACTGGGTATCCTGTGATCTCGTTGAGCCTCACAAAACTCGGTTCAAATTCTACATTGCACAGTTTCAAGTGAGCATTGAGAATGCCGTCAGCCTGTGGTCTCTTGGCGGTCAGGTAACAGATCCCGAGACGATGACAGGGCTTGCTATGCTCCGCGATCTATGGAATTCTCTCGATATCCGGGATGGCCTGCGTGAACAGAAGAACCGACCTGGAAACCCAGGCGATCCATGCAATGTTGTCCCAATGCTGTTCAACTTGGAGATATTCCCTGACAAGGCTTATCCACAGCCCAAGATATATTTCCCCACTACTGGAATGAACGATATGGCTGTCGCAAAGACCATGGTTGAATTCTTTAGACAACATGGACTTCATGAGCATGCTCAATCATACATTGACAATTTGGCCTCATATGTGTAAGTCCGTCTTTTGGTCTTTTATGACACTGCTTTTGGAGATAGTCTAACGATTTGAGCCTTAGACCACATATGGAAGTCAATGACTGCACCGACCTCCAAGCATGGATATCCTTCTCCTACTCTGATGCTACTGGACCCTATGTTACTGTTTATTATCACTAGTATTGTACCGTAGAGGTTCCCAAAAATAAGCCTGATAAATATCACCATGAACCTTGCAATGTATGTGCCCACTTAGCCAAAATACATTCTACAAACCTCCATAGAGGTGACCCTGCCAATATTTTAATATATTCTAGACTAATGGGCCCTCGTTTAGGCTAAGCATTAAGACCCGCTCTAGCTTAATAACTAACATGGGCAACGGAATTGCTGACAGCATCACTGCGTTGCTGACTTCAGTTAAATTCGGTTAGCAACTCTGGAGTGCTTATATATAAAAGCGGTATTATTCCGCATGCTGACATCGGTACTATATAAATGAGGACTGGACACAATTCCAAATAGCGTCCCAACACTTTATTTTGTCAGCAGGTGAGTCACAAGGAATCAGTTCGAATAGACCAGCAATCGAGGTATGACAATATATAAGAATGTCGACAACCAACAATGGAAATAATCTGGGCCAAACATACCGAAAGTACATTCACACGAAGTCTCAAGATACAGCAATCTCTGTATCAATAACCATTAATAACATGGAGTCCACCTTCCTCAAGCTCTCCCCCGATGTAACGCTCCACGCGCGTATCTCTCGACCTCCCATCATCAACCAAAAACCACTTCTGATTTTCCTCCACTACTGGGGCGGATCCTCTTCAACGTGGTACAAGCTCACGTCGCCCGATTCACAGACCTCCTTAGGTACTACCTATCCGATCCTTGCTGTCGACCTTCGGGGCTGGGGCAAGTCAGCGGGTCCGACTGAGGAAACTGGGACAGCATATTCAATTACGGCAATGGCTTCCGACGTTGTTATCGCATTACAGCAGCTGAAACAAGATGATAGCACGAAGGACCTTTTCAACCACGGGTTTATACTCGTCGGGCACTCTATGGGAGCGAAGGTAGCCCTGGCCACGCTATCTACCCTACAGGAGAGTCTACTTCGAAAGTTGAGGGGATTGGTTCTAGTAGCCCCAGCGCCGCCGACAACACTCCGACTGCCGCCGGACATGAAGGAACAACAAAAGGCTGCCTATGAGACAAAGGAATCTGTGAGATGGACGGTGGAGAACGTACTCGCGAACCCTAAGAGCTTAAGTGAAGACGACATTCAGTTGGTGATTGATGACAGCCTGAGTGCGAATAAACTTGCCAAAGAAGCTTGGCCTACGTATGGGATGGCGGAGGATGTTTCTGAACGTGTGAGGGGGTCTTTGGCTTACATTAGCCATGCTGGTGTTCGGGTTAGTGTACTTGTTGGGGGATTGGATATTGTCGAGCCAAGAGAGCGAGTTGAGGCCGAGGTCTGCCGATTTCTGGAAGAGAATGGTGTCAAGACCTCATTGAGGGTTGTTGAGAATGTGGGGCATTTGATTCCATTGGAGTGCCCCGAGGTGATCTGTAAAGAGATTTCTTTATATTGACCGAGCCGTTGGTTGGTTCTATGGGAACCGTTGTTGCACGTACACACTAAAACAAACTAATCTAACATGTCCACAGCGTAAGCATAGCCGTGTGTCACTTCGATATAAGAACGCAATATTTTGCTGTTGTAAGCTAGTATCGTGTTGTACCACATTGAAACTACATTGAAAATCTGAGGATACTTCGTGCAACTATAGTCAAGCTCTCGGCTACAAAAGCATAAACGAAGGGTAACTTTCTCCTGGCAAGTGACTGGAATTTCGGTGTCTAAATATGTCGTACATGCGGGTTCACAACATTCAATCATAATGCCAACGTCCGTAAGCAGCAGGAACTTCTACCGTCCGGCCTCTTGTCACGCCCCAACTGTTCAACCCGCTTGCCGGGTCACTCAAGAAAGCATGCAGTGACCATGGCATATGATAATCGTTTGTTGTTTGCATCGCCTGCCATGGTATCTTTATTTGAGTAATCATGCCCAATTTGTGGACTCTTGTTCGTGTGACCGGAGTTTCTCAGCGGCGGTGACGGTGGCCTACTAGGATGTGGAAGGGGATTGAATCGGGAGTCTTCCACATGTGGTAGGCTTTCTTTGTCAGGTAGAAGCTGGAGTTAGATCTTCTTACCGTTTGTTACCTGAATCCAGAACATGGATTTACTTCATTAAGCCTTTACAGGGAGGTGACGAAGGTTGATCCCGTAGGTTAATAATTCACATAGATAGTTTCACCCGTTGTAAAGTTAGTCCGGCATTGTGAGACTTAAAGCAATAGCCAACACTAATAGGAATAGATTTACTACTGCTTTACTGGGGACTGTGCATGGCGTGGGAGTGTCAGCCTAGTAACGGCAAACGACGAAATGACCAGCGAGTTCGAACAAGGCAAACAGTCTGATATGGTAGCTTCGATGTTAGTAGCATTGCTAATGATATGAGAGACATGAGTGCTCGACAATATGTCATTTTGTTGAAAGGATAAGTAGTCCTAACGTATCGCAGGCAAGATAGGGCGATATGGATATCAGGCGGACATATAGGACATTTTTCGGGGGCGAGAGGGAAGATGGTCTATCACAACATTCAGTAGGAAGAAACTAGCTATTCATTATTCCATGACTTGCATACTGGATATATAGAGTACTGATTTCAATTGGAACAGCACGTGTATTGATGATGTTTGAATAAAGTATATCAATTCGATTGCACTCTGACAAATAGTAACGTTATCTTAATCCGTTGTCTAAGTTTACATGCTCTCAGTGCCCTAGCACAACCGTCTTGCCTTGTATCCTCAATCTCTCCTGGATAATATCCTTGCGCTCTTTGCGCAGGTTCCGAGCATACCTCACCCCGAACCCATGCTTGAACACCTCCTTAATCTCTTCCAGCGACAAACCAGACACTTCCGGATAGAAGAAATAGATCCAAATATATCCAAGCCCGCAGATGCCTGCGTAAAACCCAAATGCTCCAGACGGGGTCATGCTCTTCATCATAGACAAAAACGTGCTGGATACGATGACATTGCTTCCCCAGCTAGAGCAAGTGAGCCACATGGTGCCCATCGCGCGGACTTCCAGGGGGAAGAAATCCGTGCTCATCCATGCCGTGTTGCCGACCGAGACACCATAGAAGATCACAAACCAGATGATGAAGACCAGGACGACAATTGCCGGAGGTGATACACTGCTGGTCTTCAAGTCAAGAGTATCTAGATCGACCGGAATAAAGGAGAATGCTACCGCTATGGCAATGAGACCGACGGACATACCCCAGGCGGTGGATAAGAGTAGTCGGCGACGGCCCATTTTGTCGATGACCATCATATTGACCCAGGTCATGAGGAAGTTGGTTCCAGCAACGACGATCCCTACCGCGGTGGGATTATCGAAGCCTACCAAGGCAAATAAGGTCGATGAGTAGTACATCAACGTATTGAACCCCGATAGTTGCGAGATGACCATCAAACCACAGGCACTAATCAATGCCCGGAGATTGCTGGGTACGGTATGAAGCTGCTTAATCTTGGTCCACCGCGTTGCGCCCTCGTTCACCTCTCGGGCTTCATCACAGGCGGCGGAGATCGAGGCTAAAACCGAAGCCAGCTGAATATCAGATGGATGCCCGTAGATTCTACGAAGCACGGTGCGAGCTTCCTCTTGGCGATGGTTGTATACCAGGTGGCGTGGTGACTCAGGGCAGAAAGGCATCAGAGCTGCCAGGATTAGGGCCGGTAATGCCCCAAGCCCCACCATGTACCGCCAGCCATGATTGACATTGGCAAAGGCAGCTCCAAGAGCATAGGAGATTACCTGGCCACCTGTGATTGACATGTTATTCAAGCCAATAAGTCGTCCACGGGCCTTCGCAGGTGCTACTTCGGCAATATACAAAGGCACCACCATGGCAGCTGAACCCACACCGAAGCCAACCACAACCCGACCCACAGCCATTTGAATAATTGTGTATGCGGCTCCTTGAAGAATAGCTCCGATCGTGAACAATGCGCAACCAAAATAAATAGCTGCTTTCCGCCCTAACTATTTTCATGCGGTAAGCAGTTGGTTAACGGTCCCCGGCAATAGGTAGCATATACATACCTTGTCTGCTGTCAACCCGGCCACAATGGCTCCAAAGAATGCGCCTCCCGAGCAGAGCGACGTGATTAGTTCTTTCTCGTTGCTGGTGAGCGTGCGGCTGTCTAGCCCATCATGAATGTAGACGAGAACAGCACTGATGATGCCAGTATCGTAACCGAACAACATTCCAGCAATCGAAGCAGTAAAGGCGACAAGCCATACAAACATGGTAACTGGGAGGTCATCGATACCGGTTTCCGTGACTAAACTGGTAGAAGCCACTTCGATGTGTGCATTTTCCGGTAGATTGTCTCCTTTGAGACCATCCTTTGTGGTAGTTGGCAGTTGGGGTTCTGTATCCACAGATGGCGCCATATTGAGTTGCTATAGCAGAGGGCAATTGAACCGAAGAAGGTGACTGGCTCTGTATGCAATTGCAATTGCAAACCTGGAACAAGAGTTGCCTCTACATGACGGACATGGCCCTTTTATAAGCCTGATTATAACGTGGCCCGGCATGTATCTCTGTTGGTATACATCCAGAAGCAGCGCAGTATGGGTCTCCTTCGATGTATTGGCAGAATACTGATTGGCTGGGACATGCGGCAGAGTTCCCGAGGCCATGAAAACGCGGGGAAAAGATATGATTATCTGTGGATCCTCCATTAGTGAGACTGATTGGCCTTTTTCCCGGCGCCAAGTTGCCGGATATCCTCCCAGGAGGCAGTTTTGCCCCGATGACCGTGTCCTGTCTCTCTCATCATTCGACTGCAAGTACTCTTCTCCCACTCCAATTTCCCTCTGGGGCGAAAGAGGTAATCCCCATCTTATTTTCTATACCCTGATCCTCCCCCGGCCAATAGAAGAATGAGCTCGCCCGAACCCCCACTGCTGCCATCAGTCTCCCCACGGGGTCGGCCAGTGCCACTTCAAACCCCATGTATCAATTGCCGATCCAAGCATCTTCGATGTAAGTATGTACTGGGTCTACGAGGCCAAAAGCTAGAGTCAAGCTAATTCTCTTAGGTACGTATGAAACCAACCAATGTGAGCCCTGTAAACGACACAACCGGACATGCGTCCGCCGCAACCCTCGCCAGAATCCGATTCAATTTCGTCCGGGTAGCCGTGCAAAGTATGACCAGGCTTTTGCTCCGGATCAGGTCTGGGTAAAGCTGGGCCGTAGATCGGGTAAGTTCTATCGGCCAAGCCGCACGAAGAAAAATGATTAGAATCTGATAGGCCCTTAGCACGCCTGAGATTTGTCGACGAGACCGTAGACGTCATCTCGGGCTACAACTCGGCGAGTGATTCTGAAAACGAGATGATTGACGGCGAGGATGTGTCCTTTCGGACTGGGGCCGCCGTAGGAACTCAATCAGAGGCTACGCAATCTCATCCAGCTCTGGGCGCAAACAACTCCATCAAGAATGCTACTCAAGGTGGGACCCAAAGACAGGCAACAACCGTGTCGGTAATGACTACGCTGGGAAGCTCAGATACAGCTACACTACATCGAGATGCAGGAATAGGACCTACTGAGAGCCAGAGACAGATGCACAGACCCGTCGTCTTTGTTGGAGATACTGACATCCGTCTCCAAGCTATTCTCCTACGATATTTCGCGGAGGTCATTGGCCCTCGCTTCGATTTATGTGATAACGAGCGCCACTTCAGCCGTCTGGTACCGCAACGGGCCCGTTCCTCTCCCACCCTATTGAATGCGATTCTCACTACCTCAGCCCGGCATTTGACCCGGCTACAAAGGTATCGCAATTCTGCCGGCATCGTGGAGTGGCAGGGCCATCTGTTACCGAATTTGAGCGAGGAATCTGCTGTCTACTACCACAATGAATGCATTAAAGACCTACTTCGGCTCAGCATGGACCCAGAACAGATTCATAATGAAGCTCTTCTGGCCGCGGCCATCATTCTTCGCACCGATGAAGAAATGGACGCCCCGCTCCACGAAGGCGAGGAGGATACCGAGGTTTTCCTAGGCATGCTAAACATGTTTATTAACGCCCAGGTGCCACTAGTGGCAACATTACCGCACAGCTCCCCTCCCGTATATCCATCACAGGAAGACCTCTATGGCCCAGGAGTCCACTTAGTCCATGCACCACAACCGCCGGATTCGCCCTCCCACCCGCTCTCTTCCCCCACACCACAGACCAATATCTTATGGCCTTATGCCATTCCACATGTCCCTAGACCGGACGGCCTTCGCCAGGCCGCCTTTTGGGTCGCCCTGCGTCAAGAGCTCTTTACCTCATTCATGAAACAACGCCCTCTGAACTTTCCCATGAGTCACTGCGATGCGTTCCGCAATCTCTCACCCGCCGAGGATGTCATCTGGGCAGACAGGCTCGTCATCTTCTGCGCCGACCTTCTCGAATACTGCTACGGAAGTAGCTATCTCCACAACGCGGATCAAGCCTCACGTCGTCGCCATGACCCGTCCCGCTGGCATGAGTTGCGGAATTACGAACGGGATTTGACGCTGGCCCTGCCGAAATCATTTGAGCCCATGTGCTACCGAGAGCCCGATACGAGCTCCGGACAGGTCTTTCCAGAGATCTGGCATCTGGAAAGCTGCCACGTCACGGGGACCACGCATCTGGAGTTAGCTCGCATCTTGTTAGTCGCTTTCGATCAAAGCCGGCCTAACTTAGGACCGGGATCGGTCTCGAGCCAAAGGAAGCTCGCCAGCACGCTGAAGGATATCGTGCGCCGGCTCTGTGGGATCGCGATGTGCAACCGCCAATCGCCACCGGCGTTCATCGAAGCCTTAATGGGTATCACGTTATGCGGGGAGTATTTTACTGATCACGGGGAGCAGCAAGCCCTGTTGGGTGTTTTGAGAACCATGCGTCAGGAACATGCTTTTCCAACGGGGAAGGTAGAGAAGATGTTGCTGGATGCGTGGGGGTAAGATTGAACTGAGCTCCTGACATGTATTCCTTTCTATCTCGCATTATGAGGTCGGATGTAAATAGCGGAATTTAGAAAGCTTGGCAATCCAGTGCTCCAATATCTGTGCAGCCCTGCTACATCCTGAGATCAAAACTCATCTATTAACAATGTTCCATGCTAAGTCTTCCTCCTCCAGGTACTAAGACTTCTTCCCCCGTGCTGAGCCTTGTGCTGAGCCTCGATCACCCCCGAACCTGTATATCTTCAGGTGCTAGCCTCGATATTGGAACATCCACAGATACAACCAGTAAGCCCTGGCACTCTATCGCAAGAGTATCGTACTACGGCGCTAAGTTGATTACATGTAGTACGGAGTGCAAGTTCAGTCCTCCCATCATTCATCCTCGATAGTGTGTGTTGAAGCACCGAACGGGTAACCATTGCCATGTCACACTTCAGACATCCCAGTTTCAGAAAATACTTGACGTGGATTTATGAAGCCCAAATAAGTAACAAAACTGCGCATCACTTGCATTGCATCAAGTCGTCTATTTTAAACTCTATCAAACATGATATCTATTTCCAGAATAGATAGCCCTGTAAATCTCAATCCAAATCTCCACATCCTAGATTCTGTTGCCCTGCTCGTCGAACTCGATCTTCCTGCCCGAGATCAGACTCTCCTGCAGAGCAGCTCCGATCCGGACAGCAGCGACGGCGCCCTCCAGCTGCACAGGCAACTCCGTGTTATCGAGACAGGCAGCAGTGAACTCATTGGCCTCAGTGATGAAGGCCTCCCGGAATCGTCCGTAATAGTGTGGGGGGATCTCGCGACGGATACCGCTCGACTCGTAGATGTTGACCAGGTTCGAGATGGGCTGGGTGTTGACGGCCAGCTTACCCTGTGTCCCGATGATCTCGGTGCCTGCGTGCCTGCCTGTTAGCGGCCCTGCGCTTTCTGTGTCGCAAAGTGGATGGAAACTTACTGTCCTCCTGTCCAGCAGCCATCATCCGGCTGCAGTACAGCTGTGCAATCTTGCCACCGTAGAACTCGACGATACCGAGTGCGTTGTCACGGTCGTTGTACTTTCTCAGCTCGGGAGAGACGGCGGTGATACCGATGGCAGTGACGGACTTCACAACGGAGTCCTGGCCGTAGAACCACAGTGCAAGATCAATGTCGTGGATGGAGCAGTCGACGAAGATACCGCCGGAGAACTGGGCGTATTCGACAAAGAAGCCCGACGGGTCGAGCTTGTCGCAAGTCTGGGAGCGGAAGACGCTGGGAGTACCGATCAGGCCGGCGTTCATCTTCTTGAAGGCGTCGCGGTAGGAGGCGTCGAAGCGGCGAGAGAAACCGCACATGACTTTTTGGTTGGGGAACTTCTGGATAGACTCTCTGTAGGCGTCGACGACGGATTGGGACTATTGGATCGTTTTAGTTAGTCTTGTTCGTTTTTCTCTTCTTCTTTTCAAGAGTGGTAGAAGTAAGGGAGTGGAGACATACCTCGTCCACATTGATACTCAAGGGCTTTTCGCACAGAACGTGCAATCCACGACGGATGGCCTTGATGGCCTGCTCGGCGTGTACGCTGGTAGCCGAGGCGATCACCACGGCTTGCAGACCGTTGGCCTGCTCCTTTTCCAGCATCTCATCGTAGTCGAGGTAAGTGCGAGCGCCCCCCAGGTTGTCCTGGGCCCAGTCCAGCTCATGTTGCACTGGGGAAGAAGCCGCGACGACTTCGGCGCGGGGAGTCAGGGCATAGAAGTGGTGTGCATGACGAGCACCCATGCGGCCGAGGCCAGCGATGGCGACTTTGAGGGCAGCAGGGGCCATTGTGTCTGTGGGGTTGGGATGGAGAATGGATTGATGATTCTTGATCTGTTGGAGGGCCGGGGCCCCTTTATGTTTCTTCGACCTCCGTTGGAGGCGGGGTATATAACCATTCATGGTGGGGATGTTTGTTCTCCATGACTGCGGTTTAGCAGAGTGCCAGCTCCCAGTGGGTGTTTGGTCTGGGGAAACTGGTTGCATTTGTTAAGTTGGGTAATTTTGCGGCGAGCTTTTCTCCACATTCTGTCTCCATAGTTGCTTTTTAGGGTTGACTTGGTAAGTGTCCGGCGGTTACCTTCCGTTTCTATCTTACAAGGTAATTAATCTCCGGCGCACCATCGATGGGCCAGCCCTAAACAGCCATTTACCCCGCGGGTTATGAGATCATTGTTGACCAGATGCGACACCAAATTTCCCTCGCCATGCGGGGATTCCCATCGGATAAAGGAATAAGAAGTCAAAAGCGGGTCGCGTTGGTCGTGTGAATCGCAGTGGTCCAAATTTAATCTTAATGGTTCTCGTTTGAGGTGATTGCGCCCGAGATGGTTCAGCGCAAGGAGTCAAAGGACTATATACTTGGAAATTGTCGCAAGTGTCAATCGCAAGCTGTCGGTATTCTTCACGACCAATTGTATACAGGGGAGAAACAACGTCAGACTCGAATATCTTTCGACCGCGACTCGGTCTTCGCAATCTTTGCCAGGATCTCTTCCCTCCAGCCCCAAGTCACGGCCATCCATCCATCGCCGCACCAGGACCCAGAATCGCCGTCGTTCCCGCGAATCCCCCAATCACCGTCCACCACGAAACTGAATGTCATCCCCCGGTAGCCAAACAAGTCCAATGATCATCGCGATCGTTGCATCGTACTTGAGGAATGTCGCAACACCGTCGCCAAAGCTCGTCGCGGGAAGTTGGGGGGATTCCTGCAAAAGTCGACTGATCCGCGAGACTCCCTCCGGAAGCGAATGCTGAGTGTGAACCAAGGTCAATCTAGAGACCAGAGCGAGCGATCGATAGATGCAACGAATGTAGCGCGGACTTGGAGTGAAATTTTCGTTTCGCTTCATCCTCCTGCTGCGGCCACCGTGGGGGGAGCCTGCGGCAGGGGCACGGTGATGGGGGAAAAACTGCCAGATGGCGTGGAAGTATTGGCGCATGGCGACAGTCTTCGGGAAGGAATTGCCAAAATTGGGTCCGTATCCTGCAATGAACGTGGAGAGGAAGGACCCGAGCGCATCGGTTGGGACAATGGGACCTGGTGGCGACTGGGGAGGAGCTTCGCGACCGGGGTGCGCAAACCTTCCATCATACTGGCCAAAGGGACGAGCAACCCGACTCTCCAAAATTGAAATGCCGTGCCCAGAAGCCCGAAACTGCGGTTATCCCATCATGTTAGGGTATCTCGTGGGAGATAACATTGTTGACACAGAACCGTCTTCACTTACAGCATCACTTCGGCGCAGGAATGAGTCGTGCGATAGCGCCCCAAGAGCCAAATCGTGTACACTGGGCCCAAGGTGGTCAAAGAAGATCCCATTTGCATGTGCCAGTAGGATACGGGCTGAGAGCTGCTAATTTATGGCAAGAAGAAGGCGATGAATGACCCGATCAGTTTGTCCCGGACGGCCACATTATGTATAGGTTCTGTGACGCTCAACACTTCCCCATTCCTTCCAGCCCAGGAGCCGTTCTGGAGAATCGGAATGGTCATGGCAGACCCCTTCTCAGAGAGGAATCTCATCGAGGTAATAGCATCAGCCATTAGCCTGGTAACTGGCACACATGTCAGTGCACGCTTCATTATCCTGACGGGGGTGGTTTTAGTCTGGTCGGACATGCGGCAGAGTGCCTTGCGCAGCCCTTGCGGAAAGCGGGAGGAAATCGAGCATCTCGCCCTCAGTGAGCATCTGAGACGATCGGTCTGTAGGGTAACGGGATAACTAGGGCAGTAGCTATTGCGAGATTATGGTATGCTTAATAGTTGCGCCCGAGTCGAGTCGAGTCGCCTCGTTTGTCAGTGCCAGGATCTCTTTAGCCCAAGGTTGCCGGACCTTTTGCCAGTCTTGCAGAGCGGCATGGATGCTCTGGAGAGCAATCGGACCGTGTCCTCCAGAACACTCCACCAAAATGGATAGACAATTTGCAAATGATGCAGCTGTCTCAATTGCCTTATTGCCGCCTTGGCCGATATTCAGAGCCATCTGCGGTAGGTCAGTCAGCGTAACCCGACTTCCTGGGAGAGCTTTTCGTTGAGGGCATACCGTGTGCATCGAATCTCCAATGCAAATGCATCGACTCATACTCCAGTGCTGGTAAAAGGCCTCCTCCAAGCAAAGGTACGCCCTGTTCTCAACCTTCTCAGAGATCTTCGAGAAGGAAACAGTTGGTGTAATGGGTATATACTATCTGCCGACACAAAAACGCAATTGGACAGGCCTATCCGATCTTGCAGCACTACAATTCTTGGTGTTCCATACCTGTCCTCAACGATTCGAAGTGGCTCTGTCGCAAGAGGCCTGGCAGGACCCGGCCAGTCGTACATGGTTTTCGCGACGACGGTCTCTTCTAACACATCGGCAAATATACCCAATTGATCCAACGTCCGGCCCCCATTTATGAGGATGCCAATTAAAGCTCCAGTTGGAGGTGTAATGGGATCATTCGCTTCCACAACGACAAAATCAATTCCGCATCGCTGCAAGCTATGGGCAAGGGTGAGGCCAGCGATCGGACGGCCAACGACAATGACACGAAAGCTCTTCACCCTCGCGATGGTGGTGGTTAAGGTGTGACTGGAGATCTCACGTGCCCTCCCACGACCATGCTACATATCATTTAATTTTTCCAGCACATTGGGGAGGCAAATGCCTCCCATGAAGGCTGGTCTACAAAGACCACTCAATAGAGCGGCTAAGCACAATGGAGAGTTACCACTTAACAACATCGGATGTATCGGCTTCGGTGACCACTCACCATGACCAATTAACACAATGTATGCTGTCAATCTATATAGAGGCAGGGAAACGGCATTCCAGAAGAAGGGGTAGTTCATATGACTGGAGGAGATCTACATAACATACACTACTGTGAAATCTCAATAAAGAATCTATTGACGCTATAGGACTGTAGTATTATTACACAGGATTCTCGATGGATCTCGGTGATTGCCAGGGCAAGCTCCATAATCGACGTTTTGGGTGTCCAGCTACGCAGATCTAACTCGCTCATATACAAGATCCTCCATTTACGTAACCACGCACATTGTTGATCGTCAATAACTTGAACGTTCGTTATAAGTAGGCATGCCTCGTTATATTTCCGGGCTGATCAACATAGGTTACAGCCGTGTGAAATAAATCATCTTTGGCGCCAGGCGGAAGCAGGGGACATACATATTCAGGAAGGAAGGAGATGAAAGCAAAGAATATCCACCATCACTTGGTATATTGCACTTGATCCCTCGCTTAGATCCACCGGAAGTTGAGCCTGTGTATACATCTATTGGTAGACAAGAGTACTTTGGACATTTTACTGATAGTTACTTTGGTATTATATATGATTGAGAACGTAGGGTACTGGCAAGCAAATCTAAGAGGACAAGATTATCGATCATAGCACAGGATACAGACCGGTCAGATCGGAAATGATTCTGCTTCGAGCCCGGTAGGACCAGCATGTCCACTGTTCTGGATTAAAATTATGGCATGGAGGCCTCGCGGCTGGCGGAAGTTGATGTATACACCGCATTCCATCCTAGCGCCCTCCCTAGCCCGATTTCAAATGAGTCAACAGCCAATTATGTAGAGAATCACTTCGCAAAATCCTGAAATACTTCGTATAGAGACTATATACAGTGAAGATGATCCAGGATTTTCAATACAAAGGAGATAGAATAGATGGTAAAGGGTTGGGCTGGTATTACATACTGACAATCCCACCTGAATCAACCAAATTAAACCATTTTGGGCACACTGAAGACTTCGCCTTGCGCCAGGGATTTTAGAATCCACCCCAGAGTAAACATTAAGTGTTAAGAAGTCGGATGTGCAGTATAGTAGCCTTGCCAGATAATACCGAACTACTCTGCAAACCGGGAAGGGTTGCGATCATCCCTTGCATAGACATTGATAGATACCTCCTTACAACCCACAGCATAATATAACTCAGTGGTTGAAATATAAAGTAATATATACATACCGATCATGACGCTTTGAGACCTGCTGCATAACTCAAAACATTCCCCAGCCTCGCTTGAAATAAATACCGTTAGCTTCTAGTAGTGAGTCCTAAGAACTATTCCGCCAGTCATGCACATTTCTATCCCCGAGTACGAAAGCCCAGCCATAGAGATACAGCCATCGATACACGGTAATCCTCTATACCTTGACTTGTGCTTGACTGCTGAGAATATCGAAAGCGGGCTATTTATAGCGTCGGCGGCGCGCGGGTTAGCTGACGGCATTTACACTTGTACATTCAGATAGGGGTTTTTGGCAGGCCAACCCGCACCCGGCCCGAACCGGCACCAATCTTAGTTTTCCCGACCAGCAGGTAGGGTTGACTCCGGGCATATCATGAAGAGTTCTAAAACTATATGTTTACCGATCAGAGTGGTGCGCGGACCACGAAATCTGATCCCGTGCCAGGGCCGATTTCATGGGTTCCACTTTAGAAACAGGTCACTATCACATGACAGGGCGGTCTGGTAGGGCAGAATAAACAGGTTAGGCTTCGTGACAATACTTTTCAGTCCCCGACTGCCCCTACAATATTGATGATCTTGCTTCGATGTTCTCGGTTTTTTTTTTTTTTTTTTTTACATAGTTTAATTCAGACAGAGATTGAAAGACTTTTATAGTATTCAAACATTATTAATCACATCTAATAAAAGTTTTTGTTTCCTCCTTTCTCCTTTTTAATTCCCTCCTAACTTTATACAATTAGACGAGACATATATTTTTGTTCACGGGCCCAGGATAACCCGGCCGCTAAGCGGTCCCACACCAGGCTTATTGTTTAGGTCTAGATAGCTCAGCAATCAATTCAACCGATCATTAAACTATTCTCTGTGTGAGACGCATCCAGGACATCACTAATTATCAAGTACCATGGCGATGAAGATATGGAAAAGCATGGTTGATTCCATCCACGTGCCTGGCAGAAAAATGAGGCGGTGGAGGAGATGACGAACGCAGGTACGTACATTACTTACCACTGCCCACACGAAGTACTACTGCGTAGTACTACTACTAGTAGTTTAGTATGGGTCCCTGTCACGTGGGCCCTCCATCGACACAGGAACCCGTCGCCTTTTTGTCAAACCTTACTAGCATTTCCAACCTCTCGTCGGATATTAATTCCCCCACACGATGTTTCTCGGCTTGACGGTGAGACATTGATGAATACCAGAGACCAAGTAATGGTCCCCACGGCTCCTGCCTGGAGTGAATGCGATGTTACCTAAATTTGGCGATTCTTGATCAACCCCAATGCCTCTGGCGGCTCGTTTCTATTCCGGCCGGAACCACCCCATAACTACGTAGTAGGGGACGCAGCTAAGGGGAGGTGCCCTTGAATCTCGCCGACGAAAGATCTACTGCGGAAGCTGGAAGGTTCCCGTATGCGATGTGGGGGAAATATGGATCTAACGCAGCGAGGTCGGTGACAGGGTCAGGATGGCGTCCAAGGACGCTACGCCCGACTTACCTGCTTTTCCTGGCATCGGTCATGACCATAATGCTGCTGGCTGTCGAGCTGCTTCGACAGTACAGTGATGTTAGAGGTGGCCTTGTATTTTACGACGACACAGACGATGTACCAGACCATGTTACGTTTGCGTACAATTATATTCCAACAATCCTGGGGCTGTCGTTGATGACCCTCTGGTCTTTTACGGTCTACGATGTCTTCCGTTTAGAACCCTACTTTCAGTTATCAAAACAACAGATCTTTCCTGCGGACGTGCTTTCCGCTAACTATATCTTTGGGCCTTTCATATCAGCGCCTTTCTCCTCGGCGAGAAGAAAACATTGGGTGGTGCTGGGGGTGTCTATCATAAATATTCTCGTACAGCTACTGCTGCCCTCTACACTGAGCGCTTTTCTGGACTTGGATAGCGTCCCGATATCTTCTCCCGCCACATTGAGAAGCTGGCCGGGACTGGTGGCAGTTGGAGAGCAAGCCGAATGGATATCTTCGCAACGGAACATGAGTCTATATTCTCTTACAAGGGGGGATCCTGGAGAAACACCATCGCGTCTCTCACACTTTGCCATCCCACCAGTTGAACTCCCCTCGGATGATGCACTCGCCACGGCTCTATGGAAACTTAATCATACAGTGTACTGGGCCGACCTTACATGCTCCGATTTGCCACTCAGCAACTCACCCACGGCGAATGTCACTGTGAGCGTTGAGGAGACCTCTGCTGATCATTCTAATTACTCTACTCTAACCTGTGCGCTTCGTGACCTGCGTCTGGCATCACTTCCGGACCCTTCCCAGAACTGCACTTTAAATGCGAACTACAGTGGTATCTTCGACCTGACAGCTACTCCGGTACAGGTCCGACGCTGGGAGCTTGACACAATCCCATGTGCCCCGCTTGATGTATATGGCTTTCTCCTCGACATTGAGGCAACGAATTCCGGTCAGTTAGTCGGACAGACAGGAAGCCACTCGGCATCAGCTTTAATGACACCCAAGGCTCAGTTCTTCTCATGTGGCATGCGGTATTATACGGCGAAGGCGGAAGTTTCCATGCAGGCCAATGGCTCAGTAGTCGCAATTATTGTTGACAAAGACTCTATATCTGCGCTTGATAGTTCGCACCTGGATATAGCTGGATTTAAAACATATCTCAAAAGTGGCATGTGCTACGGGAAATGTTTGCCCCTCTGGCAATGGAACGTTGACAGACCATTCTCTTGGTCAATGTGGCCTAGGCACAGAGGGCTATAGGCCCTTGTGCTCTACCTCTGCGCGGTACTCACCGGTGCCCATCTCCGGGGACGAGTTCATGTCTAAAATCCGTACTGATATCAAGCTTGGCTTTGCGCGTTTACTGAGCCGCCTCTTCAACACAAATGCAGAGTATACTCCTATTCAAGGCGTCGGCACAACTGACCAAGTGGCTGTCCTGGTCATTACCTCCCCTGCAATTGCGTCAGAGATAATCCTTCTCCTTGGGGGAGTCACATGTGTCTTCCTTGCTGTTTTCTACCGGTCGCGCGAGAACATACTCAAGGGTGACCCGGGATCGATCGCTGCCATGTGCAGCATCGTGGCGGACCTATTCAACCCAGTTGGTGTTCAGGCGCTTGCCCAGTGTACTGACCAATCCACTGCACGACAACTTAATCGCAAGCTGCGTGGCTGGCAATGCTACTGGTATCAAGAGCCACCAGGTCGAAAACTGGGATTTCTTCCCGGAGAAGCCCCTCCCAGAACACTACGTGAGAAAGTTCTATTAAACAAACCAGCGAGTAGGAAAGCACCACGCCCAGACCCCAGGCTTCATTTCTTATCAAAACCCATATTTGTCGCTGAGCTTCTAGGCTTGTTAGCGGTTATCTGTTTCATGGCAGTATTGTTCATCATGTGTTCAAAAGATCACCGACTGCGACGCCTTTCAGATACTGCTTCAGATCGATTATCTATTGCTTTGAACATTGTACCGTCTCTGATGGCATCTATGATGCGAGCTTTGTTCAATTCAATTTACTTGCACCTGGGCATACTGGAGCCATGGATTCATCTCCAAAAAGGCCGAGTGGACGCGAAGAATTCCTTGCTGCTAAATCTGTCCTCCCAAAGTCCAATTACCGTGTTTTTCCGGTCTATACGCTCCCGGTCCTTCGTGCTCAGCCTGGTCTCACTGTGCTGCATTATCAACACCGGTCTTCCAGCTGTTCTGGGCGCGCTGTTTACCCAAAGCCGCACGGCAGCAACCTGGCCTACCCAAGCTGTGGAATTACGTTACGATCGTTCCACCATTCTCAATTCCAGTACCATCCCCGCCCTCTTCCAATACGGTCCTATCCAGTCAACCCTATTAAATTCGGTGTCGTTGCTTCCGTGGACTTCGCCGGATTACTCATTTGTTCCATTCTCAGTCCATACGGAGAACATGGAGAATACGTACCAAGCTGTGACGCTGGGTATTGGGGCTGACTTGAACTGTCATCATGTCCCACTTATCCAAGACCTTTCGAAGGATGAGTATGATGAGGATTCGAGTATCCCCAACCTGACTGCTAGAGATACCGAGCATGTGGAGGGTGCACCACCCGTCATGCGTGATAATTCAAGCGAACCATATTCCGTCCAGCTACTAGCACCAAGTGGAGCGACCGATAATGGCACGCTGACTGTTCTTTTAACCCTTCCCTCGAGCCCGAACACAAACCTATATTCGTCACTCGCGTTGCAATGCCATTCGATTCCAAGATTACAGAATTTCACAATTGGATTTGACCCCAGTGGGATACTGCAGTATTACTACCCAATCGGCAGCCCATTCACGAGCGGGCAACTAGTGGACAATGTAACATCGAACGTGGCAAACTACCATCAGCACTTTATCGCCTCGATCCAGGACACCTCGGGAAAGGGTGCCGTTGATGAGCCCAAGTTATTCCCGTCCTACTGGCCCGGTTCCCTAATCAAGCTGGTCTACGAAAATGAGAACCCCGAGCTGACAACCATCGACCCCGACCGTCTCGCCGATGCAACGCAACAAGTCTACCAATGGCTCTTTGCAGCATATTTCACCCTTCAGAAAGATATGTACCTTAAACCCCTGCCAAAACCGATAACGGACAGCGATGCCCAAATTCTACGAACCACATGGGCCGTCGCCCGGTCCCTTTCATCCTTCATCGTCGCCCTGATCATGGTATCGTCCATGGCCATTGCACTCGTCCTCGTGTTCATCACACGATACGGCAAGTTCAAGGGGCCCCGAGTGCCGCAGTCACTTGGCTCAGTGCTTGTGTGGCTTGCCGACAGCCCCATTCTCCCTAGTTTCTACGGTACCTATGACTGGACCAGTGCCGCTCGTCGGGATTATCTGATCGGCCTCGATAAAAGATATGTTTTCCGGAAGGTCACCACATCAACCGGGGAGCAGAAGTGGGTCATCGAAGAGGATCAGGCTGAGAAGGCTGGGTGACCGCATGTACATCTGACTTGATGTAGGGTTTTGTAAATAGTGTATAAAGATATCATGGAAACTGGACATAATTGACGCTAATATAACACTCTGATCATGAGAACCCTATCAAATGATCTACCCTTGCCCGGATGACATCTTGGTACATGTTGTCTATACGATCAGTTACAGGGATGAACCCTGTTGCAGCAATATCATGCGAGAGAGACTGAGGATTCCGTCCACAGGTCACGCCAGGCCTCCACGCAGTCCAGAACCAAACACACTGCTTTTGACGTGATTCAACACCATGGCTTGTCTCTACCGGCAGAGGGAGTTCTCATGTGGTACGTAAAATCAAATCCAGATTCGGGTATAGGCAATTACAGCAAATCAAACATCAATACACACCGAACTTGTTCAAACCACCGACAGTCACGACACCATCCCGATAACCATCAACTGTTCCAACCCTCACTCCCCCCCAAACATCTTCCCAACAACAGAATCCGTATACTGCCACAACAAAGCCGAATAATCCGAAACAAGAGTCAACCCGGTCCAAAACGTGGCCCTCTGACCCTGCAACCCATACACCCTGCCGTAAAACCCATCCCGGATATCCTCCACCCCCACCATCAACGACGTCGGAACATGGCTCCCAAACACCGCCAACTCCCAGTCCTCCCGGATAGCAAAGGTCCCCGCCGTCGCCATGCGGCGCAAATCCCCAATAATGAGGTCCCGGGCCTGCGAGTCCGTGAAGTTCATGTCGCCGACGATCTTACTCGCGAGGTAGTTATTGGGACCCATGTCCTGGAGCGCCCACTGGAAGGGGGCGCGCGGGAGATTGCCCGGGTTCTCGTTCGGGTCGACGTTCTGGACGTTGATGTCGTTGGGGATGCCCGTGTTCTTGAGCACGGCGACGTAGTATGTTTTCCAGAAGAGCTTGGTGACGAGGGATGTTTCTTCGGGGACGAGGTCGAAGCCTCTCAGATTCTCGCGAATCGGCGGGATGGTGATGAGGAGTTTCTTGGCTTTGATGAGTGTTTTCTTCCCTGACTTGTCTTGCGTGATGATTTGGACCTCCGTATCGGAACGCCTGGTGTGAGTGGCTTCGCTGTTGTACAGAACGTCCCTGTCGAGTACCTCGCTGGCCTTGCGGTAGACTTCGTACATCCCGTTGTTCGGCGTGATGTATCCTCCTTGCAGGAAGATGTCTATATGGGAGATACCGAATGATTGGATCACATATAGCGTCGGGGTGGCGAGCATGTCGCCTAACGCATTGGCGAAGGTGTATATCACGCTCAAGGCCCCCTCGAACTTGTATTTCTCGACGAACTGGCTAAACGGCCAGAGGAGCTCCTCCGGTACGGGGTCGGGAAGGTTGTAGACGCCGTCTTTGAGGTAGTCGAATTTCTGGATAGCAGACCGGTAGACAAGGAGGGCGGCGACGGTGTCGACAATCCCGGCGGGAGGAGGGACCTCATGCCCGGTTTTGAAGTTGACGTATTTGTTAATGAGGGAGCCTGGAGTCAGCGGTTTCCATTGGACGCCGAGTCGATTGAAGAAATCCCTCGAGACATTGTAGTTGAAGACGCCCTGCACGCCGTAATCGACATGACCGCCGTTTTCGACGTAGAGGGTTTCTGCGTGCCCGCCGAGCTGCTCGTTGCGTTCGACGACCACTATGCTCTTGTTCATGTCTTTTAGGCGGATCGCTGCGTAGGCGCCGGTGGCACCGCCGCCGAGGATGCACACATCGCGTGTGATTGTGTCCTCGGGAGTGAACTCTTCTTCCGAAGGTGATTGGGCATGGACGAGAGCTATTAGGAGCAGTATGGCGCGTAGAACGCTCCAGGGGGCGCACGACGAGAGGGACATTGTGGGTAATTCAAGTGCGACCCAGCGGAACGTTACCAAATGGCGGGCTGTGGAGGAGAGTACTGGATCTTTTTATATGCAAGGCAAACACACGTGTCGGTTCATTTTAGAACTGAGGGCACCAATAGCTAAATTCCTATGTTGTCCGCTGACGGTGGTGCACCAGCCCTACTGTGCAGCAGGGACTGGTGCTGAAAAGGAGTCAGCATGACTATCCATGGTACTAAATCGATGGCACCTCAGCAGTCATTCTCGTGGTACATGCCAGGGATACCTTATCCGTCGGAAACTTTATGACTTGTGCCACCTTTCGACGAAAACAGCATCTACACCAGTGGCAGCCGTGGTCGAGTGAAACAGGAAAAGTCAATGCCCCTAAATGAACTGCACAGGATGGACAATTGGTTGCCCTGACTCAGTGCTCAATGTAGACATAGTTCTTTCTAATACGCTCCGTCCATTCGTTCAATGGGATAACTGCTTCTCCGAAAGGCACGCAGCCCACTGGAACGTCTCGGATGATCGACTCCCTCGCCGGAATGTGGAGAAAGTCATGGCTTTTATGGCACGCTGTGAAGGGAAAGGTGTCATCGCAAAGTTTCTGGTGGCATTCCTTGTCAACATGAAAGTCAATGCAATCCCTACACCACAGCATCTCTCCTAAATACGACCAGGAATTTCCGCAGTCTCCATCACAGTAGATGATGGCTGTGTCGGACGTGTTGAGTGACATCATGGCCAAACTTGTTAGCATATTTCTGCTATCCTCCAAGGGTAGAAACACAGTCAACAGACTAAGATAGGCGTATTTGTCATTGTCTTCGTCGTCGTCGGACAGTATTTCAAGAGCCTGTTTCACGATCTCTCGAGTGATTTGTTTCGCTCGTAGCACGTCTCCCTGAGTCTGGTAGTACCGCGCAAGATAAAGCTTCGGCGGGAGGAGGGCCTCGCTCCCAGGCGCTCCGTCGGGAACTAAGTTCTCTAGCTTCTGCAGATATGAAGAAGCAGCTTCGGTGTCGTGCCCTGACGTCTGTGCCTTATGAAGATAGAGAGGACCGAGTTTGTTAATCAGCAATGGCAGAATGGTATACAAATGGGATTGTGGAACATCGGCCAAAACCTTCTCCCACTCGGCAATCGCCTTAGATTCACGATCTCGCAGTGAGTATATTGCTGTAGCATAGTAATACCGAATATAACATAATGTGGCACGGTCCTGACGGTCTTCAAGGAGACTGATTGCGGTTTCGTATGTCTCCGCCAGGAAATCGAAGTGCTTTGTCCGTAGTGCTGCTTGCAGGAAAATCTGGTGGAACCGGTCAGCGTTCCAGAGCTCGATGGCCATTTCCGGCAATCCCTGTGAGACGTGTGCTGAGTTCTTGACTCCTTTCAGAGATACTATAATGTCTTGCCACCGGCCCTCGGTAGCGAGAGAACTCAGAACCATTGTCACCCGGTCATAGTTCGTAGGGTCAAGTTCCATCGCCATTTTGCAGTATGTAATGGCTGTGCTTGGGCATTTATCTTCCCAGTAAAGTAGCCCACACATGTAAAGGAGCTTAGCAAATCCGACGCGCTGAATAGGATCTCGTCGCCATGCGTTGTCGGATGCAAGACGTTCCCTAATCGGAGCAGCTAGAATCTCAATACCCTCCTTCGTCCCGACCAACTTCGCTAGCAGATACGACGCTCGCCAGTCGTGTGGATCAAGCATCAAGGCTTGACGAGCCCTGGCCTCTGCGAGCCTGGGAAGCCCGAGCACCTCCAACAAGTTGCCCATTTGAACGTGCCACAACGAAGTCTTTGATTTCACATCCAGAATCATCTGACACCAATTTTCCACATTGTCTATCTCCTCAATCGAATAAATATAGCTAGGGTCATTCACGTTGTGGGTAGCGATGCCCTTGCGACGCTCAATCTAAGGCTTCGTTAGTATTTGGAGCTTATCCGGGAGAGTGCTACGTACCTTATTCACGAAGCCCGCAATGAAGAGGAACGCGTCCTTTGTAAATGATTCCGAATGCGCCTCTTGCAAGAAGTGTACTGCCATTCTCTTTGCGGCAGGTCTCATTAGGTCTTCTTCAGGCTCTGTCCCAGAGGTGACATTCGCGACCCAAGCCTGCATCGCTGTGTCGGAAATTTCGGAGGTAACAGCAGAGTCCCCAAGCCATCGGAGGATGGTGTTAACACTGTCGTCACTGTAAAGCCAATAGCGTCGTATCTTGAATCGAAGAGTAGGATCATCAACAGACTCTGCACAATGCAGCAAGATATCGATTGAACTGCCCCCAGTAAACAGTTTCGCCAAGCGTATACCCACTGCGCGCTTGCAAGCAATGTCTGCTAGCGCTAGATCAACGGTTAACAAATGGCTTATGAGGTATTTCCGTGCATAAGTAAGGAGTCGCGTGCGTTTTCGATCAGTCTCTTCTGTCAAAACATCTAAACAAGTCAAGGCCATCATTGCCTCACCCGTATGTAGATCATCCCTGTAGATACGGCTACCCTTGGGCCTGAGCAGTTGTGCCAGGTAGGCGTCAAACTTCAACTTGGTATAAACCTCCGACGGACACACCGTGAGGAGGAAGTGTTTGACCATGGCCACTTCTGCGGCTTGTGCTGCCTGTTTGCCCTGCGAATCCTCCAAGTCATGGGCCGTGTGTCTCAGCGGAATGTAACGTTCGATCTCAGAGGATCGGAAATCAACCTTGCCGTTCCTATCCACTTCGAATAGCGGATATTTTATCTTAATCTTCTGCTCGAGGGGCAGCAATGACGGCTCTCCGCTTCTCACATAGAGCGCTGCAGACATCTGCTTTGGTGTGAGAAGGTCCTTGCCGTAAACGATCCAGCGTACAATCTCATTGATTTCCAAGAGTTCCTTTTCGGAGCGGCTTTCGTTCAACTTTTCGATTTCCTCCGTTATCTGCTGCGAGCGTTCCTTGCTTGCATCGTCCAGCGCCTGCTGTATGTCCGTTTTATATTCCAGGGAGCTGATATGGTCAAGGGTCCGATCTATCTTGAAGTAGTCTCCTTTCGTTTCTACACACAGTCTGTGCCGAATATTGTCTCGCAGCTCCGATATTCCCAAGCGAGCGCGATCGATCAACGCTGGCATTCTATCCATCCGGTTCTCTATAAACTTCTCCACATCCGATCGGTTATACGTACTGATAGGTATACAATCAAAGAGAATGTTCCCCGCTTTGCTTAACTGCTCAAAGCATCTGGGGTCACCGGTTACCAGAACGCGAATGTCGCGGCCGGGCATGGGTATGGACGCTCTCTGCAAAAACCTGACCATGCCTTCTCCGACTGTGCCACCCAGCCCATCAATGACAATATACAAGGTGATGTTCATGGTGGCCAGATCCTTATTACCGAAGATCAGGTGCTTTGAGATGTCGGTCGGGTCGATCTCTCCATAGTGTTCACAGATCTGAGCGACGGACTTGAGATAGATTCTCTCAGACTGGCTGAACTGCCAAACCAGTGACTTTGCGACCGTCTCGAGGTTGGTCGTATTTTTCAGCTCCTCCCGAGAATTCCCTTCCAAAAAGTAATAGCCGGTTGAGATTCTACGGTCGGAGCTCTCTGTAGTTTTCCTCTGGTTGAGACGCTTGATGATAGTGGACGTGAGGAAGCTCTTTCCAGTTCCTTCACCACCAGCGATAGCCAGGATAGGTCCCTTGGCCTGTCCCTTCTCCCATGCAACGTATTTGGGTTCACTAAAAATCCATTCACCGGTACCCCGTACACGTTGCCTAAGATAGTTGCGATAGATCGTTTGCCAGAAAGCCTCTGGCTCGCTGCTTTCTTGGTTCATCTTGGTCTCATCAAACGCCAGCGCCTTCAGGACGACCTTCTCCCTGTATTGTTTATCCCTTTCCTTCTTCTGCTCAGTCCTGTCCTCCGCAAATGATTCTACAAGGCCCTGCATGAGAGTGAGATTCGCCTTCGAGTTGGCTGCAGCGTCTGAGGCAAGTGCAAATGTCTGCGCAACCACCAGCCGATTTTCTTTATCGACGAGGCTCTCCATCCTGGCGAGCAGATCCGTCACCCCATTATCCTGCAGGAACAATATCTTGACACCTGCAAGCAGCTTTCTTCTCCTTGAACGGAGTTTAACTGTTCGATCGCAGATTTCCACGAAGAGAAGCAAGTGCTGGCACGCGACTTTACTCAATTTCGCGTCCATCCCCCCATGGACGTGGTACTCTAAGCGGCCCAGATATTCGGTACATTTCTCCAGCAACCCGGCCAATTCTTCGAAAATGCCTTGATAACCCTGCCATGCTTGGATCACAAAATTGAGCGCATTGAAGCATAGCTCTGAGGGTCCAAACGCCTTCCCGACCGTTAGCTCGTGTTCTGCTTTGACACTAATATAACTCGAGAAAGTCACACCTGCGACGCAGCGCCGGCTGCTATCCCACCCACCGTTTGGATGAGCAGTAAGGCTTTGTTGAATGAGTCTTTAACGGCCTGGAGCTTCCAAGACGACCCGTTGTCTTTCTTCTGCGCCGCGTCCAGATGCGCCAGCACATCGTTCACCCCGAGCGGCCTGATCTTGCGCTGGTCCCCATCGGCTAGCGCCAATACCCGACTCTGAACACGCGTCCAGATCTCCGTCAGCTCCTTGTTGGTCGCGGGGTCGAGTCCTTGCGGTACAAATCGCGATGCCTCTGTGAAGATTGTTGTCACCATGTTTGCTTATTCAGAATTTTTCAAGCCGCAGGTGTTGGAATCCCCAGGGGAATGTCGCCGGATCACGCAGTGGCTGACTTCTTTCATCCTTTTAAAGCGTGACGCCCTGTGGGATGAGGCTTAGACCTGCCGGGACCGGGCGTGTGAGAGGCTCGTTCACTACCCGATTCAGGGCGGTTCGGGAGTTTAATTGCGAGACACTTGCAGATCGCTCAGCTAAGTGGTGCCTGGGCAGTCGCCGAGGATCGTTATTGGCGAAGATAATGTGGCTAACGTGGAAGCGGCAGTCGTATGGCAATCAATTATGGCGTGTGTAGGAAGGCGTCCGGCAGGGCATGTCGATCAACAAGAGATATGAGGATATTTGAAGACGAAATGGTATATGAAATTTAAGGTCATATTATGTACGCTAGTGGTACTCTATATAAAGCCTAATTTCCAGTGTAGGGTCTTTATGAATTTAGTGCCCTAAGGCCCGCTCGCCCAAATATCCTGTTCCCTAGAGTGTGGAGGATTAAGATGAGGGGTGCTTTTCAGCCTGTATATAAAGTTTAGATAGAGAGCCTTATACGCTTTGGTGTACATCCGGTGGTTACTATATATGAAAGGGAGCCTGTCCAAGCTATTGTGAACTGAATGGTTCATCAGCTTCTTGCTGGCGTTGGTGTGCCCTGGCCATAGTACTTTTGACACAAACAAGTAGAACGCATGCTCGGGATAGTATGGCTGAAGAATGTCCATCAGATAGTCCTCCCCAATCATTCTGCCATCTCCACACATACACAGCCTTCGCGAATTCCCAGTACTCCGGATACCACCCACTAAGCTCCCAATCAATGATTCCATCGTGATGAATCATGATAGAAATCAACAGACCGTATGTCAAATAGAGTTAGGAATGCTTAACGGTGCCAGGAAATGAGAGTAAGATGCCTTCGGTTGGGGATTTGGGTTGTATTCATGGTAGAAGAGTTCCAGTTGTTCGTTGGTTTGACTCTTGTAAAGGTATCACCTGGTCCGTGCACGATCATTCATCAGGATGGGATTTCTACTTCTATGCGACAGCGAAAGATTCACCGACAGGTGTTTGAAACCACCCGTAGTCGTGACCATGCTTCTTCAACATGCCCCGGGACTTCCACATGAGGAATGAACCCCTTCCCTCGTGGCCCATAACCGCTATCATCATCTCTCAGTCGTGGGATTTCCCCCATTATCAACTCCAAAAATCGATCCAGTGGCCACCATGTGTTTTCCAGTGGTAAGTCTTGATATTTCAGCTCCCCACCTTCTGAGCTCTGCATATGCGGGACGATTATCGGACAGCTCATGAAAGTCGGAGGCGACGGCCTGTCCTCGTATGCCTTTTGGAAGGAGGCTTTTGTTCGCAGCATCATCGTAGGATCTTGAATGATCATATACGTCTGGAGCGCTCGGAAGCCAGCTGTATCGAGCACTTTCCGACTCAACGAGGCATTTAAGCCACAGTTTGTGGATTGATCTTCGACTAAGATCATACAGCCTCCAGCTGTGATGGCGGATCGGTCAAAGAACGTGTCCAGGATCCTCTCCAAGACACGAGCTTCGGGGAGGCCGTGGATCTCTGGTGCGATCTGCGAGAAGCGAGGGTGTTGTGCGACAGCGTCATACATGAAGTGGGTGGAGTGGCCCACGCCACCACATAGAACCAAACATTTGCTCAACGACGGTCGCTCTTGTAGTACCTGGAACAGACGTTCGGCTTGATACAGAATTGCCGACGCGCAGATGACGATACCGTCCACCGAGGGACATGACGATAGGTCTTGGACTTGTTGATCCCCGAGATATTCAGCCACGACATTGATATCTTGGGCTGTTGCTTCGGAGGACATTCTTCTTTTCACTGAGTGATGTCTTTTCTATCTGGTTCACTATTTTGTTCTCGGCTTTTTCTCTCTTCTCATCAGTTTGTCAATTCTATGTTCAGGGACCTGAAATGATTTTGGCGCTTTATATTCATTGTGATAAATTCTAGTCCGGTGGGGCTGGTTTCCATTTATAGCCGCTGTGTTTGTACTCAGCTCCACCGGCACGGATTCCTCGTTCGGGTAGTCACGCGTCGCGCAGGTGATTCGCTGTACCCCAGTTCTTTTCAATCAATTACCTTGCTACTGCCCTCGCTCGATTAGGATCGAGGCTAAATCATCATTGTATGTGTTATATTTGATTTCTGGAATACAAGTCACCTTCGCTGCCATATAGTGACATTTTTGGTAGGCATCGGTTGGTATATATTTGCAAACCTTGCCTCGCTGTCAAACATTCTCCAAACTTTTCGTTGCATGGCTAAAGTATTTATGGCGTAAAGTACATCACCATTTAAGAAACCGTACCGATAGACATAAGTTGACCAGTAGCAAATGATTCCTAACTAAGGGTTTCTAAGTCCGTTTTGATCATATTCGTACCGTGTCTCTTGATCCTATTCAAAAGTCAGTGATGCGCATAATCAGCCGTCGATGTCGAAACATACCCAGTATCGATTAAACCCAACTCCCTCGCACACCTCCGGGTATCCCAGAATCATAGGTGGTGCCGTGCCCTCCACCATGCTCTGTTTGAGCCCTTCCAGCGCATCCCGAATACTCTTCAACCTCGCCGCCACCAACGTCCACGGATATGCCACGGCCGCGAAACCCAATTGCGCAAGCTCCTTCGCAGAGAGATTCTCCGTTTTGCCCCCTTCAATAATATTAGCCAGCATGGGCATATCCAACTCCGAAACGCAGCGTTGCATCGCCTCCCTATCCGGCAAGGCTTCAACAAACACCGCATCGGCCCCTAGTCTCTTGAACTCCCGTGCCCGCGTCATCGCTTCCTCCCATCCAAGGATCAAAGCGTCCGTTCGGGCAAGAATAAAAATATCCCGTCCTTCATTCCGGGCGTCACACGCAGCTTGGATCCGCGCGTAGGCTTCGCCGCGCGAAACAACCGATTTCCCCTTCGTGTGACCGCATCCTATACCCAATTTCCCACAGTCAGTAACTACTTGGTATAACCCTCTGCTGGAGAAGTTAGGGTAGATAGATACACTCACGCTTCGGCCACGTCTGGTCCTCGATCATCACCCCCGCCGCCCCAGCTGCAGCGAACGCCTCCACCGTGCGCCGCACATTCATCGGACTCCCATACCCCGTGTCCCCATCGACCATCACAGGAAGACTCGTCACCCTCACCGTCTCCTGGACCTTCCCGCACATCTCTTCCATAGCGATATACCCCGTGTCAGGCAGCCCATACGAACTGGACACCGCGAAGCCGGATAAGAACAGCATCGGGAAGCCGGCCTCCTCGATCAGCCGCGACGACAGGCCGTCGTAGCTACACGGGAAGGCGAGGATCTTGGAGGGATCGCGACGCGCTTCGAGCATCATTGTGCGGAGACGGGATGTTTGCAGGGAGGGGATCGTGCCGCGGACATTGGGGATGGTGAGGGTTATGGTTTGGGTTGCTCCGTTGGTGGACTGGGTTGGGGTTGGGTTGGTGAATGTGAAAGGGTAGGGAGTATTTGTTTGAGACATTATGGGTTTGGCACTGGTGTTAGAGTATTGCTTTGTTCTGTTTTGGTATGTGGTTGTTGTTGTTGTTGTTGTGGATGAGGGGTTGAGGGGTTGTGTCGTCATTGGACATTGTTGTTTTCTTGCCAAGAGATTGGTCTCGATGCATTAGATGCATTGGATTGGCGAATGAGGTTTGTGATCTGCACTGTTCCACTTGCATGGAATTATGCTACTTGCATGCATTCAAGGGGGTCTTCTTAGGGCTGTTCTGTCACCTGTCTGTCAGGGAGGATTATGTGCCTCGTCACGGGAATGTGCCGAGAATGTATGATGCGGTTATATAGCCACGTTTCCATCGAAATATGCATTTCATACGAGTGCTCATGGTTTTAATGATAGAAATACGACTTGTAAATATGTGTCTGGTTTATCTGGTTTAGTCCATTAATTAATGTCTGGTACGTCGAAAACGCGTTGAGAAGGTGATGAATATGTGCTATGTCAGCCAAAGATCTACATGTGGCACATAAAATCGGACAAATATCTCGTTCATACATATATCGAGTGGTGTCGCCAAGCAGAAATACTCGAAGATAGTTCAGCGGCATACATAATGTGCCGCAGAAGGCTTCTTCTGCTTGGAAGAGAATCGTGTCTCAAAGAGGAAACACTATATAATCACGAGAACTAGCCAAGGACGTATGAGACTCACCCGACGATCTCCGGATGGCAACATAAGAACCGAGTGGAGCCCGTGTTTCTTTAGGTACTCTACATTGCCTCCACCGTCACAGAGGAAACAGCAATCTTACCGGTGGCAAGTAGCACGAACTGTTCAGAGCAATGTTACCTAGCCATTGGGAACACGCCGTAAAGTCGCGCGGATTATCGGAGATAGTAACCTTCCAATGCGCGATTAATGACGATTACTCTTAAATGGATGCACGATGCCACAGAGAGGAACTGAACAAAGTCCGGCGCTGGATAGAACTGGACGTGAACGTTTCTACACTAGAAGGGTGATAGTTGAATTGACGGATCGCACTAGTGCTCCATTATGAACAGGACATCTGTCTACGATATATTTTGGATTTTGGTGGCGAACATCATGATTTCCACGATAATATACCTCACAAAATGAGGCAAGCTGGGAACCGTTCCGAGTTTTGGCCTTCAGGTAGGTGCCGAGAAGTCCGTCCTCCATCATAGAAATAGCTTGTGGATACAATAAGCAGCTTTTGTGACCATCAAAACACATTGACCTCGGCACTGCTCGCTGGTATGGACACTTTGACCTACAGAGACTGCCGAAAATGTGATGTCATGAATTGGCGCGAATACGCGGCGTCGGAGGCTAAGGGAACCCAGGCGGGTCGTTCAGAACGTGGCGGCTATGGCAGACTACTAACTACCCACTAGCAGGATCCGCTCTGTCTGGCTAGAACGCCTGAAGGCCTTGATTTTATCTAACTCTACGTCCGTACTGTGGGCAGGGGTCTTGTTGAGTAAGCCAAACAGGGTCTGTTAGGCTGATTTATTATAACTGCGAAGACTGAGGGTTCAAAGTGGTGACGGCTTGATGCTGAAAACACGCTTATCCACGTGTAGTATATAGTAGTGGCAGCGTTTGCCTCCTACAAACGCTTTTGCATCGATGGCAAGGGCTAGTGTATGGTAGTCCAATCCATCTGGACAAAATTTCCCGTATACCACCGGACGCTCCACCGTGGCTATGCGAGCAGATGGCAATTTTCTATCCAAGATACAGAAAACTCTTCTCTTTACAAATCAGTGGTAGGAGTGCTCATAGGGCGGCTGTCACAAGCAGGTTTTGGTTCCGGCTTTCCGACTCACCTGAAGTTTTAATGCGTTGAACGGTAAAATTGAGTTTTACCGCGAACTCGCGTTTTTTGCAGGGCTTCCTATCCGCGGTGAACCTTGACCAAGAGACTTCGCCGGAAGGTTCGTAGAGACCAAAAGAGTATGTGTGGGTGTGACGGCGTGAGAAAACCAGACGGGTGGGACATTGACCCTAAGTAAGTGGTCCACTCTCTAAGGCATAGAAGTCTGATTCGACACGGATGCTGTATTGACCTAGCTGCTGAATGTCTAGAATCATGTGGAGAGCGACTTGGAAGTTAGCGCGAGACCGGGGTGAAAGAACAGTATCTCAATGAATCGAGCGCTTGGCGCTGGTAGCCATCCTCTGGGGTCCTGAGGTTGCATTAAGAGTCATGTCTCGATTTCTTAGTAGGATCAATGGATCTTTAGGAGCAATAGAATTGCTTCATCTGTAACACCCCCCTTGCCAAGATACTCTTTGTGGTGTGTTATGTTGCGCCAGAAACGTGGCCCCAGACTTGGTAGCCCACAAACCCTAAGGAGGACGTAACACACAACACTCCGGCTTTCCATTTACAGGGCAACAACCGAATTACCCATGGTTTTAGGACCCCTAGCTTGTTACGAGTCCCTATCCAATGCTGGAATTGCAATGGATTGTAATCCCATTGGTTGTTCCGGACTGCCAGCGAGCTTAGTCAGTTCGAATGAGTGGCCAGCGGATGTCCTGTCCCTGGCCCAGACTTCGCCTCCCATGGGTCAAAAACCAATAGTAAATTTAAGTCCTGGTAAGGGGCTGCCCTATCCCTTTGTCAAGCCACGATGAGACAAAAGTCGGCAGCGAGAAACTTCCAGTACAGATGGCATCATGACACGGAGGGCACACATGTAGTAGGGCCACGATAAATTCAAAACGCTGAACTCCACTGCTCAATGATTCAACGACTCAATGAGGAGCTCGATCATCACAAGATAGCGCCAACTGTGGAGGCGGCTCCACACACAAGACTGTATTGAATGGTAATCAATCGTGGTGCAGAAGAATTCCACGCTGGCGTCTCAACTTGCCGAGCAAGACCTGCGTCTGAATTTCTGTCCTTGACCCACTTTTGCGGGCTTGGCCGAGATTTGTCAAACTTTTGCCAGCCCTTCCTTGTCCGTTTCTGTTGTGGTTTGGCTTTGTCCGCGTTGCCGGTAGATGGGTGTGATAGGCTTCAGTCTGCTACCATTTCTGGCTACAAAAAAAAAGCCTAACCTTATGACTGCTAAGCAGGGTGCAATGTGAGCATTTTGGTCTGCGACCCTAGAGTTCTGCATGTAGGGTTGAGGGATACTCGGGTGAAGAGATTGGAATGCCAGGACGCCGATCCTTTACCTCGTCCATAAGCGGCCCACCGGAGCAACTACCATTGACACTGAATACAGTGTGGCCAATGGCTTTGACCCGCTTTCACATTCAGGAACACTGTACTGTTCCATAAATTTAGCAGCCAGGGTGGATATTCCAGAATCCTTCAGCCACCAATCGGGGTGCTTTTTGAGGAGGCTAAGGGATGTCTTCTTGTCAACCCATCCTGCTGTCCACTCAGCTCTCTTTCGTCCCTTGAAACCCAAGATCCATTGGTGACATATCCATGGCAAACTCACCAGAGGCGCTCTGCTGACGCACTCCGCCTGCCCCATCTGCCGTCGTCAACGTTTGGAAGATCCATCGAACACCATGGATGGTCGAGACCGTGCTCAAGAAGCTGAACCAGCTGACCCCGGGGTAAAAGTTTTATTCCAGAAGGCTATATAGAGGCGCCCAATTCCCATGTCGAGGACCTGAACTTGATCTTTGTGTCATCACCTTCGTCTGGATTTTTTCTTCCAACTACCCACATTCCTTATAAACGCAGTCTCAACAACACCCGGTTGTAACACTTTCACTTCGTACTTCTTCGATCATTACCAATCGCTTGACGCGAAGTCCATTCTTTCAATAAAATGCAGTTCACAAAGTCCCTCCTGCTGCTGGCAGCCCTCACCACTGGCTCCCTTGCACACCGCGTGCACGGCCACGCAAGACGCCAGTCACCCGCCGCCACTTCGTCTGCCGTTCCCTCCTCCTCTGGCTCTTCTTCCGGGGGATCCTGGACCGCCACACCTGCTAGTGGATCCTACTCTACTGCCGGATTTGGCGCTTCCACTGCCAACAGCGGCTCTGATATCACCTACCAAGGCAACGTCGGCAACCCTTGGGGTAGCAATATCATTGAGGTGTCGGAGAGCGACGCCTCGAACTACAAGTACGTGGCCGCCATCTCGGGCCAGAACACCGAGGCCTGGACGGTTGTCTTCTGGAACAAGTATGGTCCTGACGGCAAGATGGACGGCTGGTACGGCAACGCCGCCGTGACCTTCACCCTCACGCCGGCGAGACCAAGTACGTTGCCTTCGACGATGACACGAACGGTGGCTTCGCTGCGGCTCCCGGCAGCATTCCCACCGACTCCGGCGGCGGATACGCCTCCACCTGGGGTGAATTTGACTTCGGCAGCAACGGTAACTCGGGCTGGTCCGGTTTCGATGTCTCCGCTATTGTGGCCCAGAACGCTGGTCTCACTGTCCAGGGTATGAAGATGTGTGACGTCTTCAGCGGTACCTGCTCTACTATCACTCCCGGTGCCGCATCGGTGGACAATGCTTATACCACTGCCGAGACTGACATCGGTGGTATCGGTGGTAATATCTCTGGCGACGGCCCGGTCCGTATCGCTGTTACTATCGACTACAGCGGCTAAGCCATGTACTTTGGGATAAAAGTTAGATGATTGATTAGATTATGTGATGAAACAATTTACGATTTTACCTTTGTGTTTATGCATTGTATTGTAGTTCCCTTGATGGCGGATTTGGTAATCTCGAGACATGATCAGTGTCCTCCCCAGCTTCCGACTAGGGTAGCAAAATGGACTGGTATGTTGATACCCTGGGCTAGAATGAAGACTGCAATCGCCCGTTGTGTGCTATTCCCGAATGGACAATGATCGACAATCGTTGTACTGCGCAGTATGACATTTATCTGCTAGTCTCGGTCCTAGAAGAGGTGGAAACTCTGGATATGGAAAATGAGCATGACGATGGGAAACGTTTACTAACATTGATTAGCTAGCCCTAGATTTGTCCAACCTATAATATCTTCACCGACACTATGGTCACTTTCGGACAGATCACTCATTGATACTATTTTGTCTATCATTATATCTCATCTTTGACAAGTATTTCTCGGAAGATGTATACCTATCTCTACTTGATTGTTACCGGTCCTCCCAGGACCGCCAGGTCACCCGTATCCAAAATACTACATATATACCACCATTCCACGGCAGACAGATAGGTCTGTATGCCAGCAACGATCACGAATAATGTTTCGACATCCTCGCCGCATTCTTCTGTTCAACCCACATCCCCATGGTCCCAAACACCCCCAAACACCCAGACGTCATAAGCACAGGCCCCCAGATGGCCGGTGTGAACTGCCCCTTGAGCAAGCTCTTGCGCACTGCCAGATATCGAAAAATGCCATACCCGAACGACCAGACACTAATGGCTTGACAGAAAGTCGTGGCAGAGAATCCGCCATTGTGGTCGAAAAATAATAAACTGCTTGAATGTTCTTGGCTGTTGCTGTGGCTGGTACCGCCTGACTGCACAGGAGTGGCTGCGACCGTGGCTGTGCCGTTATCCGAACCGACGACCAGGTTCAATTTGCTGCTGGACAGCGCGGAGGTGAGCATGCGGTCGACTGCATCCAGGCGGCCGAGGGCTAGCGCCATAGCGGCGAAGCCCAGGCCCATCCGGGTCCAGGAGAGAAAGGTGCGCTCGTTGGCTTGGTGGTCGCGTAGTTGCGACCCGGTGTTGGCCACGCGTTGGGGAATCATTCGGCGCCACAAGGAGGACATTTTCCTTCACTCCGTATTATTAACACAAGTTTTTAATTTTAATGATGGGTGTGGCTGTGCTAAAGGTATTTATATGTTGTGAATGGATTTGAGATGCTTGTTTGTATGCAGATTATTCATTAGGTTTAATCATGATTTCTTCAGCCCGGCACGAACCACGTGATGAGCTCAGACCTATTCGCAGCAATCATGCTCTTTTGCATAAATTTGGGGTATAGTCGCATTTGAAGTGCTGTTTCTATAGATTTGTCGCTTCGCATTCCGGGGATTTATTGCATAAGATGTTCTTTTTCTACACTCTTGCATTGCACATTTAGTCCGGTAACTGGTGTTGTGGAAGCTTCATATAAGCAAACAGGGTGACCGTGTTCGGCGATGCCAATTGATGTTCACTTGTATTCAATCCCTCTGGGGTGTTGCCTGTGGTTTAGCGGCTTCGAGGCAAAAGGTTGGGAATTTGTAATGAACAAATTTTATATCTCCTTATATCGCCCAAGCGAGTTACCTGTCTTGAACAGGGAAAAGGACAGAACTCCAAATTTCTCAATCCGGTCCGTTTAACCATCTAGATGTAGGTTATATACGAACTAGCCAATCAGGAGAAAGATAGAGTCAATGAATTAGGCAAAAAGAGGGAAATGTAAAAACTTGGTTTTCCAATTTGACCCCCAAATGGAATACGACTCGGCCCATTAGTGCTGACCAGATGCCGATTAAACAAATTTAGCCTCATATCTATGGCCAGATTGACCAATAGAGTCAAGATCTCTGACTTAGCGTCGCCTTGACGTGCACATAAATGGAATCCTTCCGATTTCCTTTAATATTGACCGTGCGTGCGGAACCAATTGTTAGATAAGCAATTATATTGCCCTTCGGGGACTTTCCAAACACGGAGCAACTTGGCCCTAGTTAAGTGTGCGACGGTCCGATTCACGCCATGCGATGATAAATCCTTCATTCTCAAAATGAAGCATCTTGTGTATAAATACCATGGGCCTCTCTACATGTTTCCTTCAGAGTACAGTTTACTTGTTTATCAATAACCTCCTAGAACACATTCATACAACCCAAGCCAGCTTCCCGTGACAATTCTCAAATCAACAACAATGCCTGTCCCCTCTCATCCTAAACTTGAAGGCTTTGATGTCATTCAGGCCACATACAAGCAGATTGGCGACCATGCCATTCGAGTGGACATCCTCATTCCTCAAACTGCCTATACCGGCAAACGGCCAATCCTCGTCCGCACCCATGGTGGTGCCCTGGTAAGTACACACAGCGCAATCGCTATTGCATAGCCACTAACAAAACGTCCAGGTTGCTTGTGACTCATTATTCATGGATTTCTTTCCCCACTGGGCAGCGGACGTAGCCCTCAAACATGGAGCCGTGATCGTGAGCCCCAACTACCGGCTCATGCCCGAGTCCACGAGCGCAGAGATCTACGACGACATCGACGACTTCTGGAAATGGCTCCACTCCCCAGCTCTGGCCGACCTACTCGCCAGCCACACCACGCCCACCGAGATAGATCTCACCCGCATCCTCACCACCGGTGATTCCGCAGGTGGCTTGCTAAGCCTCTATCTCGCCCTAACCTATCCATCCCAGATCCGTGCCTCCACGGCCGGCTACCCGTGGGTGAACCCCAGCTCAGCGGGCTTCCAGGCTCCGCGCACAACCTTACCATTCGGCGTACATACGCCCGAATCCATCATCGACGACACCGTGGCTGCTGCGGCTTCTGGCTCGGTCGTGTCGTCGGATCTCTCGCCTGCCCGGCTCGGATTCATGCTTGCGGCTGTCGAGCACGGCCGTTTGGCTGGCTTTTATGAGCGCCAGTCGGAGGCGTCCTCGCACCGAGAGTTATTCTACCCTGCCAAGAAACTGGAGGGACCGGGCTTGAGTATCCCACGGGGAGGAATTGCCATCTGGCACGGGCGTCAAGATACCGTGGTTCCTCTGGAGGACGTGGAGGAGTTTGTGGTGCGGCTGCTTGAAGCCACAAAGGGGCTGCCAAGTGGTGACAAAGTTGTGCTGGCATTGCGGGATGGGGATCATGGGTTTGATATGGACTCTCGGTATGAGGACGAGTGGTTGCAGAAGGCTCTTAAGTCGGCCGTGGAGGCTTGGCTAGAGTAATCAGTTATGGGAGAGATGTATAAGTAGGCGATGCTCATGATGTACCGATTAATATAGATTAATATTTCTTTGCCCTGATTATGATGTTTCATTGGACTAGATTCTCATATTTGTGCAAACCTGCTTGATTCGCCGCAGCAGAGATCCTGAGTTCAGTAGTATGGAAACGAACCTGACCCGTATGACTTAAATTGAGTATAGATCTCATTCCATAGCAAGATACCCTATGCTGCGTAAGCTCATCTCCCATACTATTGTACAGCATCAATGGGTCTCTCACTTTGTTCTTCGTCGTGCCCCCTCACCCGAATACAACTCGGATACCTTACATAGAACAGAGCCATGACAACCAGCATAGGAACGCTATCAAAAGCATACATGGGCCATTCATGCTGTAGCAAGTACCCGGGCTCCCCACCCCAGTACTCGGTGACTCGGAATATCGATCGGATCATGATAAGAGCACTAACAGCGAAGAGCATATGCAGACTCGACTCCCACGGCAAGTTAGAATCGAAGCACTCGGACGTGGGGGACCTTAGTACACGCCTATAAAAAACAGCCGCAGTCACACCAAACAAACTGAACGATATAAACTGAATGAAAAAGCCCAGTAAGACGACTGCTTTGGCGGCCGTTCCATACCCGGTAACGCTCAGGCCTGTTGATGATGCCTGCACGGCGAAGGATGCTATGTCCCCGACGACAAAGGCTTTTGTAAGCCATTTCATGGGGATGATGCTGGGCTTCTCTCCTCGTACTGCGCGGATTATACGACTTAGGGCCATGTAGATCGAGGCTGCGAATAGGGCGGGGGCGAGTAGTGCGCCGTTGTTGGAAAGGGCGTAGGAGAATAGGGAGGCCGTGTTCTTATATGCGCCGCAGCGGCCGCCGTATCCGTAAATCTCGACTTGGGTGATAGCAGTTAGCTAGGTTTGTGCAGTATGAAAACAGGGGAAGCGAGTTGTACAGATTCCTCCCATGGTCAAGGGAATGCAGAACCAGGTTCGGGGTTTGATGAGCCGATACGTGTGCAGCAGTGTCGCTGCTGCGAAAAACAGCAGGAAGGCAATTGCTGCTCCTAGAGATGGGACATAGAGCCATAGGTAGTACACGTGCTTGTGGGGCTTTAACTCGCCCATCCTATGGTTTTGTGACTGCTCTCCCTTTTGATATGGAGTAGTATGAGGGGACTAATTGAGGTCCCTGTGCTAGTCTAGCGATATTTTATATGCTAGGTCTTTTTTCTATTAATACTCATGAAGAGCACCGTATACTCCCATCGAAGCAAATGGGCCGAGAATAAGACACTATGGCTGTTCGTAGCAGCTGGCTCGTGTATACGTGAGGAGCCCGCGGTCTACTTTATCCAGAAGTGGATCGGGGAACAACTGCTGATCAGTCTTCTAGCCTATGCATACGGCTCCTCGGTGTCTAGGATGTACTTCTCACGATATCCACGGAAGAGTTTACGAAGTATGGCAAATTGTATAAACGAGTCTAACTCAATACGTACTGCTACATTGCTGGCATTGAATCTTTCCAATCAACTCAGCCTTAAATACTCATCAATTTTTCGTAATTCGGGTGCTGCTGAACAAGGGAAACTGCTCTCCATCGTGGATCGCTATTCCTATTGTAAACCCCGGGGCTTTATATAGTCGATAGAACTGCGGTACACCGAACTACCCTTGGCCTATGCAGCTTACAACGGGACATACAAGTTGGAAACATCGGCAGAAGCCGCTTCCGCAGATGAAAAAGTCCACTTCGCTCTACCGAAACAAGCTTACACCAGAAACAACCTTCCATAGTTCCCTCGCTGGGTACTTGAGATTGAGTGGGTATAGAGGAGCCCGAATATGCGCGTATGCACAGACCAGTTTCTCCTCCGGTACAGGTTCCGAACGAAGGTAGAAGATGTGCACTGATATTTTCTGTTTCCCCTTGCATCCTCGAAATACGGGCACGAGAGACTGGAAAGTCGGAATTTTGCGCACACATGGTGAGATTATCCCACGCTATCGATGGCTTCCTCAAGGAACGCTATGCCGCGTAGGGCTCACACGAAGTCACGGAATGGCTGCATGCAATGCAAAGGGCGACATATCAAGGTATGTTCGCCACTGTATTATTCAGCCTATGGTCATATATTACACCTTTCAATGTTCATTACATTCAATCAGGAGATCTCAATGAGGAGTAATTTCCAAAGCAGCTGACTTAAAGTGTGACGAGAAGAGGCCAAGATGCACCAACTGTACATTCTCCCATCGGCAATGCATTTTCAATGCAACAGTCTACTTTAGCCATCACCGAAGCCCTTCAACTACACCACCGACCCCTTCGAGCACCTCTTCACAGGTGTCAGAATCTCCAAATGTTGAGCCCCAGGAGCCACAGGGTGAACCATCACCGCCTGTGAATATGCTCCACGTTGAGCTTTTCCACGTCCTGCTCACAGAAACGTTGGCTTCATTGAAAGCCTATAATGAAGATACTGATCTCCTAATAAATATGATCACGGAGCACGGTCTCACAACACCATATCTGGTTAACCAGCTATTGGCACTAGCGGCGTTACATCTAAGCCTTGTACGGCCAGCGCAATGAGAATACTACCGCTTCCATGCAATCCAACTGCAGACACACGCAATATCCTTATTCAATTCAGCGTCTGGAAGCTTGGACGTAGAAAACCGCATTTCAACTTTCCTCTTCTCATCAGTACTGGGAACACATATGCTGTGCGAAACTCTCCGGTTCCGCGAGAACGATGAAGCCGCATTCCTGGATAGATTCATCCAATACGCCCAGTTACATCGAGGCGTACGCGGCATTGCTGGGCAGACCTGGGGCTCGCTCAAGGAGTCACCTCTAGGAGGGCTATCACACGCTCATACTCAAGCGTCTAGTTCGAAAACGAAAGTCCAGCTGACCTCTGTGTACGCAGGACCTCTTGAATCTATAAAAGCAGCGAAGCTTGGAGCTCCACTTACCGTTGTCTATCAACAGACTATCACATTTCTGCAAATAACTACGCACAGTGAGTTTGACACTACGTCGACCGGAGGCTCTTGTTATTCTCGCTCATTATGCTGCAGATCTGCATTATTATCGTGATTTGTGGATTTTTGGGGATGCAGGGAAGTTCTTGGTAGAGAGTATTACGAAGCACTTGGGACCGGACTGGGAAAGCTGGTTGGGTTTGCCCAGGGAGGTTGTTAATAATCAAGAGCATCTTGCAATTCAGTATGAACGCTATGGTGAATCGTGATCTAGTTGTAAATATATCGTGCCAAGAATGTATAGGTTATGGGCTGAGTATACATTGGAATCCCCAGATTCCCTTCTTGGCCCGTTATACATGACTCCATATTACCTCACCCATTCCTAGTAGAAACTTGATACTTTATTCAAGGTTCAGGTGTCCTTTTCATTCTTGATTTATTAATGGCCATGCAGGATTGATCAATAGGAGAGATTTCCGACAAAATGCCTTAGCGTCAGAGCCAAGTCTTGCCCCCGAGACGAGGCGACATTAGTAGCTCGCCTGAACTAAGCCTGCAAATTACCCCTAGTAAAATTCAACTTACATGGTCAATTTGATCATTAAGGTATGTAATATATCAAATCCCCAATAATGCACCCTTCACATCCCCTCCCAGCTGGGCCCTCCACAACCGATGCTCATTCAATGCGAATATTTCACCACCCTTTCCGAAGCAGAAATTCGCGACTCCCCCGTCGATCAGAATACGTCCGAGCAGAACACCACCAGGAGACCAGATATTGATTCCGTCGCCGCAGCCACTGTACACATTCCCGTTTAGATCACATTTAATCCCGTCCGGAATACCTGTATCGGCCATTGCGAACAGTCTCCGGTTAGTAAGAAAGGGTTCGCCGTGGTAGGTCGATACGTCGAATGCGTAACTACCCAACTTCTGTTAGTATATCATCCCAAAAACAAAGACACACGATTTGAGTAGAACGGCCATACATGGAAGAAACCCTCTGGTCATCTGTACTCCCATCACCCTGCAACCAGTGCGTATCAGTCACATAAACGGTCTTTTCATCCGGCGAGAAACAAATCCCATTCGGTTTTCCGAACCCATCTGCCATCGCCCGAATATTCCCATTCCCTGGATTCCATCTGTACACCTGGCTGGGTAATGAAGGCGTCGGCCGATATCCCTGTTCAAAGCCGTAAATCGGGTCCGTAAACCAGATCGCCCCATCCGAGTGGACCACGACATCGTTGACGGAGCTAAATGGACGGCCGTAGAAGTCCTCCTTCAAGAGCTTGGTGGTGTAGGGTGGTTCCGTGGACATGAGATATAGTCCACTGGGCTGGATCATGGACCCCTGGCCGCAGATGAGGACTCCGTCGTCGCCGTAGTTCACGCCGCCGTTTGCGAGCGGGATACTGGTCGGGATCTCTTCGCATTTCACGGGGCTTTCATTGAGATGCACGCGCGTGATCCGTACGGATTGCTCGCCCTGGGCGTCTGTGATGCGGCTGCTGGTTATGAATAGGTGGTTGGTGGAGGCAATGAAAACGCCGGCTTCGTGGGCAAACGGGTATGATTCGTTTTCTGCTAGTAGTTCTAGCGATGGGGATTGACCGAGGATAGAGTGAAAGCGCTCATCGTGGACTTGAAATGCGTTGGAGAGTTTGGCCATGGTGTGCTGTGTCGTTGCTGGCGCTGTGATACCGGTGGTCGCCTTTTATTACGTTCAAATGAGAATCGATTAAGTGTGAGATCTTAATTAATGTGTTTATGGGTAGTTGAGGTATGCTCGGTTATTCCAAATATAACCACTGTATATGCTTAGACTTTCTGAGCGAAGGCCAAGTAAGTTAAATTGTGTATAGGGGACACACTTTGTCAAAAGATGGCCAAAGACTTAGAATAAAAAGAACCTGGGTGGATAAGAGGTAGAAAATAAATTTAGCCTACAGCACAAGGTCAAGTATGGTTCATAAGTAAGCCTGCGTAGGCCTGAAGATGCTTGCTGGATGATTCTATTCCCGAGTCCTGATAAAGTATTCGGAGCCACTAATTCCCCTTCAAGGAAAGTCCTGTATAAGCCCCGCCATTAGTGGGTCAACCCATCCCCGCATCGGAGATGCAGCGAAGCAGTTGAAAGGCCGGGATACTCAGCGTAGTCCTGTTTATTCTTAAGGTCTACTCGATCTAGACCGGCTCTATCTTTGCTTTTCGTCAAAGGAATCGACTGCTGTGAGAGATCAGGTGTTTCCCCGAGAAGGTAGACGTAGACTGCATCGTACAGAGGACTACCTCTTTCATAGGTTGATGCTCGTATTATCATCGCCCTACAAGGTAGTCACTTGATATAATCTTAGATATAAAGGTCTCATAGCTTTATCTAAGCGCCCGATGAACAGCTGGACAGCACGGGTGGCGGTCTCTATATGGATTGAGGGAGGGCTGTGAGGCTTGTTCTTTGCAGAACAGGCAACCCTCTTGATATAAGTTTGCGCTCACGATGCAGCGCAGGGAGATCAACGGGCACAAACCGATAAAACCCCACTTCTGTCTGTTACCAATCATATCCAGTTCAGCGTATCGTGACTCGTCCTTGGGTACATCCATCATGAACAGGAAGAAGGGGCGGCTGTTTGACTAAAGGCACTGATTTCAAGGAAACGAGTCACGACGGACAAAAATCTACTAACATATAAGAAAATAAAAATTAAAAAACAAGACCGACGTCTCCACATATAATGATACGATTTTCCTTCCTATTGAATCATTATTCCATCTCATCGTAAGAGAAAGTACCTCGTGTCGGTGCGCGTTCTTGGCAGACCCCCCACAAGTGCCTCGTCTCGGGGACTGGAGAGCCCTAGACGATCATCTTGTTCTGAATGCGGAGAATCAAGGCGGGGGTTCAATCCTTGTGGGGCATTAAATGACATGACTTTTTGTATGTATACTCACATTGCTTCCGGCGAGATGAAGACTAGCTTCTTATAAGTAGCCGGAATAGGACTGCAACCGGGTCAATCGTTCCTGTAATGCTGTATCTCATTGCGATCAAGATCTTACCGTCATGTCCTCTTCAACCACTACAGAAGCTGCCAGTGCCTCTCAGACCTCCACCGTACCCCAGACACAGGTGACCCTGGGATCGAAAGTGATCGCAAGTAAGAACCCCGCGCAGGAAGCTCCGCTTGATCTCTCCCATTGACAGGCTGCTATTTGTTCAGTTACTGGTGCAAACCGGGGTATCGGGCTAGGAATCGCAGAATGTTGTCTGTCCAATGGTGCAGAAAGAGTCTACTCGATAGATATCGGCGAGACGGGTGAAGAGTTTCTCGCACTCTCGCAGCGTTATCCGGGCAGGCTTCACGCATTGAACGCAAACGTGACCGAGGAAGAGACTATCACCGCAGCTGTGGAGAAGATTATTGCAGAAACAGGTGCTATACATGGCATGGTAGTAAACGCGGGACGTACGCACCATAAGGCAGCTCTGGATTTTACGAAGGAGGAAATTGAGAACTTGTTTAATGTTAATCTGTTCGGGGCATTTTACACCGCCCGGGCGGCTGCGCGCGCCTTCATTAAATTGGGGATCAAGGGCTCCATCGTCTTTACAGCTTCGATGGCTTCATACCGCCCCAATAAGGTGAGTAATACCCTGCATGAAGACGATCCGTGTTATGGTACCGATCACTAATGTACAAAATAGAGAGTACCCTCCACCCCGTATGGTGCCTCAAAAGCAGGCATTCGCAATATGACCCATACCCTAGCCATGGAATGGGCCCAATACGGTATTCGCGTGAACAGTGTTTCGCCTGGCCTAGTAAAGACCGCTATGACGTATTGGGTGCCTCAGCAGCCGGACTGGGAGCAGCAGCTGAAGTACTACGGTGGATTCCCCAGACTTGCGGAGGTACAGGAGCTCGGTGGTGCGTATGTCTACCTCTTGAGCGATGCGGCTAGTTATACGACCTCCATCGATATTCCTGTTAATGGTGTTATTGGCAGTGAGTGACCATAGTTCCAATTGCTCTTTCATATAATCCGGTTTACTGACCATAGCAGTTTGTTGATCTGGCCACATATCTGAGTATCCTCGTGGGATAATTTGTGTGTCCATGTATATAGGAGTTTAGTCGGAGAAAATTCACTCTCGGTACAGAGCTATCGGCCACCTTAGTATATCAGCACGTTGTTCAATTTGGAAAATATGCACTGCCTTGTACCTTAGTGCTAATAGCACTAGAAGCCTATTGATCAGGCAGCTAGAACCTGAATATTCCGCTCGTGAAGAATCTGCAACCACCCTTTAGATGGATCGGTATCCATTTCAGACCATATTTCCTGCACAATGCTATATTGTCTTCGAATACTCCCAATCCCGTACTTTTGCACCTCCAACCACCATGTTTCCCAATGCTCTCGATCTAATGCACAGCATGATGCTATAAAGGCCGGCCAACTGATTGGAGCCATCTGGCTGGTGACATGCCTTGATTTTATTTCTTCAACAGCGAGCATGTGAGATGCGACTGTGGCAACCTCATCTACTAAATCTTGAGCTTTGGCGCCTTGGATACAGTTTAGGTAAAATGTTAGGGCGGCACCATGCCATGCGTGGGAATGATGTTTGAAGATATCGAACTCATCCGCACGCTTGTCACTGAAAGAAGGAACCTTGTCAGAGCCCAAGGTCCAGGAGAGCAGCCGATCGCCAAGATCTTCACATGCTTGGAGAAGATCATCTGGAGCGGATTCTTGGGCCTCGCGATAGAATTCTAAGCACTCGTACAGAGTAATAGTTTCCAGGATAGCAGCCGCAATATCAGCCGTGACTCCGTACGTGAACTCATGGCAGAAGGAGCGGCTATTCGTTGCAGTCAGACTATCATGTTCCCTGTGCCGCGAGTCTCTGCTTCCCACCCAAGGTGATGGAATACAAGGAGAGGTAGTGCGTGCAAGAAGATTCAAAAATGCACTTTGAGTATTTAGCTGACGGGTATCTGCGCTTATTAGTTGCCATTTGCGGCGAGGAGCTTGAAAGTTCGATATCCCCTGAAGATGAACACGAAAATCGATGATACTTCCTTCCATTACCTGATCGAATGTCATTAAGGCTTGAGATTCTGTAGACCGATGGGTGGGGAACGTACTCCAATTGTGACCATAGAAAGAAGTGCAACCAAAAGGGTCTTATAGTCAAGCACTGGCACCTCTTTCATCAAGACCATCTGCAGGGACTGCAGTGCAACTTGCCGGTGCATGATACCCAGGCGATGATACTCGGAGTTAAAGCCATGGCACCGATGTAGATGGAAGGCGGATGTGGAAATGAGTGAATGGAATATGCAGAGTCCAATATTCGGTGCTGCATCAAAAAGGCCAGACTCGAAGTACAGAGATCCCTCGAGTGCTGCCGGGGCATACAACGATCGATAGGGATTTCCTGGGTGCGAAACCGGTAGCAATATCTCAGCGACATTTGCAACATAATGGTGAAAGAGTTCGTTGGTCTTCCTGTTGCTCGACAGAAACATTTGCGGTTGCTGTAATAACGGAACTGTGGCGTTTAGTACAATGTCCGTATCCACGTTGTTGACATCCTCTGGCAAAAGCGTCTGCAATGCTTCGTTATCGTGAACAAGGTGCAAGTGGAAGTCTGACTCTCTATACTCATCCACTTCAGTAGGCGCGTTCCTTGAGGGTGGTGATAGAGTATCAACCGGGATAACGCTGGAACCTGAGGGTGACGATGGGATCTTATAGTTCGACCCATCTGGGTTTAATTCATCTTCTGACCCTTCCAGACAGCTCACTAAGGGAGCTGCACCATTCGAATCCCGCGATAGTTCCTGCTCGGATGATGAAGCGGGAGATGCCCCGTGATTGCTACCGTTGCGATCCACAGGGAACACTGAAAACGGGCCATGTGTTGTCGATACCCCTCGATCAGCCTCATTAACTCTAAGGAGGAATTCATCGATTTCGTCTGCGTTGAATTGAAGGATACCAGTCCAGCCTTACATAACATCTAAGCATGTGACGCATATATCAGACGAGGCAAGGGTTCGAGTTGATAACTCACCTGCACCAATTCGCCTCCTGCCTATCCGTGCAGAAAGATCTCTGTGGGGCCGACGACCTGCGTCTGAGGAGATCCACTGCAGCTTAATATCATATCCACCGCAGGTTACGCCGAGTCGTGCACAGCTCGCGCAGCCCAGTGGGTTCTCATCACATTTAACCTTTCGGGCCTTGCAGGTCCAACACCTGGTCACTGTCAGTAGACGCCGTACCACGCACGGTGCACTACTAACCCTGAGAATGTAGTCTGTCTGTGCTTTCCCTTGGCCATGTTACTTCTGGTTTCTGTATGGCTACGACGAGGTGATTCACGTCAAGAGGGCGGTAACCTGGGGAATCCTTCTCCGAGATCAGGTGATGCCCGTCCCCGATCGGGAAATGGCGGGGTTTCTTATCACGACCATATTATAGCCCTAGTGTTCCAGAATAAAAGGTTCTATGTTAGTTCATAGCTCATCATCTCCTTAGGGGCACCCGTGTTCAGCGTTTCTGGTATGATCTATTCACTTGCATGTTTAGGGTTGCTGGCGACAAATATATTTTGCTCCATCTCCGCGTTCATGAATACTACGCTGGTGGAGTCTACGACTCCGGTCACCAGTGGCAGCTCAGAGGGTTTATAAAGTACTGACGAGCATAATGTAAAGATGGCTATAAGGGAAGGATCAACAAGATGTTTCTTATACACGAAAAATAATCTTCAAGACTTGAGAAGGTTTGCGATGAGTCAGAATTATAGATGATGCTTCTTGGCTTTAGGAAGAGAATCTATCTTCGGTGTTACTTTATATGTTTTACGTTGATTTATTTATTCATTTATTTTTCCTTTGTCTTTCCCACGCTTGAGGCAGAAAGAGACTGCTAAATGAAGTCAAATACAAAGCGTAGTATTCTATGATTAACATCCAAACTTAAGATCAGAGAAAGTGGGTCATGGTGGGCCACCCTCAAGCCTACCATCTCAGGCTGTCGGAGAGTCTTGCCATGGTATCAGGAGAAAGTTGGGTAAGCTGGCGTCCATCTGCGCTTAAGGTGATGCGAGACTTCCATAATAACCCTGCTTGACAAAACCACTGACCAGACTCTCGACGCTGCCAAATAGACTTAATGGCTATATTCTGTCTACAGTATTATGGCAAGGTACTGTAATGCTTTCATATCCTCATAAAACCGTGATTAATACAAATTGTACGTCCTTCCCAGGTACTTGCCCCATTTCAAGAAACAATACAAAACAATAACTCGAGATATGGCTATGGCTTACCTATCCTGCCCCGACGGCGCTGACAGCAAATCCGACAAGATAAAATCATCAAACGTAAACGGAAATAAATTTGAATCCGAAAGACTGAACTCCTGACCGAAGGAGTTCGACATGGCCCACATGGCATCCCAGTCGTAGTCATCCAGACCACGTTGGGCGGTGGCGACAGCCGCCGTGTCCGTGCTATCATTGTTGCCGTTATTGCTGTTGCTGTTGCTGAGGAAAAGCTTCTCCAAAAAGATCTCCAGAACTGCGACGCATCGGGTTGCCGAGTCGGCTAAGACCCCGTACGACTTTAGGACCCGGAGTGCCGCATGCCATGTCCGTTCGGCCTTGGATTCAACTCTGTCGGAGGCACTCTCCTTAGCTTCTAGGAAGCGCTCGACGAGAATCATCATCGTAGCGTTGTATACATCTGGTTATCCGCGGGAAGCCCGGGGAGAGGGGGGGCAGTTGGTCAGCTGGAGGAGCTAAGAGAAGAAAGGTCGCGGGCACGTGGAACCTACAGAGGACGGAATACCACCAGTTGGGCAGCGGACCGAGTAAGGTTTGCCGGTCAAGATGGCGGTCAAAGGTTTCGATCAGCTCATGGGCAATGCGGAAGCTGATGCGGGCACATTGCGCCAGCATTACTTCAGACAGACTGAAATCGTCGGAGGAGTCATCTGGCTTGTTTTCTGTGCAACAACCTGCAGTCACAGCCGCAGTAGAACCGCGCATACAGTAAGAGATTACGGTTTGACGGAAGAGGAGAATGCGTGCGTGCAAAAACCTGCTTGAATGTTGAGAACGGAAGTATGGAAAGAGCTTCCAGGAGCGGGAAAAAAAGCCTACCGAACTCTCAAGACTATGGCTTGTCGTTTTAGGATCTCATCGCCTTCGGCAGCATGTCGCGGGTGGAGGTGCTCGGGGAGGGCCTTATTCCAGGCTTGTAATTTGCCGTCGATTTGTAGAATACGTATAAGTTTGCTCTCAATACCTTCATCCTTGGCGTTCTTGAGGTAGAGGTCGACGAGAATCTCGTCAAGAATCTGATATAGCTCCAGGGCCTTCACGAAAAATGCCATCTTGCACGGTCGTCCATCGGGTCGGAAAGGCGAGCCTATCGTTTGGGCATCCAGAAACTCATCGTCGATCATGGATGGTAGTGGGATAGAGTTGAATAGCCACTTGGGGATCATACCCGGACGGCCGAGGGTGGATGAGAGAACACTTAGAGTGGGTGGCTTAGCAGGCGAGCGGAGAAGGGGGACCGCAGTTGGGCAACGACACTCTCTTACCGATCTAGCCAGACACACCCGTGCCAGGTGCGACGTTGATACGCCCTTTGACTTGCTGTTTCTCGGGAATGATCATGGTGGGTCAAATGGATCCCAAGACTTTGCGCCATACGAACCGCCTGGCCTACAGTCATCCAGCATTTAGAGACGGAAGTCGTGCTCTGCAGATATATCCCGAACAGTAACAGACACTGGACTCGCTCGTAGGACAGGGCCTCTCCAGTCTTCTTATATAGCAATTCCGCGCGTGCGAAAAAGTCGTCGCTGGTAGCTTTCCTTTCGCGAGGCGGGAGGAGCTCGCAGTAGTAGCAGCCAATCGCGAAGCAAAGGTTGATAACAGTGACTGGAATCAACGGATAATTGCGCGCAGTGTGAGCCGTCCAGAGCGACTCATACGTTGGCTCAATCTTACCCCGATCGATAACGGGATAGAGGGACCAGTTGTTATCCCAATAGGCTCGCATCAGGCTGTCGGCAAGACCTCGTGGAGGGAGCAAGAGTAAGGCTGACTCTCCATAGCCCGACGAAGAAGGTTGAGAGTCCAGATGACTGTGGGACTGTTGTGATGCAGCTTCATTTTTTGCGGCCAGATTTGCATGCACAACTCCTAATCGAGCATTGATCGCCGACTGGATTTGTCGCATAAAGGAACCTGCGCTACTACTCCCGAAGACTTCCGGAGTGCGCGTTGGGTCTCCCGTTACCCCATTCATCGAATCTGTTCCAGTGGGTTCGGTGAAAGCAGGGCTATCCACCAACCTCGATGAATGCGTCGCTATCGTACCCTTACCGGACGAGCTGCTACCAGGAACAGGGGCCGATGTAGAGGCAGGGAGAATTGCGCCTCCCGAGCCACATGTATGGACAGAGTTCGTCACTTTAGGTGACCAGCGGTGAGTAGAGAATGTCCTGGGATGATAGTTGTTGCGAACGATTCTCGATTGGTTTGAAACTCCGACAACGTCTTCCGGAGGATTGCACAATAACGGCGATAACCGTCTCTCCTCCTCTGCCTCTGCCTCTGCCTCTTCCTCTTCTTCTAGCGCCGTGGCCGGCTCATCCGGTTTCTGACTGTAGACGCATTCCGCCTGCTTTGCGCGCCGTTGACAACTCCAACAAGCTGTGCGGATGATAAGTTACTTTCATAGATCTCTTTCTAAGTCGATTACGTTCTTCGCAAGAATTCACCTGGTCGAGCCCCATCACACTTGACCTTTCGGCGCCGGCATGGACCACACGCGATGGGTATCTTCAGCCGCTTCCTACGAGCGAGGTTAGACAACGTATATCTGCGCTTTTGAGGTCCCCCCTTAGGATCCATTTCCAGTCGCGAACGGGAAATCCAGACGCTCTGTTGCAACCGAAATGAATAACAAAGTGAATTTGTGGCAGTTCATTTCACTTTCTCGGGTGATGGGGGTTGTTGAAAGTGGCCAACTCTGCTTTGTACTTTCCCATGGCCGTCTGGTCACGTGCTTTCCGGCCACCCTCCAACGTGTTGAGCAATCAGTAACGGCGTGATCAGTACTATGGCTCGGACCCTGATACCATGTCGACCGCGTTTGTAGACTTTATAGTCTGACGCCATTCGTCCTGTTCGCAGTAATTTGACACCGTATAGAGGTAAGAGGGTGAATGAATTGCTTGGTGGTGACTGTCTCTATTTCTATACTAGTATAGCATTTCTGTCCAATGGCTATTGATTCCGAGGCTTGGTGGGAACCAGCGGACTATGCTCCGATTGGTCCAATTCATCTCCGTGGCCCCATGTCCCATATTAGTATGTATACGAAATCCTTGAACTACCACTACTATATTAGGTGTACTCGTAGGAAGGAGGAAGGGGTGGAGAAGGGCAAAATTTGACATGTGCTGCAACATGGATAGATACCTTATCTTCTCGCGTGCAAACTAATCTTCGAGCAGCATTGCAGAAGTCAGTGGACCGTTGCTTCGAGAGGTGATCAAATTGACAAGGTATGGTAAAATGTTTACTGGGACTTAATAAGAGAGGAAGGTGAAGAAAGAGAAGTCAAAAATGTAGAGGGTTTTCGCCACGTTCATATTCTTATGTGGCTCTATACACAGTGATAGTCTCAAGTCATGCGGGTCATACACCAATTGACTCCACGACATCATGGAGGTTTAGAATCTGGGAGGTATACACCTGCTACCACCAATAGACGATCAAAGAATAGATGGTGTACATTCGTTGTCTACTGGAAGGGTGGTGACAGAGGATTCCTTGGTATAAGGGACTTAGACTGCTAGCTATGTTTTCAATCGGGGATGGTCTGGGCCACCATTGAGATGAGCGAGGGCAAAGTTCTTGAAAATAACACCCACAACGTCGCCGTGCTCCGAAGATCTCGGACCGAGTGCTGGTTGGCTGTCCCCACTGCCACCCCGAAGGAGTGTCGTGAGTCGTGATACTAGTTCGAGATAAAGATCCTCTAGAACCTTTTGTGTGATGATGATTTACCAACAAAAATTGGTCTAGTTCCGCGACGATGTGTAATATCTTTTCTTCCTTCTCTCCGTGGCTTTCTTTATCGTACTTCCCCAAGCCCGTGGTGTGCAGACTGTGGTTCGTATTCTGTACCTGATATAAATCGCTCAATTCAAGTACAATTCAAAGATTAACTTACTTCCTTTCAATCATCAGATTACCTCCCACACTTACAGTCAAAAGGCATGGAGGCTTATTTCCAGTGGAAGCGAATTGACCGAGAAGTTGCCCGCCAGCTGGCACAAGGTGAAAAACAATGCAGCTGCAATGGTGAACACGGCTCGAGGTAAGCCAAATAAATCGTTCTGATCGTTCAAACACTCAGGGCCAGTCGTTGACATCTTGTGCGCCTATTAAGCTGCCAGGTTGCTCTGCATCCACCCCCTATCGCCAAAGACTCCAGCGACGATTCGATCATCTTGGTGCATTGGACCCCCCTCGATGCCCATTTGAACCCTGCCAACTATAGCACTACCAGGAAAGTGGTTCTGACTGCCTTTGTCTCCTTAATTGGGGTCTGTGTTACCGCAGCGTCCGCCATCGACGCCTGTGGTTTACCTCAATATACAGCCGAGTTCCAGGTGCGGGAAGTGGTGGGATCTCTGACCACAGGTAGGTTGCATAATCTGAAACCTTCTCAACTGGGTCCTAAATTCATGTACCAGGTCTGTTCATGATCGGTCTATCGTTTGGGTCCTTGCTCTCCGGGCCCTTCTCGGAGACCTTCGGACGCAATATTGTCTATATTATGACCATGTTCCTATATCTCCTCTTTATCATGGCAGCTGCACTAGCCCCCAACCCGGCAAGCCACCTTGTATTTCGGTTTCTCGCAGGCGTTTTTGGTTCCACGCCACTGACCTGCTCCGGTGGGACAGTGGCGGACCTCTGGAACCCGGTTGAGAAAGGATACTCTTTCTTCATTTACTCTATTCCCAGTTTTGGTGGACCGGTCATCGGACAGTTGATTGGTAGTTTCATTCCCCCAGCCCTCGGATGGCGATGGTTGGAATGGATCATGCTTATCATGGGAGGGGTGGTACTTGTGGTAGTAATCCTATTCCAGCCCGAGACATACGGAGACCTTCTTCTCTACCGGAAAGCCAAGGCCTTGCGCAAACGAACAGGGGATATGCGGTATCGAGCGCCGATGGAAGTGAACAAGCTGCCGCTCCAGAAACGTTTAATCATTGCTGTCTCACGGCCATTCTTGTGGAGTTACACAGAACCGATCGTGCTTCTCATGGCCCTTTACCTGACCATTGTATACATTATCCTATTCACGTTCCTGGAAGGATACAAGTTCATCTTCGGAGAGACATACGGTCTGTCGCAGGGTCTCACTAGTATCACCTGGGCCGGTATGTTTGTCGGCATGGTTCTGACGTGCCTGATTGTTCCTACTGTCTATACCTGGACCCGCAAGGAATACGAACACACGAACCGGATCCTCCCTGAGACGCGTCTGTGGTATGCGATGCTTGGGGGCGCCCTGGCTGTCCCGGTGGGTCTGTTCTGGATGGGATGGACCAGCTATGTAAGAACTCTCCTCTCCTCCTACTTCTCCCTGGCAGTGAATATTCGCTGATTAACGACTAGTCCTCAATCAGCGTCTGGTCTCCGCTGGTGGCGTCCGCTTTTGTTGGCTTCGGGATGACCACCATCTTCACCAGTGCCTACCTATATGTCATCGACTCCTATGGCGTTTATTCAGCCTCCGCTTTGAGCTTCATGGCATTCATTCGATATCTGGTGTCTGGGGGGGTTATGATTGCTGGCAGTACTATCTATGAGCGATACGGGGTGCATTACACTCTGACCGTCCTCGGCGCCATCAGTGCTGCAATGGCCTCTATTCCATATTTGTTCTATTTTTACGGGGCGCGCATTCGTCGGTTCAGTAAACATGCCGTTATCAAAGAATAAACTTGGGCACACAGGGTGGGGAATATGGGACTTCGACACACGATATATAAAAACGACTAGACAAAGTGACAAAAGGTTGAGTGTCCCTTATGAGAATCTGGGCTTAGATATATTGTTTAATCCTTTTATTATTGATCAGTTTGGAGACGGAACAGAGCGCTGTACGTAATCAGGTTGCATAAATAGAAACATAGAGCTAGATTAAAAGGCATTAATCAAGACCTACCAAGAGAATGCACTTATCATAGGCCCTGACAGGTCTTTGTGAGCCTCTAAGTTCGCTTTTAGGAAGAGAAACATTTCTCATAATACATCTTGTTGTACGAATACATATCATATTTGCGAGAAACTATGGTAGATGGAGACATACGTGAGATCCGTAGCAGCTTGGTCTAAGAACGTCGACTCCAAATAGAAACTCTGTCATGAATTACACCATCCTCATCCTGGCCAACTTTGTGCGTTCGCTCTGGCTGCCAGTACGCCACTCTCTTAAGTCCAGCTTCGCTCGGTTCCTGTAGAGGGTTGAACTGGACACGACCATTGTCATCATACGGGATCTCTTCCCCTGGATGACTAAGGTGCGCCATGTACACCTCCGAAGACAAGGGGTATGGCGGCCCCGGGGCCTGAGGGTCTTTATGAAGAGGAAACTCCAGGCAAATCAATTTTCCTATTGGCGAGGGAGCTAGCAATTGGGTGTGTCGGAGAGCCCACTTGGGGCGAAGTGCCGGCCTTAAAGCGCAGAAGAACGTGTAGTCATAGACAAGGTCGAACCCATTCGCAGACCCCTCAATTTTCTGCAGCCAGGCATCATCGAAGAAATCACCCTGAACAAAGGTGACCTTGCCGCGACCAATTGTCTGGTCTTGCACCGGATACTGAGTATGATGCTCCTCTGCCTCCTTCTTGCAGGCGTCGACAGCAGTGGCGCTATACTCAAGCCCGTAGGCATCGTATCCGAAGCTAGCCAGCAGCAGCACATCGACTCCCCGGCCACAGCCTGGCACCAGGGCCTTCCGTCTGTATAGCCGGCCCTGTGCATCCCAGGCAATGGGCTCGCTGATGATTGCACGTCGCTGGGCCAGGGCATCTTCCAACGCCGGATTTGGAAAGCCTTTGTCCCAGGGCAGGCTGTCACCTTGATCCCATAGTGTAGCCCAGCCTTCGACGTACTTGTCGCCCTTGTAATTGGACAGATGGGCTTGGATGTCCTTCGGATCGATGTTGGTTTGGCCAGTCATTTTCGGCGGTTATCCAGTTGTTGCACAACGGAGAGAGACAACTATCGCACTTGACTTGATGTTTTGAAGGGCCGTGGACAGATATAATACAGGAGGGCTGTCACAACTTTGGAAGGGAGATACTGGGCAGTGCAGTGTCAGAGGTTGGAACCTAGTGACTCATTCGCCACAAATAACTAGTTACTATTGTTATGGACCCTTCCTGTGGGGTGTTTCCCGACATTCCACCCTGACAACTTCGGATTTTTAAATCATTGGTCAGGTTTTTCTTCAGAGAACCTCAGTTTTGTCTTAGGGGGCGGTTAAGCTTGGCAATGAACTCTTTAGTTAGGTGAAAATCTGGAGAGTGAGGAGGCACATTGTTTATGACTACGACAGACTTCGGCTGGCGAAAAACCAAAGAAACTGATCGATGAAGTCTTCTAATAGAAAGAAGCAGTGAAAGAGTGTAGATGTGATACCGAATGACTGTATCATGTGATTAGGGTTTGAGAGAGCATCTCTATATCTCCGACATGGAAGGCGATATCAGGCCACTCGAGTGCTACTGTAAGACTGGCTTTGACCACACAGAACTGGTTCAGGTCACAGAATGATGTACTCAGTAGTAAAAGGTCTCCCTGCATCCACACCCGGCAAGCCGCGGAGAAGGTTAAGCCAAGAAAACAACCGGGCCACCTCCATAGCGGGTCAAGTAAGATTACGCGTACCTCAATAATGGGAGATGAACTCGAAACCCTGCAGCTGCAAGTACGAGTAGATGTAACTTCTTCCCAACCCTCGCGGTGAATAGCCTACCTAGCGGCGGGGGTATATCATATAATCGAATTCTGAACGGCTACGGGAAACACCTATCGCAAGCAGAGCATAGCCTCAACAATGCAAAAAGTCAATTAGCCTATAATTAAAATACATTGACCCTTTACAGCCGCAGCCGTGCAGTATCCATCCTGTATCGACCCACAAGGAGTGCAAGTAGAGTGGCCAGGCCCGAGAGTGCTATTACCAACACAAACACATATTTCAACCCCTCAAGATATGCAGCGCTAATTCCAAGACTTGACTCTGAATCCAGATTCTGACCGGTCAAAAGACCTCCTGCAAGTAACTGGTTCGGCTTGACATCGGCAATGGCTGTCATTTCCAAATTCCGCTTGACCTTGTCGAGAAATACGGTCTGTCCTGTTTGCATGAAGATTGAGGCCCCCAGGCACTTAAAGAACAAGGTCATGGACGTCATGGTTGGCATGTCCGGTGCATCCACGCTGGCCTGGTTCATGATGATCGGTACCTGAAGTGAAGCTCCAATGCCGAGCCCAGCCAAAATCTGGTACGGGATCCAGAGTCTCGGCGGTGACAGGAGATCCAGCGTGTATAGCAAGCCGGCTCCCACACTGATGAGTATCCCACCGGCTAATAGAAACGGTGTAGGGTATCCTGTAATCCCAAGCCCTATCGCTCCAATGACTGCCATAACACCGGCCGACACAATCAGTGGTAGGGTGCGTATCCCCGACTCCTCAGCTGAGTTGCCCTTAACTGCCTGGAAATAGATGGGCATGTAATACAGAAGTGTGAAAAATGCGCCCGCCACAAGGAAAATGAAGGAGAGATTAATTGCCACTTCTCGTTTTAAAAGTAATCGACGGGGAATCATAGCTCGGTCATTCCAGAAGAACTCATTCACGATGAACAGACCCATGAGAAGAGGAAACCCAACCAGACACCCAATAACATCTGCGTCATGCCAGGACTTGCTGATACCCCATTCAAGACCGAGAAGGAAACAGAGTAATGCACCTGTTAGTGTAATGATGCCAAGTGGGTCGAGTTGGAAGATTATCTCTTTCCATGACACTTCCTTGTTCATGGGGAGAGAGGGTGTCCGGAAAAAGAAGAGGATGACGGCAAACGTGGCCCCCCCAATAGGTAGGTTGATCCAAAAGCACCATCTCCAGGATACATTACTAGCAAACTCCCCACCGATAACGGGACCGGCAAAGCTGGCCAGTAAGAATGCCAAACCGGTTATGCCAATCAGCATGGGACGCCTCCTTGGTGGGACGCAAACCCCGATGATAGTATAGATCCCTGACCCAATACCTGATCCTCCTACTCCTGCGATGGCCCTGCCAATGATAAGTGTGGGCGAGTTGTGGGAGAGGGCACATAACAGAGAACCGAGCTCGAATGTGAGAAGGCTGAGGAGGTAGGTCCATTTGATATTGAAAAATCCATATAATTTCCCCCATGGTGCTTGAGTTACGGCACTGCCGAGAAGGAATGCAGCTCCATACCACCCAACATCAGCAGTAGAGCTGAACTCGTCAGTTATCAGAGGAATGGCGGTTGAGATAATAGTCGTGTCTAGGGAAACGAGGAACATGGCCACAGCTAGGCAAAGCACAATCACATGCAGTAGCAGCCCGTCTATGTATTGTTCCACTGGACCAGAAGATGAGTCAGGATTTGGATGGTTGACCTCTTTGCTTTCGTATAGTGGACAGTCGCTTTCACCTCGCGACGTTGCTGTAGTGGGTGGCCTTGACCCCTTCAGATCACTTGGACCTGAAGACATCTCGTGGTCTCGCCCTAAGGTTGCAAGGTTGAACAGTCGTAGCAGAGAAGCGATACGTCCAAGGAACAATAAGGTGTACAGTATGAGATAGGGTGGTCTTTAGCATCACGCAGCGTTGCATTAGAGGATACGTAGCCCTATCAACTCGAATATTGTAGTGTACCACGCTCCACGATATATTTTGTAGAGTTAGGTCTGGGATACCGTTTCTTCGAGCCAGCAATTCCCTTTGGCCCACAAGTTACGCCGAAAATGGACTTTACAAAACAAACAACAGAAATCCAAATACCGAAAACACTGCTAAATGGTATCGACATCTCATGTGGCTAATTAGACCCACTGCATGTACAGGTGAACCTTTCCTATAACTACAACCTCTCCCCTTATTGGGGAATGTTTGTTTCTTTCTTTGTCGGTATGAGAAAAATATCGATGATCACCCTTGGCGCTTCCCTATTGCATATTTCGGTAAGATTAAGGACGACAGGTCCCCTGGTCCCCATCGATGTAAGGAGCTCCATTTAAGGTTTTTGTTCGTGATGTCCACAGGGGCTTGATGTTGTCTTCAGCAGACTCGATTTGCCCAAGCATTCTCGATCCACTTGGCCCTGGAAGTCGGGCTTTCTGGTATGTGAGACAAATGATCGACCATTTCCGAGATGACAAAGGTTTGATCTTCTCAAAGGGTTGAGGTACATGAAACAAAAAGCAACTTCGCCTTAGGCCATTGTACTAACTAGCAACTACCGGTACTGATCTCAATGATTGAGTGCTCGTTTCCAGAAGCGCAGACCTGCATACCGAGAGATTTGCCGCTTTATGGGCCAGAGGAATTCTTCAGCCCAAAGTAGAATTGCATCCAGCGCTATTGGTATGCAGTGTCACAGGACCTTAACCGACTCAAGCGGTGTGATATCACAAAGATAGCTCAGAATCAGTGTCTTTGTAGGGTTGGGCTCTGATGTCGGAAAATGTCTCCTGTGCGGTATGACGAATCACATATCATGACCCACACATGGAGCGTGGACACATTCTAGTCTTATATGAATTTAAGATCGCTGATTACCCATCCCTTAAACAAAGCGTACCTCTCCAGGGTGCTGCTTCATTCTGCACGATAAGTGCTTGCCGGCCTGGGTGTCTGGGGGTATTCCACTTCATAGTGATCTAAAGTCGACCTATATTTAACGTAAATAGCGTCGCCAATCAAAGGCTTACCGGAAGAGTAACAATGGAATGGAATCAGCGCAGGCGGACCGTTTTGATGGGCGGACAATCAACATCTACCGTTTCCTGCAAGGACTTTACTATCTTTAGAATACCATATGTTGATCTGATGAAAACAGCATTCATTCCCTACTTACAGAGTACATGCAAGCTGTCTCTAGTACCGAGTATACAAAAAAAGTATCTTCCCCCTGCATTACAATACCTCCATGGCGCACGGTAGACTTTCATCGACTGCAAGGGTCGGGTCCTAGTTGATGATGATACTACCGTCATTGCGGCATGGAAGGTGGACAGATCAGAATGTTAGAGCAGGGTGGACTCTCTACAACCCACGATGGCCGTTCCGAGAGGCTGTGTCGAGGAAGTCCTAGAGGCTAAATATCATCTAGATAACAACCCCATTTCATCAGTCGCCCACATCATTTGTCCTTATTCATCCTCTACCTTCCTTGAATACCATGGAATCTTTGCCTGTGGCCACATCCACGCACTTGCATTTGGAAGCTTGCGATGCCACCAAGCGTGCTGGCGCTTATGCCTTGCGCCAGATGCGGGATGATGGTCACTGGTATGGTGAAATGAAGTCCAATGCCACCATTACTGCGGAATATGTCTTCCTCGCACAAGCCCTGGGGTTCAGCATCGAGTCAGACCGGGATGATCTCGTCAAGTATTTCCTTTCCGAGCAAAACAAGGACGGTTCGTGGAGCCTTGCATATGATTACCCAGGAGATGTTTCCACCACCTCAGAAGCATATTTCGCGTTGTGTCTGTTGGGCCTTGACCGAAATCATGAAGCGATGCGTCCCGCACGGGAGTTCATCCTCTCGAAGGGCGGCATAGCGAAGGTACGCGTCTTTACTCGGATGTTTTTTGCTTGCTTTGGGCTTTTCCCTTGGTCTGCAGTGCCCGAGTTGCCAGCCGAATTGATCTTGCTTCCTGATGCCGCCCCCTTAAGCATTTATCGACTGGCAAGCTGGGCGAGAGCGACAGTCATACCAATGCTCGTTATTCGACATCATTGCCCAATATATGCTTTGCCAAATGGAAAGTCTGCGTCTAATGATTACTTGGATGAACTCTGGATCAACCCAGCACACAAGATGGTTCAATATGCCCCTTCTGTATGGTCATTATGGAATGACCTTACGGCGCTTGGGTTTACACTGGTCGATAATATTCTGAAAGCTTTAGGTGGTTTGCGGTGGTTCCCCCTGAGGAAGGTTGCACTTCAAAAATGTGTGGCTTGGATCCTGGAGCGTCAGGAGCCTGAAGGTGATATCGGAGGCATCTTTCCCCCCTTGCATGCTGCATTGTTTGCACTTACGCTTGAGGGATATGGTCTGGAGTCTAGTCCTGTAAGCCGAGGCATTGAGGCTCTACAAAACACCTACGCCTGGAGAGATAGCACTGGCTTGAGAATACAAGGGTGCATCTCGCCGATCTGGGATACCATCCTCATGACCATTGGTCTTATTGACTCCAGTCTACCGGCCACAAGCCCAATCGTTACAAGGTCATCACAATACCTCAAGGCACGTCAACAGCTAGGACCTGAAGGCGACTGGAGAGTGTATAATCAAAACGTTCCACCCGGCGGATTCAGCTTCGAGTACTTCAACTCGTGGTATCCAGATGTCGATGACACTGCCGCGGCAATCTTAGCACTGGTGAAGCAAGATCCAAACCTGTTGGACCTAAACCCGATACTATCCGCAGTCCAATGGACCCTCGGATTACAGAACAGGGACGGTGGATGGGCAGCATTCGATAGGGGGAACAATTATTTGTTCCTGAACAAAATCCCCTTCAGTGACATGGAGAGTTTCTGCGATCCATCTACAGCTGATGTGACTGGACGTGTCCTTGAGTGCTTTGGCCTGTTAGTAAAACGCGGCAACGCGCTATCCAAAACTGCGAAAAATCCGATTCCTAAGGAATTCATTGATAGAATGGCTTCAGCCACTGAGCGGGCAATCGACTTTCTGTCCAGGGAACAAGAGCCTAATGGGTCATGGTTCGGTCGTTGGGGCTCGAACTACATTTATGGAACTAGTACGGTACTTTGCGGGTTGGTTTATCACCTAGAAGGTTGGGATGACACGTACCCCATCATGGAGAAGAGGCACAAGCCTGACACTCATGCTGCCTTGGACTGGCTCAAAAGAGTGCAAAATTCCGATGGCGGATGGGGCGAGCGCCTCGAAACATACTATGACCTTAGCCTGGGTGCTAATGGGCCATCCACAGCATCGCAGACGGCCTGGGCATTGATGGGCCTACTTGCATATCTAGCTCCTACAGATCCATCAATCACTCGAGGCATCCAGTACCTCTCACGGACACAGATCAAAGAGGGGGAGCTCTCCGGGTCATGGAAGGAGAACCACTACACAGGTACCGGCTTTCCGAACCATTTCTTTCTTTGCTATACCCTCTACTCTCAATACTTTCCCATGATGGCACTGGGTCGGTACACTCGTCTCTCCGGATACAAACCATTGGAAGATTTGGATAGTACAGCGGAAGACCCTACATCTAAATAACTTGGGATGGTTAGGGTCTAGGCGACCTCGTCTCGAATATCACGTTCTTATCTCCAAGACTACAACATCTTAGCGTAACAATCAGGTAGATAATTTGAGTGTATATAAATACAGGGTATCATCAAGATACATAGTAGGATTACTAGATTCACCTTCTTCATACAGTTGTTATTCAGTGCTCCATTTCCCCGGGACTTCATCGTGTAGACAAGTGGGTTAAGTACGGTTTAGCGGACGGAAGGCCCTGTTCTCCAGATCCTATGGTTGTACGTACCAGTCGAAGGGATAGTAAGGAGTCATATAGTAAGGACGAGGAGAAAATGGAAGCACAGAAGCACGCTAGTGACAATGGAGTAACGTGCAGGCCGAACATGACCAAACGGGTATATTTACAACTCTCGATAGCACTGGACTCTATACGGTATATTGGTGTATCAACTGTTCGTAATCATTGCAATCCCCCACCAGCACAAGATGTGCCTATCTATCGGCATTGTCCTGGTCCCATCTCCCAGTGCAATACTTATGCCGCAATTTCCTTGATTCTATCCTCCAGGGCCTTCATGTTTCCGCCCACAATGGGCTCTCCATATGGCTGGCCGTCCTTGAACACGATAAACGTCGGCATGGCTCTCACTTTCATCTCTTGCGCGACCTGACGGTTCTTATCGACGTCGACCTGGATGAAGCGCACGTTGGTGTAGGTTTCGCTGAGCTTTCCGACGACGGGGGCGACGGCCTTGCAAGGACCGCACCAGGTCGCGAAGAAGTCGACGACGACGGGGCCAGAGGAGGTGAGGGCCTTGAAGATGACAGGGCTAGAGGGGTTGGAGGTTAGTAGTTGTTGTATAAGGGACAGAGCATGCGGGGTGTCTCGTACTTGTCAACCTCGACGACTTTTCCGTGGGGCATGGTGGCAGCGGGGTCAGAGGCACGACTCTTGAGGACGCGAAAAGCTAGAGTAGTCAGCAAGATCTAGTTCAGAATAGCATATCAGGTGAGGTCATACCGATATAGAGGGCTGTGAGGATAAGGATGTATTTCAGCTCCATTTTTGTGAAAGGCACACCCAACTGTATTGGTGGAGGACGAAGTGACGTTCGCTTCAATCGCTTCTGATTGGCGTGTCAGCTGTCGGGATCCATGTGTGGTGCTAGGCCCAATTCGGAAATGGTCACCTCAGGTTCTAAACATGTTTAATCAGCGCGTGCCGTCTCCTTCCTAGAGGTAATGAAGCCCTGCAAGGCTCTGACATTGAGTTAGAAGGATTTGGAGGGCAGTACTCAAATTCGGGGTATTATTGTGCGAGGATCTGCTATCAGTTGCAACATGGTGTAGCTGCTAAATACAATGTATCCGATCCCCTTCTTTCCGCTTAGATGCGCAAACCACCATGCACTAATACCCCCCACTGCTCTTCAACCCTACTCCATGTGACTATATATCCTACCACTTATGAGCTACCCGCAAGAGCGCTGTATGGCGTCACCCCGGGGTAAAACGAAGTTGGAATAGTTGGGATAGGGATAGACGCATCTGTTCCGAAAGCGCTCGTCAAGTCCGCTGCCAAAGTCGTGGCTGAATAGCCAGTAGGTGCAGCGGTCACTGTAGCTGTACTGGCGTATGTAACGGTAGAAGAAGAATCACTCTGGAGGCAGGCACCAGAGCCATATGCATTTTTACAGACATAGGTCTCAGAGTCCCCGTCTTCTGTCCAGAGATCAATGTCCTCAATGGTGATATCTGTGCAGGGCGTGGCGTCTGGGCAGACAACCCGAATCGGTGGTCGGGTCTGGCCATCCGACTCGGTACCCTTCCAGTTCTTAAAAGTTATGTTATGGTAGAAGATCCCGTCACCGTCAATGGTATCCATGCTGCTCCATTCACTGTCAAGGTCGAGCGAATAGGCATTTCCGTGACCTGGAATCTCATGTTAGTATCATCCAGAGCCTTCTGTTGCAATACTGGATATACAGACCAATGAAGTTCTCGAAAAGAACGTTTGACACCTCACCGTCACCTCCGTTGCTCTTGACCATGTACATCTGATTCGAATTCCACGTATAAACATTGCGGTAGACTATGTTGCTGACATTCGCTCCACTGCCCAAGGAGCCCATGGCGCATCCACCGCTCCAGTTGCAGTATATATTTTCGATCTGGAAATTGTGGGAACCTGTCTATAAGGATTAATAATATATGTTAGTCTAAAATCCGTTCCTGCGCCAGCAATCGACATAATACCTTGACCGTGACACATTCATCCTTGTTTGTCACCATGATCTATGGGCGGAATTAGCACCTTATACTTTCTCCCACGAAGGAAGGCTCACATCATGAATCCAAATATTATCCCCAGACACATCAATCCCATCGAGACCACCTGAGTTCCCTCCCCGAATAGCCATATTGTAGACCTCTCCATTGCTTCCATCATCAATGACGAAATGGAACATAGGTGCATCAACCAGAGCGATATCGTGAACCGACCAATCCGACACGCCAGATATATGCAGCAACCTCGGTGCCGTAAACTGCCCGTTCATATGATACAGATATCCACTACCTTGAATCGCCCCCTTGGACGTGCTGCTATACAGTTCGAAGTCACTACCGCCAGAGATACCAAACATATACCCTTGAGAGGTTGTGGTTCCGTTGCGGTAGATCACACCATCTAGCTGGACTGCGAAAGCGGTGCCATTTTCGAGAGAAACCCATTCTTGTAGCAAATAGTCGCCCTCTGGTATATATATGACTCCTCCGGACCCGCAGTCCTCGAAGGCATCCATGATCGGTTGGCCAACATCGGTTGTGTTGTCGTTGGTCGCGCCATAGTCGAGGACATTGCAGGTCTTTACTGCTGCCTTGTCCGCGAGGGAGGTTGAGGGACCGACGGAGCCCGATAGTTGGCCCTTGACGGTAGAAAGGAGCAGACAGGCGGAAAGAACGGAGAATGGTTTCAACTGCATATCGACAAGGAGCCTCTGGTCGCGCTTGGACGTTGAGTGAGAAGCTCAATCTGATGAGCGGGGTGTATGCGCATATTTATATGCTGTACGGGAATCAAGCTGTTGTGACATAAACTAGGTCTCATCTAACGCAGTGAAGAGGCGAGCAGGTGAGGGATTCGTGCCATCAGGCTCTCTCTGTTAGCCTTTTAGGTAATTTCCCGGATTCGAGTCGTATGTTGCTCAACTAATAGCATGGAACAATGCCGTGCATGACAATATATTTAGTGAACGATGATCTTGCGAAGAATGGGTTTAGGGCAAGCTTTGAGAAGATGAATTACGCCATATTAAGGGGGTTATACTAACCCGAGCGGGTATTGCCAATATATTAAATATAAGACTACGCGCGTAGCCCCAACACCAAAGTATATGGTCTTTCTAAGATACTCGAGTTGCGGCACAACATGTCCCGAAAAACGAACTTGGTGGGATTGCCGATCTGAAGGGCGGGTGGAGGAACAAGAGCGAACGCAGTGGGGGCGCAACTGCTAACAAGCATCGTCGTCCTCTTAGCCGAAGTCAAACATATTACATGCACCACAAGATGTCGTGTACGTTGTGATATTCACATATTTTGTCTCTTTGTAGAATGATTCTTCCGAATATCCTTAAACGACTGGCAATCATTTATCATTTTGGCCACTGTCCCCATTTTTTCCCTTTTTATTGGTCTTTATCTCTCTCCCCCGTTTCCCCCACATCAATATCATGCCACCATTTAGCTCCAGCCAAACAGTTTTATATATTAGCCATACGCTAACGATTCCATAGTCGCCAAACAAACGAATCATGGCAGTGACTAGTCGGCCTGCGTAGAATATTTATATACCATTATTGGTTATCTTCTCCAAAAGCAAATAAGGATGGTCACATTGCTGCGAACTACCCCACGGTGTTACGTAGACTATATACGTGAAAGTCACACGGAATATAGCAATGGCTCGTGGATGGCATTTATATAGATGCAATTTCTGGTACCCTTGCAGTTTAATAGCCCTTCTGAAGAATCTCGCCTGGAACGGGCCAATCTTGAATACATCCCCCTGTCAGGTGGAGGAAGTCCATATAGACAGCGGTATGGGGATGGTTACGGTAGTTTGCTTAGAGAGCAGATAGTCGATCTCCACAGTCGGGTTCAAGGGACCGAGTATAACTGAATCAAGGTAATACTCCGCCGGGATGCTAACGCTAGCTCTGTTGCTTAGCGTGGCCGGTTCTTCCAAGTCGCTTCCATGAAAACTGACAACAAGGTCACCTTGCTCCTTAGATATATCAATCTTAACACTTGTTATGGATAGAGCATAATATGAGATTATATCTAATTAAACCTATTCTTAAATACAGTCCCTAAGAATATGTGAGAAATTCAGACCAGAAAGCATTCCGAGGACGCACTTATACCTTGTTCGCCCAATTAAACCGGCTTAGGTGCAGCAAAACACCTAACACTCCCAATCTTATCATTGATACGTTCATTATACAGGCTACTGCTTCCATGGCTCGACATCTCCGCGAAAGCACGATCCTGACACTGTAAATCCCTTTACAAATGTCAGAACCCACCTGTCGAAGAAATGTTATACCCACTTACCCAAACAGATCACACTTCAACTCTTCGCTAGGTTGAATGCTAGAAATGCCGTACCTCCTATCAAGGTGTCAACAGCATAATTTGAACATGCTATGACAGTTATTTGCTACTTACCAGATGCCTTCCATACCATAGCATACACCATCACACGTAGGAAAGTCTCTCGTCTCGCCCTTCCAGGCGACTTCAACACTCATGCGAACCTAACAGGTATCAGTTAGTTACTCTTAGTTTATTTAGGCAGGGCACAAACGTATCAGAGTACGAAACATGCGCTTCCAATTGGCTTGCATTTGCCTAACCTCTCCAGACATGGGGTCTCGGCAGCCTGGTTAATCTAAACGACCTGGCCCATCTTGGGGCCCTCTGCACAGACAGTTGTAGAGACGTACAGAGCCAAAATGTTCGAAATATAATTCTTCATCTTAGGTATTCAAGGTATCCTAGAGCAGTTTAATGCTATGTCAAGGAGGTATAAGGTAAGGATGAGATTTTGAACGCCAGGAAGATATGTTAACAATGGTCTAGATGAGACATCAGTAAGTGACATGCATTTTATATTCTTGCCAAGACCATCATTCCCTCTACTGAGCACATTGTGTATTACAACGTAAAATCCACATGTGTCAATAGTGGATGTCGGTCACCGTGCATGTTGAGCTCAGCGGATGAAATCCAATTGGCCAGTGTCTTGCCAAAACACAGAAACTGATCTAAAGGCCGTTTATATAGTCTCTCAAACAGGCTGGAGAGAGACGTATTATCCACCCTTGCGGAATTATTGCAGTTGACTAGTCATATTAAGGCCAATCACCCCATGTCATCCAGTGGCCGTGCGGGAACTGTCGATCACTCACGAAATATGGGGCAGGTCAATGTAGTGATGTATCATTTCCTTGGAATGATTACTTTTATACTATGTATAGAGCCAAGAATCGCCCACTTCCGTGGCTCTTCAAGACAATCTTTCATATTTCAGCTTAGTTATTGTGTGTCTACGCCGAACAACTAGGTTCGGCCAGTTGATGGCCGGGTTCAATAATGTGAAGGTGAATAATAAGTATGTCTCCTGTTTGTCCTTCTCGCAGAGTGTCATGGGGAATATTGATACACCTATGAAAAGCATTGTTTAGTAGATACAGTAGGAGGTAGCGATACACAAAGTGAGAGTTTCTGAGGACACAGAAGTTGAATTAGCGCTCTAAATCCCAAATTATGGCTCCCTTATTTACCATAGCTGCATATGGAATAAAAGCCGTTTAACTACTAATCCCGAAAACCAGAACAGCGAATGCTAACCCCACTGGATCGCTAGATACCCCCGCCATTACCCCCAAATAAATTAATCCCAGTAGGCAATCCAGTTGCCCAAGAGTCAAAAATCGCATACATATCGTGGTCCGCTAGGTAAGGGGCGTGCTCTGACGTATCCGTCCCGAAAAGGCCCTGCAGGCAATCAGGCTCGAAGATCGACATCGGACCCGCATCATTCATGAACTGTAGACTATCCTCAAGCTGGTTGTAGGCCCCAACACATGACTGCCTTGTTTTAACCAGTCCCTTGGCAATCTGTAAGAAGGTGGAACAGATTTGATACAGACGCTCCGAGCTAGGTGATACAGATCGGATGTGCTGTAGACTCTCAACTACCTTGTTGAGAAGTTGGATATCGTCCGAGCTGGTCGCTGCGATAGCGTGCAGAAAGATAACGATGAAAGGTGTGAAGGAAGAGAATAGCAGAACCCTGTATATGTCAATTGCACCACTCATTATAAGACATGTCCTGGGCACAAACCAGTTGGCGTAGTCGGCATCGGAATGGAAACCAGAGGTTTGAAAACTTCCAAAACAACGCAAGTGGCTCTGTAAGCTAAGGCGTGCAACCCGAAAGCACTGTGAGCTGAGCTCCGCGCTTGCAACGCCCGATGTGATCGGTGCGCGTAACAGTGACGTGAAGGTCGAATAGTATAGTATGTCCCAGCTATCTCTGGTTATCTTAAATATGTGATGGTTGTTCACTTTACTTGCGTCGATCTAGCAGATGAAAATGTTACTATCACTAAGGGATCATCGTGGCCGAGTCTGATGTGCTTGCTCACCTCCTTGAATTCAGTGTACCACTGTTGAATGTCAGCTGTTAGTCCATGTACTCGTCTCATTCGTTCCGAGTAAGAACTCTTGGAAGCCTCTGCGGAATATAGTTTGTCATATATTTCGCCCTGAATCTTGGCTAGCCGGATACCCATAACAAACGACTCATCCCACGGTCTAATCGCAGGATCTGTGGCGATGGCTGGGTACTGTGCATCAATATCGAAATCCTGCATGTTCGAAGCCCGCCCAAAATACAAAGAAATATGCTTTTCAAAAACATATGTAGTCCAGAATAGTCGCCGCATATTTTCCGAATTTCTCGTGTTATCGCCGCGATACATTATTTCTCGATGGTACCCGAGCATCTGGCAATGGCTAGCAGCTGCTGAGATGAAAGTGCAACATAGCAATGGCTTGGCTTCGTCCTGCGCTTTTATGAACTGTCCACAGTGGCAGAAGGGGCCAACACATCAGTCCGAGATTTCTTCTACTTAGTACACACAACTTACCCCCATAATCAGTGCAAATATACTTTCAAAACTAGGAACAGCCAAAACATCGTACGACTCGACCAAGGTATTGAAATTGTGCTCGCACATGGAAATATGCGTCTTGAGATCAAACTTTTGAGACAACGAGTTTCGCAAAATCGTAAATTCCTTCAGCAGAGTAAGAAGGATTCCGTGCATGCCGGCTAGATGCGCCGTTGAAATTGGCTCTGTCGGGAAATAGACCCTCTGGCAAAAGCGCTCGACCAAGTCTGGATCGGTTATTACGTATGAACAAAGGAATATGGGGCGATTAACTGTAAATGTTAGTCCGTGTGCCTATATCCAGTGAACAGCCCCCTCTGTCTCTCATCTAATGCACTCACTCTTTATCTCTTGTAGAATGGCAATAATTAGATCGAGGGGTAACAAGTGGTCCATCGTGGGCAAAGACCGTGCTGCAGGAACTCGAGACATTCGATACTCGGTTTCAAAAGAGGATCTTGTCGGTGTCTGGAGCAATGTCTTCAGATGATCTAACGAGGACTTGAGATCCGAGTGTTCCCCGGCGCCTTCCGAGTTGGCTGTCGTCTGAGCTACATTGCTTGCTAGGATAGACTGGCTGGTGAACGAAGAGATGCCTTCATATACAGGAGCAACACAGGACGGTTGTGGTACAGCTTGCTCACTCCCAGTCGGGAATTCATCGGGCACAGTATCTCTGTGATGCTCCGATATACTACGCTGAGTTGTCAACTGCTGCTCAAGCGAAGCGAGGCGCTCTTCTAGACGTCTGATCTGTCCCTGCCTGACACGCAATCATTATCTAGCTCCAAAAAGACTGTGACTAAACCCTACAGATCTCGCTCCGGTCTAGGCCGACATTCCGGCCTCGGTTTAGGGCTGGCCTGTTCGCAGGCGATGCCGGACGCCTGGCAGTTCGAACAAGGGGCAGAGCGATCACAGCGGACCTCAATTCCTTGTTGTTAGCTTCGGGGCCTCGGGATATGTTCGAATGCCGATACCTTGCGTATCTTACACCCCTCGCACTGCAAATCCGTTAGCTACACTGCGTTCTTCGGGACTATTTTCGGGGTCCATAAATCATACTGCACGAGGGATCACGGAAAGTCGGTGCCGTCGGGCTTGGATAGTTTCTCTCCGTTCTGGCCCAGCCATTGGTGTGCTGTTAAACGATTCTATGCCGAAAAATGGAGACAATGGGGGAAATGAGGACAAGGAGAAGTTGACAGGAAGAAGCATCCGGTACCCCTCGGATGCGCGGGCCCGCGCTTCCGGCTTTCCACTATATCCGTGTTCTCGATTGGTTGGCAGATCCACAGAAGGTACCGGCTCCCACTTATATCAATACTTTTTTAATAATTTTTATGCTTTGGATATCTGCATTAGTACATAGTTTAATGTTTTTACATATGGTCAAGGACTCAAATGTACTCCGTATATTTTCTGACTAGGCCAGGGACCAGGGTTTAATGAGCCACGTGGCCGACCCCTGAGGCAGTGCACCCCAATCCAGCAATTCAATATAATATGTCTACTTATATGGATCTCAGGTTCTAAACTCTATACTGTGGAGATCATGAGTTTGTTTGTTCCTTTTCCAGGTTTGGGCTGTATTTGAGAGAGCGAACATCACTTTGCCAAGACTGCGCCCCCCTCGCTGCCTTCGCCAGGCAACTGTTATGGTTTGTACAGAATATGGTGTGCTCTGTTATTTCCGCTGCTCTTACTTGTATGCCTGATGGGAACCCCTGTCTTCCGCCACATGAATGAAAACATCACATTAACCTATGCTTTACCTAACTATCGCTGATATCAAGTCGGCTCCCGCAAACTTCCCATGCCACCGTAACCACCACACAACTACCTAAAAGCACTTCCGGTGCACAATCGAAGGACCACTCTCGTCATACTCCTGTTTCGAAATCCACATTTGCTGGAACGTCGAGAGCGAAGTGAGAATCGAGCCACCGATCCAAACCGAGTACTTCCGTTCCGGTGGAGCGACGGTCTTGATTTTCATGGACGAAGGAGACAGGTTCACAAGCTCTTTATGCAGTCGGTCTGCAATGCCCGGATAAAGAGTCGTACCACCAGACTGGATGGCGAGGGACAGTTAGTTACACTGATTCCATCATCTCATTGTAGGGACGCAGAAGGACAAAAACAGAGGGGGATAAAAAGCAGGACACGCATACCATGACGATGTTACCATACAAGTCCTTGCGAACGTCGACATCGCATTTCTGAATTGAGTTGAACGTTGTCTCATGGATGCCACCTTGCTCGATCCCAAGCAAGCTTGGCTGAAACAAAGCTTCGGGTGCCCGGAAGCGCTCATTGCCAATCGTGATCACTTGTCCGTCAGGGAGCTCGTAGGATTTCTCGACGCTGGAACTCTGGGCGGCGGTTTCGAGCTCCTGTTCGAAGTCTAGCGCAACGTAGCATAGTTTCTCTTTGATATCGCGCACGATCTCGTGTTCGGCGGATGTGGTGAAGCTGTGGCCGCGCTCTGCGAGGATTCTCACCAAGTAGTCGGTCAAGTCACGGCCAGCTATGTCCATACGAGCGATAGCGTGTGGCATAGAGAATCCTTCGTAAATTGGAACCACGTGCGTAACGCCATCGCCGGAGTCCAGGACAATACCAGTGGTGCGACCAGATGCATACAAAGACAGCACAGCCTGGATAGAGACATAGAAGGCGGGCACGTTGAAGGTTTCAAACATGATCTGAGTCATCTTTTCCCGATTCGATTTCGGATTTATAGGAGCCTCTGTCAACAGAACGGGATGCTCTTCAGGTGCCACGCGGAGCTCGTTGAAGTATGTGTGATGCCAGATTTTCTCCATGTCATCCCAGTTGTTAACGACGCCGTGCTCAATCGGGTAGTGGAGTGAAAGGACACCACGTTTAGACTGCGCTTCGTCCCCGACATAGGAGTCTTTTTGGCCCATACCAATCATGATCCTATGACATGATTTAGCAGCTTAATCAAACCTGATGTAGTAGGCGATCTGGGATAATTCGTGTAATGCTAGTTGTGCTTCAATGGCTGTGCTCGTCTGGACAAAGAAAAGGAATGGATTACCCATGGTGACGGGGACGGCCAGTAATGGAAGCTGCGTAAATCGTCAGTTCTCATACAGTATTGAGCTTCTTAGGGTGAGAAAGAATTGACTTACGAAAAACAGCACGGGGAGCGTCATCGCCAGCAAAGCCCGCTTTGCACATTCCGGAACTGCAAGGATTGCGTTAGTATTTCTACCCAATTGCTGGTTGACCGTCGTACCCATTATCAATAACAATGGCAGCAACTTCGTCTGGAAACGCATAAGCCACATTAGCAACCTGTACTCTATATAGTAGTACAACAGGAGTTAGGTAGTCAATGGGCCAGGGAAAAGGAGAAATAAAATATTTACCGTCCATAATGGCTATGGTGTGATGGTCCAAACTGGCCACCGGGCTTCGAATATAGATAGAATCTTTTGACACTGCACTGTAACAGCAATAGATAAAAATTGTGGAATCAGAGGTAGCCGCACGATACGCACTTATTGGCAAACGAGAGCGACAACATGCAGCGTACTTATAGATAGCATAACATCATTGCCTAAACGGTTTACTTTAGGCAGCTTAAATATTCAGGATAACATTATGAACTCCCAATTTAGATGAAGGTGAATACGCAATAATATTTCCAGGCAACAGAATCTTGGTAGGGTTGATTGCGTGTCGCCGTCAGGATGAGTTAGGGCTGATGGTCGTTATTTCTGCTCGGCATCCCGGATTGCGCGGCCCCGGGTATCCGCCAAGCAAATCAGCGCGATCTTCCTTAGGCTTTCATTTTCCATTCAATTAAGCAGCCTAAAGGAACCATCATATAAAGTGAAAAATCAATGTCGGCTTCGGTAGATTAAATTCAGGTTCTTTAGCAGTCATTGCTCCGTCTCAGTCTATCGCTATCAATATGTCGGTATGTATCGTCGTCCTGCTCTTTGAAGAGTTACGCTCACCCAAGTCTGTCTGTAGATGCCATCGGGGTATGCTCCTATATTCACCAACACTCCTTAAGATGTTGAACATTCCTCGCACCCTTACTAACCGTACTACCCATAGTGTTTCTATAGCGGATGAATGCATCACTGCCTACAAACAACTCCGTTCTGGAAGAGGGTCAAAAAAACCAACGTTTGTGATCTACCGAATCTCAGACGACCAAACCGCTGTTGTAGTAGAAGAATCATCTACAGAACAGAATTTTGAGGCCTTCCGCCGGAAGCTTTGCTCCGCTGTGGATAGTCGTGGCAACCCAGCTCCACGTTATGCAGTGTATGACGTTGAATATGACCTTGGAGAGGATGGCAAGAGGTGCAAGACAGTGTTTATCAGTTGGGTGCCTGCTGGCACACCACTAAAAGTGAGTTCACTTCCCTTCACTTAGTTGTATATTTAGGTCAAGTCTGAGCAAAATATATAGCTGTGTATGCTTTACGCCAGTACAAAGGAGCAGCTACGGAGCGCTCTTGATGTCAAATTATCCATCCACGCCGATACACCGGATGAGATTGAATGGAAGACCGTGCTAAGTGTGGCCAGTGGAGGTAAGGCTTGAGATATCAGTGTAGAAGTGTTGGTGCTACATCAGAATTCAGTCGATTGGCTTGTTACTTAGATAAATTGACTTTTGGATTAGTGTGGAAGTCTTTCGTATGAACAACGCTTTTCGATGCATGATTCTTCAAGCTAAATCTGGGTCATAGCCAAAACTCAATTGTACGAGAAAGGGGTCGTTACCATATATTTAGTCCGCATACTTTGTGATGTAAATAGATGTCATAGAGACCGTTTGTCCAATAGCGAAATTTACTTTTCCTTTTGTCAAAAATATTCCGTCAACCTTTTCCGGTTGGCGTGAACGCCGGTCTTCCGGGCGTGGTGCAATCGTAGGCATATCATTGATACTCCACATAGTGGAGTATCTCTGAGTGTGAGACGAATGCTGACAGGCCCGGAGACCGCATGAAGCACCAGTGTTGGAATTGTCATTCTTGAGCTTATATCAGTTTTAAGGGTCTTCCCACGATGCTTAACCCGCCAAATAGCGCGGTTATGCCCGTAAAGATAATGAGGGTACCGTAAGAGGTACCATAGGCAAAGGCTGAGGGGTCATAACTCCATGAGCCCTTAATGAGGGCGGCACTCAACGGTCCGCTGACAATGTTTCCGATTCCTCGGCCAGTTGCCAAGAAACCGAAGACAATCGAGGGATCCGCCAACTGGCTCTTCTTCACCACCTCGTTCATGATGGCCGGCCAGGTTGAGGTGAACGATCCAGCGAAAAGGCCATAGACAACACTGAACATGTAGAGGGGTGCCAGCGAGACGGAAAATCCCCAGAGGAAAAAAACAGCAAGCGTGCTACCTATAGTTGACACTAGGATACAGGTGGTCGCATGGTACCTATCAACCAGATGGCCCATGGCAATGCACCCAAAGACCGATGCAAGGTTGCATAAAATGACGGTCAAAGACGCCAGGATACTGTTGGCACCCAGAGTGCGTGCAATGGTAGGTAAGTAAATTGTCGGTAAGAAATATCCTAGGGCTTCGACGATATTACCCATTTGGAAGATGAGGAAAGTATGGGACCAGAGGAAGCTCAAGTCAAAGGCTCGGACGCTGGAGGCACGCGAAATGGGCAGGCGAGGCTTCACATAATAGAGCAGCGGAGCAGCTAACAAAAACAGAGCCACGGCCCAGATTCGAAGGGTAGTTTTGTGACCGTAAGCATTAAGGAGCCATTGAAGCACTAGGGGAAGTACCACACCAGAGACACCAGTTCCAGCCTATGCGTGGACTAGTTAGCCTCATGGCGATAATTGGCAGATTGAGGGTACTGAAGAAGCACTTACCCACATGGTTCCAAAGGCAAGGCCTCTCTTGTGCACAAACCATTCATTCATGAAGATAATCATGGGTGAATAAGCAAGGTTGCCTCCGATCCCGTAGGCGATGCCCTGAGTTAGAATGAGGTGAGTGGTGTTAGACGCGAAAGAACTTAGAACGAGAGCCAGACACATAATGAGAAGTCCGACAGGGGAGCACCACCGCTTAAGAATGGGAAATCCCTGCAGGAGGGCAAAAGTCAAAGGAGAGATCATGTAGTTTACGCCCTACGATATAGTTAGGCTATGCAACCTCAACAGTCGTTCAGTGAAGAAAGCCATTGGCGTACCATCATGGATGTTCCAATCACAGCAGGGTTCCCCGAGCTTTTGAAAGGCTCGTGCGTGGTATAAAAGTCCTGGAAGATGCCGTACGCGAAAGAGAAACCTGGGCGAGCTGTGAGAAAGTGACCATCGAAATGGACATGTTTTAAGGGCATACCCCAAACAAGAGCCTCCATCACGAAGCCTGCCGCCAAGAACAGCCATGCATCTTTTCCACCATCGACGGGGGGCAGTTGGAGCTCATTGTGCCGTTCGTCGGTTAAGAGACTAGACCTGGTGGGGTCTTCCTGTCTCGCGGAATGCTGGGTTTCTAATTCCATCCTCAGTCAGTGGGCTGAGTAGACTAATAATACTCACTGTGGAGAGAAAATCCACGTGCGTACGGGGATGAAATGAATACGAGTACTCGGGGGAGTCTGTAAAAAGCAGTCTCCAGATGTTCAATGGGGACCAGATTGAAGACCCTGGGGTCATGTGCACAGACCAGCAGCGAACAACAACACAACAAGTGATCGGGACGAGAATCCGATGGTCATGTTAAGGGCGTGAAAAGTGGGGTTTGCTACCGACAAGCCGCGTGCGTTTCATTGGCGGGGCAAGCTCGGTGAAACCACTCGCTTTGAATCTCCATCCTTATCGGACCCCGTCAGTATTTTTTAAGTATTTCGTGTATTACCCACGTTATCAATCTTCAGTCATCATCAATCCTAGTAGTTTCATAGATCCGGACTACTCAATAGAGCAAGCAACATGGCATCTCCTTCATACGAACTAACTCCATATGGAGCCCCGATGCTGAAGCATTTCCTGTTTGATCCCACATATAAGAATCTCAACCATGGTGTGTGCATCATATCATATATATATCTGGGCGCCTGGACACTTATGGAACTATATTGTCTCATTTTGTCCTCTTTCCCTTCTTTCTTTGGAGATTAGTACCTAATGCTTACATTGTATACTAGGATCCTTCGGTACATATCCAGCTCAGGTAAGACATGCGCTTCGTAAGTACCAGGACGAACTCGAAGCGAGACCAGATGCTTTCATCCGTTACACCCATGGTGACCTGCTGGATGAGTCACGTCGGGAAACTGCCAAGATTCTCAACGTCCCTGTTCAAGAAGTGGTGTTCGTCAAGAATGCCACAACCGGAGTGAACACTGTCCTCCGCAACCTCAGCTACCAGGAGGGAGATGTGATTATATACTTCGCGACCATTTACGGGGCAATTGAGAAGGCAATCACCTCATTGACTGAAACCACCCCGCTTCAGGCAAGAAAGGTTGACTATACTTGCCCTATCAGCCACCAGACTCTTGTGCAGAAGTTCAGAGATGCTGTGGAAGAGGCTCGATCGGAAGGATTAAATGTGAAACTGGCGGTGTTTGATACCGTGACTAGTCTTCCGGGGGTGAGGTTTCCTTTTGAGGAATTGACCAGGGTCTGCAAGGACGAAGGAATTTTCAGTGTCATCGATGGCGCTCACGGAATCGGGCACATTCCATTGGATCTGAAGGAGTTACAGCCCGACTTTTTCACAAGTAATTTGCACAAGTACAGCTCAACTGACCCTCGGGATCGTTTGCAAGGACACTAATGATGTTGTATAGATGGCTCTACGTCCCCCGTGGTTGTGCGGCTCTATACGTTCCTGTGCGCCACCAGCACCTGATCCGCACGACACTTCCAACATCCTGGGGCTTTATTGCGGATCCCACGTCATCCACGGCGGACAAGCCGAATATTCTGACACCGGTAGGGAGCCAACGGTCCGCTTTTGAGGAGCTTTTCCAGTTTGTGGCTACGAGTGATGATGCGGCTTATCTGACGGTCCCCGAAGCCGTACGCTTCCGCACTGACGTATGCGGCGGACATGACGCTATCTTTAAACATCTTGAGGAGCTCGCGATCCAAGGCGGTGACATTGTTGCAGCTGCGCTCGGAACAGACGTCCTGCAGGAGCCCGATCTCCGGTCCGGGGAAAGAAGCCAGCTCCGTCGGTGCGGAATGTCTACAGTCCGATTACCGATCGCTGTTGGTGGACAGGAGAATGGAAAGCTGTCGTCACCTTATCCTCCGGTGGCTGCTGAAGATGTCAGCAAGGTGGTGCATTTCCTCCAGGTGACTTTAAAAGATGAGTTTGGAACCTTTGTTCCCGTTTTCCAACATGGTGATTGGTTGTGGACGCGTCTGAGCGCTCAAGTATATCTGGAGGCAAAGGACTTTGAGTGGTTAGGCGGAGTGTTGAGGGGTTTGGTGGAGAGGGTCAGGCAGGGAGAATACCAGTCGTAGTTAGTATCATCAGCCTAGACTGGATTGGGTAATGCTTGAGAGCTGTGGCGCCCGCCAATGACGGTCAGACCGAGAGGCGGTGCACTTGCAACCTTCCGGCCTTAGGCAAAAGGCTTAAACCTTCTCGGTCTAACGCGAAACTGCTTAAAACACGACTGATCCGCGTCTTAGTCGGACTCACATGTACTCGATGAGTAATTATTATTCAACCGTTTCCCTGCTGAAAACGTCCGTCATCGCCTTCTCGTTGTATAATTTTACTAGTTTTGTTTAGAGAGAACCGGTATTCTCCTGTGTAGATTTTTTTAAGGTCATGCTCCACGTGACGCTGCGATGATATAACGAGGAACTAATAAAAGGACGGATCTTTTACAGTTTGGTTCATCTAGGGTCTGCGATTATTCACAAAACTCGGTATAATGTAAGACTATTCCCATTTGGTAAACCTTGCGAAATGACCGGATTGCCATTCGTAAGCCTCGGCCCTGTCGGTTTTCCTCCCCATCGAATGCGGGTCCCCCGGACTTGTCCGCCGACTTAATTCCTAAAGCTGAAGCGCTCTATGGTTGAGATTCGGCAACTGCTCCTGCTAAGGTTACACTTATTGTCAGGTGCGGGTCCTTGCCCTTGATTCTTTGTGGACCTCGAAAGTGTATATAAAAAGCTTCCCCCACCAGCCTGGCCGACACTCGCCGTCTGTCTCTCGCGGACGACTCAAACCCACCATGATCTTCAATTCGTCTCACTACCCGGTAGCCCTGCTTGCAGGCGCCGTGGTGTTCCTCCTCTATACAGTGACCGCCCTCCAGCGGAAATATCGCCAATACCGCATGGCCCGCGCCAACAACTGTCAACCGGTACGTTGTCAAGTCAACAAAGACCCATTCCTGGGACTCGACAGCATTCACAACAATCTCGATGCCGCCAAGAAACACGTAATCCTCGAGCGCTCGCGGTCTCGCTTCCACGAGTTTGGAAACACCTTTCGCGCCAGACGTCTGCGGACCCCCATCATCGTCACGTGTGAACCCCAGAACATCAAAACGGTCTTGTCCCTGAAATTCAAAGACTACGGACTCGGCAATCGGATCCACGCATTCGGCCCTTTGCTCGGTCATGGCATCTTCACGACCGACGGCGACCACTGGGCCCAGTCGCGCGCCATGATCCGTCCCAACTTCGTCAAGGATCAGGTCGCGCATTTGGATATCTTCGAGGAGCTCATGGCCGACTTGCTCGCTTTGATCCCGACCGACGGCACCACAGTCGACCTGCAGGACTTGTTCTTCTGTTATACCATCGATTCCGCTACCGAATTCCTGTTCGGACACAGCGTCCAGTCCCTCAAGAAACGTCTTTCGGGTGTGAAATTGGACGACAACGATTTCGCCAGTTCGTTCAACTATGCGCAGGACGCGATTGCTAAGAATACGCGTCTGGGCCCCCTGAGACACTTCTTCCGAGATCCCAAGGCGGAACACTGCAATCAGGTGTGCCACGAGTTGGTCGAACAGTTTGTGGAAAAGGCATTGAAGTACCGTGCCAATTATGACGAGGAAAAAGCCGCGGCCGATGACGACAAGAAGCAGCGGTATCTATTCTTGCAAGGGTTGGCACACCAAACCGGCGATCGTAAGCGGATCCGGGACGAGTTGATGAATGTGCTTCTCGCTGGTCGGGATACTACAGCGTCGCTGTTGAGCAACATGTTTTTCATGCTGGCGAAGCACCCCCGGGTCTGGAGCAAGCTGCGCGAGGAGGTCGCTTCGTTGGAAGGTCGCGCCCCGACTTATGAACAATTGCGCAATCTGACGTATCTCAAGTACTGCATGAACGAATGTGAGTTTCCAGGCAGGCCACCCTTTTTCTATTCTTGCATCGGCTAACCAATCAGCCCTACGTCTCCACCCCGTCGTCCCCTCCAATGCCCGCTTTGCTATCAACGACACGGTCCTTCCTGTCGGCGGCGGCCCGGACGGCAAAGCGCCCGTGTTCGTCCCCAAGGGCTCGATCATTGCCTACAGCGTGTACTCCATGCACCGTCGCGAAGACTTCTATGGTCCCGATGCGAACGAGTACCGCCCCGAGCGCTGGGCCGATCTGCGACCGTCATGGGAGTATCTGCCCTTCAACGGTGGACCCCGTATCTGCGTCGGCCAACAGTATGCACTCACCGAGGCCGGCTACGTCACCGTGCGTCTGGCACAGCAGTTCTCCGTTCTCGAAAGTCGGGATCCGGGTCCGTGGGAGGAGAACCTGACCTTGACACTGTGTTCGAGAAATGGAACCCAGGTCGCCTTGAGACACTAGGCGGGCCATGGGCATTCGGATTCATTTCTTTTTCTTTTTCTTTAGCGATAACATAATGGACTATTAGGGGCTGTTTCTCTCTTGGGTATTCAGGGTTTGATATGAACGACGTGTGACGACCAGATTGATAATTCAATGGATCAATACGCTATGCAATCAAAAATAAATACGTATTTTAGTTGACACCGAACTCCCTAATGCAAGGTTAAAGCATCCGCACTGCCAACTCAAACTCAAACTCCATGGCAGATTGCTAACAGTCCAAATCCCGCCGTCAATTAAGCAATGATCAACTCGTGTGACGAACAACTTTGCAGTTCCGGATAAAGTTCAGGCAACATTTGCTTCCCGCATACGGGCCCAATTAAGGACGGGCAATTTGATTCCTGCCGGCAATTGGGAATTCATCTTGAAGATCCTTTACCGCCTACGATGTGCGGATATCATGTGAAAATTAGGTCAGTGGTACGGATGTCGGAGTAGGTGATCATCCGAACAATGTACGAAAACAATGATATACAGTAAAGCAAGATAGATATATAATAGATACTATAGTGTTGAAATGTTATGGTATGTAGAAGAACTAAGAGGTAAGTAATTCAATTGTGCGAATTACATTCTAATGAATAAAACAGCAACCTCCCTTTTTGTAAATTCCGCGTATGCAAATCTCTCCTCTAGATATATAAATGCAATATTAACCGTATGCTAATCTTCATCCAGCGATAAATATACTATACATCCGTACAAACATCACTCGTATGTACAAACCCAACCGCATTAAAGCGCCGAATCAGTGATGTTCACTGCAACATCCCTGAACGTGCATCCCATCGTCTGGTACGCACTAGCATAGGACCCATCCAAGACGGCGGCAACGAACTGCAGCGCCCTCGCATGGCCATTGATACCCTCCGCAGAATGGCCACCGATAGCATTGCGCTCATAGAGGATATTTACGCCGACGCCACAGTACCTTTCCAACAAGGCATCCGTATCGCCGACAGGACTGACCTCATCATGGATGGCCTTGTACGCGTAGATGGGGATCTGTGGCACGCCATGGTATCCCATGTACCCGTCTCTGTTCAGCGCATACTGCACAACAGGCGCCTTGAAGGTGTCACTGCCGTTGACGAAATAATCGTAGACATTCTGTCCAGCGAAGAAGGCCTCCGCCTGGGCGAGAGTCATGTTCCGCGATAAGAGGAAGGTCGTGCGGTTGTGCTTTCCTCCGGGTTAAGCTGGTTGATCAGGTATTCGTAGGTGGCGGGGTATTGACTGGCCAGACCGAGCACGGCTTCTGGGATGAGTCCCGCGTTGATGTTCCCCGTCACGGTGTTCATCACGTTCGTGATGTTGGGTGTGAGACCGCCGAGAGCAGCACCGGCAAGAGAGAGCTCAGGCGCGTACTGCACCTGTAGCTCGGCGGCCCATTCGCTGGCGAGGGCGCCGCCGGAGTATCCCCATAGAGCTGTGCGGGAGGACGAAGCTTTAATGTTGAAGGCGGTGGTGTTGGAGTTGATGATACTGCGGATCGAGTCAAGTGTCGCGTGGCCCGATTGGACACCCGCGGTGAAGGAAGCGAGAGGACCCTCGTAGTCCGGGACATTGACGTACCAGCTGGCTCAGTGCGAGGGAGATATCGACAGGAGGCGAGGTGTACATGGCATAGCTGGGGCTGGCGTTGATGCTGTGGGAGTCGTATGCGATTTGGTACGAGAGTAGGGAAGTGTTGCCGGGGCGAGGATTGGAAGGAACAAAGACGGTGGTCACGGCCCACGAAGGGCGATACTGGCTGTCCGTGGTGCGGTAGACGATGTTGTATGCCGCGGAAGCATTGCCGACCAGCGCAGTCAGATTGCCCGGGGCGGGGCGTAGGCGCAGGATGGCGCCGGGAGCGGTGCTCTCGTAGCCATGGGGTGCGCTATAGAAAGGGTCTACACTGGGAGGAAGAACCACAGACGATGGGCTGGCGGTAGGCAGCCCAGAGACTACAGAGAGGAGACTCCCAATAAGAGGGAGCAGGCGGACTGGAGAGAGCATGGCGTGTCGGGTGGGAATGGGGAGAGGTAAAAAGGCGTACCAAAACCATGGGAAAAGCTCTGCTTAAGTACTAATATTTGTTTATTGTGTTTACAGCCATGGAAAGCAATTAGAACAGCTCGTTGCGCCAATAGGAGGGCAGCGGGATGACATATTGTGTACAAGCCTTCGAGAATGGGTGGAGAAATTCCGTCGGAAGGCCCGGATCAGCCGGCCTCGTTCGGTGAGACTAGCCCCAAGCGAAGATAGCTCCTGGCCTGCAGATGCTTGTCACAGTAAGCCATATCATTCGGGTGGGTCTCGAAAGTAATCGAAGCTGATGGTGTGATTTATCTAGAGTTGAGGTAGTAACGGTGTCCTGGACCAGGGCTCCGGGTCCCTCGTGACTCGCACCTCAGGCACCAGTTAGTCGACTTGCAGTAGTCATACCCTCATATCTACCAGGAACATTGAAGACATTTAATAGCTCTATCCGCAACTACTACTACAACAATTAATTCCCATAAGAAGCAGCGAGTCAGCCTTCAGTCCGGTCAGTGTCTGAACTGGGATACTCTGTTGTGTGAAACCGCCCAATATATTAAGGCGTCCAGAAGCTCGTATCTAAACATTCTTGTCCGTCATCTTTGTAAGCCGCAAAATCGCTCACGCTGAAGTAACCCTTTGAGGAGCACAACTAGGCAGCCGTGAGCAAGACAGTTGAACCCCGAGTTACAACCTACGGCCGGTTACATTGGATACCAGCGGGGAGTTGTGGTGGGTCCATAGGTGATCGCTTACTCCATATTTCCTGGCACGAGTTTACGAATTGTTTCCCTCAGGTGCTTGCGCTAGTCGTAGGAATATCCACGCACTTCAATTTTTCATTGTCGTCTAAATTGTCCTTCCGCGTATCCATAGTTGCAGTCGCGGTTTGGTGTAGGCAGTGCCGTTGTAGAAAAACAGAATCATAACCTAAAGTGGCCGTTTCCCATAAATCTGGACGCCTAAGCTATTTACCTGCATATATTATTGATATAAGCATTTCGACAATAGCTAATCACATATGAGTCCCTGCCTATTTGCTTTCTGGTACTAGGAGCCGGTCAATATCATGAATATAACTTATTATCGAATTTTCATTGTAGATACCTTTTCAGAACCACCTGGTATTCGGTGACTACTGCCCCGGTTTACTGGCATGAATAGGGCGATATGCCTACTATTGAAGGTGATCTGCAGAATATTATTACTGTAGGGCTACATCTGAAGTATCCACTTTTTGAGGCCTCTCAGCTTATCAATCTGCACCGTATCCCACTATTTGTACACTGTATTGAGGCACCGTCCCATGTTGATTACGAAAAACCCACATTTTAGCCTAAGATAGCCTTTTTTTTAAAAAAAAGAAAAAGCGCACAGCTTTCCAGCCTTTAGCAGAATGCTTAAGATAAAAATTGAACCAGAATTCTGCGTCAATGAGAATGGAGATCTAGTTATTCAGGCCCATATTCATGACGATTATAACCGAGTCATTTCCCTTTATAGTCGAAAACAAGACCTTAAGATAGGCCAACTTCCAGTAGGTCACACAATGTCTAGCATGTCACTAAGTATCACGAACAATTATAAACAATAGTTCAATCTTATAAGCTTCGCCTTTTGTATGGACCAGCTCTAGCAAGGACAGATTGCTGTTGGCTCAGGATTGAGTAGCAGGATATATTTTTACGTACCAAGTAGATGTGTTCAGGTTTCTTCGGGTCTAGTGTAATGGGCGAGGCCCCATTGATTCATTATTAGGAGCTTGGTCTTGATAAGACTCCTCTGGTGGCTACACCTGTGGAGCACACGAAGCACCGCACGCGGGGTCGGTCCCTGGACCCCAAAGATAAGCTCCTTGAATCCTGGGTCGTCACCCTGGTTCTGGATGCCGCGCTGTGGGTATATGCCTGGACGATCCCGGCGGCCATGACCCGCATGTCGCGTGTGATGTGTGTGTGATGCTATGAGCCTTGGAGCTGGTGGCTTCAGCCTTGAACAAGGCGCTCAATTACTGCGCCCAATCCTGTTCTGCAAAAAGCGAGTGGAGAAAGTGGCCGCTCGAGTGAAATCCTTTGTTCTCGGGCGTCTTGTATAAACTCTCCTGATGTCACGACTTGACCAATTGTCAGTGATAACCCTGGTGGTGACGGCCTCACCTGGACAGATTAACTTTGCTAGTTGGTAAGTTGCCGAGTAGAGGAGATGCACAGGTAACTTTTACCTTCATTCACTGACTTCAAGCTTTTTTCTATAATCGGAAGGCTTGGCCATACTGAGTTATTTGCCCGAATCTGCCGAGAATAGCCACTGGTCTCTGGGCCGTTGCCCGACCACACTGAACAAAGGCAATACAAAGAAAGTGTTTACGTGATAGTCATTAAAGGATGCAGGCGCGCCTTTCACAGAGTACACAATCCAGAAGTGGTTAACCGCGAGTAAGCATAGTGGATCCCGATGGAAGAGATATTTAGCTGTACAGACCCTCTTGCTCAGCCAGCGTTCATCTATGTTCGCTACGAGAGCCAGCCTACCTTCTCATGGAGCCGAGATGCATCGACTTTGGATCATCATTATCGCAATATATCTCTGCTGCTGGGTATCCGGTCAGGGTGGAAGCCTTTCCGTGGAACAAGGACCACCGGAGAAAGTAACTCGACCAAATAGACCCGGACGTCCTCAGAAGCAATCGAGGCCTCCTGAGAGTAGGCAGCCTGCACAGCAAGTACCACCTCAACGTGATCCCAGGCCAGTAATCTGGGACGGCAGACGTGTCGATTACGTGGGGCAATGCACCAACGCCTATCTGAGAGAGTACCTGGTGGCAAACCACCATCCATCGGCACCAGTGTTCTGCGCCGACTGCATTCAATTCAACGGTAGAATCAAGAGGAACTCATGTCTAGATCTCAACTATTGCCTCGGTTACGACAAGGCAAAAGGGACTTTGATTCGCCAATGGGAGTATGTTATCTTCATTCAACACTATGGAATATAAGAACTAATGATCGCAGCGGGGGCGCGTTTCGACGCGGTGATTGTTATGGGTGCACCTTGATACCAGAACCTCACGACATGGCCGTGAGAAGACACGATATCCGATGCACATGTCGAACGAACACCCAAAATCCTGCGACGGGGGCATATGTAGCCCAAAGCACATTCCCTATAGGTACACTGCCTACTGACAATAGATAAGATTGCTTGCTGACAGGAGTACTACAGGATACCTCGTTAATGAAGATGGTGATATGACTTGCTTCCCACCACGCAAAAATCATTAGCATTAGTTGGAATTTCATCAGTCAATATTTCCACTCGATATATTACGTTTACAATTCATACCTTATAACAACTCTATTTTTCAACTGCCGTAATGCACTGATTCTAACAGCTCGGGCGTCTGATAAGGCCATTGTTTCACCAGAGGATATACTGCGGAGGAAAGACTAACTTTTCGCGACCGTTGCGATCCACGCGTCGGTAATGCTGAGCTCTATAGACTGACGATTACCACAAGTTCCCCACTATCTGTCGCCTCGTTGAGGCTGTTTGAGGCGGGTAGGGTGGCTTTCCAGTGTTTCCTTGCTGACCGGCCTGAGTACCGAGTCAGAAACCATATGACGCTTGTGCGAATATTGGTGCTCAATGATGATTATGAGGAGATATCGCAAGGCACTACTTCGTATCTTCAGACCCGCCAAGATATGGCGCGACGCCGATCTCAGCAGGTAGAATCTCCACTTCCACCTGTATCTCGGGATACACTTGCCATAGCCTTGCTTCTCGCCCCACCCTCCCAGGTAATGTCGGCACAATTGAAACACCTTGCCAAAGCCTAACTAGTGTCTACACCAGAAATGACAGGGATTGACTCGGAGAAATGTTATTGTGGTCCGAGCAGCTAATTTAGTTGCTGGTTGGAGTCTGCCTTCGCCTCTAACATAGCGTGAAGTTTATTCAGTTGGATCTAGTGAAAGATAAGGAAAAACACGGCACATCGAAGACCCGAAAAAACCCCTATATATCCACAGTATACGAGTTTCTTTGGAATGCTTTGTCCATGAGATGTGCTATACTGTGCATGTTAACGCTCGTGGCTCGTGGCAAGGATTATGGGAGAATCCTTCACGAAGTTCTCCAGAGATCTCGCCATTGAAACATGGATTCTATATGCCATTGGTAGTTCAACGCCTTTCATTTGTTCTAGCCGCCTTCTAACGCCTGTCGTTATAGGGATACTGATTATTGGGTGTCGCCTGTTCGTTACCCTGTGAGATTTAAATTCGAATGCTCATGAAGCTAGAGTATCGCAACGGATCGCCAAGGGATCATGGAGGAGACTACACATCGATGACTACATAATGTGCTTTACTGCGGTAAGGCCCAGTACAAGCAACGCGAGACGTCGGATTAATTGCTGAATAGATTACATATACTGGGGCAATGGTCAGCATCAATCAAGTGGGATGGGTCAATAGCCAGCCAGAGGTGCATGCCGACAAAATAACCCCACATGCGCAAGAGCTATTGATATGGGGGAACAAGATGTGTTTTGCCATGGAGCAATTCTGCACGGCGACAACCTGGCTAGTCAAGTGCTGCCTCTTGATGATCTACAGCCGATTAACGTACGTCAGCCTGAACACATTGCCAACAAGGAGCTGACCGTCCCCGTCAAGACGTTTATTGAACGAGCATATCGTAGTCCAGATACTTGCAGTATACGTTGGACTCTCCTATGTATTGATCGAAATTTTGCTCTGCGCGGTTTGGTGTCGACCGATTGAAGGATACTGTACGTCGTTGGATCGCTACCAAAGGAGCCGACGATACTGACCAGGAACAGGGTCCCCAGATGTGGACGACAATTGTACGCCCAGCTAGTACCGCCACCTTTGAATTTCACTGATCTCTTGGCTAGTCCAATGTTCCACTTACTTCAACCACATGATTGTATCCGCGGTTTTCAATATTTCTTCTGATTTGGTAATGTTATGCATCCCATTACCTCTGTTCATTCGATCCCGCCTCCGCCTGGGCAAGTAAGTGGTCCCAAGCTCATTTATCTTCCGAGCTGACTGCCATAGGAAAATTGCCGTGTGTGGCGTGTTCGGTCTTGGGTTTATTGTTGTATGCGTTCTTATCTCCCATGTTACCCTCTTTTCTGACATGTCCAGATTTTAATGGCCGTCCTTAACCGATACTACAGCCTGAGCACTCTCGGTTCCATGGTCTTTATGGTCAGTCCCCACAATTTCTATGAGACTATATACTAACTGTTTACCGTAGAGATGGTATGCGGCTGAGATTTCCACCGCAGTTTACGTCGCCAATCTGCCTTTAATGTGGCCGCTTATCCGTGTGGTATTCCACTTACAAACCCCCGATTACCCAAACTACCCGGAGCGAGAGCGAGCCACGCCACGTAGTGCACCTCCGCGCGGGCGAGCAGCAATCCAAAACATTACAACCTTTACAACACATCAGGGCAGCTCTGGCGAGTCCATCATGCGCGTTTCAGAAGGCCAGATGCACGGCACTACGGATGCACATGAGTTATCCTGGACCACTCTGGGAGAAAGGGGCTATCAGCCCTCACTCCACCCCGAGGCGGAATCGGATCAACAGCAACGGCGGTTAGACGATATTACCGTGCAAAGGACGGTGGAGGTCACTTATCACTAAGCTCGTCCACATTTTAATCAGCCACTTGTTTAGCCTGCCAGGGGCTTATGGTATATAAACCTTGCACAGAGTGAAAGGAGGTCATACCGGCCGTTTCTTTCATCTTATCATCAAAGTGAACGTGGCCAGCTGTTCGAAAATTCACATGTATCTATAGCTCTGGGTTGGAAGTCATATTGCTGATATCCAGTAAATTGAATATATCATTCTGATCTAGGCCCCTCTATATCCTCACTGTCAGCCTGTCACATTGCTGGATTCACAATCAAGTGAGTAGGGCGGCGTGTGGTAGACATTCAATGAGCGATTCTAGGCAGAAACCCTCGACCAGGAGATATAGATGTCTACCTGCTCTCCTTCTTTCTTCTTCGCGTCTACATCTCCAAGCTCTATCCAACATGGCATAGTAATTAGTCAGCCAAAGGCTCACGCGCCTGGTTTTCAACAATTCATGGAAGCAGGTTTTGCAAATATAGCGCTGTATCTTCCTGACAGTGTCTATGCTGGCTTGATAGAACCATGCTTAACCTGGAATTTATCCGGTAGTCCATCCTGCCCAAAGTACTAGATAATATCGTTTCTTATCAACGAACTAATGTGCAGTTCACGAGATCTAAGAGATAGCAAAAGCTCTAGCATTAAGAGATTATACTATAGCAATATAGGTATTCAGAGCTAGATATAAGACTTATCGGCTAGTTATAGGATTGTCCTATATATAGATAATCCTGTTAATTATTCCATCCTTGGTTGGGAGCCTGTGCACATGGTATTTGTAGTTGAAGTAGATGCCAGGGTAGAGTGTGGTAAGGTTAGGCCAGACCAAGACCCAAAGGGGAAAGATTGACTCCTTTGAGTGATACAGCAAAGATAGCGGTTTTCACCTTCTAGTCCCTATTATTTATGCTTTGTAGATAACCAAAATTCTTTCAACATATGGCTAGATCCACGTTCAATATAGATACCATCTCTCCCTCTCTCCACTTTCACCGGCGCCGGAATAGTCAACATCATATCTTTACCATTAACCGAGGATCAACATGGAACGATAGAATATTTACATATCCGGCAGATGATGATAGAGATAATGAGATTGGGATGCTGTGATCCACGCAACCCCCTTGCGTGTGATGGGTGTGCCCGACATATCACTTCCGCGAGAGCCCCTGAATAGAAGCAAAAGTACTGTTCTAGAATGCAATGCATTGTCCGATGCAGTACTGCTTATCAATTCTCTGGGTGGAATCTTCCTGATCCAGACTACAGTGGATAGGTTACAATCTGGAATAAGTAGTAGAGGTGGGGGCAATGGAAATATGCATAGAACGATTGTCGATGCACAGGCCGTAGCTCATTTACACATCATCCCGTTATAAGCAAATCAAGTGGGGCATATCTTCATTACACTTGGGAGCTCCGATTCGGATCTTTTCGTACGCCAGACTAGTGATCAATAGTTTCTGCTGAAAGATGCAATATTACTCACATGACCATGCAAGACTCACTTCACTCGAAACCCTTGATTTCATGTAAAATTCTCCAATCCGCACAAGGCGACTCTACGACTAGCTATTCCGACATATACTTGAACGTAAATCGAAGCCTCTACCGTAATGAATGCAGTAAACCTTTGAGCGCTCGCTTACCAGGTTTATTGGAGGTAGTTCAACAGAGGTCAACCATCCCGTGGCTTCGACGTATCGGAAGAAGAACCAAATCTGCTTCTAGACATCAATCATCCAGTTTAGCTACTTATGGAGTATGAACGCAAAGACACAGATATTTAATTTCGCACAAAGATACGACAACGTGGCTACGAGACGCCCAAATATACTCATTTGGCCAAGAGTGGCGAAGCTCACCTGACTATTGTTTTAGGGTTCTTTAGTCAATTGATGTACCGCACTTAGGGTTGTTAACGGAATCGGCTCAGTTCCTCCACATGAGGTAGTGTACCTATTAGTGTCTAAATAGGGCCTAATCTGCTAGACTTCCGTCCCTTGGTCCTGTTCATAACTGATGATTGGCCGTGTTAAGCGCTGAATACGATAGTGCCGCTAAACGAGCCATTCAGTTCACCCCAAGTGGGCCACAAGCTGCAAGCCTTTTTCCTTTTCTTTAAGCACGAAAATGAAAAGTTGGGTCTCAGTTGTTTCCCCGCTTTTAGACGAGATGGGCTTCCCCGGCGGCTAAGATGGAGCTTGCTATGGGTACGATATTCCGATTTATGTGGGTGCAGCGCTTCGCTTTGCGACTAGGCAGCATATCCATGATGCTTAAAAATACCTCGTGCGATATTATTATCACATCTTTGAGCATGGACGCAGTTGATCCTGGTTATACCATCACTCGCATTGTCTTTAGAAACACCTAGTCTTGTCCTGAGACCTGTGAGCGCTCCTACTTCTTTGTTTGTGCCTCTAGCGCGTAGGAGCCTGGCATATGGCGAGAGATTGTTCGACAATATGCGGTTACAGCTGCAGTAATATTGCAAGGGAATAATAGTTAATGAGGTTGGTGTCTTTATTGCAGGTTATAGTGGATAGGAATCCTATCGTACGATACCCCAGAACTTACACGCCCTATCACTTCGTGTTCTATCTTCCTTTTCAGCGCGATGCATTGTAGAAGTTGCTTGTCAATCGATATCCATGCAGCTGCCCTTCCGAATCCGTCATCCATGACCGTTTCTCTCAACATGATAACCCTAGTTTTGACGCCCTCCATAAGCGCCGCGGCACCGTAGCAGCCATTAAAAGCACAAAGCAGACGCCTCTCGTTTACCCCACTGGGCTTACCCCTCACTTGACAGTTCGATGTCTTTTGTCACGACCGACAGATAGCTCAATGCTGTCGATATAATCCGCCCAGCATAGACCAGGGACCACCACCTCCGAAAGCTATAAGTAAGAGACAACCACCCGGTCCAAACCCCCAGAAGGAAAAAAGGATATCGTAACAGACAGAAGCTCACCGCCCCTTCTCCTACTGCAGGCATCAATCTCTCCAAAGTCTCTCGGCAGTCTACCTGCACCAGCAACCATGCTAAACTTCGAACAAGAGCTCCGAATGCGCCTAGATAATTTCTTCCGACAACACACCGGGTTCTCCTCTTACGCCCATTTCCTCTCCATCCCGCCCATCTTCCGCGAGGAAATTTTCGACCAGCTCCTGACAACCGATACCTTCCTCATCATGCCAGATACAGATGTCCGGGACGCCGTCCTCGGCGACGCCATCCTCCTCTGCCAGAAATACATCACACGCGACAGTGCTGTCACCAAGGAAGCGCTGGAAACCTACTACGAGAAGAACCACTTCCAAGTCTGGAATGCTCCTTACCTGGCTGAGCTGCTGGTGTATATGAATGATCGGCACTCCGACCCGGATGAGGGGTTCGACCCCAAACTACACGTCCAGCATCTGACTCTCGGGTTCGAGTGGGATGTGCTCGAGGAGTTTGGGCTTGGGGAGGACGACCCGGAAGCTACCATCGAGGGTGTTTTGGGGATGTTGGCGGAGTGTCCGAATTTGAAGGAGGTTGCGTTTGAGATTAAAGGCACGCCCGAGGGGATATCGCGATTGAAGAATATTTTCGATTCGCATGAGTCGCAACTGCAGAATCTTGACGAGCGCTTGCGGCTAAATACTGACGAGGGCGATATTCCCGCCGGGCTATTGCTCTTGGAGATTCCGTCGGATAGGCAGTTACCCAGGAGGATGATCCCTCATCCGTGGTGGGATGGCGAGCGGACGGAAGAGATGGAGCTTTTCGAAGAGGATTGGTGGGAGCGTTTGGAGCATACCGAGAAGATTCCCATGGAGTTGTTGGTTTGAGGTTGTATTAGGGTCTTTTGTTTCTCTTCTTTTCTTTTTCTCTTTTTTTTTCCTCAGGTTATTGGGATGGAGCTATGGGGTGTTCTGTTTCCTGATATGGTTCGTAATGGCCAACATGTGGTTAGTCTGGCTGATATTTCTGTCCTCTTTTATTCCAGATGACGTGCTTAGACGTCTTTTATTAATATAATTTAGTTATCACACAAGAATAGTATCCAGGAAATGGTCGTTTCCACCATTGTGCCTTTGCCATCTGTATCATCATGTGTACCTAGTAGACGACAGAGGTAGTGATTTCTATCCTAGAGGTCAGTAAGTACTCAGACTTCAAGGTCACATTGGCCATACTATCCTGAATGACATCAATCATCCAAAAGCACCGCTCAAGTCTCCACACCACCTATACCCAACCGCAAAGCGCGGACGCAATGATAGATACATTTCCTCCTCTCCACGGCATCAACTACTCGCGGAGGATATTCCTCCGAGCCCAATACCGTGTGTCTCGGGGGAACGGGAGGGATCATCGACCGTTGACGAGGGTATCAACTGAGCTGCCGAATCCAATCGGCTATCTAGATTATACGCTAAATCACTCCCACGTTATCGCCTGGTTCATTGCAGAGAACAACGACCAATAGGCAGTCGGGTTAGCCTAAGGGTCTGTGCCATGTGAGTCCAGGATGGTGGTTCCCCGCTGAAGCGAAGCGGGGCAATGGTACTTTCTTATAGGGAGTTATCTACTAGACAGAAGAACAATGGCTTGCTAATTCCCGGGATATGGCTCGAAGGGATCTGAGTCAGGTGTTAGATCAAGGTGATGGGATTCGTGGGTATACCTTTTGCGATGGTGCGTCTTCTGACCCAACTACCAGACGTATCTCGCACCATACAACGCGATATAAAATGGGCGTGCGTCTACGCGATCGTCAATAATTGGCCATGTTACCTGGATTGGTTAGGAAGAACGGAGACCACCACGTAGTATCCCAATGGCTATCAGGCTGTGACGTCAATTTCTCCGGAGAACAGCCGATGAACCATTCTGGAAGTGGAATCCACTGTGGCGATGATGCTAGTAGCTTGCTGTCTACAGACGCTTAGTACCTTGTGGGGCCGTGACGAGATAGTCAACTCTCTGTAGACTTGGGCGTCCGCTTTCCTCCTTGCTTCACCATCAGAGACCAGGTAGTCCGGCTGTCGATGCCGCTTGGTATCTTCTGGAATTCAGCAACGGAAAGATACTACGAGAGCTTATGCCGAGCAGAAACTAGCTTTCAGACAGGTCACGGTAAGGGAGCCAGGATAAAGGCTGCTCTTTACCGACATAAATGCTCCATATGCTTTGAAAGCCTGCAAGACCCGAGATACAATTCAATTTTCATTACGGGTGATTAGGCACCATAGAAGGTCGATCCTTCGTGAGATCGAATTCTTGATGATGTAGATCGCGATCCGGGAAAGCAAACCACGCCTGGCACCAATCCGCAGACGATCGCTTTGCCAACATGAAAAATAATTCAGCACAGTTGCAGGGTGGCTTTTTTGCTTATGCCGGATGCTTATTAGTTGCGTCGAGAAAGGTTACTAGATTAAGGATGGCCGGGGATCCACTGAGATTGTCAGCGTGTCTCAAGTCTGTTGCTGCAAAGAACGTAGGGATATCGGAGTGTATCGCCGGCAATATGTACGGCAACTACTAGCCCTGTTGATCATTCGGATAACAGACTACCGGCGACGCCGTTGCGATGTCGACGTAACCATGTCCAGAAATCCTACCCCCGGCGTGGCTGAGTCTGCGGTACAGTGAGACCATTAGCTCAGAGCTGACGCTGTCCGCGTAGCATCCGCTTGAAAAAAAAAAAAGCAAAAAAAGGATGCCTCTGGATTCTCTGCATACAGTCGGGCATAGATGGTGCTAGTGTCAGTTGCCTAATCCATGGGCCACGCGTGATATAATATAAGAGGCGTATTCCCAATATTGATGTCATGGTTGCCTGTCCGCGGCTGAGGTTCGACCATGAAATGCGCTGAAACATCGGCTGATTTGGCGTCGATTTTGGCCTATACCCACGGAGCGATGTATTCATGTCGTATTGATCTTTGGGAATTGTTGGTCTGCACTTGTGAAACATTTAACAGCCGCTTTATATTAATTTTTTTTTCATCGCAATTTACCCTGGTGAGATTAGCAGAATTGAGTCGTACTTTGGTATCGCCTTACAGAAATGTTATTTCGCATGGTCCGTACGTGTGTCCAGTCTGAAGAAAGAGTTCTAGGGGTGCCCGTGTGATTTGTAGCTGTGCTTTAATGCAGTGCCAGTCAGTCATCTGACAACCATACGTGATAGACTATTAACTGCCGCGAGAATCAGTGTTGGCAGTGGGGTTGGGTGGCTGTCGCGACGGAGGGGCGTAACGGCCAGGGGTCGTCATGCACTGATGATCGAGGAACAAAGGCAAAAGAAACGTAGAAAAGCCAAGATGCGAACGCATCGGGAGCAAGCATCAGTGGCGGTGAGAGGAACCGAGTAACGGTTCAGCCTGTTTGTACGACGGCCGAGACTGCTTTGCTGGACGATGCTGCCGGTGAGATGGGATGTACTTACAAGCATGAATGATTGGAATCTAGCAGCCTGTCATATGATCCCCTGCATCACCCACAAAGGTCGAGCAATAGGAACGGCTGGAAGATCTCCAGACTCTGGGTACCTGATATTAAACCGTCGGAAAGGGCGGCTATCGTCAGGGCGCTTGATAGGGTCCAACTTCCATGTACGAGGGCATAGCGGTGAAAAGCCAGCTGACATCGGTTGGTTAAAGTGGCGGTGAAAAGGATACTTTACCAATGGCGATCGTCGAGCCCATCAGGACTCCACTAGAAACTCACTTCCGTGTAGTTTAAATGGACATTGAGGATACTACCGCCGTGCATGGAAAGGTTATACGGCCTGGATGGGGGGGATCGGGGGTCACCTCAGGGTCGAACCCTAACTAACCTAGTCCGGGCAAGTGAGAGTGAGCGATGGAGTCGAGGGCAGAGAGCACACTAAAGAAAGTAACCCACCACGAGGGGGGGGGAGGGGATGTACCATCCTCTCTGTGTAAATTGTAGACACTAATGCAGCAGCGAAACATTGGGTCATTTTAGCTGATGGATCGTGCCAAATCGCGGAAGTGGTTTATGGTTCCCCGAAGCCCACCTTTGCGGGACTACTCTTGATAGTCGATGCTATGAGACTAGTATCGAGACTAGCTGTCATGCCTGACGTCATTCTATCCATTTTCCGTTTGCAGTAATACCTTGGAATTCCAATCGAAAAATGCAAGAATGTTGTGATTGACCGCGGCTGAAAACGAGATGCAAGTCAATCTGCCATGCCCGTGGAGGAACCCCTGTAGTATAGAACTTGCCTTTGGTGCCAGAAGAGCAGCAATTGCTTTTTTCTGTGGACTCCTTCTAGGTCCAGAAAGGAGATTTCTCCTCCGACTGGCTTATGACGTTCCCTGCTCCTGCTTCTCTAAGAGAAAAACCTTGTTCATAGTCACCGGGAAGATAACAAACATAGCATCAAGGACCAACCACCCCCATGACGGATCGATGCCCAATTCCCGGATGTCCCTCCATCAGAGGAAGGACAAAAGTACGTACTTTTTTCCAGGGTAGACGGGGATCCATCCGCGTGAACGATCGGAGAGTTCAGAGGCCAATCAGGACCGGACGTCTGGATTCCGATAGTCCGCTACACAGCAACCGAAGAAAGGAGAAAAGGCCTCAAAATTCACGGAGGGAGACTAGACCTAAGCCACAAAACGGAATCTTAGGGCGATCCTGATGTTCAGCAGCTTGTCTGTTGGGTTCAGTATCTTTTCCCCGGCCAATCGGGAGACCGAACGGGGCATTGTTTCGGGGACACTTCAAGTGGTTCCATCTTGTTGATGGGTTCATTCCAATGTAGCGGGTCATTTTACTAGGGTCTCTATCTTTTTTACCCTTTTTTTTATTCTTTTTTCTTTTTCCCTCCCTACGGAATGCAAGGGAATTGTTAAAGAACACATCCGATGGGGTAACCTAAACCACATAACAGAAAGTGAGGGCCCAAAAAAAAGCCTAATAAAATAAAAAGTAGTAATTAAATTTCAAACGGACCGGTAGACACATGGCCCAAGAAAATTAAAAATTAAAAAAAAAAGAAAAAGAAAAAGAAAATTAAAACAGACCGGGTTGATGGATTCACTTCGGTGTCAATAGATCCCACCAAGTGGCCTGAGACGGTCTCCTGACGGTCAAGAATGCGACTTTCACAAACTGATAAATAGTCTTCGACTGTCCTTCTGATTCCCCTGCAGCTGATGTGAGAACAAAAGAGCATCTTATCTGACTTTTAACCTTCACCCTTGAACTTTATCTGAAGCTGTCAACCTTCTCCTCGGTGGTCTTGGTACTTTCTTACACTTCTCTCTCACGACTCTCATTCACTCACCATTTGTACCTCGCCTCGCTTTACCAGCGTTAAGGAGCCTCTCTCACGGAAGTCATGGACAAGCGAACTACAAGTAGGACAACATCCTCAACTCAACAGCCAACACATCTGGACCTTGCCGAGTATCAGGCGGAATGGGCTAGGATTCATGAGAATACTGTCAGACAGCTTGAGCAGCTGAAAGGTGCGCACGATTCCCTAGTAGAGCCGTGGTGAGTATTCACGGAATCTAACTCCTCTCCAGCAAACGGACAATCTGGAAAGGGCTCGGGAGCAGGGTCCCAGCGATCTCCCTCGAATCAGTCTCCCAGCTGACAATCCACGACGACGCGGGTCTCTTCACGAAAAAAAATCGTTCTTACGATGGCATTCGATGTCGGTTGAAATAAGACATTCATCATAGCGTGGCGCGTACTGATTCTTGGGTTGAATTGCTATTGAGCCATCGACATTTGCATAGTTTCATGGCGTTTGCAGGGCGAAACTTTGATATCCCATCTTCCATATTTGACTTCCCACGGTATCCGTGCCGTGGAACTCTCTTTACTTGATACCAATTTTGCCTTTCATCGATCAAAAATAATGCGTTGAAATCATTCCCACTTCTCCATTCCAGATTATCTCCCGAGTGTCTTCGACATATTCATAATATATACTCCGTAGACGGTTCTTTGCTGCGACAACGGCTCATAACGCTACTAGGAGAATTACTAAATGTGGGTAAGAATATGAGGCTTAAGAATATGTTTCCTCTACTCGTTTCCTATGGTCACTTTTTTTTTTTTTTTTTTTTTTTTAAAAA